GTTCCTAGTCAGGCCGCCGGTCCTGTTACTGCTACCTACGGTGGTTCGGTCACTCTTACCAGCACTTTCCCCGTCGGTCCCAACGGTGAACCAGCTTCTACGGTCGTCTACGTCCCTAGCCAGGCTGCCGGTCCCGTTACCGCTACATATGGCGGCTCAGTCACTCTCACCAGCACATTCCCTGTCGGACCCAACGGCGAACCTGCGTCAACAGTTGTTTACGTTCCCAGTGGCTCTGGACCTCTGGCAAATGTTTTTACTACTACCTACGGCGGTTCGGCCACTCTCACCACCACTTTCCCGCTCGGTCCTAATGGCGAACCTGCCTCAACTGTAGTTTACATTCCAATTACCGGCACATCTATTATACCCTCTGAGACTGCATCTTATGTTACATTGACGACTGGATATGACGGATCAGTCACTGCCTACCAGACACTGGCACCACCTGCCTCTGGACTGCCCGGCACCGTACTTGTGCAAGTTCCAACTACTAACATTGCCTCCGCTACAGATAGTCTCATTGTATCAGGCGGGACGACCTATGTAAGATACACAACGTATATCGACGGTTCATCATTTACTACCTCAACAATACCACCTGGCCGACCAGGCGATCCCTATACAATTCTTGTAGCAGCTGCTAGAAGAGCATTTATAGCTACCTCTACAGTACGCGGATTAACAGCACGGATAACATCAACCTTACCAATTGGACCAGATGGCATACAAACAGTCATTATCCAGGTTCCAGATACAATTATCACACCAACAATACCAACTGCCACAGCCTCTTCGTACACGACAGTCGTTACTGGTGTCCCTGGTACTTTCACCGGCACTCTGGTATCGACTCTGCCTGCTGGTCCTGACGGTATTGCAACCGTTCTGTTCCAAACCGCTATTCCCACCGCTACCGCCTCTTCGTACACGACGGTCGTCACTGGCGTCCCTGGCACGTTCACAGGCACTTTGGTTTCGACGTTGCCAGCTGGTCCAGACGGAATCGCAACAGTGCTTTTCCAGACTGCCAACCCGGGTGCCACCGCCTCTTCGTACACGACGGTCGTCACTGGCGTCCCGGGCACATTCACAGGCACTCTGGTTTCGACGTTGCCAGCTGGTCCAGACGGAATCGCAACAGTGCTTTTCCAGACTGCCAACCCGAGTGCCACCGCCTCGTCGTACACGACGGTCGTCACTGGCGTCCCTGGTACTTTCACGGGCACTTTGGTTTCGACTCTGCCAGCTGGTCCAGACGGAATCGCAACAGTTCTTTTCCAGACTGCCAACCCGAGTGCTACCGCCTCCTCATACACTACGGTCGTCACTGGCGTCCCTGGTACTTTCACGGGCACTTTGGTATCGACACTACCTGCTGGCCCAGATGGTATCGCAACAGTCCTCTTCCAGACTGCCATTCCTACTGCCACCGCCTCGTCGTACACGACGGTCGTTACTGGTGTCCCTGGTACTTTCACCGGCACTCTCGTTTCGACTCTGCCTGCTGGTCCTGACGGTATTGCAACCGTTCTGTTCCAAACCGCTATTCCCACCGCTACCGCCTCTTCGTACACGACGGTCGTCACTGGCGTCCCTGGCACGTTCACAGGCACTTTGGTTTCGACTCTGCCAGCTGGTCCAGACGGAATCGCAACAGTCCTTTTCCAAACTGCCATTCCTACTGCCACCGCCTCGTCGTACACGACGGTCGTCACTGGCGTCCCTGGCACGTTCACAGGCACTTTGGTTTCGACGTTGCCAGCTGGTCCAGACGGAATCGCAACAGTGCTTTTCCAGACTGCCAACCCGGGTGCCACCGCCTCTTCGTACACGACGGTCGTCACTGGCGTCCCTGGCACATTCACAGGCACTCTGGTTTCGACTCTGCCAGCTGGTCCAGACGGAATCGCAACAGTCCTTTTCCAGACTGCCATTCCTACTGCCACCGCCTCGTCGTACACTACGGTCGTCACTGGCGTCCCTGGTACTTTCACGGGCACTTTGGTATCGACACTACCTGCTGGCCCAGATGGTATCGCAACAGTCCTCTTCCAGACTGCCATTCCTACTGCCACCGCCTCGTCGTACACGACGGTCGTCACTGGCGTCCCTGGTACTTTCACGGGCACTTTGGTTTCGACTCTGCCAGCTGGTCCAGACGGAATCGCAACAGTGCTTTTCCAGACTGCTAACACGAGTGCCACCGCCTCGTCGTACACGACGGTCGTCACTGGCGTCCCTGGCACATTCACAGGCACACTTGGTTTCGACGTTGCCAGCTGGTCCAGACGGAATCGCAACAGTCTTTTCCAGACTGCCATTCCTACTGCCACCGCCTCGTCGTACACTACGGTCGTCACTGGCGTCCCTGGTACTTTCACGGGCACTTTGGTATCGACACTGCCTGCTGGCCCAGATGGTATCGCAACAGTCCTCTTCCAGACTGCCATTCCTACTGCCACCGCCTCGTCGTACACGACGGTCGTCACTGGCGTCCCTGGTACTTTCACGGGCACTTTGGTTTCGACTCTGCCAGCTGGTCCAGACGGAATCGCAACAGTGCTTTTCCAGACTGCCAACCCTACTGCCACCGCCTCTTCGTACACGACGGTCGTCACTGGCGTCCCGGGCACATTCACAGGCACTTTGGTTTCGACGTTGCCAGCTGGTCCAGACGGAATCGCAACAGTGCTTTTCCAGACTGCCATTCCTACTGCCACCGCCTCGTCGTACACTACGGTCGTCACTGGCGTCCCTGGTACTTTCACGGGCACTTTGGTATCGACACTACCTGCTGGCCCAGATGGTATCGCAACAGTCCTCTTCCAGACTGCCATTCCTACTGCCACCGCCTCGTCGTACACGACGGTCGTCACTGGCGTCCCTGGTACTTTCACGGGCACTTTGGTTTCGACTCTGCCAGCTGGTCCAGACGGAATCGCAACAGTCCTTTTCCAGACTGCTAACACGAGTGCCACCGCCTCGTCGTACACGACGGTCGTCACTGGCGTCCCTGGCACTTTCACCGGCACTTTGGTTTCGACGTTGCCAGCTGGTCCAGACGGAATCGCAACAGTCCTTTTCCAGACTGCCAACCCGAGTGCTACCGCCTCTTCGTACACGACGGTCGTCACTGGCGTCCCTGGTACTTTCACGGGCACTTTGGTATCGACATTACCTGCTGGCCCAGATGGTATCGCAACAGTCCTTTTCCAGACTGCTAACCCGAGTGCCACCGCCTCTTCGTACACGACGGTCGTCACTGGCGTCCCTGGCACGTTCACCGGCACTTTGGTTTCGACGTTGCCAGCTGGTCCAGACGGAATCGCAACAGTCCTTTTCCAGACTGCTAACACGAGTGCCACCGCCTCGTCGTACACGACGGTCGTCACTGGCGTCCCTGGCACGTTCACCGGCACTTTGGTTTCGACGTTGCCAGCTGGTCCAGACGGAATCGCAACAGTCCTTTTCCAGACTGCCATTCCTACTGCCACCGCCTCGTCGTACACGACGGTCGTCACTGGCGTCCCTGGTACTTTCACAGGCACTTTGGTTTCGACGTTGCCAGCTGGTCCAGACGGAATCGCAACCGTTCTGCTCCAGACTGCCATTCCTATCGCTACCGCCTCTTCATACACTACGGTCGTCACTGGTGTCCCTGGCACTTTCACCGGCACTTTGGTTTCGACGTTGCCAGCTGGTCCAGACGGAATCGCAACAGTCCTTTTCCAGACTGCCAACCCGAGTGCTACCGCCTCTTCGTACACGACGGTCGTCACTGGCGTCCCTGGTACTTTCACGGGCACTTTGGTATCGACATTGCCTGCTGGCCCAGATGGTATCGCAACAGTCCTCTTCCAGACTGCCATTCCTACTGCCACCGCCTCGTCGTACACGACGGTCGTTACTGGTGTCCCTGGTACTTTCACCGGCACTCTGGTATCGACTCTGCCTGCTGGTCCTGACGGTATTGCAACCGTTCTGTTCCAAACCGCTATTCCCACCGCTACCGCCTCTTCGTACACGACGGTCGTCACTGGCGTCCCTGGCACGTTCACAGGCACTTTGGTTTCGACGTTGCCAGCTGGTCCAGACGGAATCGCAACAGTCCTTTTCCAAACTGCCATTCCTACTGCCACCGCCTCGTCGTACACGACGGTCGTCACTGGCGTCCCTGGCACGTTCACAGGCACTTTGGTTTCGACGTTGCCAGCTGGTCCAGACGGAATCGCAACAGTGCTTTTCCAGACTGCCAACCCGGGTGCCACCGCCTCTTCGTACACGACGGTCGTCACTGGCGTCCCTGGCACATTCACAGGCACTCTCGTTTCGACTCTGCCAGCTGGTCCTGATGGTATCGCAACAGTTCTTTTCCAGACCGCAAACCCCACTGCCACAGCCTCCTCATACACGACGGTTGTCACTGGTGTTCCTGGCAACTTCATTGGTACTCTTGTATCTACCTTGGCGGCTGGTCTTGACGGCATTGTTACTATTCTGTTCCAAACCGCCATTCCAACCGCTACCGCCTCTTCGTACACGACGGTCGTCACTGGCGTCCCTGGCACATTCACAGGCACTCTCGTTTCGACTCTGCCAGCTGGTCCAGACGGAATCGCAACAGTCCTCTTCCAGACTGCCATTCCTACTGCCACCGCCTCGTCGTACACGACGGTCGTCACTGGCGTCCCTGGTACTTTCACAGGCACTCTCGTTTCGACTCTGCCAGCTGGTCCAGACGGAATCGCAACAGTCCTTTTCCAGACTGCCATTCCTACTGCCACCGCCTCGTCGTACACTACGGTCGTCACTGGCGTCCCTGGTACTTTCACCGGCACTTTGGTATCGACACTACCTGCTGGCCCAGATGGTATCGCAACAGTCCTCTTCCAGACTGCCATTCCTACTGCCACCGCCTCGTCGTACACGACGGTCGTCACTGGCGTCCCTGGTACTTTCACGGGCACTTTGGTTTCGACGTTGCCAGCTGGTCCAGACGGAATCGCAACCGTTCTGCTCCAGACTGCCATTCCTATCGCTACCGCCTCTTCATACACTACGGTCGTCACTGGTGTCCCTGGCACGTTCACCGGCACTTTGGTTTCGACTCTGCCAGCTGGCCCAGACGGAATCGCAACAGTCCTTTTCCAGACTGCTAACCGAGTGCCACCGCCTCGTCGTACACGACGGTCGTCACTGGCGTCCCTGGCACGTTCACCGGCACTTTGGTTTCGACGTTGCCAGCTGGTCCAGACGGAATCGCAACAGTCCTTTTCCAAACTGCCATTCCTACTGCCACCGCCTCGTCGTACACGACGGTTGTGACTGGCGTCCCTGGTACATTTACCGGCACTCTGGTATCCACTTTGCCAGCCGGCCCCGGCGGAATCGCTACAGTCTTGCTTCAGACGGCTATTCCTACCATTACCGCCTCTTCCTATACCACCGTTGTCACTGGTGTTCCTGGCAACTTTATCGGTACTCTTGTTTCCACCCTTGCGGCTGGCCCTGATGGCATTGCCACTGTTCTGTTCCAAACCGCCGTTCCCACCGCTACCGCCTCTTCGTACACGACGGTCGTCACTGGCGTGCCTGGCACATTCACCGGCACTCTCGTTTCGACTTTGCCTGCTGGTCCAGACGGAATCGCAACAGTCCTTTTCCAGACTGCTAACCCGAGTGCCACCGCCTCTTCGTACACGACGGTTGTCACTGGTGTGCCTGGCAACTTTATCGGCACGCTTGTTTCTACTTTGGCGGCTGGTCCAGATGGCATTGCCACTGTCCTGTTCCAAACTGCCATTTCAAGTGCAACGGCATCTTCATATACTACGGTTGTTACAGGCGTTCCTGGCACATTTACCGGCACTCTGGTAACCACTCTCCCTGCCGGCCCCGGTGGAATTGCCACGGTTCTACTCCAAACAGCTGTTCCAACTGCCTCAGTGTCGTCATATACTACGGTTGTCACTGGTGTTCCTGGCAACTTTATCGGTACTCTTGTTTCCACCCTTGCGGCTGGCCCTGATGGCATTGCCACTGTTCTGTTCCAAACCGCCGTTCCCACCGCTACCGCCTCTTCGTACACGACGGTCGTCACTGGCGTCCCTGGCACATTCACAGGCACTCTGGTTTCAACTTTGCCTGCTGGTCCAGACGGAATCGCAACAGTACTCTTCCAAACTGCCAACCCCACCGCTACCGCCTCTTCATACACCACGGTTGTTACTGGCGTCCCAGGTACTTTCACCGGCACTTTGGTATCGACTCTGCCTGCTGGCCCCGGCGGAATCGCTACAGTCTTGCTTCAGACGGCTATTCCTACCATTACCGCCTCTTCCTACACCACCGTTGTCACTGGTGTGCCTGGCACATTCACCGGCACTCTCGTTTCGACTTTGCCTGCTGGTCCAGACGGAATCGCAACAGTTCTCTTCCAAACTGGCAACCCTACCGCCACAGCCTCGTCGTACACCACGGTTGTCACCGGTGTGCCGGGCAACTTCATTGGTACACTTGTTTCCACTCTTGCTGCCGGCCCAGATGGCGTTGCCACTATACTGTTCCAGACTGCCATTTCAAGTGCAACGGCCTCTTCGTACACCACGGTTGTTACTGGCGTCCCTGGTACTTTCACCGGCACCCTAGTATCTACTCTGCCAGCCGGTCCCGGTGGAATTGCCACGGTCTTGCTTCAGACGGCAATTCCTACTGCCACAGCCTCTTCCTATACTACCGTTGTCACTGGTGTGCCTGGTAACTTCATCGGTACTCTTGTTTCTACTCTTGCTGCCGGTCCAGATGGCATTGCTACTGTTCTCTTCCAAACTGCCATTCCTACTACCACAGCCTCTTCGTACACGACGGTTGTTACAGGCGTTCCTGGCACATTCACTGGCACTCTGGTATCGACGTTGCCCGCCGGCCCCGGCGGAATCGCCACAGTTCTACTTCAGACGGCTATCCCTACTGCTACAGCCTCTTCTTACACCACGGTTGTCACTGGTGTGCCTGGCAACTTTATCGGTACACAGGTCTCTACTTTAGCAGCTGGCCCTGACGGCATTGCTACTGTCCTGTTCCAAACTGCCATTCCCACCGCTACCGCTTCGTCCTATACGACGGTTGTCACTGGTGTCCCTGGTACTTTCACAGGCACTCTGGTTTCAACTTTGCCTGCTGGTCCAGACGGAATCGCAACAGTACTCTTCCAAACTGCCAACCCCACCGCTACCGCCTCTTCATACACCACGGTTGTTACTGGCGTCCCAGGTACTTTCACCGGCACTTTGGTATCGACTCTGCCTGCTGGCCCCGGCGGAATCGCTACAGTCTTGCTTCAGACGGCTATTCCTACCATTACCGCCTCTTCCTACACCACCGTTGTCACTGGTGTGCCTGGCACATTCACCGGCACTCTCGTTTCGACTTTGCCTGCTGGTCCAGACGGAATCGCAACAGTTCTCTTCCAAACTGGCAACCCTACCGCCACAGCCTCGTCGTACACCACGGTTGTCACCGGTGTGCCGGGCAACTTCATTGGTACACTTGTTTCCACTCTTGCTGCCGGCCCAGATGGCGTTGCCACTATACTGTTCCAGACTGCCATTTCAAGTGCAACGGCCTCTTCGTACACCACGGTTGTTACTGGCGTCCCTGGTACTTTCACCGGCACCCTAGTATCTACTCTGCCAGCCGGTCCCGGTGGAATTGCCACGGTCTTGCTTCAGACGGCAATTCCTACTGCCACAGCCTCTTCCTATACTACCGTTGTCACTGGTGTGCCTGGTAACTTCATCGGTACTCTTGTTTCTACTCTTGCTGCCGGTCCAGATGGCATTGCTACTGTTCTCTTCCAAACTGCCATTCCTACTACCACAGCCTCTTCGTACACGACGGTTGTTACAGGCGTTCCTGGCACATTCACTGGCACTCTGGTATCGACGTTGCCCGCCGGCCCCGGCGGAATCGCCACAGTTCTACTTCAGACGGCTATCCCTACTGCTACAGCCTCTTCTTACACCACGGTTGTCACTGGTGTGCCTGGCAACTTTATCGGTACACAGGTCTCTACTTTAGCAGCTGGCCCTGACGGCATTGCTACTGTCCTGTTCCAAACTGCCATTCCCACCGCTACCGCTTCGTCCTATACGACGGTTGTCACTGGTGTGCCTGGCACATTCACAGGCACTCTGGTTTCAACTTTGCCTGCTGGTCCAGACGGAATCGCAACAGTACTCTTCCAAACTGCCAACCCCACCGCTACCGCCTCTTCATACACCACGGTTGTTACTGGCGTCCCAGGTACTTTCACCGGCACTTTGGTATCCACTCTGCCTGCTGGTCTCGGAGGAATCGCTACCGTTCTCCTTCAGACGGCTATTCCCACTATCACCGCCTCTTCCTACACCACTGTTGTCACTGGTGTACCTGGTAACTTCGTTGGTACTCTTGTATCTACCTTGGCAGCTGGTCTTGACGGCATTGTTACTATTCTGTTCCAAACTGCCATCCCTACTGCTACCGCCTCGTCGTACACCACGGTTGTCACTGGTGTGCCTGGCAACTTTATCGGCACGCTTGTTTCTACTTTGGCGGCTGGTCCAGATGGCATTGCCACTGTCCTGTTCCAAACTGCCATTTCAAGTGCAACGGCATCTTCATATACTACGGTTGTTACAGGCGTCCCTGGCACATTTACCGGCACTCTGGTATCGACAGTACCTGCCGGCCCTGGTGGAATCGCTACCGTTCTACTTCAGACGGCTATTCCCACCGCTACCGCCTCATCGTACACCACGATTGTCACTGGTGTTCCTGGCACATTCACCGGCACTCTCGTTTCGACTTTGCCTGCTGGTCCAGACGGAATCGCAACAGTCCTTTTCCAGACTGCTAACCCGAGTGCCACCGCCTCTTCGTACACGACGGTCATTACTGGCGTCCCGGGCACATTCACAGGCACTTTGGTTTCGACTCTGCCAGCTGGTCCAGACGGAATCGCAACAGTCCTTTTCCAGACTGCTAACCCGAGTGCCACCGCCTCTTCGTACACGACGGTCATTACTGGCGTCCCGGGCACATTCACAGGCACTTTGGTTTCGACTCTGCCAGCTGGTCCAGATGGTATCGCAACAGTCCTCTTCCAGACTGCCATTCCTACTGCCACCGCCTCGTCGTACACTACCGTTATCACTGGCGTCCCTGGCACATTCACAGGCACTCTGGTTTCGACACTTCCCGCTGGTCCCGGTGGAATCGCCACGGTCTTGCTTCAGACGGCTATTCCTACCACTACCGCATCTTCCTACACCACGGTCGTCACTGGTGTGCCTGGCACATTCACCGGCACTCTCGTTTCGACTTTGCCAGCTGGTCCAGACGGAATCGCAACAGTCCTTTTCCAGACTGCTAACCCGAGTGCCACCGCCTCGTCGTACACGACGGTCGTCACTGGCGTCCCTGGTACTTTCACGGGCACTTTGGTTTCGACCCTGCCAGCTGGTCCAGACGGAATTGCAACAGTCCTTTTCCAGACTGCCATTCCTACTGCCACCGCCTCGTCGTACACGACGGTCGTCACTGGCGTCCCGGGCACATTCACAGGCACTCTTGTTTCGACTTTGTCTGCTGGTCCAGACGGAATCGCAACAGTTCTTTTCCAGACTGCCATTCCTACCACTACCGCCTCGTCGTACACGACGGTTGTCACTGGTGTCCCTGGCACATTCACCGGCACACTGGTTTCGACTTTGCCCGCTGGTCCAGACGGAATCGCAACAGTTCTTTTCCAGACTGCCAACCCCACTGCTACCGCCTCTTCGTACACGACGGTTGTCACTGGTGTGCCTGGCACATTCACCGGCACTCTCGTTTCGACTCTGCCAGCTGGTCCTGATGGTATCGCAACAGTTCTTTTCCAGACCGCAAACCCCACTGCCACAGCCTCCTCATACACGACGGTTGTCACTGGTGTTCCTGGCAACTTCATTGGTACTCTTGTTTCCACTCTTGCCGCCGGTCCAGATGGCGTTGCTACTGTTCTGTTCCAAACTGCCATTCCCACCGCTACCGCCTCCTCATACACGACGGTTGTTACTGGTGTCCCTGGTACATTCACCGGCACTCTCGTTTCGACTTTGCCCGCCGGCCCAGACGGAATCGCAACAGTTCTTTTCCAAACCGCCAACCCTACTGCCACTGCCTCGTCCTACACGACGGTTGTCACTGGTGTGCCTGGCACATTCACCGGCACTCTCGTTTCGACTCTGCCAGCTGGTCCTGATGGTATCGCAACAGTTCTTTTCCAGACCGCAAACCCCACTGCCACAGCCTCCTCATACACGACGGTTGTCACTGGTGTTCCTGGCAACTTCATTGGTACTCTTGTTTCCACTCTTGCCGCCGGTCCAGATGGCGTTGCTACTGTTCTGTTCCAAACTGCCATTCCCACCACTACCGCCTCCTCATACACGACGGTCGTCACTGGCGTCCCTGGTACTTTCACGGGCACTTTGGTTTCGACCCTGCCAGCTGGTCCAGACAGAATCGCAACAGTCCTCTTCCAGACTGCCATTCCTACTGCCACCGCCTCGTCGTACACGACGGTCGTCACTGGCGTCCCTGGCACATTCACCGGCACTCTGGTTTCGACTTTGCCCGCTGGTCCAGACGGAATCGCAACAGTTCTTTTCCAGACTGCCAACCCCACTGCCACAGCGTCATCATACACTACGGTCGTCACTGGTGTGCCTGGTAACTTCATCGGCACACTTGTTTCCACTCTTGCGGCTGGTCCAGATGGCATTGCCACTGTTCTGTTCCAAACTGCCATTCCTACCGCTACCGCCTCTTCGTACACTACGGTTGTTACTGGCGTCCCTGGCACATTTACCGGCACTCTGGTATCGACACTACCTGCCGGCCCTGGTGGAATCGCTACCGTTCTACTTCAGACGGCTATTCCCACTGCTACCGCCTCTTCGTACACGACGGTTGTCACTGGTGTGCCTGGCACATTCACCGGCACTCTCGTTTCGACTCTGCCAGCTGGTCCTGATGGTATCGCAACAGTTCTTTTCCAGACCGCAAACCCCACTGCCACAGCCTCCTCATACACGACGGTTGTCACTGGTGTTCCTGGCAACTTCATTGGTACTCTTGTTTCCACTCTTGCCGCCGGTCCAGATGGCGTTGCTACTGTTCTGTTCCAAACTGCCATTCCCACCACTACCGCCTCCTCATACACGACGGTTGTTACTGGTGTCCCTGGTACATTCACCGGCACTCTCGTTTCGACTTTGCCCGCCGGCCCAGACGGAATCGCAACAGTTCTTTTCCAAACCGCCAACCCTACTGCCACTGCCTCGTCCTACACGACGGTTGTCACTGGTGTGCCTGGCACATTCACCGGCACTCTCGTTTCGACTCTGCCAGCTGGTCCTGATGGTATCGCAACAGTTCTTTTCCAGACCGCAAACCCCACTGCCACAGCCTCCTCATACACGACGGTTGTCACTGGTGTTCCTGGCAACTTCATTGGTACTCTTGTTTCCACTCTTGCCGCCGGTCCAGATGGCGTTGCTACTGTTCTGTTCCAAACTGCCATTCCCACCGCTACCGCCTCCTCATACACGACGGTCGTCACTGGCGTCCCTGGCACGTTCACCGGCACTTTGGTTTCGACTCTGCCAGCTGGCCCAGACGGAATCGCAACAGTCCTTTTCCAAACTGCCATTCCTACTGCTACCGCCTCTTCCTACACGACGGTTGTCACTGGCGTCCCTGGTACCTTCACTGGCACCTTGGTATCGACCTTGCCAGCCGGCCCAGACGGAATCGCAACAGTCTTGCTTCAGACTGCTATTCCTACTGCCACAGCCTCTTCCTATACTACCGTTGTCACTGGTGTGCCTGGCAACTTCATCGGTACACTTGTCTCCACACTTGCGGCTGGCCCAGATGGCATTGCGACTGTTTTGTTCCAAACTGCCAACCCTACTGCCACAGCCTCTTCGTACACGACGGTTGTCACTGGCGTCCCTGGCACTTTACCGGCACTTTGGTGTCGACTTTGCCAGCTGGTCCTGGTGGTATCGCAACAGTTCTTTTCCAAACCGCCAACCCTACTGCCACTGCCTCGTCCTACACGACGGTTGTCACTGGTGTGCCCGGCACATTCACAGGCACTCTGGTATCAACCCTGCCTGCCGGCCCAGACGGAATTGCTACTGTTCTGTTCCAAACTGCAATTCCTACCGCTACCGCCTCATCATACACCACTCTTATCACTGGTGTCCCTGGCACATTCACTGGCACCTTGGTATCGACACTACCTGCCGGCCCTGGTGGAATTGCTACCGTTCTACTTCAGACGGCTATTCCCACTCTTACCGCCTCTTCCTACACCACTGTTGTCACTGGTGTACCTGGCAACTTCGTTGGTACTCTTGTATCTACCTTGGCGGCTGGTCTTGACGGCATTGTTACTATTCTGTTCCAAACCGCCATTCCAACCGCTACCGCCTCTTCGTACACGACAGTCCTCACTGGTATCCCTGGCACATTTACCGGCACTCTGGTATCCACTCTGCCTGCTGGCCCCGGAGGAATCGCTACAGTCTTGCTTCAGACTGCTATTCCTACTGCCACAGCCTCGTCGTACACCACCGTTGTCACTGGTGTGCCTGGTACTTTCACAGGCACTCTGGTTTCCACGTTGCCAGCCGGTCCTGATGGTGTCGCAACAGTTCTTTTCCAGACCGCAAACCCCACTGCTACCGCCTCTTCCTACACCACAGTTGTTACTGGCGTACCTGGCAACTTTATCGGTACTCTTGTATCTACCTTGGCGGCTGGTCTTGACGGCATTGTTACTATTCTGTTCCAAACCGCCATTCCAACCGCTACCGCCTCGTCCTATACGACGGTTGTCACTGGTATTCCTGGTACTTTCACAGGCACCTCGGTATCGACACTACCTGTCGGCCCTGGAGGAATCGCCACGGTCTTGCTTCAGACTGCCATTCCTACTGTTACCGCCTCCTCATATACCACGGTTGTCACCGGTGTGCCGGGCAACTTCATTGGTACACTTGTTTCCACTCTTGCCGCCGGCCCTGATGGCATTGCCACTGTTCTGTTCCAGACAGCCATTCCTACCACTACCGCCTCGTCTTACACGACGGTTGTCACTGGTGTGCCTGGCACATTCACCGGCACTCTGGTATCAACTCTACCTGCCGGTCCTGATGGTGTCGCAACAGTTCTTTTCCAGACCGCAAACCCCACTGCTACCGCCTCTTCCTACACGACGGTTGTCACTGGCGTCCCTGGTACCTTCACTGGCACCTTGGTATCGACCTTGCCAGCCGGCCCAGACGGAATCGCAACAGTCTTGCTTCAGACTGCTATTCCTACTGCCACAGCCTCTTCCTATACTACCGTTGTCACTGGTGTGCCTGGCAACTTCATCGGTACACTTGTCTCCACACTTGCGGCTGGCCCAGATGGCATTGCGACTGTTTTGTTCCAAACTGCCATTCCCACCGCCACTGCCTCGTCTTACACGACGGTTGTCACTGGTATTCCTGGTACTTTCACCGGCACATTGGTGTCGACGTTGCCTGCCGGTCCTGATGGTGTCGCAACAGTTCTTTTCCAAACTGCGAACCCCACTGCTACCGCCTCTTCCTACACGACGGTTGTCACTGGCGTCCCTGGTACCTTCACTGGCACCTTGGTATCGACACTACCTGCCGGCCCCGGAGGAATCGCAACAGTCTTGCTTCAGACTGCTATTCCTACTGCCACAGCCTCTTCCTATACTACCGTTGTCACTGGTGTGCCTGGCAACTTCATCGGTACACTTGTCTCCACACTTGCGGCTGGCCCAGATGGCATTGCGACTGTTTTGTTCCAAACTGCCATTCCCACCGCCACTGCCTCGTCTTACACGACGGTTGTCACTGGTATTCCTGGTACTTTCACCGGCACATTGGTGTCGACGTTGCCTGCCGGTCCTGATGGTGTCGCAACAGTTCTTTTCCAAACTGCGAACCCCACTGCTACCGCCTCTTCCTACACGACGGTTGTCACTGGCGTCCCTGGTACCTTCACTGGCACCTTGGTATCGACACTACCTGCCGGCCCCGGAGGAATCGCAACAGTCTTGCTTCAGACTGCTATTCCTACTGCCACAGCCTCTTCCTATACTACCGTTGTCACTGGTGTGCCTGGCAACTTCATCGGTACACTTGTCTCCACACTTGCGGCTGGCCCAGATGGCATTGCGACTGTTTTGTTCCAAACTGCCATTCCCACCGCCACTGCCTCGTCTTACACGACGGTTGTCACTGGTATTCCTGGTACTTTCACCGGCACATTGGTGTCGACGTTGCCTGCCGGTCCTGATGGTGTCGCAACAGTACTCTTCCAGACCGCAAACCCCACTGCTACCGCCTCTTCCTACACCACAGTTGTTACTGGCGTACCTGGCAACTTTATCGGTACTCTTGTATCTACCTTGGCGGCTGGCCCCGATGGCATTGCTACTGTTCTGTTCCAAACTGCAATTCCTACCGCTACCGCCTCATCATACACCACTCTTGTCACTGGTGTGCCCGGCACATTCACAGGCACTCTGGTATCGACACTACCTGCCGGCCCCGGAGGAATCGCCACGGTCTTGCTTCAGACTGCCATTCCTACTGTTACCGCCTCCTCATATACCACGGTTGTTACTGGTGTTCCTGGCAACTTCATTGGTACTCTCGTTTCCACTCTTGCTGCCGGTCCAGATGGCGTTGCTACTGTTCTGTTCCAGACTGCCATTCCTACCACTACCGCCTCGTCTTACACGACGGTTGTCACTGGTGTGCCTGGCAACTTTATCGGTACACTTGTCTCCACACTTGCGGCTGGTCCCGATGGTATCGCTACTGTTCTCTTCCAAACTGCCATTCCTACTACCACAGCCTCTTCGTACACGACGGTTGTTACAGGCGTTCCTGGCACATTCACAGGCACTCTGGTGTCGACGTTGCCCGCCGGCCCAGACGGAGTCGCAACAGTTCTTTTCCAGACCGCAAACCCCACTGCTACCGCCTCGTCCTACACGACGGTTGTCACTGGTGTGCCTGGCAACTTTATCGGTACACTTGTCTCCACACTTGCGGCTGGTCCCGATGGTATCGCTACTGTTCTGTTCCAGACTGCCATTTCAAGTGCAACGGCCTCTTCGTACACCACGGTTGTTACTGGCGTCCCTGGTACTTTCACCGGCACCATAGTATCCACTCTGCCAGCCGGTCCCGGTGGAATTGCCACGGTCTTGCTTCAGACTGCTATTCCTACTGCCACAGCCTCTTCCTATACTACCGTTGTCACTGGTGTGCCTGGCACATTCATCGGCACTCTTGTTTCCACTCTTGCTGCCGGTCCAGATGGCGTTGCTACTGTTCTGTTCCAGACTGCCATTCCTACCACTACCGCCTCGTCTTACACGACGGTTGTCACTGGTGTGCCTGGCACATTTACCGGCACTTTGGTGTCGACTTTGCCAGCTGGTCCTGACGGTATCGCCACAGTCCTTTTTCAAACCGCCAACCCTACTGCCACTGCCTCGTCGTACACGACGGTTGTCACTGGTGTCCCTGGCACATTCATTGGCACTTTGGTATCGACATTGCCCGCCGGCCCTGGTGGAATCGCCACTATTCTACTTCAGACGGCTATTCCTACTGCCACAGCCTCTTCCTACACCACTGTTGTCACTGGTGTACCTGGCAACTTCGTTGGTACTCTTGTATCTACCTTGGCGGCTGGTCTTGACGGCATTGTTACTATTCTGTTCCAAACCGCCATTCCAACCTCTTCTGCCTCGTCGTACACGACGGTCGTCACCGGCGTTCCTGGCACTTTTTCGGGTACTTTGGTATCAACCCTTCCTGCAGGGCCTGGTGGAATCGCTACAGTTGTTCTACAGACTGCCATTCCGTTCCCAACGTCATACACCACAATTGTTACTGGCGTTCCTGGCACTTTCGCAGGCACTCGTGCCACCACATTGCCAGTTTCTGGAACATTAGGAACCGTTCTCCTGGAGACAGCTCTACCGATTCCCACCGCCTACACTACCATTACTACCGGCGTCTTTGGCACTTTCTCCGGCACTCAGGTTTCAACTATTCCCGGAAGTGACACTATTGCCACAGTTGTTCTGCAGACTGCCATTCCGTTCCCGACTTCCTACACCACAATTGTTACTGGCGTTCCTGGCACTTTCGCAGGCACTCGTGCCACCACATTGCCAGTTTCTGGAACATTAGGAACCGTTCTCCTGGAGACAGCTCTACCGATTCCCACCGCCTACACTACCATTACTACCGGCGTCTTTGGCACTTTCTCCGGCACTCAGGTTTCAACTATTCCCGGAAGTGACACTATTGCCACAGTTGTTCTGCAGACTGCCATTCCGTTCCCGACTTCCTACACCACAATTGTTACTGGCGTTCCTGGCACTTTCGCAGGCACTCGTGCCACCACATTGCCAGTTTCTGGAACATTAGGAACCGTTCTCCTGGAGACAGCTCTACCGATTCCCACCGCCTACACTACCATTACTACCGGCGTCTTTGGCACTTTCTCCGGCACTCAGGTTTCAACTATTCCCGGAAGTGACACTATTGCCACAGTTGTTCTGCAGACTGCCATTCCGTTCCCGACTTCATACACCACAATTGTTACTGGCGTTCCTGGCACTTTCGCAGGCACTCGTGCCACCACATTGCCAGTTTCTGGAACATTAGGAACCGTTCTCCTGGAGACAGCCCTGCCAATCCCAACTGCATACACAACCATTACTACCGGTGTGTTTGGCACTTTCTCAGGAACTCAGGTTTCTACTATCCCCGGAAGTGATACGATCGCCACAGTTGTTCTGCAGACTGCTATTCCGTTCCCGACGTCATACACTACAATTGTTACTGGTGTTCCCGGCACTTTCGTGGGCACTCGTGCCACAACTTTACCCGTCAGCGGCACTCTGGGAACCGTTCTTCTAGAGACAGCTCTACCGATTCCTACCGCCTACACTACCATCACTACTGGTGTGTTTGGCACTTTCTCAGGAACTCAGGTTTCTACTATCCCCGGAAGCGATACGATCGCCACGGTTGTTCTGCAGACTGCCATTCCGTTCCCGACTTCATACACCACAATTGTTACTGGCGTTCCTGGCACTTTCGCAGGCACTCGTGCCACCACATTGCCAGTTTCTGGAACATTAGGAACCGTTCTCCTGGAGACAGCTCTACCGATTCCCACCGCCTACACTACCATTACTACCGGCGTCTTTGGCACTTTCTCCGGCACACAGGTTTCAACTATTCCCGGAAGTGACACTATTGCCACAGTTGTTCTGCAGACTGCCATTCCGTTCCCGACTTCCTACACCACAATTGTTACTGGCGTTCCTGGCACTTTCGCAGGCACTCTTGCAACTACCTTGCCAGTCAGCGGCACCTTGGGTACGGTTCTACTGCAGACAGCTCTACCGATTCCCACCGCCTACACTACCATTACTACCGGCGTTTTTGGCACTTTCTCTGGTACTCAGGTCTCAACCATCCCCGGAAGTGATACGATCGCCACAGTTGTTCTGCAGACCGCTATTCCGTTCCCGACTTCCTACACCACAATTGTCACTGGCGTTCCTGGCACTTTCGCAGGCACTCGTGCCACAACTCTACCCGTAAGTGGTACTCTGGGAACTGTTCTTCTGGAGACAGCGCTACCAATTCCCACCGCCTATACAACCATTACTACCGGCGTTTTCGGTACATTCTCTGGCACTCAGGTTTCTACTATCCCCGGAAGCGATACGATCGCCACGGTTGTTCTACAGACTGCCATTCCGTTCCCGACGTCCTACATCACAATCGTCACTGGCACGCCGGGCACTTTCGCAGGCACTCGTGCAACTACCTTGCCAGTCAGCGGCACCTTGGGTACGGTTCTTCTGCAGACAGCCCTGCCAATCCCAACTGCATACACAACCATTACTACCGGTGTGTTTGGCACTTTCTCAGGAACTCAGGTTTCTACTATTCCTGGAAGTGATACGATCGCCACAGTTGTTCTGCAGACCGCTATTCCGTTCCCGACTTCCTACACCACAATTGTTACTGGCGTTCCTGGCACTTTCGCAGGCACTCGTGCCACAACTCTACCCGTCAGTGGTACTCTGGGAACTGTTCTTCTGGAGACAGCCCTGCCAATCCCAACTGCATACACAACCATTACTACCGGTGTGTTTGGCACTTTCTCAGGAACTCAGGTTTCTACTATCCCCGGAAGCGATACGATCGCCACGGTTGTTCTGCAGACTGCCATTCCGTTCCCGACTTCCTACACCACAATTGTTACTGGCGTTCCTGGCACTTTCGCAGGCACTCGTGCCACCACATTGCCAGTTTCTGGAACATTAGGAACCGTTCTCCTGGAGACAGCTCTACCAATTCCCACCGCATATACAACTATCACTACCGGTGTGTTTGGCACTTTCTCAGGAACTCAAGTTTCTACTATTCCCGGAAGTGACACTATTGCCACAGTTGTTCTGCAGACTGCCATTCCGTTCCCGACTTCCTACACCACAATTGTTACTGGCGTTCCTGGCACTTTCGCAGGCACTCGTGCCACCACATTGCCAGTTTCTGGAACATTAGGAACCGTTCTTCTGGAGACAGCTCTACCGATTCCCACCGCCTACACTACCATCACTACCGGCGTCTTTGGCACTTTCTCCGGCACCCAGGTTTCAACCATCCCCGGAAGTGACACTATTGCCACCGTTGTTCTGCAGACCGCTATTCCGTTCCCGACGTCGTACACCACAATAGTCACTGGCGTTCCCGGTACTTTCGCCGGCACTCGTGCTACAACTTTACCCGTCAGTGGTACTCTGGGAACTGTTCTTCTGGAGACAGCCCTGCCAATCCCAACTGCATACACAACCATTACTACCGGTGTGTTTGGCACATTCTCCGGTACGCAGGTCTCTACTATCCCTGGAAGTGATACGATCGCCACGGTTGTTCTGCAGACTGCCATTCCGTTCCCGACTTCCTACACCACAATTGTCACTGGCACGCCGGGCACATTCGCAGGCACTCGTGCCACCACATTGCCAGTCAGCGGCACCTTGGGTACGGTCCTCCTGCAGACAGCTCTGCCAATTCCCACCGCCTACACTACCATCACCACCGGTGTGTTTGGCACATTCTCCGGTACCCAGGTCTCTACTATTCCTGGAAGTGATACGATCGCCACGGTTGTTCTACAGACTGCTATTCCGTTCCCAACGTCATACACCACAATAGTCACTGGCGTTCCCGGCACTTTCGCCGGCACTCGTGCCACCACATTGCCAGTTTCTGGAACATTAGGAACCGTTCTTCTGGAGACAGCTCTGCCAATTCCCACCGCCTACACTACCATCACTACCGGTGTGTTTGGCACATTCTCCGGTACCCAGGTCTCTACTATTCCTGGAAGTGATACGATCGCTACAGTTGTTCTGCAGACTGCCATTCCGTTCCCGACGTCGTACACCACAATAGTCACTGGTGTTCCCGGCACTTTCGCAGGCACTCGTGCCACAACTCTACCCGTCAGCGGCACTCTGGGAACCGTTCTTCTGGAGACAGCCCTGCCAATTCCAACCGCATACACAACTATTACTACTGGCGTCTTTGGCACATTCTCCGGCACCCAGGTTTCAACCATCCCCGGAAGTGACACTATTGCCACCGTTGTTCTACAGACTGCCATTCCGTTCCCGACTTCCTATACCACAATTGTCACCGGCACGCCGGGCACATTCGCAGGCACTCGTGCCACCACATTGCCAGTCAGCGGCACCTTGGGTACGGTCCTCCTGCAGACAGCTTTGCCAATTCCCACCGCCTACACTACCATCACCACCGGTATCTTTGGCACATTCTCCGGCACCCAGATTTCAACCATCCCCGGAAGTGACACTATTGCCACCGTTGTTCTACAGACCGCTATTCCGTTCCCGACTTCCTACACCACAATTGTCACCGGCACGCCGGGCACATTCGCAGGCACTCGTGCAACTACCTTGCCAGTCAGCGGCACCTTGGGTACGGTTCTCTTGCAGACAGCGCTACCAATTCCCACCGCATACATAACCATCACTACCGGTGTCTTTGGCACATTCTCCGGTACCCAGGTCTCTACTATCCCTGGAAGTGATACGATCGCCACGGTTGTTCTGCAGACTGCCATTCCGTTCCCAACGTCGTACACCACAATTGTCACCGGCACACCGGGCACCTTCGCAGGTACTCTTGCCACAACCTTGCCAGTCAGCGGCACCTTGGGTACGGTTCTCCTGCAGACAGCGCTACCAATTCCTACTGCCTACACAACCATCCCAACAGGTGTCTCAGGAAACTTTCCTGGTACATCATATGTTACTCTTTCGGGCTCTGGTACTCTCATTACCGTTTTGGCAGAGACCGCAATTCCCACCACAACATATACGACCGTTACTTCCGGGGTCACCGGCGCTGTTTTCACAGGAACCTCATATGTTACCCTTACGGGCTCTGGTCTCACACAAACGGTTATTGCCGCAACAGCGGTACCCCTCATTTACACGACCATCCCTACAGGAGTTGGTGGAACCTTCATAGGAACCCAATATGTCACTTTGTCTGGCTCTGGTCTCACACGAACCGTTCTTGCAGAGACTCGAATTCCCACGGCAACACGTATTGTTACTACCACTTCGCAACCGGCGGGCTGTATCGCTACGCCGGCCGCTACTCATACCGGTTTCTGCTTGCCTAATGTCGCCTCTTCAATCGCAGTTCCTTCGGCATGCAGCGTAATGGACAACCAGGTCATCAGTTTACCTTCCATTACACAGTTGAACAGTTGTTCAGCTGCTCTAGGCAACACCCTGAACATTGCCGGTGTTGCGAACTGTGTTGTTGGATTAGCGCTTCTATACTCCTATTCTAACTGTATCCGAAATGCACTCGTCGGCAAGTGTATTACTAACCTTCCGACTATTTGTGGTAACATCCTCACATCTACTTCAACCTCCAACCTTTACGCTAATGCGAATACTTGCGTCAATACCCTTGGAGCTTTCAGGAACACCTATAACACAGGGTTAACCTCTTGTCTCTCTTTGACTACAAACTTGGGCGTTCTCAATTGCATTGAAACTACTCTCGGCCTTCCCGCAAACTCTTCGCGCGCAAACACTGCAGTGTTATGTCCTTCCGGAACAGCTTGCCCCCAAACACCTACTGCGTGCGGAAGTCTCCTCGATCTTTCAGTCAGTCTTACAAGTGGTGTTGACGCACAAGTCAACCTGTGTAGGGCGGCCCTTGTTGTAAACAACATCGTAGGCGTCGTCGACAGCACTCTTTCTTCTGTTCTTTCTGGTGTCGGTTGTCTTGCCAGCGACCTTGTTGGGCTTCTTGTCGGTACCCTTACGGGTGATAGAACGGCATATGGCAACTGCTTCCAGCAAACCCTTCAGAGCCAGTGCATTACTAGCCTACCTCCAAGCTGTCTGAACATCGGACTTGGCGCACAACCTACCGGCTTCCTTGGCATAGAAGCTGTAGTGTCCGTTACGGAGCTTCTAAACTGCGTTACGAGTCTCAAGCTTTTGGCAAACAGAGTTGATCCAAACTGTTTCAACGTGGCTTTGGGCAGGCAAGGAATTGTCAGCTGCCTCAACTTGAGCTTGTTCGGAATTGCCACAGTTAATGTTGTCACATGAGGTGTGTCAACACTAAGTGTACTCTTTTGACTTCTTTTCTATGTTTTATGATGTCGCAGCAACTGAAATTGCTAAATGAGATCCTCACATCTCCTCTCTTTATTGGAATAAGCCGGTTTTTATGTAGCTGGCATATGATTTATCGTTATCAACACTAAATTGTTAATCATGTAATCTTAATATTAATAACACGCTCATTTTGTTCAACCGATATAGCAACTCTTTGTTTACTTAACCCAATATATGTTTCTCAATGACGTCAAACGCCTTCAACTCCTCATTTTCCCTTTTGATCTCCATTACCCTGGTCTTGTAATGCGCATTTGCCAATACATGTTCAACACCCTCAGCAACTTGTTCAGGTGTTGGCTGACCGGTTCTGAGGTTGTAAGCTACACCGGCCCACTCGCCACGCATTGAAACTTCCGGCTTGTCCTCTGTATCGCCGCCAAGAACCATGGGCACTCCATTCGCAATGCCATGCAAAAAACCGCCGTATCCCGCATTCAAAACCCACACATCAGCATTTGGCAGCAGGGCATCATACGGCAGATAGTCAATGATCCTTGCATTTGCTGGAATCTCGACTTCTTCAGGCAGCTTGGCTTCTTTAACGCCGAGGATACCCACTACGATGATATCGTCACGGTGTGACAGACCCTGTAATGTGGGGATAATGAGATCCTTGTAGTCCACCGCGACGGTGCCCTGCGTGACTCCCACAATTTTCTTTTTCCTTCCGGTAATATCCCCCCACCACGGAGGATATTGATAGTTAGATTTGATTGGCTTTGGAGGAAGGCAACCGGCGTACTTGATGACTGAAGGGTGATCAGATCTAGGGTATTCGAGGCTTGGCGAGCACAATTGCAAGGTGACGTCGTAGCTTGTCTGCCACGTTTCGAATAAGGTGGGTCGGAACGCCTCTGTCGCTCCCAGGGATTTCATGACATCTGTGTATTGCTGTGCTGCATTGCCGAACGGGCCAATAGGGCTGAAGAACATCTCATTGAGAAGTTTGTTCCGTGAGCGGCCGGAATAGGTTGAGTCGGGGGGTAGACCAGGACCAAACGGCGCCGTGTCAATACTTGTGATGACCACAGGCGTAACATTAATGTCGACAACGGGGGGTCTTGTTGAATAGCCTTTTGGCAGAGGCGCACCGTACATCATTGGGGCTAAACCCATGAAAAAAGTCTCATGAACAATCACCACCTGTTGAAACGGACGTTTTTGGCGAATCTTCTCCAGAGTGTCCATGATGATTCGAAACAGACCCGGGATTGGCTTGATGAAAACTTCGCTCAAATCCCACATGAGACGTGGGACGCCTGCGGGAATCTTGGACCGGATCTCATCCAACTCCGGGGTCATCATCATGGGAATAGGTACATGTTCGATGCCCAATTCCTTGATCTGTAAATGGAAGTCTGTGCCCGCAATGAAGGTAGCCTCAAAACCCCTCCGGATCATCTCTGCCGCGATCTGTAGGAGGGGATTGGTATGACCTGCAGCTCCCCCTGCAGCGAAGAGAAGGTAGGGACGATTGTTGCTGCCATTGTCGACAACATGATCAGAGATCGCCTCCACTGCTTCGGCTAATGACTCTCTGGAGGTGGACACCGTCATTTTTTTTTTTTTTTTTTTTGACTTTTTCTTTCTTAAAATCCCGAGAATTACGTATGTAGAAAATTGAATGATCGCTGGAAGTAAAGGGGAAAATGGTGCTGTAGCCCTGGAAATTTCTTATTCCAATCGACGGAGTGACCGCACATTTAAATATTCAGCGTAATGATAACAGCGGGAAGCCAAGGGAATGAAAGGTCGCCCGGGTTGATAGCTTGACTGCCAGTACAGGTCTCTATGGCCGTTAGAGTTATGGGTACAAGAGTTTTCTTGATTTTGTAGTGGCTGCAGTGCCGTTAAAGTCTGACGGGAGATTTTAGTCTAGCGTGCAGAGAATCCTTCCGGGCCAAAACCTTTGTATGTATGCTTCACAGAGCTTACGGCAGAATCAAATCGGTGAGTTTTGTATGTGCTTGCTGTACCTTGTCTCCGCATCAACATTCGTTTGGCAGTCGTTTAGCTTCAAATTCGATCCTCGAACAACTCTTGTATATCTAGTGGGAATCGTCGAGATAGCGCTTGTGATCCCGACGTAAAATTTACGGGACCGTTGGAAGCAGTTGTACACTCGGTGCTATTGTAACAACCTTGCCCTTGTGGTTCGATAATGATGGCTAAAGACACAGACCGAAGTACCTGCATTTCGACGCATCATCTGGGAGTAAACAAAAAGATGCCCAAGCCCATCAGGCAGTCTATGCATCAAAGGAACGCCAAAACCTGTTCGTTGAAACCCGCAGCATCTAACAGAATTGATTGGCAACTGCGGTTGCAAGCTGCATCTATCTGCAGCATGTGGGTTGAAAGTTTTATGAGTAGTGACACATGGCTTGATCGAACTTGAAGTAGGTTCAGGATGTTAGACTACAACACAACTGGGTTGTGTATAGAAATCGGCCAGATCTATGCAGAACCATTTGTCACAATAACTTCTACATGCTGTACTTGTCATGGTTGTGAGGCAACGTGTGCACACACTTCTTGGCAGGCATGCCGCGCGCTTCCTTTAAATTTCATTTATCCGAATTCAGATAATCCCACGCAAAATAACGGAACAAACGCGTCTTGGCAAACAGGACCATAAGCCCACGGATTTGCTAGACTGTCGAATTACATCAAGGCACACGTAAGCTGACGTCCCATTGTCAAAATTGGCAAACACCCTTGTAAATCTGCAATCCAATCTTTTACGACAATGATAAGTGGATGAGGACGTCAGAGCTGTCTAATCGGTGGAAATATGGAAGATGTATAAACAAGGAAATCACCTGTCGAAAAAGAAGCAGAAGAAAAATGCACCAACAGCCTTGTGTGACTTGGATCATTCGATCGTCACAAGGTTTTCTTTCAACACCGAGTATTCTAAACAAAGCATGTGAAAGCTTTGATGACCGCAACAAAGTTAGTATTATGCTGCTGCTGCTGCAAATTGGCGCCCTTCCATCAGTCCACAAGCGCCGTCATAATGTCATACAAAGGGAGGCCGCGGTATGCTTGCAAGAAAAAGTGTGTGAAGAGGCCATCATTTGGCTCCTGAATGCTCAAATGCAACCACTAGCATGTCTCGTGGCTTTGGAATTTACACTTGATTCATACCTAAGTAAGTCGCCAATGACAATTTACGTAGCCCTTTGAATCCTATCAAATGGACCGTTTATTATCTTCAAGCTGAAGCTGCGCTTGGCTAGCCGGACATGAGACAAACGTGACATGCGTACTATCAGGCCGCGTCCCCTTATCCTTGTAGTTTCTGGTTCGCTTTAGGAAGTCTCGCAGCCGCCACAACGTCTTGTCCGGCCCACTCGGCGTGGTTGACGGGTTTGATGAAGAGAATTTGGTAAATGCTGATGAGGAGACGTTCGCTTTCCTGGACCCGTACGCTTCGGTTGGACGCCCTGCGGAAGAACGTGGTCAGCATTTCTTGTTGTGCCGCAAATGTCATGCGGATCAAACTCACTGATATTTCCGGCCCCGCCGATTCCGTATCCCCTGAGTTGGCAATCCCTCACAACCGTCTCGTTTACATCGAATTCCTGCTCCCTCTCGTTGCCCAAGTCGTCCAAGCTTCTTCTCCTTACGGGCGGCACCGTGCTCCCTGCGACGCCTGACTCGAACCTCGGGCCTGTGGGGGCCGTTGTGCGGCTACGGCTCGTGCCACTCGGGGATGTTAGTGCAGACGGAGAAGGCCGCAGATTTACTGTGGAAACGCTGCGGACGACTGCTAGACGGCCTTGGACGCGGACGCGATGCCGGCGTTGTGGCGCCGGGAGAAGTTGGTTCGCCTCGGACTCTAGCTCACCCGCGCTGTTCTGGGAATGGCGAGCATGAATCGGAAAGGCGACCATGTTGAACGTTACTGGAAAGCTGTGGATGAACGCGACGCGACTGGATTACTACCTTTGGTAAATATCGGGGTCCACGTGTTTCCCCATGCAAGATAACAATGGATCGAAACTGAATGTGGCATCAAGACCTTGAATGACTGAAGACACGGTACGATAAAAGCATCAAGTCTCAATGATGAAGAAGCAGGAGATTAAAGGGAAATGACAACAAGTCATGCTACGCGAGGTAGGTAATCAGTCTGTCGATGCCAAGCCATACCGGCGATTTCGGTCAAACACACCAGATGGGGTTGGCATAATCAGATAAGAAAGCAGCCGGACCAATTCTGGGGAGCTAACTAACAACGCAATTCCTTTTGTCAGGGGGAAGAGAAAGAAAAGGAAAAAAAAAAAAAAAAAAAAAAAAAAACAAGAAATGGAAAATAAAATACAAATAAACGAAAAAATCCCCAGGACGCTAAACCGTGTACATGGGGCGGCAGCGGCAGCAAAAGCCCACCTCATCAAAGCCTTGCATTGGGGCTACCCAAGCAGCTGCCAGGGTACCTGGCACGTCGGGATGTGAATGCAGCCGCTAGTTAGCGAGCCAGTTGCTTGGTCAGTGTTGTGTGTCGAATCCCCGTCCATATCAGCTCATAATAATGGTGTTGCGTAAAGTTGATATCTGAGCACACGGAGCAAGACCGGTGGTAACTTATTCTCCTTGCGGCGTTTAAAGACAGCTTGAGCATCACGTTTACGGAATTTTTATATTTTATTTTATTTTTCTTTATTTAATTAATGTAACATTCATTGATCCTTGACGTACATCTTACATCCACCTGTGAGCAGGGACGATTAAAAAAGATGAACTCAAATTAAACGAAAGCAAAACACAGCACATTGATGAACAGCGACGCAGAAGCCAACGCTTGCTTTCAAATAAAGAAAGAGGTATATATTTGGCCTATTTTTTATGTTAGTACCTAAAACAGATCACTTGCCGCTTCTTGGTCCTCGATAGTCTGTTTCCCGCGGCATGGTAAAGTTAAACCAACATTGTGCGGGGCGAATGCTATCATCTGGTGATGCCTGAGAGTTCGCGGGATTGTAGACAAAATGAGTAATATATGGTGCATGAAGAGTCTCACAACGAATGGGCAGTTGTTCAACTTCTGGAGATATGGGCGCAGACACTAGAGTGTATGTTATGATGGAGACTGTTGAGTACAGTTCTCGATACAAAAATGAACCTCCTTGCTCCTGAACTCCGTCACAAGTGATTTACTTCAGATCCGGGGGATAATAGCCCAGTTTCTTTATTCTGACTGCATCTTCAACGAGTTTTGAGTTTGGTAATCTGTTGACTAGATTAATGGGGCTAAAGGATTTTGCTACATTTCTAGTTGCATCAGAAAGGGATTGTACCCATTGGTGGTAGCCCATCTAAGAAGACCGCGATGATCCTGGACAGGACATGAATTAATGAATGGACCACACTTGACGAAGGGAATAACATGCTACATACATTTGTGAAAAGAATCAGAGTGACAAACCCCCAAAACAGTCACTGCTTCCGTTCCATTTCATGATCGTTAATCATACATGCGCAATGGGAATAAGGCTAAACAGCTTCTACATGATGTTGTTGCGATAGTTGGAATACGGAGTCGTGTGGCACTTCCAGCCACACGCCCGCCAGGCTGAGAGGCCTAAGCCTCCCAGACCTACGTGACAGGCCAAGGGGGAATATCCCTACCTTCTAGTTAACAATACTACTTTCAACTATCATAAACCATCGATTAGAACTAATTTACTATTATTTGTTATTGACGAACGGAATTCCGTTTTACCCCCTGTGAAACCTATACTGATTAGTAGTAAACCTTATAGTTGCTATTAATTTGGTTAACTTTATAATTATTATTTTGCTACGGATAAACCGTAGATTAGTAAGGTTAATACTAGAAGAGACGACTTCTTGAACTGGATACCTAAGCCTAGGTAAAAGTAGGGATTTCGTACTAACGAGAGAAGAAGCGAGAGTAACTAGGATCTATAGAAACTAGTAGAAGAAAGCTTCTTTTCCTCGAATCTATTAGTAATCCGATTATTCGAGTAACCTAGGGATTGCTACGCTTACCCTAGGCGGGATAAGGTTAATCGTAGCTAATTATCGCTAGCAAGAGCGTTCTATTACGCGTTTTTAATTACTAGAAGAAGAGACCTACCGAATCGACGGTCTTCTAACCTTTTTACGTTATAAAGGCGAAGATTTACGAATCTTATAAGGGATAATAACTTCCCTAACTATAACTATCCCCACGCGCGGTGCTAATTACAAGGCGCTTACTAGTTTCTTAATAAATCCTTAGACAAGGTGCTAACTACGAAGCGCTTATTATAAGAGACCTCCCTACTAAAAGAAGAACATGCTAAAAGGTAAGTAGAGACTACTAGCGGTAATCCGCCTATATAGCTATATATATACGCCTCCGAGGCTATAGCTTAGGAGAAACGTATATAGTTATAAGCGTTATAAGGCTAACTATCTACTAGATTCTAAACTTCTTAATAGTAAGGAGTAAAGCCTAAAGCGAGAAAGAGAGATTTATAAGAGAATCTATAGTAGAACTTTCTCCTTACTAATTCGAGACTTATATATACCTTTATACCTTTCGAGAATATTAGTAAGAACGGCGCTAACGGAAATAAACGACGAACCGACGAAAATCCTTGATTTTACGATTCTTTCCCCTTAGAATCGTAATATCCCGAATCGTCTTTTAACTCCTACTTCTAGGCTTATATCTTATACTAATCGTAGCTAACGCTATTAAGGATTAGAATTTAAGATTCTAAATAGAAGTAATCCTTTTATATTATTAGAATAAAGCGAAATTTACGAGAAGGATCGCTTATAAGTAGCGTTACTACTAAAAGCTAATTAACAGTCCCTATCTTATAGAGAATCGAAAGTATAATCGATCTAGTAGTATAAAGCAACTAGGTAATCGACCTTATAAACGCTAGCCTATAGCAACTAGGTTCCTATATAGGTTTCCTACTTAAGACCTATAAGAAGAGGAATCTTATAAGCCTCGAGCTATAGAACGAAGTTTCTCCCGATTTCGCCGACTAGTTAGAAGAAGACTTTTAGAACGTACCTCCCCTAATCCTACGATTCTTTAAAGACTATTTAATCGGTAATAGCGTCTACGTCGAAATAGATAGTAAGAAAATCTCGAAAAACATAGCATTAGCTTTTAAAAAGGAAGAATTCTACTACTAGTTACCTTAAGAACTCGAACAAGGCGTTAAGAGATATCGCAACCTAAAGGCTTTAATAAAAGACCCCGAATTCTACGAAGAGATTACGAGACTAGCAATAGTAGCTAATAGTATAGGAGGAAGAGTCGAACTAACCTTATAGCTACCTCCTTTATAAGAATAATAATAGTAGTAACTACTATACCGACCGCTATATCCTACGGTCTCTCCGTTAATAGACTTCTAACTATACGAGTTAATAGACCGTATCGGAAAGTAATTAATAGAATTCGCGAAACTATACCCTGACGATATAAAATATAGCGGCGATATATACGATATACTTGAAAAGAAGATGCTAGTATTCGTAGATTACTATAGAATGCTAGGAATTTATACCTCTTAATATAATAAGGCACTTCCCCTAATACTAAAAGGAATAGCTAAAACCTACTTCTACGCCTTGATTAAAGTAATTAACCTATAGCCTAACTTCGAGACTATAATTAACTAATTAAAATTATACTTCGAGACTAGGGAAAGGTAATAAGCATACGTTACGTAGTAGAATATAACTATTCTTCCCTAAATTATTCGCGATAACCTTAGAAAGACTAAATCGGAGTATTTTAATATACTATATAATAAATTAAGCAAGATTTAGCCTGGTTTGCTATAACAAGATCATAACGACCGATCCCTCTATACCTAACTTCTATACGCTTATAGAGATATTCTAGAGTATATAATAGCGTTATTTATACCGGCTAAGACGTACGAAGGACTTCGTAGCTAATTAATCTCGTCGATCGAGATAGCTACCTATCTTAACTAATAACAATTTAATATAGTAGCTAACCTACTAAAGTAGTACTAGACTGATAGAACTTTTAATAGTCGAAGGCGTTATTTACGATATAGTCGTTTATTACGAAGTCGATTATTACGAGGAAGAAGCCGTAACAAACCCTTATTACTGCTAACGCCTAAGAAGTGCTACGTATATAGAAAACCTAACTACTAGTTAACTAAATATATTATAGAAGAGAGACGAAAAGCATACGAGAAGTTTAAAACTACTTAATATGCCTAGGATACGTTACTTCTAGCATATAGCTAATTTCTTATCTAATATAAGGGTTTCGACGGGTTAGACCTATAACCTACCGCCGAAGACCCTTAGTAATACTACTACGTAACTAAATAAACTAGTAAAAGTAACGAAGAGGAAGAGACTAGTAGCGATAGTTAATTCTAAGTTACCGCCTATTTTACTATAATAGCAATTAACGGTAATAGGATCGCTACGATCCTAGCAGACTAGTTAACCTGCTATGCTATTACGAAAGAAGACTTCTTCCGTAACTAACTAGAACCGAAAAAGCTACCTTCGTAATTTATACTCGAGGGATGCTACTCTGCCTAGAACTTCTAAGGGATTATGCCCGACTCGGGCGTAGTAGGATTCTTAACCGCTAGCTACTTATAATTCGTAGCCTTATAACAAATTTACAAAGGAATTACGTTAAATACTAAGGCGGCTAGTAGCGTTATAGTAAAATTCGGCGATAGGATACTACTAAAGTCTATAAGGACTACTAAAGTGCTAACGCCGTTTAGAAGCGTTAAATTTTACGTTATTAAGACTAATACTCCCTTCCTTATATGCCTAGGAGATATAGACTAATTAAAGGTCTATTTTAATAACGTTACGAATACCTTTATCTAAGGAAATAAGGTCGTACCTATTATTCGCAAATAAGGCTACCTATAGTTATTACTTGATAAGGAGAAACTACTTGCTTAGAACTACCTTATAGACGCTAAATTGCGACGGGTTTACCGTCGCTTCGGATACCTATCTATTTAACGATTATATAAGGTACTCTAGAAGGCTAGCTACCTAGTTGAAATTATAGTAATTAAGCAACTATCGAAAGTCTGCTATCGATACTAAATATATATACTAGCGCTATTACGGTTTAAATTTACGTTACGAGACGATTACGAATTTAACTACGAGGTTATCGCCGACGTAATATACCTTAAAAGTAATAGACCGGTCTTCTACGTCGTCGATACCGCTACGGCGTTTAACGCCGCCTAGTTCCTTAAGGATATTTCTACGAAAGCTACTTAGGAAGCCTTACGCCTTTGCTAGATAGATATATATTAGGGACCCCTAGACTAGCTAGTTACTAACGCTAAAACAAACTTCTGCTTAATAAAATTCCGAAACGCGGCGAGAGGAATAGTAATTAAAATCAAGGAAATTCCTATAAAAGCTTATAATAGTATTAGGAAAGTTAAACGATACTATATACTTCTAAGGAAGGCGTACGAAATTATTAAAGTAAAAGACTTAATAATTACGCTAGAATCAGTATTTTAAATAGTAGTTAAAGTAGTTAACGATACTACTAGCTTAAACGGAATAGTATTAATACTCTTAGTATTCGGCTTATACCTACGAATTACCGACGATTTGCTACTATCTCCCGAAGTTATAAGGCGGGCGAAAGCGATTAAGAAGGCGACGAGCGAAGTATATAAACTTTATGTAAGGCGATAGGTAGTAGAAGCTATCGCTATTTATAATAGCCTTGATATAAGGCTAATTATTAATTTACTATTACGGTTGTAAGTATAAGTATAGCGCGAAAAGAAGGGCTAGACTAGACCGTTTACTTTAGTAGCTATAAACAGCGAAACCTATACTATCGATACGCTACGTAGTCTGAAAACCTTCCGGTCTACCGTAGTTAAACTATACTACGAAGATCCCGATTAACTACCTAATTCCATCGCTGCGCTAGAAGAAGAAGAACTTAAAGCTAAGATACTATAGTAGGAAGTAGTACGCGACGAAATTATTGTCGCTAGCAGAGGTAGTAAACTAGACGAACTGTAAGAAGTACCGGAGCTACCGAGAAGACGCCTAGGCAGACCCTAGAAGAGACTACTACTAATCGCCTACTTTATAAAGGAATTTAACGATAACCTAGATTATTAATAAATATTCCTATCGATTAAGGAGTAAGTAGACGAAGAATTAGTAATTAAACTACGACGAGAAGGTATTATTACTATACTAAGCAAACCGTTCGAATAGTTAACTAAATAAGAGATTAATAGCCTTATCGCTAGAAGAGTATTTAAATTTACTTAGTTTAATAAAAGAAGGTATTAGAACGTACGAATCTTCCGATCTCGTATCGTTAACGAAGTCAAGGGTAAAACAACTAAACCTTACGAGAAATCGAGACTTATAATATAAGGTTATGCCGACGATAGTAAGAAGGCTATATTAACCTAATCGCTAACGATTTAGCAAGCAAGTTAATAGCTAATTCTATTAATTACCCCGTTACTCCTACGAGAAGGGAAATAACTATAGCTTCGAGATATTATATAAGCCTACGTTTAATCCTCTATAAGGCTTAATCGTACTATTCTCGCCTACCTACCGAAGCAAATTCAAGACTAGTACCCAAAAGGGATTATTATGGAGGTTGTAAAGCCTCTGTACGGAATCGCAGAAGCTAGAACCTACTAGTAGGCAACGTATCATAAGCATTATAGAGAGAATCTCTAGATAGTTACTTCTTCGTACGATCTATGCTTATTGATCTTATCTACCGAAAATCTATACTTTGGCTATATCGGCATATAAACCGACGATACCCTCGGTTTATTAGACAAGGCGTTCTTATAATTAGAAGACGAATAGTTAGAAAAAGCAGCTTTTATAGTAAAAGCGAAGAATATCCTTATAATTAATAAACCTTTCTAATTTAACGGAGGGATAGTCGCGCTATTAACCGATAATTCGATTAATTTAAAGTAAAAGGGATAAGCTAAGAAGTTACGATATATTAAGACTACTAAACCTAACCTAAAATAGTAATATATCGAACAACGCGCTAGAAGGGCGTATATCGCGTTAATTTGCTAACCCGAGGCTTGTTTCGATTTATCTACTACTACCTAATACTAAGACCCTTTGCTAGAAGCGATAAAAGCACTAAATCAACGGATTCGATAGTAAATAGAATCGCTTAACCGAGGAATAACGTTTATCCTACTCGACCTTATAATAGCTAAGCTATTTATTTTTGTTAATAGGTTGTTTACTAATAACTACGACCTCTCCTCCTAATTAGGGTTTCTAATCATCCTAGCTAACGATACTTCTTCTAATAGTAATAATAGAGAATTTACGATTTACGGTAACCTTGTTTATTATAGCTTTACGAAAAGTAAATAAGTTACCTATAGCGTATTAGCGTTAGAGATCTACGGGATAGTCGCTAGCGTCGATATAGCCTATGCCTTCGCTATAACCCTAGCGATAATTACTAACTACCTTAACCTACTAACGATTTAGATAGTTATCTATACCGATTCTTATTCGCTATACGAATGTCTTGTAAAGCTAGGCACTACTAAAGAAAAGCGACTTATGATCGATATTATAGTATTAAGACAATCGTACGAAAGACGAGAACTATAAGAAATTCGTTAGATTAACGGCGAAGACAACCCTGCTAATGCCCTTACGAAGAGTAAACCAAATCAAGCCCTCGAGAGATTCGTTGATAGCAACACGATAACGATACGTATAGAGGGATAGGTAACAAGACCGTAACTACGGGAGAAAGTAAGGATAGGAGGCCGAATTGACGAGGAGACGGAACTATATAGGGATAACGTATTCCAACCGCTTCAACACTATAAAAAGAGAGTTTCCAGTGTTGCGATAGTTGGAATACGGAGTCGTGTAGCACTTCCAGCCACACGCCCGCCAGGCTGAGAGGCCCAAGCCTCCCAGACCCACGTGACAGGCCAAGGGGGAATATCCCCACCTTCTAGTCAACAACACCACTTTCAACTATCATGAACCATCGATTAGAACCAATTTACTGTTATTTGTTATTGACGAACGGAATTCCGTTTCACCCCCTGTGAAACCTACAGATGTACTAAGCCGGCTCTCCGTTCGGGCGAATGTCGCCGAGCTCAACCCTTCGCAACCTGACCCCATGTCTCAGTGACCTGCATGAAGTCGTCCAGGCCTCTCTGGTCAACCGTTCAACCCACAACGGTCAGCCCTGTGCGTCTCCTAAAGCCCCGCAATGTTGAGGAGGGGTAAAAAAACATCTTGATATGATCCGCCCAACCGCTTCACGCTTGATTGGACCAAGTTCACCCCGGACGTGCGCATATGATCGACATTAATACGCCCATGGCACTCCATCACCCAATGAGCATGCAGCAACTGCCCGCAGTTGTCATGTACGAAGCCTCAACGACATATGTAGTTGGCAGTTTTGAGGCATTGCATGATACAAATGTTTTGTCCGAGAGGGAAGCGGCCGTCAATCCATCTGATCTCCGGCACGGGACGATGCCTTAGCATGCATATTTTAAACCACATACCCCTTAGAAGGCGTCCTGGAATCGTTGTCCAATTCCAAGCTTCTCAAAGTCTGTCTTGACAACGAGGAACACCTCAAAAATGACGGTAATTAACCACACGATCAAACTCCCCGTGTTCCGCGAACCGCCCTCGACAAAGCCTGGAGATGCACGCGCCATCGTAGCAGCTTGGACATCCAAGTTCAACCGGGCCTTGGCCGACCGCCACATTGCGAGCTTCTCAAATCTGTTGCGAAACGATGCGTGGATTCGCGACTTTCTCGTTCTCTCCTGGGACTTCCGCACCATCCAGGGCGTCAGCAACATAACTTCCTACGTAGAAGAGAACCTGGAGCGCGCAAATCTCCGCAACATCCACCCCCGCGAAATAGGGGCCTTCCAGCCGGCCTTCAGGAACCCTGCCCCAGACCTTCACTGGGTCGACAGCATCGTTGATTTTGAGACGGATGCTGGCAAGGGCAGAGGTGTCGTAAGACTTGCCCTGGATGAGGATGGTACCTGGAAAGCCTACACGATCAGCTTTGCGCTCCAGGAACTGCATGCCACCAAAGAGAGTGTAGGCATCAACAGACCCACAGGTTATGTTGATCCGAAGGGAGGTAATTGGAAAGAAAGGCGAGACAGACAAAAGGAGTTTGTCGATGGGGATCCGGCGGTCATAGTAATCGGAGCTGGTGAGTTAATCGTCCAAGAAAGTCTTGCATGATTTGCGCGCAACAGCCTCACACGCGAACGAAATTCTGTTCCTAGGCCACGCTGGCATCAACATTGGCGTCCGTCTGCGCCATCTTGGTGTCCCGACCTTGATGATTGACCGCAATGAGCGAGTGGGAGACAGTTGGCGCAACCGGTACAGAGTCGGTTACCACCAGACAAAAAAACTTCCCTATGACGATGTGGACACGCAAGCTAATACTCACCCAAGACGCTCATGACCCATGATCCCATTCACTACTGCCACCTCCCCTTCGTCCCGTTCCCTGCGGACTGGCCCATGTTTATGCCAAAGGACAAACTAGCAGATTGGCTCGAGTCGTACGCCACCATCATGGAACTCAACATCTGGACAAGCACCACCATTGGAAGTGCCGAATACGACGACAAAACAAAGACCTGGGCCGTAGAGGTCCAAAGAGCCGACGGCAGCACGCGTACGCTCCGCCCGCGTCACGTAATCCTCGCAACAGGCCAAGCCGGCGACCCCATCACCCCCACGTTCCCAAACCAATCCGACTTCAAGGGGATGGTCTACCATGGAAGTCAGCACCAAGATGCCTCGGTGACCAAAGACATCTCCAGTAAAAAGGTCGTTGTCGTGGGCTCCGGGAATTCGAGCCACGACATCTGCCAAAACTTCCACGAGAGCGGCGCAGCCCAGGTGACAATGGTGCAGCGAGGGGGATCGTACGTGATCACGGCCGACAAGGGAATCTTCATGATGCACAAGGGTATGTACGAGGAAAACGGCCCGCCCACGGAGGATGCGGATGTGTACGGCCAGAGCATCCCCACCCCAATCTTGTTCGCGCTCAGTGTTCACGGCACGAAGGCGATCGCTGAAATCGACCGGGAAACCCTCGACGGGCTTACCAGGGCCGGCTTCAAGCTCGACTTTGGCGTTGACGGAAGCGGCATCTACCGCAAGTACATCACCCGTGGCGGCGGTTATTACATCGATGTCGGATGTAGCAAACTCATTGCAGACGGCAAAGTCAAGGTCCATCATACTCCCAAGGGTGTCTCGGGGTTTACACCGAACGGCCTCGCGTTGGCTGATGGTACGACTTTGGAAGCGGACATTGTGGTTTTGGCGACGGGGTACGACGGTATGAAATCGACCGCCCGTAAGATCTTTGGAGATAAAGTGGCCAGCCGCCTCAAGGAATGCTGGGATCTGGACGAACAAGGAGAAATCAACTCTGTGAGTGGAAAAGGCTTTAAAAAAAAGCATAAATCTCTAACATGATTAGATTTGGCGAAGTAGTGGTCATCCTGGATTTTGGTACACGGGTGGCAATCTCGCATTGTGTCGATATTATTCTCGTCTTTTGGCATTGCAGATTAAGGCATTGGAAGAAGGCATTTACACTCAGACGGAATGAGACCTGTCAACGTGAAACCTAATTGTAAACCGTAGGCGGTTTGCAAGGCGACGCGAGCATTATCACGAGAAGGGAAAGAAGTGTGTATAGACAATTATAGATTCAACCAAGTTATCATGATTATCATGGGTTACTGGTCCACATTTTCTCACATCTTTTATATAATTGCTATCAACCTTGTTTGAGGTATGATTCCGAAGAACCATAAGCAACTGGGAAAGTGCCCGGATAATAAACAGCATTTAAAAGCTTGTCAGCCTAGCTCAATAGGGTGTGCCCACCTCGTAGTCGTCTCGGCTTATGACAAGGCGAAGTTCGCCGGATCGACGATGGAGGCAATTGCTGAATGCGTAGAGTAGAGCAGAACAGTCGATCAAGAGTTCAAACAACTTGGTAAGAGACACTTGGACCCCCTCTAGCGAACTGTTCACAGTGTTGGTGTTGCCGAGAGCTAGTGCTGACAGCTTTACTTCAGAGACAATGTGCAGATCCTCGTCTGCTACTCTGAGGGGAGAAGGTCGGTCCTATCCATGAGCAGCCTCACCTTGAGAGAGGACATATTCGGGTGCTTCAAATGTTTCCAGCAAAACCACCGTGAGCAGCAAAGCGCTGCTGATAATCGCGCAAGTGAGCCCAGTTGCGCATCTCCTCCTCTTCATCTTGGGGAGTCATGTTCTCGCCAGCCATGTTGCTGCCGCTTGGCCCCGTGCCTTCTAGCTTGAGTAAAACGTCAATAAGCCGCATAAGAGCTTCTTCTGATTTCATCGCCACCGGGCCTTTGCGTTCGGGTGCATCGTTCAGTAATGTCGAAGCAACCTGACGAATCTTGTTGATGAGGGATCCGCCGTTAGGCTCAAGGTTGCGTTGCGAGATGGAACCCAGGACGTGAAGAAGATTCTGTACAATGAGCTCTCGTTCCGCCGTCATCAACTCGAAAACTCGCGCTTCCTCTGTATCTTCAGCTTCCTTCGCGGGGTTCTCTTCGACGGTTTCGCCTTGAGCATCTTTGTTTGGGTCTGCCAGATGGACATCGCGTAGGTTAAAGTATAATTCAACGTAGAATGACCGCGTCGCTAACTGAGAAATATAGATGTTTGCCTTTTGAATCTCATATTGGAGCTGGCGGCGGCGCTGGGGTTGGTTCTTGATGACGTTGCGAACATCATTGATAGGCTGGCTGTTGGGATATGCTGGAGGTACATATTGAAGGTCAGCGTCGTCAAGTGTGCCAAATCCACTAGATTGGTCGTGGGATGCGCTGAGCTGGAGCTCAGTAGGAAGGCGATCGATAATGTCCTTGGCGGCAACTAGGGCGTTCCGTAACAGTGACCTTTGATCAGCCCACGGCAGGGTGCTCATCCCATAGACAAGCTCTACACTGACAATGGCGTTCATGGTCGTGTATATATCGATGGCGAATCGGTACCCAGTAAGGAGAGTTACTGAACTTTCTGAAGGATATACAATCTCATTGGCCATAATATACATGTCGTCGACATTCTCGGGCAGAGCAGGATATGGAAGACCAGGTGTCGACGGGGCAATGACCAGGTCAGCGTGTGAAGCACCGAGCTGTGAAAAAGATCTGACAATAGTCAATACTGGGAGTGAGATCGCGTGTCCATACGAGTGGCTTACCTAACACCCAATAGCAAACACCAGAAGATGCGCTTGCCGATCTGATCCTTGATATGATGGAACGGGAGGGGGTCCGGAGAGCAGTTGTCGTTTCCAAAAGTAGGCAGCTCGTTGGGGTGTTTTGGCCGGTGGAAGCCAAGTTCACGAATCAAAGACAAACACTCGGAAGTGAAATAGCGGAAGCGGTTAACCTCGAAAGTGTAGCCAGCAGCAAGTCCCAGGAAGTAGCTGGTAGCGGCATCGTCCAACGTTTTGGGTTGCTTGACAGCCCATCGTGACCCTCTTGTGTCGAGGGCAATGTCTCGACACTTCTCAATCATGACTATCGCTCGAGGGAATAGATGCGTGCTATGTTGGGTCTTGAGGTGCTGTCTGGCACTTCTTGGGAAGGAGGCTACGAGGGCCCCAACCATGGAAGCCAGCAAGCCGAGGAATTCTGGGTTCGTCCGGTCTTCTCTATTCGCGAAAGAGTGCCGAAAGGTTGGTTCATGTGGGAAAGGCGTAAGTGGGTGGATATAGGTGAAGAAGTCATCGACCAATAGCTCAAGTATCGGCATTGGCGCAATGGCCTCGGCATCCAGACGGGCAGGACCCTCAGCTATCGAGACGAGAGCTTGTGCAGCATTATGGGGAGAAGGTGTCGGGTTTGCAGGGCCGTATGCTGGGAAAGTATTACCAGGCTCGAGTCGCTGCCTCCGGGCGGCGCGGGCGGCTTCGGCGTGTTTATTTGGAGGACCTCGTCTCTTCAATTCGCGGTTGAAGGTGCATTCGACGTTGAGCTCGCGACATGGCCTACAAGGAGGGCCAGATTCGTCACACTTGACTTTTCGTTGAGAGCACATGTCACAGGCTCTTCGCAAGCGCGTCAGCTTGGGGTTGACTGTTGGATCGCGGGGAAGAGGTGGCATGGAACCGGGCAGGGGCGGCATCGAGGTGAAGGCGGGAGGAAAGGCGGCAACGGCGCCCTGCGAGACAGTACTGAGAGAGCCATCAATAGCAATAGGAGAGGCAGATGGGGCCGGTGCTGTTGAGGTTTGAGGTGTATGCTGAAGCTGAGGAGGCTGCGGCTGCGAGGGTGTCTGTGGCGTCTGTTGTTGCACCTGGTGTTCATATTCCGGAGCAGGAGGAACGGTAGACTGATGCTGCTCGACAGTCTGTTGTTCATGTTGCTGGGCGTCAACGGCGACAGCAGAGCTCAGGTGTTGCTGAACATTCTGAAGAGCGGCAGCGGCAGCTGCATCGGAGGCAGCTTGAAGGACCTGAAGTCCATTGCTGGCATAGGCATGGGCGGTGGCCTGTTGGGCGGCAGTTGGCGATGGGGGCGGCTCGACCTGGGGTTGGTGTTGGGGTGACTGCTGAAGCTGTTGCTGGTCATTGGTTGACGACATTGCGATCAAGGAAAAAGAGGCCCGCGACGGCCCCCCCGTTGATCTAGAATTCTCGGAACGCGGCGAGCCCTGGAAATGGCTGATTGTCGGAGAAGCTCCGGCTGCGATTCGGGACGACAGAGAGCGGGCGGGCGGGTTTGTCAAATGTGCGCGCACACACGCGTGTCCAAAGTGGGTGTGCGGAGGAAGGGTCAGGGCCAACAGAAGGCGGGCATATTTGGAAAAAGTCCGGACTTGAACCGAGGGGGCGGTGTGCTTTGATTACTAAGCAAGAAGTTTCCCTTGGGTCCTCTATGGTACTCATGTTGGTGGGGAAATACAAAAGAGTGTACTCTGCGTGAGTGGATGGATGGTTCTTGCCCAATTGAATCTAGCAATTCTGCCGGTTTTCGGATTTGGATCCTCCTTCCTAAGATATACTAGTGATCGTTCCTCTTTCCCAATCAGACCCACCAAAAGATACGAAAACCCCACTCAAGTACCCTTGGGTTCGGTGATATGGCATGGGAAGGAGTGGGATAGCGAGGCACTAAGGGAAGGATGAACACTACCTACTCCTACTCCTACCTACCTTAGCAGAGTATAGTAGGTACGTATCGCCAGTAGTCCCTCGGCACACGTGCGTTGTGGAGCATCCTTACCTTTCCTCTGAGCTGCTTAAATATGCACATTATGCAAATATGCACTTTTCCAATGCCTCTATGTAAATATTTATGCATAAGACTTCTCTCTCCCTCTCCCATAAACAAGTTTGCTTATTTGGTTTTTGACTCTCAAGAATTCATACTCTCATACCTGTTACTCTTGGCTCATCTTACCTCTGCCACCAACTCACAATAGTAATGGCTCAAACATTTTGGCCGTATCTAGCACCGACTGGTCGTACGGGATATACTCTTCACCTACCGCCTTCTCTGCCTTCGACCCATCAACTATCAACTTCCCTGGCGTCTTGAATCCAGGCAAGTAGCCTTCCCCTGGTTGTCCTTCTTTTATGGGGAGATCAGGGTACGATTTTCGCAGAATGTCTGCGGCTGCTTGAGGGGGCCCATAAGCCGATGAAGAGATATATCTCTCGCCATCCGCCTGGTCGGCATTTTCGACGGCGAACACCACAAGCTTCGCGACATCACGAACGTCCACGTACCAACCAAACCCGGCCAGTGGCCCCGGAATTTCTTCCCCAGACATGACCTTCCATATATACGCAAGCGACCCGGCAATCTTGTCTGCGGATTCTGGCGATGTGAGAGGTGGGCCGCTCACGTAGCTGCGTCATGTCAACAAGCATCCTCACCGCAACGCTCATTCCAGCAGCGTTACTTACACGGGGTGCACCGCTGTCATTGTGAAGGAAGGCTTTTGCTTGTCTCTGAACTCCCAGAACGCCTTCTCCCCCGCCACCTTGCTTGCAACGTAGACGAGCGGCCCAGGTGCCTTTTCACCCAGCTGGGCTACCAGATCCAGTGCTTCGTGATTCCAGTCCTTCTCGGTATAGGTGTAGGGACCTTCTTTCCGTTGAAGCACGCTGCTAATCGATGCCATCAAAACGACGCTCTTGACTGAAAGCACATTGGTAGCCGACTCAAGGATTCTCGTTGTCGCCGTCCTAACCAGTTCAAGTAGAACATTCGGATGAGGGAATGCGAAAGTAACTGGCTGGGCGAGGTGCACGATCGCGACCACGCCTTTGACTGCTTCATCGAAGGCGCCAGGAATGGTGATGTCAGGGACCTCGGTTATTTCGAGCTTCTCGCCATACTGCGACAGTGCTTCGACCGTTGCCTTGGCTGACGCCTTGGATCGTACGGTTCCACGAACGGAGTATCCGGCCTGCAAGAAGGCTTCGGCTGTTCTGCCCCCGATGAACCCGTTAATACCGGTCACCAAGACAAGTCCTTTGGTGGACATGGTGGCTGGTTGGAGAAAGCGTATGGCAATGAGGCGAGGGAGGGCTTGCAGAATTGCTGGATGATCTCGGCTTCCTATTGTTTTCGTCAAGCTGAATTGCAATCTGAGTCGTTTGTAGCTCTTGATCGCGTGCTCGGCGTAGACTCCGCGCTGGACACAAACACAACCAAGTGCTTAGAAGCGCTTTCGCCAATACGTCGATGAGGGTGCTTAGTAGAGATTCAAGCCTTTCCCCTCAAGCAGCCTTGTCTACTTGTCCCTGCAGTGATTACGGAGTACCTGAAGCAGAATAGCTAGGCCATCTGCAGGTTTCCCAGGGGGTGCGCCAATCAGGTTCGAGCAGGCTTCCAGCCCTTGCAATGGTCTGCCGACCCACGACTTGACTTTGAAGCCACCGTGAAAAGTCAACTGGCGGTATCGGCTTACCGCGGGCTTCCGTAAAACTGCCACCGTCCGACGCGGAAATCCACTTTGGCCGTCCGGTCATGAAACCGGCGTGGCTGGCCCCCGGCTTCCATCCGGAATCGCCGGCTCTGCCTTTGTTTTACGCTGAACCGAGGCCCGGTCATCGCGGCCAAATTACTTGCAAGTTTGGGCTGGCCCTGAACTTTGACCTGGTTTATTGCAATTTGGAAGAGGCTGCATCAATTAGAAGGGGATCCCATCGTTCGTTCGACCGTTTCGATTGGAGCAGTTTTCCTCAGACGCGCTGGCGTCCACTCAAAAGCAACGCCGACGTTCTCATGACGCTCTTCGCTTAAACAAATATACTTTCGGCTATTATATTGGCGGCCCTCCTCGCGGCACTGCGCGTTGGCTTTTCTTGGCGAACCATCTCCATAAATGCGAGAGATAGCCAGTCGATATTGAAGCCGCTACTGCACGTGAATCTCGTCGTACTATTGCTCAAATGCTGCCAAGATGCCGCCATATGAGGCTCAAGGAAGCGCCGGGCTGATGCCATGCGAGGCTCTCGAGCACCTATGTTCCTACGACAACGCCTTGGCCATCTCGAGGACATCGAGAATGTTCCCTTCTATTTACCAGATGGCCTGGTAGATCTTTTTTGAGGCCCAAAGGTATGGACATATTTGGAGAACGGCGCCTTTCATTCCGGTATTGTTCTCGACTCGTATCATGTCGCAGGTCGCAGTCGCGCGCTCTCTCAGTAACTCTGCTCTTCTCTCTCCAGAGACCAGTCCAATACCGGCAAGTTGCAACCGGCTTTTCAATCCTTCCAATCCATGGTTGGGCCAGCTGGGTCGAGTCGATATCGGACTGCCAATGGGCGACACTGAGGTTGGATCGACTTCATTTATCCTCCAGCCGTCCCCTGCTACCCCACCTTTGCGCCGCCCATCCTACTGGTCCGCGTCGACTCATTCTGTCAATGGGACGGCTCTGCCGGCCTTGTGTGGTGGAATCATTTGTGCTCGGCCGAAACCTTGGAAGGCTAGTAAATTGCCGGCTTTCAAGGGGAATTACCCCAGATCAAGGTGGCATCTGTAACCACACCTCATGATAGTCTGAACCACATGACGATACCCCGTCACCCACCATCATTCGGACGTTACAACAGTCAATATCTCTAGTCTAGTTTTGTTCTACTGGGAAGGCAATGTGAGCGCAGAATTTTATGTCGTAAACGGACAATTCCTTTCTGGCTTCGGATTCTACAGATCAATCACATCCGTCAAAGTACAACCGTATAAGTGATTCCAAAAAGTGACATTGAACCACTTTCATGGATTCAAAGCTGTGGTGTGACTATGATTAGTATGCGTGGAAGTCCTTGTCTCCGGCTTCTTTTAACCACTAGTTCAATCTTATTGAACCACACCATGCGACTATCTCAGCTTTGAGGTGGCAGAGAGCCACTGGTACACACCAGGTAGGTATCCCAAACCGCTCTTCGCAACGTGCCCTCCGTGCTCTCCAAGGAAAGCATGGAGATGTTATGTTCCCATCCGTAAGTATTCTGTTCCTACTTCAGACCGCCCCTTACTTCAAATAACATGTTATCCATGCGACCAAGCCCATACCAAGAAGCCGGCATACTTAGAACCTTGGCAGCAAAGGCTTGTTTAGCACGGAGAATAAGTCCCTGGCACATCAAAGCTTGACTATGAGGCTCCTTGAAAGAACTCCCCGCGAAGCACAACCGTAGTATGGTCGATTCCTAACAATGTCCCTTCATTCTCCAGTATGATGTACGATCGCCAGCAACAGCCAGAACGGAAGACATCTCCCATACGTACAACACTTCTGCCATACGACTGAACAGAACTGGCAAGTATCATGAGTGTCACTTGGCGCCTATCACACCGCGGCTCTCAATTCCCTCCAATACCCTATCGAGCAATTGTACCCTCTACTTTGCATTTCACAGGTGCATTTTGCCTTCCCCGCATCTAATAAGCTGCTTAGGATAAATGAGTTTATATTGTCATCATGGATTACCGAGCCGACCTGGGTTCTAGCAACACCTATCCCGGGTCTCGGGCCCTCAGTGCCTGGCCCATTCTTCTCGAGTAAGAGGGCTTTTCTGTCCGCTGTGATCCTGCCAAACCTAAACTGATTCATCCTACGGATCTAGGCCTCCGAGAAAAGACCAAAGGGAATCTGTCTCCCAAGAATGCCCTTACTGATGGCAAAACAAAATGACTACTAATCGCTTGGGCTGACTATATGGCCTCGGAATCTAGGCCTCCTTGGCCGGTATCATGCCAAGATCTACCATAAAAAGGGAAGTATAAGAAGACAGCAAGAAACCTTCAGCATCGTGAATTGTACCTCTTGGACACTCCTCCTTCTTCAGCCAGACAACCCTCATTACTCTTTGAACAGACCCATATCAAGATGCGTTCCCTCTCCGCCCTTCTGGCGGTCATCACCGCAGTCGCAGCGCAGCAAGCCGGCACCCAACAGACCGAAACCCACCCCAAGATCACTTGGCAGAAGTGCACCTCCTCCAGCTGCTCCAATGTGAACGGCGAGGTCGTCATCGACGCCAACTGGCGCTGGCTCCACGATAGCTCGGGTGCCAACTGCTACGACGGCAACAAGTGGACTAACAAGTGTAGCACGGCGACCGACTGCGCGACCAAGTGCGCTGTCGAGGGCGCCGACTATGCTGGGACCTACGGCGCTACGACTTCGGGCAATGCTCTCAGCCTGAAGTTCGTCACGCAGCACGCCTACGGCAAGAACATTGGCTCGCGCCTGTACCTCATGAACAGTGCCACCAAGTATGAGATGTTTACTCTTACCAACAACGAGCTGGCGTTCGATGTCGACCTCTCGCAGCTTGACTGTGGGCTGAACGGTACGTCCGAGGGGCATTTGAGAAACGGGTTACAGGAGACTAATGCTTGCCTCAAGGAGCTCTTTACTTTGTCCAGATGGACGAGGATGGTGGCATGGCCAAGTATTCTTCCAACAAGGCTGGTGCCAAGTACGGCACCGGATACTGCGATGCCCAGTGTGCTCGTGACTTGAAGTTTGTCGGCGGCAAGGCCAATATTGAGGGTTGGGTGCCATCTTCCAACGATGCCAATGCTGGCGTTGGTCCGTACGGTGCTTGCTGCGCCGAGATGGACGTCTGGGGTATGTCTCCCCAACAAGAAAAGAAACCCTCGTGCTTGGGTGTCAAGACTCTCGAGACGGCAAGGTTAACCATGTGCAGAGTCCAACGCCCACTCGTTTGCCGTCACGCCTCACCCGTGCCAGAACAACGCCTACCACGTCTGCGAGAAGTCCGGCTGTGGTGGCACCTATTCTGAAGACCGGTTCGCCGGCGACTGCGACGCCAACGGTTGTGACTTTAACCCTTATCGCATGGGTGCCACCAGCTTTTACGGTAAGGGAAAGACCGTCGACACGTCCCAGAAGTTCACGTGAGTTCAAAACCAGCTCGCTCCGGAGCAATCTCCTATTGACTGTGGTTCAAGGGTTGTCACGCAGTTTTCCAACAACAAGGTCGCGCAGTACTTTGTTCAGAATGGCAAGAAGATTCAGATGCCCAACTCTGCCATCAGCGGCGTCAGCGGCAATGCCGTCACTCCAGACTTCTGCACGGCTCAGTTCAAGGCCTTTGGCGACCGCGACCGTTTCTCCGAGGTCGGCGGCTGGTCCAAACTGAACTCGGCCCTCAGTGGCAAGTGGGTGCTCGTCATGTCGCTTTGGGATGACCACTACGCCAACATGCTCTGGCTTGACTCGACCTACCCACCCGAGAAGGCTGGACAACCTGGTGCTGCCAGAGGTGACTGCCCTACGACCTCTGGTGTGCCCTCCGAGGTTGAGTCCAAGCTTGCCAGCGTAAGTTTTCTCTAATTTTAATTTTATTTTTTATATCTTTTTATACTTCAATCTCCCTCCCTTTTGATTTCTCCGTAGCTTTGGCAAACTCCAAAACAGGCGAGAGATGGCGCTCTATTTGGTATTTTGGTACTAACCATACTTGTTTGCAGGCCACGGTGACATACTCCAACATCCGCTTCGGACCCATTGGCTCGACCGTCAAATGAGCGTTGGCGAGTGTGTCTCTTGACGAGGTTAACCCTGAGACTGCCTTTGTCCATTGAGTGGACCGTGTGCGGGGTCCATCCCGTGACCACCCGTCGTTGATGCCCGAAGCCATCTCGGTTTCTTGAGGGTGGGCAAGGAAGGTTGACGTAGCCGTCAAGGCACAGGTTTTGTTACTGTTTTTTTTTCCCCTTCTTTTTCCCCCTCTCCCTTTCGAGAGCAGTACATATTCTTTACTTGAATAAAACCAGGATGTCTATCATTTGCAAGCGCTCGCCTTTGACCTCCATCTTGTTGCATGCGTGTCTCATATAGCATCTCGGAGATGATTTAGTCTTGAACTTTGAGACAATGTGGCATTCTACGTTTATGGTTTGTACCCACAGTAGTATTATACTCTCAGCAGAAATAAGTTTGGAACGGCGATATAATGGGAAAAGCGAGAAAAGTCGTCGCAAAAGATTGGAATTTGTGTCAGTTCACTATTACTATGTAGGTGTAATTGGTTATCTCGTTTGTACTGCCTCATTTATGCTCGGTTAATACCAGGTGGATAACTTTATATGCATTAAAAAAAAAGAGGATAAAAAAAGAAGAAGGAAGAAAAATGAAAAGAAAATACCTAGGTACATGTTGCGATAGTTGGAATACGGAGCCGTGTGGCACTTCCAGCCACACGCCCGCCAGGCTGAGAGGCCCAAGCCTCCCAGACCCACGTGACAGGCCAAGGGGGAATATCCCCACCTTCTAGTCAACAACACCACTTTCAACTATCATCATGAACCATCGATTAGAACCAATTTACTGTTATTTGTTATTGACGAACGGAATTCCGTTTCACCCCCTGTTTCACCCCCTGTGAAACCTACACTGATCAGTGGTAAACCTCACAGTTGCCATTAATTTGGTTAACTTCACAATTACCACTCTGCTACGGACAAACCGCAGATCAGCAAGGTCAACACCAGAAGAGACGACTTCTTGAACTGGATACCCAAGCCCAGGTAAAAGTAGGGATTTCGTGCTAACGAGAGAAGAAGCGAGAGTAACTGGGATCTACGGAAACCAGCAGAAGAAAGCTTCTTTTCCTCGAATCTACCAGCAATCCGATTATTCGAGTAACCTAGGGACTGCTACGCTCACCCTAGGCGGGATAAGGTTAATCGCAGCCAATTATCGCTGGCAAGAGCGTTCCATCACGCGTTTTCAATCACCAGAAGAAGAGACCTACCGAATCGACGGTCTTCCAACCTCTTCACGCCACAAGGGCGAAGATTCACGAATCCCACAAGGGACAACAACTTCCCCAACTACAACTATCCCCCACGCGCGGTGCCAATCACGAGGCGCCCGCTAGTTTCTCAATAAATCCCCAGACGAGGTGCCAACCGCGAGGCGCCTGCCACAAGAGACCTCCCCACTAGAAGAAGAACACGCCGAAAGATTCTAAACTTCTTAATAGTAAGGAGCGAAGCCCGAAGCGAGAAAGAGAGATTCACGAGAGAATCTACGAAGTAATCCTTTTATACTGTCAGAATGGAGCGAAATTCACGAGAAGGATCGCCCGCGAGCGGCGTCACTGCCAAAAGCCAATCAACAGTCCCCATCCCACAGAGAATCGAAAGTATGATCGATCCAGCAGTATGGGGCAACTGGGCAATCGACCTTACAAACGCTAGCCCACAGCAACTGGGTTCCTATATGGGTTTCCTACTTGAGACCTATGAGAAGAGGAATCTCACGGGCCTCGAGCTATGGAACGAAGTTTCTCCCGATTTCGCCGACTGGTCAGAAGAAGACTTCCAGAACGTACCTCCCCCAATCCTACGATTCTTCAGAGACTATTTAATCGGTAACGGCGTCTACGTCGAAATGGATGGCAAGAAAATCTCGAAAAACGTGGCATTAGCCCTCAAAAAGGAAGAATTCCACTACTGGTCACCCCAAGAACTCGAACAAGGCGTCAAGAGATATCGCAACCTGAAGGCTCTGATAAAAGACCCCGAATTCCACGAAGAGATCACGAGACCGGCAACAGTAGCCAACAGCACAGGAGGAAGAGTCGAACCAACCCTACAGCCACCTCCTCCACAAGAACAACAACAGTGGCAACTACCGTACCGACCGCCACATCCCACGGTCTCTCCGTTAACAGACTTCCAACCATACGAGTCAACAGACCGTATCGGAAAGCAATTAACAGAATTCGCGAAACTATACCCCGACGATATGAAATACAGCGGCGATATGTACGATGTACGCGAAAAGAAGGGCTGGACCGGACCGTTTACTTTAGCAGCCATAAACGGCGAAACCTGTACTGTCGATACGCCACGTGGTCCGAAGACCTTCCGGTCTACCGTAGTCAAACCATACTACGAAGATCCCGATCAACCACCTAATTCCATCGCCGCGCCAGAAGAAGAAGAACCCGAAGCTGAGATACCGCAGCAGGAAGTAGTACGCGACGAAATTATCGTCGCCGGCGGAGGCAGTGAACCGGACGAACCGCAAGAGGCACCGGAGCCACCGAGAAGACGCCCGGGCAGACCCCGGAAGAGACCACTGCCAATCGCCCACTTCACAGAGGAATTCAACGATGACCCGGATTATCAACAAATATTCCTATCGATTAAGGAGCAAGCAGACGAAGAATTGGCAATCAAACTACGACGAGAAGGTGTTATTACTACACCAGGCGAACCGTTCGAACAGTCAACTAAACAAGAGATCAACAGCCTCATCGCTAGAGGAGTGTTCAAATTCACCCAGTTCAATAAGAGAAGGCACCAGAACGTACGAATCTTCCGATCTCGTATCGTCAACGAAGTCAAGGGTAAAACAACCGAACCCTACGAGAAATCGAGACTTGTAATACAGGGTTACGCCGACGATGGCAAGAAGGCTATATTGACCCAATCGCCAACGATTCAGCGGGCGAGTCAACGGCTAATTCTGTCAATTACCCCGTCACTCCTACGAGAAGGGAAACAACTATGGCTTCGAGATATCACACAAGCCTACGTTCAATCCTCCACAAGGCTCAATCGTACTATTCTCGCCTACCCACCGAAGCAAATTCAAGACCAGTACCCAAAAGGGACCATTATGGAGGTTGTGAAGCCTCTGTACGGAATCGCAGAAGCTGGAACCCACTGGTGGGCAACGTATCACAAGCATCACAGAGAGAATCTCCAGATGGTTACTTCTTCGTACGATCCATGCCTATTGATCTCATCTACCGAAAATCCACACTTTGGCTGTATCGGCATGCAAACCGACGATACCCTCGGTTTGTCAGACAAGGCGTTCTCACAATTAGAAGACGAACAGTTAGAAAAAGCGGCTTTTACGGCAAAAGCGAAGAATATCCTCACAATTGACGAACCCCTCCAATTCAACGGAGGGATAATCGCGCTGTCAACCGACAATTCGATCAATTTGAGGCAAAAGGGACAAGCCAAGAAGTTACGATGTATTGAGACTACTAAACCCAACCCAAAACAGCAATATGTCGAACAACGCGCCAGAGGGGCGTACATCGCGTCAATTTGCCAACCCGAGGCCTGTTTCGATTTATCCACTGCTGCCCAACACCAAGACCCCTCGCCAGAAGCGATAAAAGCACTGAATCAACGGATTCGATGGCAAATAGAATCGCCTAACCGAGGAATAACGTTTATCCCACTCGACCTTACAACAGCCAAGCTATTCGTTTTCGTTGACGGGTCGTTCGCTAATAACCACGACCTCTCCTCCCAATTAGGGTTTCTGATCATCCTAGCCAACGACACTTCCTCTGACAGCAACAACGGAGAATTCACGATTCACGGTAACCTCGTTCATTACAGCTCTACGAAGAGTAAACGAGTCACCCGCAGCGTATTAGCGTCAGAGATCTACGGGATGGTCGCTGGCGTCGATATGGCCTACGCCCTCGCCACAACCCTGGCGACAATCACTGACCACCTCAACCTACCAACGATTCAGACAGTTGTCTGTACCGATTCCTATTCGCTGTACGAGTGTCTCGTGAAGCTGGGCACTACCAAAGAAAAGCGACTCATGATCGATATCATGGCGTTGAGACAATCGTACGAAAGACGAGAACTACAAGAAATTCGTTGGATTAACGGCGAAGACAACCCTGCTGATGCCCTCACGAAGAGCAAACCAAATCGAGCCCTCGAGAGATTCGTTGATAGCAACACGATAACGATACGTATGGAGGGATGGGTAACAAGACCGTAACTACGGGAGAAAGTAGGGATAGGAGGCCGAATTGACGAGGAGACGGAACTGTATAGGGACAACGTATTCCAACCGCTTCAACACCATAAAAAGAGAGTTTCCAGTGTTGCGATAGTTGGAATACGGAGCCGTGTGGCACTTCCAGCCACACGCCCGCCAGGCTGAGAGGCCCAAGCCTCCCAGACCCACGTGACAGGCCAAGGGGGAATATCCCCACCTTCTAGTCAACAACACCACTTTCAACTATCATCATGAACCATCGATTAGAACCAATTTACTGTTATTTGTTATTGACGAACGGAATTCCGTTTCACCCCCTGTTTCACCCCCTGTGAAACCTACAGTACATATACATCCTGACCTGCTTCGACCTACGCCAATAAACCAAACAAAAGGGTAATAAAAGTCATTCGGAGCACATCGTACGAATTTAGGTACCGCACAAACACTAGTGTGACTAGTATCCAATGAGAATGGCAGCGCTACTATTCCCGCTGGCCAGTGATTCCCCTGACATCTCTGAATTCTAGGCGTCTGAGACGCGCCAATGAGCTTGAGCGCACACACCGGAGCCCCTCCGGTGACGCATTTCCAATGTCAGAGGACAGAAGCAGAGTGGTGGCAAAGCCCCCTTGAAGCAGCCAGGCTCTTCTCCAACTCACATTACAGGCGTAAGACTCTTTTCCACAGTATGCAGAGCAAGTATCAAAAACAATTCCACAACTTCTTGTTGTTGTTGCTGTTGTTGCTGTTATTGTTGTTGTTGGACTTGTTCAATGTAGGGGGTGCTGATTAGGTGCGAATTGTCTTGCATGACCAAAGCAACTACTCAGAGCACGCATTGCTGTAAGAGTACCGACTCCACCGGGGGTCAGGGTAGAATCAAGGGACAGCTGCAGCCAGCAGCGGCATGATACAGTGGGTTGGGGCCGTTGATTCTCCAAACAAGGGGGCCAGCGTTGAGAGCTGCCCTACGCACTCCGTATTACGTAGTGTGTGCATTGTACTATCCTGCTTTCGTCGAACGAATGGCGGTCCTGCGTGCTGAGAAGAGTTTACTTAACCTCCCCCCAGCTTCCAGCTCCCAGGTTGGTCTGGGAGAGCAAAAAGGAGGCTGCCCCGGGATTTGTTTGTGAGCCCCAGGCCCCCTCACGAGCACAGAGTCAGAAGAAGTCTTTGGCCAAAATACTGCCGCAGCGGAGCTTATTCCGGGCCAGCCTCCTTAGATCACTCAATAAATGAAAATAGCATGAGCGAGACTGACATCATATGATTGAGCCGCACGTACCTCCAACATCGAACGTCCAGTATGACGCTTCAGCTTGGATGATGATTGAAAAGCGATGAAGCTGATGCAGTGACCCTGTGGATTTAATCGCGCAGAATTGTACACTCCATGCAGCAACAGCAGCAGCAGCAGCAAGAGGAGGGCGAGGAAGTGAAAAGACGCAGACAGGAGTCGAGGTTGAACTGCACGCCTGGGGTCGTTGCTTACCTACCCAAGGAGGCCTGTCGTGGCTGACCCCTCAATGAAATCTTCCCTGTTGAGACCTAACTGCCCTCGAGTTTATGGGAACGAACTAATAGGATTAGCTGAATCAACCCGTCGCCGAGGCAGCTTCACGCCCAAACGTCTCAGCCAACAGGAGTCGACGGCTATTACATCGGCCTCCTCTTGTATTCACAATCTCATCTTACGCCGTGCCCACGAGTGAACCGAGGTTTGGGGTTTTATTGACTGCTCTCGGCAATCCACGGACGTCTAGGGATGGACTGGAAGCCAGGACCTGTGCACCCTGTCCCAGAGGGCCAAACAAATGACCGATCGGCGACGGGCTTAAGACGACTTTTGCCAGCGGCCAGCAGCAGCGTCGTCGGTCCTAGCGGGGGACATTTCAATAACCCTCCCGAGCGTTTAACGAAGCACACTCGACATCAAGTGCCTGCGGCATGCCTGCAATGCCGAAAGCGAAAAGTCAAGGTACTAATCTTAATTTTTTTTTATCAGAAAGATCTCGGGTCTCTTGATTGTTTGGATGTATCTCATCAAACCCCCCAAGATTCGATGCCATGTACAAGTATCTGACCAAAACGTTATCATGTTCTGTATCCGACTCGGAAGCCTGTCACACTGTGACTCCCTGGCAGTCAGGTCAGCTGAAAGAGAGCTTTCTCCCAGCAGGTGGGGAAAAAAAAACACACGGCAGTTTTTCTGTTGCAAAACTGCCAGCCTTTCGCCGACGTTAAAGAGGCAAATCAAAGTTTTTACAAGCCATTGAGATTGCGAAACTGACAAAATTTGACGGGTTATTGTAGTGCTCAGGGGAAAGGCCATCATGCCATCGATGCTCCCAGAACGAACTCGACTGTGAATGGGACACGGAGCCCGATACGCCGCGCGTCGTGTCCATCCGGAAGCGTAAGGAAGAGCTCGAACGCGAAAATGAGGACCTGCACGAGCTGTTGCGTTTCTTGCACTCTCGACCAGAGGAGGAGGCCGTTGAGATTTTCAAGCGGCTGCGAGAATCCGGCGATGCGCTACAGGTACTCGATTTTGTGCGCAATGCCGACCTGCTCTTGCAGAGACGACAAGTGGTCAAGAGCGCAAGCCCAAACGATTCCAACCGCTTCAGTGCCGACGTTGACGATCTGCCAGCAGGCTTTCTAAAAGTCCCTGCGCGGCCATGGACCACTCTGGCCAACGATGGCGTCGTCTCGGAGCTTATAACTGGCTTTTTCAAGTGGGACGAACCCTTTATCCTGGCGTTTGTAGACCGCGAGGCATTTCTCGAGGATATGCGTGGCTGTCTGCCCGAGACAGCCAAGTACTGCTCCTCACTGCTTGTCAACGCCATCTGCGCGCTGCGAAGTGTATGTTTCGAGAAAAACCCTCCCACCGCTCATTGTCGGAGCGAGTTTCCTTTCGGGGGGCAGGTGGCTGTACTAACTCAATGGGCTCAAAGCACAATTCAAGACGCGCAAAAGCCTATGGACACGTGAACGGGTGCGATATGCGATCCCTATTCTTCGAAGAAACGAAACGGCTACTGGACGACGAAAAAGGACGGACATCGCTATGCACCGCCCAGGCTCTCTTCATAATGTACCTTTCGGCGGCAGCTATGGGAATGGACCGTTCCGCGCGTATGTATCAACTTGCCGCCTGCGATATGGTGCAACATTTCCGAATCCCACATAGCACGAAGGCGAAGGACGAGGAAAAAGATAGAGGCTTGATAGCAAAGGCCTTGTGGGGGATGTACTGCTTCGAGAGGTTGGCACAACGACCACGTCGGTTCCAGTTCAATATTTCGGATTGACTGACCAGTTCGCCAAACGCAGTATTCTTGCCTTTGCCTACCTTCGACCGTCCCTTCTCCAGACACCGCCGATTCCGCAAAGTTATATCAGCCAATATACCAAAGATACGTCAGCTTTCACTCTTAACGACCGTCAAAACGCGGCGCTGCTCAACGCGTCCTGCGGCTTGTCGATAATATTCAATAATTCAATGGAGTACAACGGCCACATAGATGTAGAGAAACTGGGAAGCGAAGAAGACATCAAGAGACGGATCGAAACCTTCTCCGAAGTACGAGCATGGCGCGACGCGATACCCCACGACCTACAGGTCACAGACGCATTCTACCCCCCAGCATATTACTTGAGGTAAGAAGCGGCCCTGTTTGCGTCGATTAGTCGTCCGCTCTGTTCAACAGTCTAATCGTTCGGTAGAGCTTACGAAGACCAAGTCATCATGAGCATATTCCGGCCTCTAAAGCCGGACTATCACCTACCAGAGGATGGGTATGTGGGCGATTTGCTCCTAGCATACTGTGAACGCAGCATCGCTGGCATTGAAGAATATGAGCGGGCACTCACCCTTCGAGACTGCTCGAGCATGATTCTCATCCCGCTGTTCAATGCATCCGTCACGCTGGCGAGGTTGTTGCGTCGTCAAAAGACTCCTGACCTTTTCGCACGGGCATGCCGATTGATACGGGATCGCGTGGACGATTTCCCTTGTGCTAGGTTATTTTTGCAGGGTCTTTTGGCGATGGCAGCAGAGAGCGGGGATGAAATACCAACGGTGGCAAAACAACATTTCGAAGGACTTCAACTGAACGAGGGCGTGCTAAGGGATGTGCCAATCAGCTTCGTCGTTCCATCCTATGAGGACGGGAGGGGTGGGCTAGAACGTTGTGATGCTGGAGTTCAGTTGGGCTATCTGATTTCGAATTGGAGTTCGCTCTTTGCGTCCGAGCGACCCGACGACAGTTGACGACACTAAACTCCATACGGAGAACAACAGCCAATGTAAATCAAGCCGGGTTTTAGTAGACAATAAACGATTTAAAAATAATGAAGGCGATAGCCCCGCGTCTTTCAAAAATCTTGCCTCAAGTAAAACGTGAATGTCCATAGAGTCTTTGTCTAGACAGAAGTTGCTGCCAAAGCCAAGAATCAGATTTCCTTGCTACAAGGATTACTCTGCGGCTCAAAAGCGGCTTGTTTTCTCTGTATTCAATACTATATCTATGAATGTTGACTTAAAGCCTCTGTCCCCGTCACAACCACGTCATCAGCATCTTTTTTCCCCTTCTTCACCAGTTTCCGAGTAAATACCCACCGGGCAACAATGCGGGGGAGAACGAGCTATTTTAAGCGATATTAGAAGCACTAACAATCTGAAAGTCTCACAAAAAAAAAAGGTGGTATTGGTCAAGTGAACGTATTGAGCTGTATGAGTGGAGGTAAACGTGGCAAGTTTGCGCTACCTGAACAAGCTGCGAGGACTGATCAGTAGGTAGTAGCCGATGACTAGAGAGCTTGGGAGGCAGAAACAAGATGATGAGGGCATGATAAGGCCTTGTACGCCTGTACGTCACACGCTTTGCACCCCGGCCTGTGAAAGGGGGCTGATGCGTACTGGTCCCCAAGGGAGTAAATGGTACAGTTAGTACATGGACAACACCAGTGGTGTTCCTAATCCGAGCCAGAGGAGTAAAAACTATGTTTTTCATTTAAAAATCAACGAGGAAATCTCCGAAGACGCGCGGATAATTGAGATACGATCAGGCAATGAATAAACATCGCAAGTGTAGCTTGGACTCGAGGGCTTGGACAGGCTGAAACTCCAAACGAAGTCAAGCTCTTTGATGGCATTGAATGCATAAAACCATACGAAGAAACGAGTCAGCCAGTCAATTGGCCCTGAAGATACAGGCGAGCCAAATACGCCGTGGCAATGGGGCCACTGTGCGTATTTACCCTTTTGTCAACGGTAGGGTGGGCTTGGAAATTGCCTCGTTGTACGCCGCCATGCTTGATAGCAATTCAGTTCGCTGTTTTTCTTTTCACTTGATGACCAGCGGACGATATTGTCCTGTTCCGGAAGCACATGATTGATATAGCTTCCTCGACAGACGATTCTCTTACGAGACATGGGCTTAAAAAGTCGGCAGTAGAGCGATTCTATGGAGGCAAACATTCTGAAGTAACACGTCAGATTTGCGTGCAACAGTGTAATGGATTCCGCTTCATTCACGTCAAATCTGGAGGAAAACCACTTCTTGTCGCCGACGGGGAACGTCGCCAAAGACAGTGACAGTGAGTGGGTGTTCTGAAAAGAGAGTGCCGTTTGCTGGCAGGCAGCCCGAAAGTATTGGCCTGTAGTAGCTGCGACTCACCATTCCCTCAACGTTTGTTGCTTTCAGAGGGTCCTAGAACAATGAGAAAGACAGTCGGAGAAATTAGTCCGGATCATGGCTGCGGGGCCTCAGATGTTGTATCATTGTACGAATGATAATACCTATCTGACTGGCGACAAATGTATCGTGTCGTTCTCATACATTGGCCTCGAAGATGAAAGTTAGTGAGTAGATCAGTCGATTCATACCTTGGAAAAGGACCAGAATGCTCCCAAGCAGTGGCACCGTTGATGCGAGGGACACGCCATGTCTTCTGCTAACTGTAATGATATTGGTGCGACCTGAGGGCCTTAACCGGGTCGGACCAGACCCCTTTCAGCAACAGGGATGACAGCTTGCTGGGACATCATTGGGTAGGGCACTGACATGGCTTGAGGGACCAGCTATTACATCTGGCCCTGTCAGCTATTGTTGATCAAGTTCCCTTATCCCCAAACCCAATAGTTACAAATACGCACACGGAAATGCCTCGTCCCGGCAGTCCATCCTACAGCCCAGGCCGTCGTTCCCTCATTCACACCTCCCCTCAAGATGGACTCGAAACGTGGCGATGATGCAAACGACACGGCGACGTCTTCTCAGGCCTCTAGCTTACCAAACAACCTGCGGACTCTTCTACCAGCGCCAACAGCAACTAGCCCACCTGTTATCTCGGAACCGGAGCAGCCCCCAAAGCCACCCAGGCAGCCTGTCCCGGCTGCGTGTCTGCAATGCCGCAAGAGGAAAGTAAAGGTAACACGACGAGGAATGGTGAAAACATGAGCACATGAATCGAACATTCGTACGTATAGAGCAAAAGTATCTTTTGCCACACCGTCGCTTTTAAGGAGGATGGCATTGGTTTTCGGCATCAACTCCGGTGATGTGGGGCAACGCGGTTAGGAAAATATCAAATCAGTCATACAGATGCAGCACACACAATCTCGTCCAAACAATGCCAGATTCCCCTCCCATCACCTTTGGCCGCCAGAATCTAAACTTATTCATTTTTGATTCGCAGGTGGTGTCATACTAACCGTTCGTCTCCTTTGACCTAGTGTACTGGCACTCGACCAACTTGTTCCCGCTGCTCCATCCAGGGGCTCGACTGCAAATGGGATACCGAACCGGACACGACCCGTTCCGAATCACTTCGGCGACGGAATGAGGAGCTGGAGCGAGAGAACGAGGATTTACACGAGATTTTGCGATTCTTGACTCATCGGCCCAAAGAAGAAGCGCTGGAGATCCTCAACCGATTGCGATCTACTGGTGACGTGTTCCGAGTGTTGGAGCTCGTACGCGTGGGAGACCTTCTTCTTGGAAAACACTCGAAGGATACCTAAAAAACTTGGAAACTCCATTAATACGGTCGCACCAAAGATCAAGTCCGAACATGCGGGTTCCATTCGACCTGGGGCGGGTGGGAGGACAGATGGCACCAGCGACAGAACGTAAACACAACATCCGAATTTGATGAGGAAACACCCGACTTCCTCATCACTATCACTACAAACGTTTCAGCATCATTTTCAATTTGATAATTGCCTGGGGATTTCCGAGATGGGTTGGCTCGTCCTCGAAGCGCTGCTCAAGTTGATCACCAGCCCGCGAAGAACTTTGACTTGGCGCGACGGAATTGACTCAACATGCCGACTCGCGGCCACCGGAAGTTTCAAGCGGAAATCGAATGGCAGTATCAAACAGATTCGGACCACGATGACAACTTGCGGATCGTCTACTGTGCTGCAGCTCTTAGTGGCTCTCAACTAGGCGGAGGAGCAACTTCGTAGACGACCGACAACGCAAGCACCAAGCAACAATCAGGAATCCGAGTATAAGTATCTTGTACGTGAGACAATCTTAGGACTGGTATTCCGCTTGATTTAGCTGGCCGATTACCTGAAAAGGTCATTGGTAGCATAGGAGTTGTAGCCTTAATAACGCTTCCACATCCGCAGACAGGCTCTTCTTCTAGTAAGTTTCGCCCTTGAAAAGCTACTAGTAGCTTGGATTTATTTTTAAATCTTGAGGGCGGGCCTTTCAAGAATTCACAGCTGACAACGATGAAGGATTTTATTAGATTTCTGCACGATTCGATGGATGCCGATGACATCCCGATACTATTCTAAAAAAAAACAATGACCACACCCGATCGAGACATCGCCGATATGTCATTCTACCAAGGAGGAATAATGAAGGGCGTGGAAAGAAACGATAATTGATTGTAGTGGTTGGATGTTGCTCACCAGCTACATGTGGAAAATTTAATTGGCGTGGCGTATTCGACTATGAAACCATTCTCCATACTTGCCTTCAATCAACGACAGAAGACGATGGCCACGTTACCCGTAGGCAAAAAGCCTCGTAACAAACCCCCAGCTGACCTTGCTCAAGGACACAACTAAACTATAGGGGAAAGCTAAATGTGCACATCAAGGGGGGAAAAAACCAACCAACAAACTTCAAGAGCATCTTTTGCTCGGCAGACAGCACTATCTCGACGCACATAATATCAAATTTACATTATCATGACCTGGTATATTACAGGTCGGTGATGCCGAACCTATAAGTTTCATACTGTTCTTTTTAATATACCCAAACCCGTATTATTGTCACATTCCCTATTGCTTTAATTGTCATCTGTTGTGCGATTGAGGCGCGGTGTTGTCGCGTCGTCGGCGACTCGGTCTCCGGTGGCATTTCCTCTTGTTAGTTGCAAGTCAGTGTCGCCAAAGTCAAAGCAAGTGATAGTGCTTCTAGTACTATGGCATGAGTAGTGGTGTCTATTCTGCTTTCCTACCGTACGCGACTTCCACTACCTTAGTTGGGTAGCATCGAGCCGAGACGGCGTCCACCTTATATGTTATTCCACAACCTGTTATCGTTGACCCCGGTGCAAATCCCATGTGTGTTTGATGTCCTTCGATATATTAGCCGCCGGTCCAAGACTCGGCAATCTGTCATGCTCTGATCTGCCGAACAAATCTGAAAATGTATTTCGAGAGCTATCGATGTATTGATGACGCTGGGGCTTTGCTAGTATTGAAATGAAGCCATCTCAAGAGGCTCTCGCGCTGCTACTTTCATACTGCCTCAGGCGAAAACCCCTTCTTTTATTTTGGTTCGTTCACCTTGTGTTAGACGATTCCGAGATATTGAAGGGTGTTGCTATTCCCGACGTGACAGTAAAAAGAAACACGTCCAATGTTCCTAGGCGGCCGTAAAGTCATTGTAATGATAACCAGGTCGTTTGGAGGACGTCTGCTAGTTGAATGTTGGAGCTTTTTGATGATGTTTGCTACCTTGGGTTGCGAACGAGTTTAACAAGTGCATCGAGAACGAATTTCTGGCCACCCTAAACACATTTGCCACCCGTGAGCTGGACAAAGCCGGGCCATGTAGCTGCCTGCGCTAAGCGCAGAATTGCCATTACTTATGCATCGGGCCAAATCGTAACTTCCTACCGAGCTGGCTGTCCTTCTTCTTGGATCCATCGGCTAACTTGGCCATGGATCTGGCAACTCAAGATAGTGAAATTTCAACGAGGGGCCTGCTCTCGGATGTGATTCCCAAGCGAAGGCGCTGGGGATTTATTCACACGGGCCGCATCGGTCGGGTTGTCGAGCATCGGACCGAACCGTTTGGGTCTAAGCGTTTCCTGTCAAAATGGCAAACGCACCCAAACGGGTTTGCCGCCCAGCATTTCTGCGTTTCTTTTGAAAGCCTTTTACAAACGAGGGACGGAATTTTGTTACATGCTTCACTCTCAACTAGGACGACGCGCCTGATCGGGTGATGTGGAGATTGCGAAGATGAAGCTAGGTATCTCATCAAGCGCCACAAGACACCATTTTGGCCAAGGGAGAGATAAAGCCAATCAGGACTCCTCTGTCTACCAGTTTTGTTAACTCATGTATTTAAATTTATTCTTTGCAAAGTCAAGGCGTCAGAGGCACTAGCCGCCCCCGTCAGTACACAATGTTATGTCATGATACCAAGATTGATACGAGCACAGTGTACAAGGGAAGGCAACATACGGCTCATTTATCAGATGCAATGCGGAGTGAAAGTGGCTATTAAAGTGGATATTTTAGTCTTGGCATAAATTGCGTCTTGTGGCACTCAACAGGATACTAGCCATTAATGCTCTTTGAGTGCAGCCCTCAACGAACAGCAATGGTAACTGCGCTGGAACAGAAACATGTTGCTGCTATTGAAAGAAATACGGACGAGAAGGAGCAAATAATCGACGAGCCCTGGGTGCGGATTGAGTGCGAAGTGCTTGTGCCACATTTGAGAGTGCATAAACGCTGAAGGAGATGAGGGCCCAAGTCATGAGAATTTTAAGCAGGTCCCTTGTGGTTGAAGGCTTTTAACCATCATTCGTAACATTGACTTAGAGGGCAGTTTAAAGACAGCCTTGAGGCAACTCTCAATGATTGTAAATTTATAAGGAATATTACTTGGGATTCATCCAGGAGTTGTATTTGCGGTCCTCGGACCAGCAACCTGACCGAAGGATAGCGAGTGGAGTAATAGTCAATCAGTAACAGACAGTACGAACTTCTTTCTAGCCCCATACATATTTTTACAGGCTTTGGAAAAATATGGATCGCTTTGTGGCTTGCAATGTGCCTGTCAGCCGCAGTCGATGGGATAGATTCAGCGGGCCGCGGGGTTTTCTTTGCCCGCGGTTGAAATATCAAGCGAAGCTTGGTCCATCTCCACGGTAATTCCGCTCCTGCTTGCTCTTGAGACCTTTGCACGTGAGTCAAACAGTCGGAAACAATCGATAGAGTCCGAAAACATTTACTTACCTCCATTGAAGAATCATAATTACCACCCAAACCACGATGCCTGAACAAAAGCTTCACAAACATCACGTATCGAAAACCACCCGCACTAGTGGGGCATGTTTGGCCTGCAGAGCAAAGAAACACAGGGTGGGTTCCTAAGCCATTGACTGGAGCTACATTGATACGCAAAGGGGAATATTGAACTGACTGCAGTGTTCAGTGTAGCGGAGATAGGTGTGTTTACTTACCTTCAGTTGGTAAATTGAGTAACAAGGACCTGTTCTAAGTCTTCATCTCCAAGACCACGATGCGCACAATGCGGTATCAACAACGTTGTGTGCCAATGGCCGGAACCGAAAAAACGGTACGTTTGGATTTGATTTCTCTCAGGAATCAATCAGAAGGAAACTGATAATCTAAACCAGCGGCCCTCCTAAGCATTATATCATCACGATGGAGAGGCGTCTACTTGAAACGGAAAACATGCTCTGCGCTCTAATGTCACAGGCCTCAAATGATCAAATCGAGTCTGCCTTCCTTGAATTGAAACATATCAGGCAGAACTGTGACGGTCACGCAGAAACATTCGAATCTACTAGAGGAAATAAGTTTGGGCCCGCTTACTGGGAAAAGTTCCCTTTAAACTCTGTTCAGAGCGCGAAAAGCTGGTGGACCGATCGGTCATTGGCCGTTATTGATGGTGCTTCATCCTCTATGCCAGAGCCTACCGATTGTATGTTGGATGATCAAGAATCTCCTCACAGTGGCAATGAGTATGGCGAGGAAGTAGTCTTTGAGACATCTGAAACCTTGGCCAGTAAATCTCAGGCTTCTATGGCTACCAATATGTCGACCAATCTGGTTGAATCCCACATTCCAGATTTTGAGCAAGGAAGGTCTGATCAAGAGATTGACGAGGCTCTAGAAGGCAGCGATGTAACATCGATGAGATCAACCAGAAGAGCCATACTTACGCCTCATAACAAGGAAGAATCCCAAAGGATACCGACAAACCCTTCTCCTGCACAGGGCTTGGAAGATTTTGAAGAGGCATTTATTTGGTAAAATAGATACAACTTATCTCTATGGAAAACCGAATAAGTTCGTTCTTTTCTAAGTAAGATATAGCACGCGTGACAATGAAGGCATTGGTTGGGCGAGTACCTAGGGCAATGTTCAGCATTATCAGTTTCCTTTCCCCGTATGACTAGTTTCGACCCGTCCAGATTCTTCACTGAACCTGTCCTCTGATGGGATAGATTTAGAACAGATTCAATGTGCTATGCCTACTACACCTCACATTCGGCTACTTGAGCCAGAGTAGGCGCTGAGCGAGAACATGCGTCGAGTGCGGAGTAATTCAACTCCGCAGATGACCCACCCACAACCAACCTTTGATATCACACTCCATACCCCCTCATGCCCCTCTAGCGGTGACAATGTCTAGGGGAAACTCTAGTAAATATTGACCCTTTCAGTTGTCACGAAAAGATGCCGGAGATTGGAAGTCTTAGGGCTCTTGCCAACGGTGAGAGTCAGTTTGTCGGTAGCTCTTCCGGTGTCTACTTCATCAATACTGTGAAGCGAGCTTTTTCATCCAACGCAAAGGTTACAGCAGAAAGCACCCAATGTACCGAAACCTCAGATGCAAGGCTTCATAATGAGCCATCACCAGAAGACTGCATAGTTGGCGTGGAGGAGCGAAGGGAAGGCGCCAACACGACAATAGTAAACGACTACGATTCACACACGCCTTCAACCAAACCGCCCTCGCAGATCACTACTATCTCGGATTTCTGGGATGACATGCGCGACCTACCCGACTATTCAACAGCCAGGAAACTAGTCCTGACATATTTTAAGATATGGCATCCACTAGTCCCATTCTTGCAAGGGCCAGAGTGCCTTGCGGAGTTGAAAACCCTCTACACCTCTGAGGACCAGGACAAACACGACGCTGCCTTCATCAGTCGCCTAGTCACCTTCAGATGTATCTTCAACATTTCTCTGCTTGACTGTGATGATGCTCTGAATATAGGCTCTGTAAAGATTCGAGCTAGCTCAGATCTCCTGCCTACTCTTAGCCTTCTGGCCCTCCGAAGTGACGCCCGGTCCATCCAGGCATTGCTTTGTGCTCAAGTCTACTTCGTTGCAGTCATGTCATTGAGGCATGCATCATCTATCGGCGGCCTCATATCTAAATCGATCTTTCAGTCCGGTATGCATCGTTGTCCTGTTCGGTACGAACACTTGTCTGAAGACGAAAGGTCAATGCGAAAGCGTATATTCTGGAGTTCCTATGTTCTCGACCGCTTTGTTAGCCAGTCATTGGGACACCCAAGTGGAATTCAGGACTCTGATATCGATGTATGCCCTCCTGGAAATCGAGAATTTCATGAAACTGTTCCAAAACTAGCGACTTCTCCTTCGGGATCTGCAGCAGAAAATACAATACTACACCTTCCAGCCAATCATCGCGGACGGCGGGCAGCGTCTGCAGAGCAAGAGGACAACAGCAGAGGGTCTTCCATAGAAGCAGAGGAAGATGTCGAGTCTCAAGCGACGATACATCCTCGTGAAGAGTCAAGTTGCGATACATTCACCACATCCGCTGCAATTCTGAGACATCGCCGAGAAACACAAGCCATCCTCGAAAGCCACGTCCGCCATTCACGACTAGTTGGAAGGATTCTTGACGTTTTTCACAAATCTATCCATGCTCGTGACATGAACAATCAAACGATCCTTTACCTCAAGGCTGACATATCCTCCTGGGGCAATAACCTCGCGAATCCGCAGCTGAATTTGAGTCCTTCAGATATTGCGGAGCTCACCCCAAACCCCAAAATGTTTCCCTTCATCACCTATCACTACACGCTACTCCTCTTCAACAGACCATCTCTGTCTTTAGACTCAAGATGCGCTGAATTTCAAGCAGCGCTTCAGGCGTGCATTAGTACTGCAAACAAAATCATCACAACAGTCGAACATTATTCACAGTCAGGTGGGCCGTTGTTCTGGCCTGGCTACATGTCTGCCGTTTGGATGAGTGGTCTTGTCTTGGCACTTGCTGCTCGGCTCAAAGCGTACAAAGTCCACAAAGCTCAGGCGTAAGGCTTCTTTACTTCCTTTCATAGGAGTGTTGACTAATGAGATGGCAGTGGTATTCAAGCAGCCCTAAACTTGCTTGTAGTTATGGAGAAACGATGGCACATGGCACGTGACTGCAGAGAAGTTCTTTCCATTCTGCTGGCCAGTATTGAAAGTGAAAAGAGAGGATGTAAGAGAAAACGTTTGGGAGAAAACACAACGTCTGAAAGTCCAGCGTCGATCATCAATGACAACATGGCGAGCAATCTGAGAGAGGCCAAGAGGCCTGCTACGACTGTGTCCGCGTTTCGAGATCGCAACGACCGCAGCCAAATCAGATCGTCTCGAACCTCCCCTTGGCTTTCATCAAACAGGACTGAGAATCAACAGCCAAGGCATTTCGCTCAAAACGGTTCAGGATATGTGACAGCTGATCGAAGTCGGAATTACAACGCGCCTTGTACAGGAGTGACTCAGTATAGTGACATCGTACCGCTTCAACCGCCAACAGGTACTGCCGACTTTTTTCAAATGCCCAACCAGCCCGAAACAGACATATTTGAATCATCTTTCAATTCTAATTCACAAAACTCTATCCCAAGCATGAATAATTATATCGCACCTATTCCTACGACTTTTCCAGATCGGCATCGCATGGGACTGGGACAAATGGACCAATCCAACAATGTTGAAAACTTCTTCGATATATTTGACGGGGCTACATGGGGTTCTCTCATTGACATAGTCAATGGTGCGGGAGTTGGCAATTAGATTCGGCTCATATGTTTGCACAGGCCTTTCTTATCTAAGCACGCACTCATTTGTCTGGGACCTGCAGTAGGCTTCTCTATGCGTTGCTACGTAAAACAATAAGAAATTATAACCTTCAGTCCGAAAACGCAACTATTGAACCTGTGAGCGGACGAATGTTTCGACGTTCTCGACTTCATTGCTACTGAGTGATACTAAGAAACCATAATGCCAGCTTCAGTTGTTATCCAGAAAAATAGGCTTCCGCACAGTGAGAAGTATCTTCGATATCGACTTACTTCGGATTTTGTTGCATTTGTGGCTCAGTTTGGCGGGACAAAGCTAGTAGGGTTGTAAGTTTGTCGCTTGCTGACCTTTGAGATGGCACTATGGAGGCCATAGTCTTAGGGAGGTAGCCCTTCATTATAGTAGGAGTAATAAACGGTCCAAGTAAGTCGCCACCCTCTTGTCATACACGATACCCTTAACCTTAACTCCGCAAGGAGTTCTGATGCAAAGTCTCAAAGCAATAAGGCTGTCTACTTGCGGCTTCATTGGAGCTGAAACAAGGATTACGGATTTTGAACGAGAGTTTAGTATCCTAGAGCTAATCTCTGTAATATGTGAGCAATGTGAGAACAATAGTTTGTATTGCAACTTGACTGTGTACGCAGCATTTTGTGCACATTGATTATATGCAGCAAATTTGGTCGACTGAGCTTGAAAATACTGCTGACACATAGATAATGCTCAAAAAACAAGGAAAGTAATCACACAAGAAGCCGACTACCCGGAAAATGTCACTTAGGCTTCTGGAACTAGCAATGTCCTCGGCGCGGGACTTGAGTGGTGAGAAAGCCGCGGCCAAATATTTAGCCGCTGACACCCCTCACATGGGTTGGCGCCCGACTTTGAATGGCGGCAATCATCTTCCGATATCTTTGGTAATAATCAGCATAGCGGCTATATATTGCCATACTGTAAGCTCGCTGACCCTGGTATCATTTTCCAAACCTCATCGACATTAACGATACACTGACAATGACCTCACAAACATTGAAGATCGCGGTTATTCCAGGAGATGGCATCGGCAAAGAGGTGATGCCGTGGGGTGTACGTTGTCTCGAAGCAGCCGCCAAAGTTTTCAATCTCTCGTTACAGTTTGAGAATTTCGACTTTGCGAGCTGTGACTATTACCAGAAGCATGGCGAAATGATGCCGCCCGATTGGAAAGAGAAGCTCCTCCAATTCGACGCCATCTACTTTGGCGCAGTCGGCATGCCAGATCTCGTCGCCGACGACGTCTCACTTTGGGGGAGCTTGCTCAAGTTCCGCCGCGAGTTCGATCAATACATCAATCTACGTCCATGTCGTTTGATGCCTGGTGTGAAATCGCCATTGGCCAACCGCAAGCCTGGTGACATTGACTTCTGGATCGTCCGTGAAAATACGGAGGGCGAATACAGCAGTATCGGCGGCAAAATTTTTGAAGGAACAGAACGAGAGACTGTGATTCAGGAGACGGTAATGACAAGAGTGGGCGTCGACAGGGTCCTTCGTTATGCGTTCGACCTTGCTAAGAGCCGACCTCGCCAAAAGCTCACCAGTGCTACCAAGAGCAACGGCATTAAGATTACCATGCCATACTGGGATGCCCGTGTGGAGGAGATGGCAAAGAATTATCCAGAAGTCAAGCTTGAAAAGTATCATATCGACATCTTGACTGCGCACTTCGTACAGCGCCCGAACATTTTTGACGTGGTCGTTGGAAGTAACCTCTTTGGAGACATCCTCTCAGATCTCGGTCCTGCTTGCACGGGAACAATTGGTATCGCGCCGTCGGCTAACATCAATCCCGATGGAAAGTTTCCCAGTCTTTTCGAACCTGTTCACGGCAGTGCCCCTGATATTTTTGGCAAGGGTATTGCCAATCCGGTTGGGATGATATGGGCTGGACAGATGCTCCTCCAGCACTTCGGACACACGGATGCCGCCAACCTGGTACTTAAAGCTATCGAGAATGTTCTTGCACGCTCCGAAGTCTCTGTAATGACACCTGACTTGGGAGGCCAAGGCACAACGAACGGGTTTGGCCAGGCAATCGAATCAGAGATATATGCTCTGGGTCAGAGTAAGTAAACTGAAGACCCAGCTTGACATTGTTATCAAGGGGACCATCTTATAAGGATGTTGAAATTTGGAAAGAATTTCTGTTCGATATATGTCCTGGAGAGGACCACAGACAGAGGCTTAGACCTATGAAGTAGAATATCCCCCACTTAGTCAAACGCCTTCTGAAGTCATTCAGAGAGAGTTCTTGTTCATTAACCGAGAATCTGCCTTTTGTATGTGGCGAAGTTATAACTTCCGTAGGGTATGAAAGTCCCGTGCGGGTGACAGAAATTTTAGATGGCTATGTGAAAAAATAAAGTGGAGGTGGAATTTTATAATTAAAAAGTGAGATTCTTAGTTTCCCAGCCCGTCAAGTGTAAAAGGGAGGGAGTTTTGCCTTCTTGGCCTAATGCCAGGTGCCTTGCCGAGTGACCCACCGGCTACACGAGCTCCCGGTGTTGCAACTTTTGCAATGGAAGTCATTGAATGTCACGGCTCGACTGGCTGTGCTAGAGACTGGAATATTGTTTTAAGTAATCTATCGTTACACACTATCATACATGCTTGATCACAAGTATGTGTACGAGTGTCACGCTAAACAATAAAAAAAGCATCAACCATAACAGCAGATCAGACGAAATGGTCTCACGTAGGGACTAAGAATAGAAGATATGTAATAAAAAGCTGCTTTGATGCTTTTCTGTGCTCAAGTAAGGGCCACATTTTGGCACACGAAGGACCTTTGATCGGGTTTAAGCAAAGCGATGATGACCTAAGAATAGTGAGTTTTGTCTAAGCGGCCTTCCCATTGCCACATAGTTTTACTGCCTCTGACCAAACTTTGTGTGTGTGTGTGTGTGTGAATGTCCCCCACTGTCATAACTTGTGGAGTTCATTGTAAAAGTGAAATATCTCGTAAGTAATTGCTACCAACGAAGTTGAACAGAACATCCATTCCTTTTTGGTCTTTGACTTCACATTTATAAGTAAGGGCAACTAATTGCTAATGTAATCTGCTAAAAAACTACTTATGCGGTTGCACGTCACCTCTAGATAACTTCAACCATTATCAAAACTTACTGTCAACCATTTCTTTGAAAGATGGATAGTAGATCATTTGGTATAGTCTAGTTTATTGTGTGAGGTACAATTTAAGGAAATTAGGGGTAAGGCACAGGAGCAGGGCTGGGCATCCTTGCCATGACTGGGACAATGGTCGGAAGGGCTGCTAAAGTGACAAGAGTGACAAGAGTGACAAGAAAAGTACATAATGTGAAGAGTTGGTGATGAATTTAAGACGTGTCGCTAGTCTAGCGGACTGTTCAGACGACTAAGAATGTCTTGTTAAAGGGCGTATCTGCTCCTGCTAGTTTTACCTCTTTGGCCTTTTACCGTCGCTTTCTCGGCACGGCTGACGAAGTGGCCCATTTTTGACAACGACAGCTTATGTTAAAAGCATAGAAACAAAAGACTACCTCACTTTCCTTTGTACTCATCTTCTCAAACACTTTCATGACTACCCTTGCGTACTCGCCAAGTTGCGAATTCGCATTGAATCGGCCAAAATCTAATAGACTCGGTGTCTGAGTGAAATGCTGTTGATGGCCATCTATTGTCAAAAAGTCCAATGTGGAAGAAAGCCCAAAAGAAGCATTGCATTTGGGTATCTGAGTGTGAGAGGCATTGCCAACTTACAGCTTACAGGAAAGATTGATTGGATCAATTGAGGCTCATCGGTCTTACTTATAATCTCAGTATATTAATCCACGTGAATTCCGTTTTGAAGGTCCTGGCTTTTCAAATTGGCCGCGATTTCAAGCGCAAATGTTTGAACAATCTTCATTTTTAAGAGAATAGACACCGTAAATTCCTCTGCCGTCCATGTCAACCTAGCAACACCACCGACCCCTAGCAACACACCAATCCCTACTTTTATACACCAACACCACTTACACCGATTCGCTTCCCTGTTTAAAACCCACCGTTGGGATGGATAAGAACCTTTGTGTATCCATCGATTCTTTTATCGAATTTCTCATAAGCTACCTCTGCATCATCAATGTTGATCTCATGAGAAACAACAAAGCTAGGTTTGGCCTTGCCTGCGATAATCAAATCGCGCAGGTACCTGTTGTATGCTTTAACATTGCATTGACCGGTGCCGAGAGATAGGCCCTAAAATTGTTAGTCCTTTGTTCATCAGATTCACAAGCCATTCCGAAAAATACCTTCTCGAAGAGCTTGCCAAAGCTCAGGCTAATCATGCCCTTTGCCGAGGCGGAGTCTGAGGCACCAGGATCACTGCAGAAAAGATCAGCTAACGGAAGGGGGTATCAGATACAGTAATCCTCACCTGGGGACATAGAGACCTGGAATACCCAGTCCTCCGCAGGCTCTTGTGACTTTGATCATATTTTCCAAGACGATGTTGGGCTGCTCTGTGTTGCCGCTAGTGCCGACGGCTTGATATCCTACAGCGTCCACCGAACGGTCCACTTCACCACCATTCGACTTGATGATTTGGTCCACAGCATCACCCTTTGAGAAGTCAATAGGCGTGCATCCAATCTTCTCGGCCGACTGCAAACGCTCAGGGACACGGTCAACAACGTAGACACGAGAGGCTCCCCTTAGGACGGCAGAATATGCAGCCATTAGACCGACAGGGCCAGCGCCAAATACGGCAACACTTTCACCGGGCTTGAATCCAGAGAGCTCAACACCGTGCCAGCCTGCACGCGTTAACATAACATTCTAAAACATCTCTTGGGTTCAAATGTCGGGTCTCACCGGTAGGGAAGATGTCCGCTAGAAGAATGAAGTCGGCTTCAAATTCTTTCCCAGGTGGAAGCTTCAGGGCATTGAAATCGGCATAAGGTACTCTCAAGTACTGAGCTTGTCCTATGACAAGTTAGTCTTGCGTAATGGAAATCCAAGCGCTCATCGTATCCCTACCTCCAGGGTACGGTCCCATCGCAACATATCCTAGAGAATGTCAGCCAGGTTCAGTCTCAAGCAAAACAAATGGTACAGACCGTAGGCACCACCAGCAAAGCCGGGGTTGACACCAGTGCAGAAAGCAGTGCGTCCCTCTTCACAGTTTTGACAGCGGCCATCGGCGACGTTGAAAGGCATGACGACCCGATCGCCCTTCTTCAACAAAGTGACACCATTGCCGAGTTCCTCCACAATACCCATGTTCTCGTGACCTAAATCAACTGATTAGGAGATGCGTTTTTTGCCTCATCAGTATAAACTTACCAAAAGTGATGCCGGCTTCCGCAGCAGTTCTTCCCTCATACATACTGCGTGATGATTAGCTGTGCTTCTTGTAAGCTAGTCATTGCGCCAACATACTGCAAGTCTGAACCGCAGATAGCAGCCTAATTGACCAGTCAGTTCCTAAATCCTAATAGGCAAAGGGCCAGACGAAAGTAAGGTTCATCTTACTGTGGTGACTTTAACGATGACATCGTCCGGGTGTAGGATTTTAGGCAGAGCGACGTCGGAAACCTTGACCTTGTAAGGTCCTTGGTAGTTCACTGCTTTCATTGTAGAGGAAGCCATGATGCTGCGTTTAGGTGATCAGTGAAACTGAGAAAAGAGGTAAAGGTCCCAAAAGAAAGATGAGAAAAGTAGGCAGCCTAGCAGCGCCCGATGTATTTAATAACCCCTCATCTCACCACAGAGTAAGGAGCAGCGACCAAGAAATCACCAAGAATAGACCCCATTGTATGACATCGACTGCCGCGAGTAACCCTCATCATCCGCGGAATATCTTTCTAAACTAAGCTAGGAGGATACGCTGCGGGGTAGCGGGCGGGAAACCTTCGCCAAGACGCGGGGACAAGACCGTAATCCAGTTTGTCTCCGCCATATTTTTGGGGGAGGGACTGGTATACATAGGATGAAAAATCCCGAGAGAGGTTGGGTAGATACCGAACCTCCGAGCCTAGAAGAACCCTTCATCGGCGAAATACTGCCATTCGTAGACGGCGCGGGGAAGTAAGCCAACCATAGGCCCGCTTTTCCACCTCTCGAAGACCGCCAGAGACTCTGATCAGTCCGAGTATGAAACGACACTGGCCTGACACGGACGAGGATCCATTTCTATTCCCCCCCAAGTTTCACTCCTGCGTGGCTTAGTTGGAGAAGCGGACGATGTTTGCTTCCAGTGCTTATAGACGGCGCAAGAGTTTACCCCGCAATTCTCGCCGAACATTTCTTTATTTGATTGGATTGCGCAAAACGAGACCTGCTTTATGCCATTAATGTTCAAACCGAGGTCCCTGCTAAAGTAAACCCAGAATGCGTCTATAGCCACGAACCGGACGGCTATTGATCATAGCAGTTGGAGGCCCCGGCTATTTAAGGGATTTTGTGTGAAAATCACCGACATTCTCGTAAGGCTACTACACAACACACAGAGGCTGATGCACTAATAGCCTTCGGTCGTAGCATCAAAACTGACAATGGCTAGCGATTCCGCATTATACTGAATTTTTGAATTGTTCCACTTTGATCTTTATGAGCACTAGCATTGCTTCTACTTCTCTAGATAAATTATTCAAATTTCCTTTAAATAAGGTATTAAAAGGCGGCTGGCGGTATTTATATCAAGTCCAAACCCCTAGACGGTTTTACACCTGTGATCGACCACTTTCCAAACGGTAGAACTTGAGAGCCCCCCGGAAGGAAAATTAAAGCTATAAGCAGCATCGCTAGTGTAACTGGCTCTCTCGGCAAACTCCGAGATTTCTACTTTCGAAACTCTCTAGTCGTTTATGTTGCTGACCCAAGGCGAATGTACTTCAGTATTAGGTTGTTCCATCGAGTACTACTAGTCCATAGGACAGACGATGCGGGGTAGTAATCAATAAGAATTTAGCAATACAGCTCGGTTCTCAAAGCACGAGTTTATACCTATTCAGTGTTTGGAGTGTGCGAACTTGAAACATGGGTCAGCGCTTCTTACGTTATTATTACTGTCAGACTTGTTCACTACTTTTGCAACTGGAGGGAGAGGTTTCGCTGGCGATTGACATGAATGGGTTTGTGAACAGTCAGAAACTGGCATGCTCTTCAAGTTCCTTTCAGAAGAGGTATTCGTAGTGCATTTCACCGAATGGAAAGGAACCAATGGGTTAAGAAGATTGTGCATCGTGTTTGCTTCAATCTATTTGTGAGGCCATCATCAAGGCATATCTACACAGAAACCACGGTGTCAAAGAAGGTGATAGCCTTCCTCAGGCTTTCATATGCAGTTGTCTTTTCACCCTCGGCAGACTCAACGTCTACATCGCCCGCTCTGGCGTCAAACCCGTGTTCCGCATCTTCTGGTAATTCAGCAAGTACCTCAACTCCGGCCGCTTTCAGCTTTTCCCAGGCCGTGAGGCTCAGTTCCACAGGCACTGCTGAGTCATTTCTTCCGTGCAGGAGCATGGTGCGTGGCACCTTCGAGAGATCGCCAAAAGTCAAGGGAAACAAGATCCTTTCGCTCTTTGGGATGGCTTCAACGCCGCCAGAAGCGACTGCCTGTCCAAGCCCATCAATGCCACTCATATAGTCAAGAAATAGCGCATCAATGTGCAGTGCTGACATGAGGCCGAAGCGAAGGTCAGTTTCGGGGTTCGCGGGTGCAGGGTAAGCTGAGATCTTCTTTCTAGAGTCGCCATCCTTGTGCGGGGGAAACTTTGCCAAAATATCTCCTGTCTCAATGGTAGGACGCCCGAAGATGTTGGTGCCGCGTGTTGTATAGCGACTGTTTGTTGCGTCGAGCATGCCATAGATTAAAAGTAGTGCCGACGGTTGGGTCTGGGCGAGTGTTGCAGTGGTGAGAGCTAGATATCCTCCCGCGCTCGAGCCCGCCATCAGGACAGAGCCCAACTTGTTTCCAAGCTGGCTAGGCAATGTTGAAAGTACCCATTCATACGCATCGGCAGCATCTTCTACCGCGCTGTGGGCTGTAGATTCTGGCATCAAGCGGTAGTCTGGAGTGACAAAGATCCATTTGCGAGACACGCAGGCTCTGAATAGCCAGTACGGGAAGAAGGCGTAGCGGTCACCAACGACAAGGTAGCCCCCATGGTAGTGCAGTACAACTGTTTGTGGTGTTCCATCGCATTCTTTTGGATAAAGTACGTCCAACAAGATGTCACCTTCGCTCGTTGACTTGTAAACGAAGGTCTTGGACTGATATCCTTGCAGAGCAGCTTCAGGAAGCGGAGTCATGGTGAGCGTCAATAAGTTTGTGGATGATTGCAAACAGAATATGGATGGGAAGTAAATGTAGCGAACAATTTCTGCTTCTCGGGCCAGAAGGAAACAATAAAGAGGAACGCTTGTGGAAGTGTATGTTTCCTGTTGTTAATTGCAAGATTCAAAAGAGGGGAACAGGCAAATAGAGAAGGCGATTTATGAGGAACGAACGGGCCCTCGGTGTTGACGTGCCGAGCCATCCATCCAGCTGATCACTGCCAACTCGCCTCCACTTGAACCCCACTTACGACTGACCAAATGAACATGGAACCGAATTTCCCTAAAGACAGACTTTGACAGTATGATATCACGACCTGACTAGCATAGGTTGATATTAGGTATGGGGGTGAAACATAGAGCAGATATTCCTTGCGTTAGTCGCAGCTCTTGTCTGAAGGTGTTGACCCGACCCTCAGTTGTGTGCCCTGAATCAAGCCTTCCCACCCCACTCGACGAAGCGAATATAGAATATTGTTCTTGCAGAGAGATCAGACATTGCCTTATCTAACTAGGGTCAGTGAAATATATTTAGTTCATTTCGGATATTTGTATATCTGCTGCGAGGAAGCTATGAAAGACATCACTTGTGTGACGACAGGGCCCGTTGAGAAATCCTCATTATGTTGAATATTATCGTTACCAGTCCCATTATCACTGTTTGGTTGTGGAAAAAGCGGACTGTGTCTCACTCAAAACCTTCAAACTTCGCTTTAGGTGCAATAATGGAACCGACCAGTTTCTTATAAGCTGGATTGTGTCGGGGATTATTCGCAAAGCAGCCCGCAACGATTCTCAAACTCCTTAGGGACGTCCACCAGCAGCAATAGAAGCTTCCAACTACCATCAGCGAGATTTACGTAAAGAACATTAGCTCAAACTTGATTAAGGTGTTTTTTTATTGTTTAAGATGCTCCAGCGTCCTTAACAGCCCCTAACTCATGATGATTGTAGTAGCTTCTATTTGGCTCAAGCGTGAATTAAGAACAATGTTATACCGGGCTGTAGAGTTCCTTTATGTGGATATTCAGGTGAGAGCACAGCCTAGAAATACTACATATCTGCAGTGGTCCTTTTATCAGGAAACCAGGTCGACTGAGCTTCATTTTCGGAAGCGTCTCTGATCATTGCACTGTGAGATAATCAGGATATCCCAAGCCATCTAATTTGATGCCGGTACGTCTCTTGCTGTTTCTCTGCTAGCCTGCCACGCCTTGCTAGTCAACATGGTCGAGAAGATGTCACAATACATTATTAGATGCGAGCCATTCTGACAGCGGGGCTAACCATAAGATGGACTACGAGGTAGACAAATTAGGGAATGAAGGAATAATCAGCATTCAAAACAAAGCTATATACATTTAAGAATGTCATAGTGTCAAGGGAAATTCTTAGCTAAGACTTATCTTCTCTTTCAGCATGTTTGCACACCATAATGTCTGTGGGAGATTCAATCCCTTTTTGTGGTTTGTAAAAGACTTTCGGTCGTCACCCCCGGTTCAGGTATATGTCTAACCTTTATTCAACTGCAAGCTCTGTATTGCAGCCCATCCGAATTTTTTCATCCAGATGATAGTGTTACCACCATAAGGAGTTTCAAGTAAGGGTTGAGACACGATGGGGATTTCCAAAGAGATCAAAATTGACGACAAGAAACAAAGATTATATGCCAGATATCACGTTGGCAATTCATGTCAGTATTGTACCGTCTCTGCGGCTCTCTTCAATAGGAGCTGCGTTTCACCCTTTCTACGCCATTTTCAATAGCCCTTTCAACAACCAAACCGATTTTCAGCTTCTTGTCTCGTCGTTGAGTAGCCTCTGTCACTGAACGCTTTTGCAGCTTTCCGTGGCTCTGCACCACATCCAGAGCTGTGAAAGCCTTTTCGGCCGTTCTGGTAATATCATCGTGCAACACGAACGATTCAATTGATCTAATTCCCTAGAACCACTTGTCCATTGAATTCAAAGCTGTCTGCCCTTAGCGTTCTCTAGGGATTCATGGCTAGCAGCTTTATGAAGAGCTCATAATGCGCCAAGTGCGACATTAACTTGCTGTACTTTTGAGTCCCAGGTCGTAATAGTACCAAACCCCCGTGGGGAGAACCCTTGCGTTGAAATTTTCACCAACGCCAGAAGGGTGAATGCAAAGCTAGATGGCATGGCACCCAGGATACCAAGCGGCTGAACCCTATTGTTTCTGTTGGTATCACAAGATACCCGTGAAGTGGGATAACTGATGGGGGAACTGGCCTGTATTCTGTCTGTATGTCTATATGGAAGAAGTTCCAGCAGAAGTGCTGGAGGAAGTGGCTGTTGATCTTATAGCCGTCGGCCGGTCTGCTCGTCACGTGGGCAGCCCGGGTGCCGGCAGGACTGCCGGCGACGGAGCCACTTCAACCCGGAGTTCCGCCTATTCCAACAGTTTCAAAGGCTCGAAACTTCTTTTTGATCTTGTGACCGCTTTGTATCTTCACTTAAATCATAAATAACACAATACACGCCTCCCCATACCTCTTTCTGTTTTAATGTAGCGCTGTGTATTGAAACGGTTTGTTGATACCTATGGCATTCTTGAAAAAAATGAAGAGAGATTACTAATATAAGCATTGGATTAATAGAACTGACAAACATAAAAACCCTACTTGGCTTTGCCCCGTTCTTGGTAAACCACGAGGCCGAGGTGCACTCAAAAGGATACGTTTATAAAGCGCAAACCGAAGGTACCATGCGAATAACCTTCAGTCAAACTTTTGTGATGTAGAACCGGTCAGAGCCTTGGATTCCAAGCAATGCGACCTCACCGCATAGATCCTAATTGGCCGTCACGTACCCTTTTGTAGCTTCCTAGCAATCAAAGCTATCTACGCAAAACAACTCCCGATAAATTACTGGAAGCAAAAACATTCCCTTTACCATTGGCAAGGAATGCACACGACTCATTTATTAACAACATCGAACTGCTTGTGAAAAAACATAACTGCCGTTGCCACGGACATCTTTTACGACATGAATGGCCAGGAGAGCCAGGCAGTCACGCATTCCCCACACAATCCAACTAATACCATGGCTGCAGTTGATGTGCGACTCATGTTTGCAATATTCTCATTGGCCGACTGTTCTTAGTGTAAACACGCCTTTGCTGTCCATTGTCGATCCCGACAAGGTTATACACAGCAATCACAACCAGATAACTGGTATTTGCGGCAGAGGTATGAATCACCCGTAATTTAGTAGCCCTTAATTATTGTAGAAGCTTAGCAATCAGGAGTTAATACAACTAATAAGCGCCATGTGACAAAGAAAGAGATAAGAAAATCCCGCTGAAAAAATGCTAGCTTCAAACCTGAACAGAGCGGCTGATCTATAACATATAAACTACTATGAGCAAACAACAGCCAGCGTAACACTCTAAAGGGTCTTGATATTTCGGGGTTTGAAGAATCTTGCTTTTTAATTGGTTGTGGTCCCTTCCTGGATATTAAGGGCGCGCTTTGTAGTAAAGCTTTTGGCGATCCAGACGGAACTTCTTTAGAAATTGTTCACGTGCCGCATTCCAGTTATATGAACGATTCTATATTACCTCCGTGTCATTGAAATGACACCGCGAAATAGCCGCCTTTGGGGTTGAACATAGTGTTTTTATTTTTAGATTTTCGGTGGTGTCATCCAGACACAGGAGCTTTGATGTTCATGACATCGTACACAAATCACCTGGTGGCAGTCCACCAAGATAGGCTTGACCAATGGCGCTTGAAAATGCCAAAATACCAGGGCCCCAAGCAGAAATTCTAGCAATTTGTGGATTAAGGTGACGGAGGCTAACCATTTCAGGTTCGCAGTTTTTGCGGGCAGTGCTATCCTTGCCGGTTGGTCTCGGCCATACCGTGGAGGTCTAGAAGGCCTCCACAGCCATGTTCTTTTAGGTTAAGGCTGCTTTACAGTTCTAAGGTTCTTTCCTTACACCTGTCACTTAATTTGTGCCTTACGATTATGTTCCTTAAGACGAATGGTATACCTATAAACCTGTCATCCTTGCGGAATATAACGGTTTAGTCATCATAACACCTTGGGACGAACATTGCGCTAGCTGAAGACACTGACTCGCGAATCTCGGGCGAAGCCGAATTGAGACTACGCTCCGCCTCCGGCATGGGTCACCACTTGTGGGTTTCAATACGTTGTACCCGTACACAGCAAGACTGGCAATGTCCGAGGAGAACCTGGGGAAGAGAACTTCAGCTCCTGGTGAGGCTTTGGCTACTCTCTAACTGATAAGCTTTCTCTTGAAAATCTTTTGGTATTTCAATCTCAACTGTTCTAGCTAGGACATGATCAAGACCCATAGCAGTACCGCGAAATCTAATGTTTCTCTTATCTTTTAGTTGATGCTGTTGAAGAACCCATAGAGAAATTGCATAAAGGGGCAACGCGATTGATAAGGAACGGTCATACCCGTAGCTTGTGGGGACCGGGCAACATAATGGGGCGCAGGTAGGCCAAGACCAGATAACTATGGTATAGCCAGAACGTGGAACTGTGCTGTTGGTTTGACTGGCCAGTACAACATCATCGTCCCACTGTAGTCGACGGTAACGGGGTCTGACACTGCCGCAAGACCCTGAGCCCCGGCTGATTGAAGTGTAAGAGTGCGGGCCCAGGTTCTGTCTCGGTCTTAGTTGGATCTGTGCAACTGACGTTTTCCTCATCTGCCGAAGCTGAACAACCTTGTCAAGGAAGATCTAGATACCTTCACCTTTGTATAAAGACTCGGCGACAGTCCACTGAGATGGAAAGGCCTCTCATTCATCAGTCTCATCCCTCATTCAAAACTAACATCTTCACTCTTTCTCTCCTTTTTCTTTCCTAGATTACCTGGGACTCAACCAGTCGTTATTGTCTCGAATATTTCAACTCTCTTTTATCATTAAAACCTGAACCAACATGAAGTCCACTCTTTCAACTCTTTTGGCCGCCCAGGCTCTATTCAATACCGCATGGTCGATTGCGCTTCCCAGTCGAGAGGTTGTCGCCCCTAGCCCGGCTCTTCTCCGTCCTGTGAAACGACAAGCTTCTGTGCCTGCGACCCCTCTTGGCCCTGCCAAGTTCACTCCCAAGACCAATGTTACACTTGAATACGAAGGTCTTAATGCCACCAATGCTTTCGTTCACGCCGAGATGAAACAGCCCTCGGTTCTTCTCGAGCATATCGAAACTATCTCTGATATCACCTGTTCCGACACCGGTATCGTGCTAAAGTTTAGCGCAACCGAAGACTACAACACTTGCCTGAGCGCTTGGCCCTCCAAGAACTTTATTATGGTTACCAACCACAACGGTACCTGTGATAGTGAACACGAGCGTGGCATTTATGTCGTTGAAGGGTACACCTTTGACAACACCACGCTAACCCTGACCGCTTCCTCCACCCGAGTCCAGATTCGTGACCAGCTTAACGACGCCATCATCGATTTCAAGCATACTGGTACTGCTACTACCAAGAGAGATCTTTCTGGAACGATTTCTGCGGATCTCTCAGGCTCTACGCTTATTGCTACCGACCCTTTGACCATCGTCGCCAACGAAGCCAAGTTTGAGAGCACCATCAACCTGAGCGGCCATGTTCACTACAACTTCTGGAAGTTCAAGGTCGACGAACTTTACATCGATTTTGACTACTCTTCCGCTTTGAACCTCAACATCTCTAGCATTGTCAACGCCGAGTACTCTACCGACGTATACAACTACAACCCTCTGTCTGTTTCCGTCTCCGCTTTCTCCATCCCTGGCATCATTGACGTCGGTCCCATGGTCGACTTTGGTCTCGGCATCGAATTCGCTGCTTCTGGATCCGTCAAGGCCTCTGTCGATGTCGTCAGCACGATTCCCGAGGCCACCGTCCACCTGGATTTCCTCGACAAGACCAAGACCGTTGCCTCTGGGTGGGAAGCTCAGACCAATGTTTCCACCGACATCAGCGCTCAGGTTGAACTTCAGTTGAACCCTTTTGCCGACCTGACTGTCGCTCTCGGTGTCAACCTCTTCAGCGGTCTTCTGGACATGTCTGCTGGTGTCGAGGCCAAGCCTCAAATCGTCAACGCTTTTGCAGTCAACGTTGATTTCACCTACCAGAGTTCTAGCGGTGTCGTGTTCACCAAGCCTAGTGCTGAACAATGCATCAACGGTGCGTGGTTTGCCAGCGCTTTCCACTTCAACGTCGATGCCTTTGTTACGCAGTTCTACACCAAGTCTCTGTACGAGGTGGAGCTGCCGATCTACAAGTCTCAGTGCTGGAACTTTGTCAAATAAGAAACTACACTCAAGCACGATAGATGAATGCAAGGACAGTAGAAATGATTTGAAACATATGAGTTGCGAAGGAAACGACTAAAGAGCATCTAAGTGCACATGCTATACTTTTGGGTTGGGAGGATAACAGGCCAAGGCCTCAAACCCGCCGATCAATCAGTGATAACACCACATGATGGCTTGCGCAATTCCACCATATCACATAAGTAGCCACATTAGATTGACATAATTTACTTTTTGTATGCTTTCCAAAATTTGAAAGATATGGTGATTGGTTTTCCAACTGTGAAGTCTTCTGGGGTTTTCGTCAACCTTGCGTGATTGGCAGGAATGGTTGAAGGATTTCATCGACTGCTGTTACAGAATAGGCCATGATTCCTGTTTGGGAGCCCAAGACCCGCATTGACTTGGGTAAATCGCTATGTCATGATGCATGGCCCTTCGCACATCATCAACTTGATTGATAAGCTGCGCACCTGGAATCAGCAATGATCAAGTCGCATAAATAGAGCTCAACTCCTAGCATGATTATTCTCGGTTTAGAAGTGCGAACGCTTCTGAGTAACTTCACTGTCTTTCCACTTGTATTGTCTAATTATTAAGTCTGTCATCTTGATGCCAAGCGCTTGCAAGCATGACTCAACATTCAGTTGTACAGCTCAGCGATGGAGCCAAAGTACATGTCAAGATACTTGACAACGCCAAAGAGGCCAAGCCTTTGCTGATTGCCCTTCACGGTGCGCCTGGCCTATCTGACCACACAGAGCCGGAACGGTCATTCGGTTTCCTGGCATCCGACTTCCGAGTGCTGGTTTACGACGCCAGAGGAAGCGGCGACAGCGATTTGAAACCTCCATACACTCACGAGCGCTGGCTGACTGATGTTGAAGAACTGAGGTATGAGATGTAACTGAGTCTAGTCATCTTTGAACACATGATTAACCATGTTTCAGAATATGGGCTGGTGCGGAAAAGTTCGTCTTGGCCGGCGGTTCCTATGGTGGCTTTGTGGCTCTGGAATATGCCATCGCACATCCAGACCGTCTCCTCGCACTTGTTCTTCGGGACACTTGGGCATATGGTCTCCGAGGAAGTCTTAATGTTTTGAAAAATGTCTTGTCCAGTCATCGAATCAAGCCAGACGGCGACCGACAGGTGCGAGTCTGGGGTGGCAACGTACGAAACAACGGAGACTTCGCAGATGGTTTCGCTGAAATCGTCAAGATTTATAAGCCAGATGACAAAACGGCTCAGGAAGCTTCCGAGCCGGCCACATTCGAAGGCGGGGTCGCTGAAAAGTACAAGCTCCACTATGAAACTCATAACTTTGCGTTTTCATACAATCAGCCTCGCTTCGATGTTCGTACAAGACTGAATCAGATCACGGCACCGACCCTTGTGGTCTCCGGTAGGCATGATATTGTTGCGCCAGTTGAATACGGGGAGGAGATCAGCCAAGGTATTCCACGCAGCGAGTTTGTCATCTTTGAGAATTCAGGGCACAGCCCGCCCTCTGATGAACCTGAACTCTTTCAGAAAACTGTGACAGAGTTTCTGGTCAAATGGGTCAAGTAGTCATGTCCTAGTATTCAGGACTACTTGTTTGTGGAATATGTTGCGAAATGGAGAACATGAATCTGTCTGTCTCTAAACTGTCAGCAAAGAATTGAGATTCCGTCTACATGGCATTCTCGGCTGTGAGAACATCTTTAACTAGCCTGCCCTTCACAAACACACGTGCAATATTCCGATCATCTCCTGTCATGAGAAACTTTTCAAATACCGTCCTCAGGGTGTCCGACTCCTCCCTCACGGTCATGACACCAAAGGACTCCAGTGGGCACGTCAGCCACAGAGCATCGAATTCTTTGCCCACAGCGAAGTTGCCAACTTTGTCTTCCAAACAACAAACTTTAGCCCCGCCTAAAGTTGACAGGTAAAAGACTTCATTCAGGGACAACGCCTTGTCTGTTCCTCCTGACATTACTTCACGAGCATTCGATGCAATGACGGCCTGGCGGATGCTGTCAAGCATGCTTGACGAGAAGCCGCCACCACTATCAGTACCCAGACCAACTTTAATGCCCCGGTCTAAGAATTGGCGTATCGATGCTGCCATAAAGCCACCGCCAACCGTCATGTTGGAAATCGGGCAATGCGCTACCCCGCAACCGTACTCCCGAACCTTTTCCATTTCATAATCCGTCATGAACGTGCAGTGAGCAAGAATTGAGCGCTGATTCAAGAGACCAAAGTGATGGTATAAGTCGGCCTCGCTCGAAAATTCGGGGAACAATTCTCTTGTTGCCTTGATTTCTTGCTCTGCCTCGTTGAAGTGCGTCTGAATAGCAAGCTCGGGATCTTCACCGGCCATCCTGCCTAAGCCAGCAAGCAGCTCCGAAGTGCAGGAAATGGCAAACCGAGGTGTCAGGATAGGGCGTACAAGTCCTCCGGTAGGGTCGATGTTACGGATATACTTTACACAATCCACTGTCTCCTGTAGCGACGACTTCGCTGACTCGTCATGGAGGTAGCTTGGAGCGTTGCGGTCCATGTTGCACTTTCCGACAAATGCCCTCTGGCCCTTGTTGAGACAGATGTCGGCGAGAATCTGCGTCGCTTCGGCATGTTTTGAGCCATAATACGACGCCGTTGTGATGCCTTGATTGAGAAATCCATCAACGCAGCTCTCATATACCTTTCGAGCATAAACGGGGTCAGAGAATCGCGCTTCGTGAGGGAAAGTGACTTTATCCAGCCAGTCAAGGATATGTAGACCCTGACCAAGTCCACGCATAGCCCATTGTGGGGCATGATTGTGCGTATCGATGAACCCCGGCATCAAGAAATGGCCTTTTGGCAGTGTGTAAAGTAGAGCATCGCCGGGGACTTGTTTGGAGAACTCTTCCGCTGAAACGTTTCGAGAGAATGAAGATATGATGCCGTCGCTATCAACGATAAGGCCGGCTTGTTCGAGTATTTCCACCTCGTTGGGGCCAAGTGAGTGGATGAGAGCACCGTGGAAGCTAAACCCAGCTGTCATTCTCGAGGGTGATGAGGTAATAATGCTGATGTATTTGATAGCAAATAACTGGTAGTCCTATGAACGACTGAAGTTTAATCCACTATGAGGAATTGTCATGTGATGGGCGGACAGGTGACGATCATGAAGAACAGAAAAGGTTGCTACTGTAACAATATTGGATGACAAGGTGAGGGGCAGGGAGGGACGTGTGGGACCGCATCGTCGGCTTCGCTTATCTTATCAGTTGCTTATCAGATTTAGATTTGCAAGGTGTATCAGCCACAATTCCACAATGCCTGTATCCGTGGTTTCGCGGTCACTACTGAGAATTGCTGTGCTTCGATAGCCACGCCCTCTTTAAATAGCTGCATGATTGTTACATAGGCAGCCATTGGCTTAGTTTCTGAATACTGCCAGACGCGGTATTTGACGAAAGCTTGAAACGAAAACAAACCCAAGATAAGCTTTGTCACATGAAGCACTGCACTGGGAAAACCCTGGTTTAAGAGACAAGTTATCCAAGTGTTCTCCGTTACTAGTAACAGTTGCTCGTGCATTAGTAGAGTCTCTCTTTAAGTTATGAGAATTATCGTATTTCGAATTTTCAATGCCATAAATCAAATAAATCTGTTAGGAAGTTCGACACGATCAAAGTACAGAGATAGACGCTCTGGTGGTGACTGTGACAGAACTGTAGTGGAAGAAAGAGACTTTGAATGACTAGAATGACTGGTATTTAATGCACTTGTATGAGAGGTAACGAGATCATGGCGGCGTGCATCGCCAGCCTACCATTTTATATATTCGAGGATGCGTATTGTTCTGTATGTTCTCGTAGGCCATACTACTTTGCCTTTTGCAATCCCTTTGTTAACATACCTAGCTGACAAGGTAATCCCTTTTTTAGAAAAAAGAACAGTTGGCCATGTTCGGTTATCAAATGCTGGACAAGCAGACTCCAAGCAGGCTGAAAACCTCGTCTTCTGCGTACGTGGCAATATTTTGTTTGCGGAAAACACAGACAATCTTATTGCCAATTGTTAACTTCGCTTACGGAGCGCTGCTCGTTATTGAAACTACCAGCGGTTAAACTGTTGGACGAGCATTGAAATCTAGGATTATTACTATGTATTTTTGTATCCAATGTGTATAATTAAATGTTAGTGTGGTGATTAGTGGTAGCAATCGTTTGCAATTGCCGACCCCTGTTTATAAGGGCCCAACATACGTTAGTGGGAACTATAACGTAGCAGGAAATGTCTTTTGAGCTTCTTTTTCTAACAGACTATCACGAGCCGGCACATGTGCCTATGAGTATCGGCAATAAAGAATTGAATCCCTTGTGCGACAAATCAATGTCAGGCCCTCTCAGTCCAATTTCATGAGGTAACAAGCAGCCCTGGTGATGGTCTTGTTGACGCAATGTGGGATGAGGTAACCCTTTTACTCAGCTCATCTATCAAAAAAAGGTATGAGGTGTCTAGAAACGGCTCAGCTACTGATTTGGGAGCGTATATCGTCATACTACTTGCAACCATGTTTAGTCAAGGCTCTGCCGATGTGTCCCGATAGCCAAACGAAAAAGTCGAGACGCGTCAGCCACTATTATTGGCGATTATGGCTCTACAAAGTGGAGGTCTGTTGATCCAACCCGTCCGATGGGAGTTGAGCTTTAAAACATGGGGACCTGGGACCCATTTGATAATGCCACAAAAGAAAGCCACGGTACCACTACACAGCCCGAAAACCTGTAATCTCAGGGAATGAAGACGTGTGGCGGGTGGCTGTATGCTTCGCAGCGAGGATGACGACTGCCAATGGTATGTCACCTCATCAGTGGAGCAAACGTTTCCCTGTTTTCTTTGGCGAAGATCATCGGATCGGTTTGCCGGAGCCGCCAAGTGCCCCAGACAAGCTCCCACTACTGCGGGAACAGATGCGGCCAGGATTCGTGGACCCCGCAAATTCACGTCATGAATCCCTCCATCGCCGTCATGAGTGTGTCCCTTGAACCCAATGTTTTACGGCTGTTTCGCTGTTAGACGACGTACCTTATTTGCGATACACGAAGTTACGATTGTCCTCGAATGCCTACCAACAATACTCCACATGAGCTCATAGTAACACACTTGCAGTGCCGAGAAATGACATGGCGACAATTTTCTTGGGGGCGATGCCGCGGGTTGGCTTGGGCAGTCCAGTATTCTGACATCACATCAGAATTTGACTTGCATTGAGGTAGCGTCGACACTCAGCAACGAGTATATGATACCCAGAATCCCGCTTCTCTCTATGCTCCATTTCGAAGACAGCAACGAATTCAGACACATCAGAACAACATCATCTCAGAATCAATCAGCAAAAATGGGTTTAGGGCAAAAGATTAAGGATGCGCTCCATCACGACCATCCTGATAAGACCTACGAAAACGACAGTCCCCCTGGAGCTTTTCCTTCCGACACAACACACAACAAGCACAACAATATGTCCGACGGCCGCGATTATACCACTACCGGCACTGCCGGCACCACCGGCGCTAAGGCCGGCCACACTGGCACGGGATTGACCGGAAACAACACAACCACCGGCGGTACCACCGGTCCTGTCGGTTCTACTGGAACTACCGGCACTGCTGCGGGCCACACTGGGACAGGGCTGACCGGAAAGAACACCACAGCTGGCACTGGACATCACATTTCGACTACCAGTCCCACTAACAACACTCTGGGCGGAGCTACGGGAGATCTTACTGGCACCAGCAGAACCGGCCATCGCCCCACCGATTCTGGCGTCGACGTCGGTCGCGGCCCTGGACACCGAAAGGATGTCGCCGGTGACCTTAACCGCACTGGCGAGAGCGGAGTTGCCCAAGACCCTTACTGGGGCTCCATGGGTCGAGAAAGCCATGGAGTGACTGGGCCTACCGGCACGTCTGGCCTGACCGGCTCTAATGTTCGCACAGGTCATGATGATCCCGCTGGAACACATGGCCCCCACGCCAACCGTGCCGGAAACCTCGCGGATCCTCGCGTCGACTCTGATCGTGACCACCGCGGTGCTCCAGGCTCTGGTTTGACTGGATCAAATGTCCGTTCCGGTTACGATGACCCTGCTGGCACACATGGTCTTCACGGCAACCGCGCCGGAAACCTCGCGGACCCCCGCGTGGATTCTGACCGCGACCACCGTGGAGCCCCGGGCGTTGGTATGACCGGATCAAACGTCCGCACCGGTTACGATGATCCCGCTGGAACACACGGCCCCCACGCCAACCGTGCCGGAAACCTTGCGGATCCTCGTGTTGACTCTGACCGTGACCACCGTGGTGCTCCTCACAGTGTCAACAAAGACCTGCCCCTGCGCCCCAACGAGAACCGCGGTGCTTACGACTCAAACATTACCAGCTCTAGAGGACAAGGTCCAGAAGCTGTTGGCGGAGGCAGATACAACCCCCTGGCTAGCGCCGGTGGCCACCACGACCCTACATCGAGCGTTGACCGCTCCATTGAGGGCCGTGAATTCACTCACACCGGCCACGGCGGTAACACGGGCCCCGGTACCGGCAGCCAGATGCAATACGGCCTTCAGAACCCCGTGAACAACCCCTCTCTCATTGGTGCCAACAACGATGATCCCTACGACACCAGAATGAGGGATAGAGACATGGGTCGTGACCGCACTGGCCATGGCTTGGCAGGCGGTGCTCCTGGTGCTGCACTTGGTGTCGCCGCTTCCGAGGCTTCTCGGAGACACCACCATGACGACATTCGCGAGGCTGGCTATGGCGGTAACAACACGGGCGATTACAACTCGCCAACCAACACCCGTGGCGGTATCGGCGGTGCCAGCGGTTACGGTGACCACCCACGATCCGGTTCCGGTTCCGGCCTCACCGGCCATGAGCCTGGTGTGCCCAAGACTAGCATGCTGGACCCTTACAACAGCAAGTCACCTACGCACGGAGTAGGCGCCAACGAGGGCCTTACTGGAGGACGTGATGGATCTCCCACATTCAACCAAGGTTCGCTCTCTTCCAATCTTCCCGGTATGGGTCCTGACCATTACGGACCAGGCCACGAAGGTGCCAAGGTCATGCACACATGCTCGCACTGCGGTAACGATAACGACATCAGCCGCTACTTTAAGAAGGACGCGGTATACCGCATGAACTAATGATTGGGTGTATTTCAATTGTTGAACAGCGTGTTTCTTTTTTTTTCCAAATATCAAGATGTACCAATAGTCATTAGAATCATGGCATAATGTTAAATCATCTTCAAATCTGAGTATCCAACATGAGTTTTATCAACTAGTCTCTCTAACACCCGGTTTGGGTTCGCTTTAGCCAGTGCGTCCGCCAGACTGTCCTCACCATTGATCCAACATGCTTTAGAGCACTCGCCGGCCGAGAGTAGTGATGCGATCAAGGAACCCGGGGGGTTTTTTAGCATAAGTCGAAACTGACTACGCTTAAATAGAGAAACATTAATGGGAAAACTGGTGCATTATTCTGTATCTTGTCTCAAAATTGGCTTTCATCCGGCTGACCATAGTGTGGAAATCCAGGGGATCCGTGCCCTGGCAAAGCTGGCGGTAGTAGTACAAAAGTGCCCGGCCGCCTAACATGATGGAGAAAGCCCCTGCGAACCTGCTTTGGGGAATCCCGGCCTTGCGGCAGTAGTCCCGGAAGATCATAAGGTGGTTCTCCAGGACGTCATATCTGCCACCAGCGTACTTTTGTCTGTCGTACGTACATTTGGGCAAGATTCGTGAGCTGCCGAGGTGTGGGCATATCTGCTGGAAAGGTCAGTGACGGTTGTCCTGGAGAAAATGGTGGCGTGCCTGACTGTAGCTGTCGCTGTTGTGACGGGAATTGTTGTTGACGAGCCGTCGGGGGTGCCGGTATATCTTCTTCTACCGGCGGGACAGTAATGCTTTCGCGGAACCCTGGGGTCTTCAACATTTCCCGGAAGCTGTTACTTTTGGACGAAACCTCCTGTATTTCCGCCGCAGACCAATAGTGGAAGGAAGACTGGTTGGCAATGCCGAAAATATGCTTGCCAATTCGTAAGCCGTCCGTTGGGACGTAGACGCCACGGATTTTCAGAAAGTCTCGCACGTACTTTAGCATATGCGAGGAAGTGGTTAGAAATGCCGTCTCCGGCCAATCCTCAAAGTCGCTTTGGAACTCTTGCCACAAGTCTGGTCCCGTAAGGTTCCCGCTGCGGTGGCACTCGATGAGATACCCAAAAACAGAGGCTAGCTCTTTCTCCGTTGTGGCCTTCTCAGGACTAACGTGCCAATGGCCCCAGGTTTTGCGGTCAACCAATGGCAGAAGTTTGCGGGGGATTGGCGTCTCTTGTTCAAAAGTGGGAAGAGGCTCATCTACTTCTGGCGCAGGTGTAGAAGTGCGTGTTGGTGAAGCCATTGTAGGATTAGAGGTGGAGGTAAATGTAAGAGGAAGGGTGAGGGTGGAAGTAACAGTAGGAAAGAGATGTGGTAGTGGGATGAAAGGGAAAGTGTAAGCACAAGTGGAGGAAAAGGGAAAAAGGGATGTTTGTACGATGGAGTAGAAGTGTGTAAGGCAAGGTGAAATGGAAAGAGAGGGAAGTTGTGGCAATGGTGGCAAAGGGGTAGGGCACTGTAGGGAACTGTAGAAATGATGATGATGTTCTGGTGAAGAGAAGAAAAGATTTGAGAAGGAGATGTCGTGCTTTTGTAGACAGTCGATGCCAACCTGACGGTTAGAGAGGCTGTCAGGAGAACCTCCAGTAGGATCGCCAAGTGTAGGAGAAGTTGTCGACGTGCCGTAGTAACGGCCGAAGTGGTGGAGAAACTGACTTGGTTGACAGGAAGGTTTGTTTGCTGTGTAGGGTGCAGAAGAGGGGAAAGTTGTAGCCAAACGGGCTGAACAAGCCAGATGTGCCAATTTTGTTTGCTCAACGGAAACCTGCAGAAGTGTCGGTTCTGGCCGCGGTCTGCCAGAAACTGGAAAAGGGGGATTCTGTTAACTCCTCTGGTGGTTGAGGTGGCGAAGAGGTTGGAAGACCGTCTGTATGCGTGCTGATTGGTCCCTTCTTCTGGTGATTTGACTGCGTGATGGACACTCCGCCAGCTTATCAGGTACAATCACTGGTTCATCTGCGGATTGAGGCGGCAGGCCACCTTCGCCAAATAATTCCGCTAAAACATTACTGAAGCGGTAGGGAAAGTGCTGGGTACTCGGAAAACACCGTCTTTTCTGGAAACCCTACTGATCTGCGGTTCGTCGCGGGTGGTAACTGCGAAGTTGACTACTGATCAGTGTTGGGATCACAGGGGTGCCCATAAAGTGAGATATTCTTCTAAAGGGGGGAATTAATGTTTGTTTTTGTGTCTGATATCTAGAAGAAGTTTTATTTGAAGTGCTAACTGAAGTGATCGCGAAACTTATACATGTCTGTCAAGCGATAAACCGACTTCAGCCCGGAGTTCTGACCATTGCAAGAAGAAGGATGCACGCCTTGTTTTGTTTACTTGGTTGGCACACGGAAGTTGACAATAGATACGAAATATACACAAAATCAGATGGTGTGATTCAATTGACGGAAATTATAGTTATCTCTTCCCTTCAATCAACGTTCACTGGACTCATAACTTAGGTGCTTTGTGCACGTGTACCGAAGTCTCGAAAGTTCAGGATGATTAATCATGATCTCATTCAACTACCATCAATTGATAACTCGAGAGCTGTCCAATCGTCAACCGCTCATAAAACTATTCTTACACCCCGCTATACCCTTTCATTCGGTTGCGGCTGCTGAACCGATTATCCGAAGATGGGCTGGTCCCAGGGAAAAGCTGCAGGCATAGAAAAGAGCCCTTCAACAGACTCGATCCAGTCTAGTGGCTGCAGTCCAATTTCGTCGAATGAAGGGAGGTGGCTTGGATCCGGCTCATTGGCGCCATCAGAGAAGGGATGCAGGTTGTTCGCCTCTTGAAGCTCATCGGGATGTGTACCATCATTAGAATTCCTCTTATTAGCCCCGGGTTCTGTGCGGTGAAACCACAGACCGTTGAGAAGCTTGGAGTATTTGGCAGCAATATGGTCTATGTCTGTTGCTGCGGCTTCCAGAACACTTATGAACCGTCGCATCAAGGTGGCTGTCTGGGCGTGTTTGCCAGACGAAATGGCGCCAGCGGCATGCGCTTTATACAGAAATACCGCTGAATGAATTTCGTATCTAAATTGAAGGATTAGCGAAAATCTCGTGTTAGGACGGTGCTACCCTTACAGATAGAAGCGGGCAGGCATATATCGTAAGTGTTTCTCCGGGTCAATATCTTCGATAGCGATCCGAAGAAGCGCTTCGGCAGCATCCACGGCCTCGTAAACATGCCGGGCATCGGGGCTGGCCATCGTGGAATGTGGGAAACATGTTGATTTAGAGACTTCTTGCGTTCCAGATACAGAAGCCCTGTAGAGTACAGCCTGAAATGCGAATGCATTGACATAGAGACGAAGATACTTCTCCATCATTCTCAGGCAACACTTCAAGTGTTTGGAACATGTCAGTCGATTCCAGGCGATATCCCATGCTACAACAGCACGGCTAGCATCATCAATATACTTGGTATAATCGCCACGAACCATGAGTTCTGCGGTGCGTTGTTTCGATGCGAATAAGATGTCGTGTGCGTTGCCGAATAAAGTAGTTAATTCGACCTGGGCCTGCAATAATGATGCAAAGTCTTCTCCAGATGTGTGTTGTGGCTGGAGAGACGGGAAGTCTTCCGCCGTAAATCTTGCGGACAAGGCCGGCCCTCGACTCCAAAATGCCTGGCCCATTCTGATGGATATCTGACGGTCAGAGAGATATGTGACTTTTTATTGACATTAACTTGAGCTGTTCGATTGCGAGATTGTGCGTGCGTGTGAGAACTTACATGTCCATGCCAATCGTCTTCTTAGCATTGAAGGGTCAGCCTCCTTGTCGGCTCTGAAAGAGCTGTCTTCAAGATGAAGGAGATAAGCAAGTCTAACAGCAAGCCCTAGTATTGACCAAGCCGCCCCTTCACCTCCGTCATCATTTTGGCCTAGTGTGAGTGGGGTCCATTCTCCTAGCAGCAGCAGTCCTTCGACACAGCCGACGCTCCGTATCGTCGACATGCCTAGGACCACGTCGAGAATGAGGTGTCGCATATGCTGCCATATTGACTGGTGAAGTTCAGCCAAATTGGCTTGGTCTCTGGAGGCGACCACGAGTGCGGCCGTAAGCAAAAAGGACTCGTGCTTGATGGTTTCGGGGAGGTACTGTGGCAACAACACATTGGCGGGAACGATGGGGAAGAATGGGTGGTAGTTGTCCGCATAGCTTTCGGAGTCAGTATTAGGCACATGTTAAAAGGATGCTGTAAACCTACTGCCGTATAAGGTAGTGGAGCGTCGCCAGATCTAGTGCGCCGTCCTTCACAGGAGGATATTCCTGAATTTCTTGGTTGGCCGTGAGTTGATTTCTGGGCGATTCGAAGGAAGAGAGTTGATCCCATCGGCTTTGTTGGGCAGGTGAAAGGATTGAGTCTAACACCGAAGATGCGTTACCAGGTGTCGACTTAGCTGGGCCTCCTTCACCAGGTGTTTCCTCGTCCCCGTCTTCTGCGGCTCGAGCAAGGATGAGAAGGGCATCCGAGGGATTCTGAAGTGACCGATGCAATGGTTGCTCTCTGGCCTTTGGAGTCTCTGTTATAGGTTCAGGAATAAAACTTGCAACTGTAGCAACAGACGGAGCAGTATGGATATCACTGTCCCGGCGTTGTCTCTTGGTGCCACGATATTGCGAGTAGTCTCCCCCACGGCGAGATCCAGCCAGGGAGCACTCGGCTCCCTCGCGAACGCATTTCGCACATGGCGGTTTTCCTTGTTCTCCAATACTATTGCTTTCAATTCATCAGTTCAGATTCATAAGGATGAGATCCTCAAGCAGAAGGAAAACAGGCTTCAGGAAACAGTGTTCTTGGAGGCCTCATTGGTGGACGAAGGGAGGAATCTTGAGAAAAGACCCACAGATCGCAGCGCGTTTTCCTCGTGCGACATCTGACGCATGCCCGGTACTGTCTTACCCCAGTGGCCTTGGTCATCTTTGCCGTCCCAGTCCGGGGAATGATGGGGTGGTGAATGCAAAATCCTGGGGTCACTCGTATGACCGATGCGGGGTCTGGGGGCGGTTATAGATGGGCGAGCCCCGGTTACAGACGACTATAGACGGCGGGGCTGAACGCGGGGTACGGCAGCAGACGGTTGGGGTCATGGAGGTGGCCTCTTTGAGGAAGTGTGTGTTGATGAACAGTGCGTCATTGGCTAGGATATCTTTATGGGTAACATACGGGATGGGAATTGCTTTTAAGTCCAGCATTGCAGGACAAGATAAAAGTTTATAAAGGAGTATGGGACTCTTCTCAGGCGTCTACTTGTGACCTACCCTTGTCCTCCAGAACACTTGCATCTTCTCTTTTTAACTGCACGCAACCTTTCCCACATTATTTGAGAACAATAGACAAAGCCAAACTATCTGTTATCAACATTTTGTCGTTTTCTTCTTCACAATGGCTCCTGGTGTCCTTCAGTCTGAGGCTCCCGCAACGCTGCCAACTCAGAAGGTTGTAAAACAGGCCGATCACCATGCACCTTACGACCCCAGCAACGATATTTATGGCAACTATTATCCAGCTGACCCGAAAAGTCTAAGTCTTGAGTCCAACTTTGGTCCCATGGATGCAGAATCGATTGGATACCTTCAACCTACCCACCGTGACACGCCAATTGAGGTTATGCGTGAGCGTTTCGCGCGCGATGGCTACCTCCTCGTAAGTTTTTTCAACCGCCTCGCTATCGCTGTAAAGTAGAACAAACTAACAGAAATACCCCCCAAAAAAAAAGATCAAAGATATCCTCCCTCACGAACCTGTCCTGAAATGCCGTCGTGAATACTTCTCCCACATGAGCCCTAGTGGGCTCCTCCGCCCCGGCACCGATCCTGTCGAAGGTACATTCTCCGGCAAGGATACTCGCAAATACCTGCCCCCGGGTAACCTTCGCCGTCTCTTCGGTCTCAAAGATGACCCTGAGAGCGACAAATATGCCGAGCTCATGGTGTCTGCCCACGACGCCGACTTTTACGTCAACTTTTGCAAGTTCCCTGAACTGCGCGAGTTCGTTAGCCGCTTTACCGACTGGCCTTCTCCCCACATGCTTCAGCGTACCATGCTCCGGGCTTTCGTTCCCGATAGTGAGCTCACACCCGTGCACTTTGACCAGATGTATCTCCGCGCCGGTCCACCCACGAGCTTGACGGCCTGGGTACCCATCGGTCCTGTGTCGCTTGAGGGCGGTGGCCTGATGTATCTCGAGAACTCGACTGATATTGGCATGAAGACGGAAGATGATTTTGCAAAGAATGCGCACAACCTTACCGATGAAGAGAGGGTCAGCGCCTTCAACAAGAACATGAACGACGGCGGCTTCCTCAGCCGTGATACTGTGACCTACGGAAAGGAGACAAAGAGGAAGTGGCTCATTGCCGAATACGAGACTGGCGATGTCATCTTCCACAACCCCTACATGGTCCACGCCAGCTGCAAGAATAAGGATCCTAATGCTAGAATCCGTCTGGCTACGGATCTGCGATTTGTTGACCCAGAAAAGCCTTACGATAGGGTGAGTGATTAATCTTGAGCTTTGTGGTGCCATATGCTAACATACTGCAGCGCTGGATGAAGGTTTACAGGCCCCTTGACGGTTTGTGAAGTAATATTAGAAGGAAATGTAGAAAATCTTCTTACGGTGGCTGTGTAAAGCACATGTAGTTTAAGCAAAGCATACGCAATGAATTCCATGACATGAGCATATTCTTCATTTTTCAGGGCTGCGTTTCGTATTACTGTGTCTTCATACAGATATCATAATAATTAGCCTTATGGTGGCTTGCGAACTGGCTTAAATGTTGTTTTTGGCGTTCAAATAACCTGAAGACGGCTTTGTGCAGCAGTATGATAGTTGATAGTTGTTGGCTTTCCATGCACGATTTAGGAGGAACCTGTTTTGATGAAGTAACTCTCAATACAAAGAAATCATACAAGCATTTCTGCCCCTGCAAAACGATGTCATGAAAGGCTTCAAACTTCTTTTGAGGGCTGTTACAAAAGTACCCTGGGAACATGTAACATAATTCCTCAATGACAATATCGTTGGAAGAGTTCAGCAAAACAGAACAGCGAAGCAGCGAGCCCACATCCCAATCTGAATCTGCACTCTACAAACCCAGTCTTGCATTATCATATCACGATGATCATTTTGAAAGTGTCGGCCTTCTCATTTGGGATCCGAAAGTGATTCCTAGACGATACCCATAACTGCCAACCACTCAGCCAAGCCTCTCGGAAGCCGACCTTGCTTCCCAGCAACAACGGATTTTAAAAATGGATCAAATCCAGTGCGTCATGTATTATTGTCACAACTCGGCAACACTACCAGAGTCTCTTCGGGAAGCGGTGACTACGCATTACCGAACGCTGACAAGACCCGGTAGATTGGTAATCGCTGCCGCAGAAGGTAATCAAAGCATCTCATTTGTGGGAAAACTCATCTCCACGAGCCTCTTGTTCCTCGAGGCATGGCATGTGTAATGCTTAGGGTCTCTCCTGTTGCGGTGAATGCGACATCACAACACACCTCTGCCACGTTTTTGGTCCCAGCATCCAAGACTTGAGGAGGCGAGACCTGCCACTAAGGAGAAAAACATGGGTCGCCCAGTTCTCCGCGTGTGATGCGCCACCGCCATCTATAACCGACGCTAAATTCACGCCAAAAACACTCTGCAAATCCATGACTCGACCTCCACTTCGCGGGACAGTGCCGACCAGTCCTAGGCTCGCCAATTTGTATTGTGTGCCAACCCCCTCCCCCCAATACCCCGGATTTGAAGTTGTGGGGGTGAGAGTCGGGGTAGCTTGCGGGGTGCAGGGGGACGGACCAGGTGTGACCCAACCCCGAGGGTCTGCGGTCCCGGCTGGCCGTCTATTACCGTGAGGGAAGACAAAGAGTGTGTTGATTCGTATAACAGATCTGATATCTTTGTTGTTTCGGTTTCCCTAAATAGTCAACCAAGTATCTGAAGATTCAACTCAACAACTTCGACGTGTCATTCCATCTTCTCTTCTTCAATTTGACACATCGGCTTTGCGAGATTTAACTGTGTAATTAAAGGACATTGCAAAGCGGCCACGATGGGTTTGTTGCAAAAGATTGTCCGTAACGAGGCGACCAGATCGGACCCTCCAGAGATTTACAATGCGCGGGTTATTCTCATCAGCCTTGTGGTACGTGGTCTTACATCCGGGAAGAAACTGGTACATTTACTTACTCTTCTAGGCCTGCGGAGGTGCGCTGCTATTCGGAATGGACATGGGGTGCGTATGAAAAGTAACCAATATTCTTGAAACCACGCTTACTTGATTCAAGAATTATCGGTGGTGTCTTAACAATGGACACTTTCAAAAGGTATTCTAAGACACTTCAGAGCAAAGCAAGAGACCGTGCTAATCAAGTCACCGTACAGACAATATGGCCTCATGGACCAACCAAAGACCGTTCTTGCCAACCTCGAGTCCAACATTGTTTCTGTAATTCAAGCGGGTGCCTTTGCGGGCGCATTGTTTTCCATGTGGCTTGCCAACCGAGTTGGCCGTCGCTTCTCCCTCATCATTGCTTCCATCCTGGTCTTTATCGGTGTTGCGTTGCAGGCGGCTGCCAGTGGACACATTGAGGCCATGTATGTTGGTCGGTGAGTAAAGACCGCCCCTGATATATGCTGCCGTTCAACAGCTAACGATTTAAAAGACTCATTGCAGGCATCGCCATCGGTATCGCGTCGTCAGTCAACCCTCTTTACGTCTCGGAGAACGCCCCTCGCGGAATCAGAGGTCTCTTAACCGGTCTCTATCAACTCAGTATTGTAACTGGGCTGACGGTACTTTTCCTACGCAACTCATCATGCATTTCCCTTGACTGACCAAAAACAAAGCTCGCTTTCTGGATCAACTACGGTTCCCTGCTCCATATCAAGGGCCACAGCCAATACATTATCCCTCTCTCGCTGCAAGCCTTCCCAGCCGTCATTCTCTTTGTCGGCATGCTCCTCGCCAACGAATCCCCACGCTTCCTCGCGCAGCGTAACCCCGACAAAGCCCTGGCCGTCCTTGCCAAGCTTCGCAACCTGCCTGCGGACCACCCGTACATCCAGCAGGAGATGGACGGCATCTCGCGGCAGCTCGAGGAGGAGCGCGCTCTCGCTGTTAACGCGTCGTACTTCTCGCTTCTCAAGGAGGCGTTCACGATCAAGTCGTACCGCAGGCGGAGCATGCTCTGCATCACGCTCATGATGTGGAGCAACCTGACTGGGACGAACGCCATGACGTACTACAGCCCGAGGATCTTTGCCAGCGTGGGATTGTCTGGGTCGTCGACTGGGCTCTTCGCAACGGGAGTGTATGGGATTGTCAAGATGGTGTCGTGCGCCATATTCATCGTTTTTGTCACGGACACCCTCGGTCGCAGGAAGAGTCTGTTGTGGACGGGCATCGTCCAGGTGAGAACGCGATGATCAGTATCGGCGTCCGAACACCTTATACTGACGGTTGGAAATAGGGTCTGGCGCTGTACTACGTCGGTTTCTATATCCGTTTCGATCCCCCCATCGTAGGTGAACCGGTTAGCGCCCCGGGATACGTCGCACTTGTCGCTATTTACATATTTGCAGCAGTAAGTACCAACCCATGCCAGATAAGCAGTAGCTCGTCATTGACACGTTTCAACAGGTTTACCAAGTAAGTCCAGTGTTGAGCTAGCCCTGCCCGTACATGGCAACGTCGAAATACGAAAGTCGTGACACAGGTTGGATATCTTAACGGAATGGCTGACCTGCTTTAGTTTGGATGGGGACCCGTTGTCTGGACGTACTCTTCCGAGATCCCTCCGGCGCGTCTACGAGCGTTGATGATGGGCATGGCCACGGCCAGCCAGTGGCTATTCAACTTTGTCGTGGCCAAGGCGACCCCGAGCATGTTCGCCACGCTCGGTACGAACGGCTTCGGCACTTACTTTGTTTACGGGACCTTTTGCTTTGTCATGGTGGTCTTTGCTTGGTTCTTCGTCCCCGAGACTTCGGGTAAGTGGAGCTGCTCATCGTTTGTCTTTTACATTACTGATGCTATTCCGCAGGTATCGCTCTGGAGAAGATGGACGAGTTGTTTGAGAAGGACTCGTTGAAGGATAAGCTTCTCTTCAGGAAGGGGCCCCCGTTGAGTCCTGTTGATGGCCCGATCGATGACGCGGTGCTGGACAAGAAGGATGCCGAGCACGTCGAGATCGCCACGAGGTGAAGTGATAAGAGAGAGGAAGTGATATTTGCATTTGGATTGATTGTATCTACTACTTTAAGCAAACGACAATGGACGAAGAATGATCCAGCTATCCGTAACCTTGACTTTGTCAAGCATTTGCACAAACAATTCAGTAAAACGGAGTATGAATGAAGACTTGTTTGAAAAACAGTCAAAGCATACATATTGAATTTTAAGAAAACGCAATTAATAGCCTCAAAAACCTATGCAATGGCTTCATGCTCGCCTCGGTGACAATTCACACCGAACTCGGGCCGTATTACCGAGAAATACACTACTGACCGATCTTCACCGAGCCGCATTCGCATCGGATGCAGACATCGACGGACGCCGTATAAATGTCTCAATCATGCACACAATCCAGACGAGACGTGTTATGCCCTCGCAGAATCTAACATGGTATTCAAAGACATGCGTTCGAGATTCGCGAGACCTCCCTAGCCCAGATGGAGCCTCACGATCCGCGGTGACTAGCAGTACCAAGTCGCAGTCGTTCAATGACAGTAAGGTAAAGGCATCATCGGCACGACGTCCCGAAGGAACCTGAGAAAAAAAAACAAAAAAAAAAAAAACCGCAGTCACATTTTCACGCTTGAATGTCGGGAACATAGGTGCCAGAAAGGGGGGGAGCTGACTTGTCGCAAATGCAGTGCGAGGGGTAAAAAAAAAAAGGGTAGCATAACAGGACAGGCTCGAATCAATGGGCAGCAGAGAAAGAAAACGTGGCTGTCGCAACCCCCTCTCGATCCCCGATGCAGTCTAAATCGCGGGTTTCGAGACTACCCAGGGTTGGGCAGCGCCGTGTGCTTTGTGACGCAACAGCCACTGACGAGGCGGGATTGGCGCCATGTGCTTTTCATTAGACGGCGGGGGGATTTTGCTCATTCGTTTGCTGCCACCCGCCATGCGTGCTTTCTTACGCGCTGTCAGGCATCGAGATCACACATGGAGGGGGAGGGAGGGGAGGGGAAGACTGTGTGCATTTTCCCTTCGGCCTTCGGGCGAAGCCGGTGGTCGTATTGGGCAGTGGAAAAGGGCAGTTTTGGAAGAGGAAATAACAAAACAAAAAAAATGGCTCAGTTGGCTGGCGAAGCCGTTCAGGCTGATGTGACATGGTGGTGGTCAGGCAGAGCGGTCGGTAAGGAAACGACCGAGATAGTACCTTTCGGCATCCATCCATCATCTGGCGGCGGTTTGCGGCTGGACGTGATGGGATGTATAGAGTGGGAGTATTAAGACGGATGGTATAATGAGGTTGGAGCGAACGGGCGTTTAGCAGTTGGATGGATAGAGACGGCCTTTCAGCAGCAAGCCATAGCAGCGTCGGGAGTTCTCGTATGCATGCCTATCACGTAAGTATATCCATCCGCATGGTGCACATGCATCCCGAAGAAGATGTTTCGGGTCATCATTTCTCATCGATTAGGTATCGATTTTAACGCATGGCTGGTGGTGACAAGCCAGTCAGGGCTCGAGCCGATAATGGCAGGGTACCAGACGAGGGGCAGATGAGGGGGAGGGGCATATCCGTCGTTGGCAAGACAGGCTAGGTACGTTGGAAGAAGAGAGTCATCTTCGATAGCAGTAGTATCCAAATCATGAGACACGGTTGACTCCATACTTGATTTCCATGGGGGCCTACTGTCATTACTGCCATATTAGAATGAGTCTGGAACATGGTAAGCTCACGCCACTGTTTGAAATGTCTGAAGGCTGTAGGTTATCAGATCCAGCACGTTGAATGAACGACGAGTGATGGCCGGGGATGCAGATTCAATCTTTGCCTGGGCTCGCCGCTGCAGACATTGGGTCGAGACCGGTGTTGGCTGCGTTCCCATGCATGGAAACAAAACAGGCTCAGGCTCAGTCGGTCAGTCAGTGTGTGCGTGTCCATGTAAACCAGCCATGCACCATTCAGCACAGCAGCACCAGCGAGCCTGGCAAACATAGTTAAAAAGAGTGGTGGAACCCCAAATCCTCGCTCTGATCCCCCAGATTGGAGAGATCTGGTATTCCCCCTCTTCATCCGCAGCCCTGAGCCGACCGTTTCGATTCGTTCCCTTCCCCCCTCGTGGCCTCACTCGATCTTGTCCGACGTGGCCTGACAGTGATAAACCGACGTAGAGCAACAGTTTCGACTAGACCAGTGGCAATTCGCTGCACCAGCGGCAGCAAGCAGCAACCCAACAGGGCCTTTTGAAAGGGGGAACCACTAGTAGTCCTTCTCTGCTCACCGTCTTTTCACCAACAGGCGGTTATCGACGATAGCGGGCGTATCCGAGTGCGCATAGAGAACCAGTACAGCGCCACGAAGCCGACCGAACTCACTCGACGATCGCACCCGGTACTCGAAAGGAGGAAGTGTGTTTCTGAGACATTGTGAAGTGAGAGAGCCTCAGAGTCTATACTACAGCCTCCGTACGACACTGCGGAGACTACGGATACACACTAGAACTGTTAGCGGCGGTGGGCCAGACATCACCAACTGGGAATCACCTCTTTCAGTGGGAAAGATTAAAAGGGGAAAGGGAGGAAATTACCTCGAATTACGTCAGGTGGGTCTAAGCTTTTTCTCTAGTTGATTGTTTCTGATTTCAAGTTGCGGCTCTTTTTGTTTTTGATTGTCATCGGGGACGGCCGATTCAATGCCAGACAGACAGGCAAAGACCATGCAGGCCCTCAGCCCTCAGCAGCAACCAACAACCCCCATCAGACGGTGGCGGCTATGGCTTCAGTTGGGCACAGAAGAGGCCGGCGGCTCAGAATCTGCGCCCAGTCTTGGCCAGGCCACCTCTCAGCTCACTTTTGCGAGTCGAGCGCATTCGGACATGAAAATTGTTCTGGACGTTTGTTAGTGCAAACCAGAGGCCCAATTGGCCGCTAAGAGGGCAAAAGACACAGGAGGAAAAAAAAAAAGAAAAGAGATGATGGCATTACTCACGGCTTTCCCAACATCTGTTTGTTTTGTTCACATTGGTATCATCGCCCCTGGTTCTTCTGTTACTTTTGCTTTACGTATTCATTCCCAGCCTCCCCCGGTTATCTCCCCTGTTTTCTGGAGAAGAGAAAGTCGAGACGGTGAGAGGCATACGAGGGCACATTGAGAGAGAGAGAGAGAGAAATTGAAGAGAAAAAAAAAAAGAAAAAGTCCATCACAGGATTCAACTGGCTGTTGTGCCATCTTGAGAGGTTTTGGTATCCTTTCCCCCCTTCTTCCTTCACTGGGCTTAGTTTTGCTCGGGAATTGCATCACAGAGACATCATCAAGCACATGGAAAGAGACGACCACTGCAAGCAGAGAGAGGCATCAACCTGGAACGAGGGGCATCACTCAGCGCACAGCACCGGTGCTCTACCTCCGGCCCAGCACCCAGGATGAGCGTCGACAGGGGGGGGGGAGGGGGGCACCATAGTGGACCAATCCGGCAACGCATAATTCGTCCCGTCCGAACCAGGGTTGAAAAGCCAGGTTTTGAGATTGTATCCAACAAATTGGAAATGACTGCGTCATTGGTACCCTCTGGGTGCAAATGCAGCTGTGGAATACACCGAGAATACCTCCTGCGCACGTACCGACTACTTGGAATCTACTCCAGCTGCCCATCTCTGGCGAATTCCAGCAGCTTCCCCCTCCACACCACCGAAATAGTACCTACGCTACCTACACTACTGGACCGGACCTGGCTGGACTGAACTCGGCCTGGTCCTAAGCATGGCTGCCGCTGTCACTTGTATGGTGCCGCCGTCAGTGCTCTCTCTGGTTGTGATGAAAGGAGGGGGAGGGGTTGAGCAAGCAAAAAGATCGTGATCTCTACAGTCAGCTCCGAGACACGGTAAGAAAAAAACAAGATTCAACCAAACTCGGAAAAAACTGCAAATGGGATAGAGAGAGAGAGAGCAAAAGAACTTTGTTCGGTTTCCCTATGCCACCAGCATCGATCCCACCGGGAGACCATCGCAGAGAGCAATTCAGCAACATCCATAACCAAAACATCATCCCTGAACTGCGGTGCGGTGTACAAGCAACTACCAAGCAATTCACCATCGCCAACACGGCCAATCACTATAGCTCGTGGCCGGCAGCTGTGGGCTCGCTGCACTTGTCAGTGCCTTATCCCGGCAGCATTCCTTTCTGTACCGAGAGTCTCTGGAGTTCTGGGCCAGACGAGAAGACCGGGATAGGAGCAAATCGTCCTAAAGCGGGAAAAGGTACCTTTTGGCTGGTGGCCACGGCAAAAAAGTACTTTACCGAGATTTTGGTACTCTACGATTTCGATCACCACATTATACTGCAGCAACATCAGAAAAACAGTCAGAGACCGCTTCAGTCTGTTGGCTTTTTGGCTGGTATTCTTCACCTTGGAGTCTTTTTTTTCTCTCCAAATCTCATCTCGGAATTCCAACAAATAACACCACGTCCAAATAGGATCAACAACATCCTGCTTTACCTACTAGTGTATACAGAGCACTACGCCTGGACCGACCTAGCCTCTCCCGCATGCCCCTGTCTCTCTTCCCCTCCCCCCCTCAACCCCGGTCACTCACCGTCATCGCCTGGACTGCCTATTCCGCTACAGCTTCAGGCTTTCGTCTCGGCCTGATCTCGTGTAGCTTCACCGTCTGGTAGCCCGGCGCCTCGAGTGTGATCTTTCTGCGCTGCTGCTGCTAGGCTGGTTGGTAGTAGTTGTTGTATCTCTTCTCTCGCTGCGTGTGTGTCTGTTTTGTTTGTATAGGCCGAGCCAGTCATTAGCATCTGGTTGACAGCACTTTTGGTCGGGGAGTCTTTTTTATTATTTTTATTTATTTTTATTTTCATCCGAGCTGCTTCTTTTTTCATCACTGCATCATCTTCCCCTCCATATCTCCATCCTACCGAACCAGCCTTGTCCATCCCAGGCCAGTCTTTAAAAAAAAAAGTTGCATCTGCCGGGGGAGGGGTTTATTTACATAGTCCTCCTTGGGTCATTTCACTTCGACGGCTTTCTACGGCAATACAAAATCAACACCAACAAAAAAAGTGGTGGTCTTTGGGATAGCCTCATTGCCCTCATCTTCCCTCCTACTCGCCTCATCCTCCTTTTCACCTTACTCTATTTTCTCCCTCTCTCTCTCACTCTCTCTCACTTTCTCACTCTCATCTCACTATATTATTCACCTTTATTGGTGTAGAGTGTTTGGTCTTTTTTTTTTTAACCTCTATACTCATCTCTTGGTTTATACCTTTTTTATTCCTATTACTCCCCATCACCACCTCTTACTCTCATTACTACCCTCTTCCCTGCCGCTAAACCCAAAGCAATTTCGGCGCTGGGACTGAATCATGGACCAGCAAAAGAACCCGCCCGACGAACGCCCCGGGATTACGGCGCGTGGGGGCTCCTCGCCAGCTCTCCCCAAAGAACTGAACCCATCCGCGGTCAATCCTGCACCTGTCAACCCCGCCAACCCAGTCCTAAGGAGCATCGCCCTCTCTGACGCCGTCACGCCGGGAATTCACCAACATACATATCGCGACTCTGGCGACGAAGACAACTCGCGCTCCGGTTCCCCCAGCTATTTCTCCATCTCCGACCGCAGAGTCGACGTCTCCAACCCCTCGCAATCCGTACCCCAGACGCCTTCCATCCCCAAACACAACCTCCCTCAATCGCCGGGGAGCATCACTGGAAAGGACATTTTGAAGCGCATGACCCTCGCAGCCATGGGTCGACGCGAGTCTCTGTCCAACATTCGCGCTGCGAATCCCGATTTGCAGCTTAGCGGAAACATTATTTCTGCCACCTTTAACATTCCGCATTCTCTCAAGTATCGCAAGGGTTCCGACTGGGTGAGTGGTTTTGTTTTTGTCTTTTGTTGCTATCGTGGGATGAGGAATTCCCTTATTCTCGACCACGAAAACCTCAACAGTTCAGCTGGCTTTCCCCTTGCTCGATTTGCTTATATTTTTCACTGTATTTTTCATTATTTTCTCTGCTCTTTTTTCTGTTATTTTCTCTGTCTTTTCTGCATACTCTTTACCCTGTATTGACCGCGTCTCTTCTCCCATTCTCCCTCTCTAATTTTCCCGCATCTCCAAATCCGTCCTAAATTCCCCCGCTGACATCATCACCACCATGACAGGAATTGAAACCTCGACGTGGCCAATCCGCCCTTTTCGACTCCTTCTCCTACCTCTCCTCCGACGAGACTCCCTGGAATCACACTGTCGTCGCTTGGACCGGCGAGATTGATACTCCTCAAGATGTCCTCTCTCCTCCCGGCACACCGCCCGCCACGACCGTCCACTTCTCGAGCCTGAATACCCTCTCTGCCCCCGTCCCTATCGATGGCGATGCTCGCCTGCCGACGCCGCCTCCCGCCGAGGGTCTCTGGCTGCCCAAGGAGGACCAGTTGCGTCTCGAGACCCAGCTGGCTCACAACAAGACCATCAAGACGGTGCCCGTCTGGCTGTGCGACGACAACGAGCAGCAGGATGACGGTCTCCTCCTCAAGGACCAGAGCCGCTGGCGCCGCTATGCCGAGCATGATCTCTACACTCTCTTCCACTACAAGCAGCACGAGCCGACCGACGGTCGAAAGGAGCGTCTGCAGTGGGCCGACTACTACCGCATGAACCAAAAGTTCGCCAACCGCATCATCGAGCTCTACAAGCCCGGCGACGTCGTCATCGTCCACGACTATTACCTCATGCTTCTCCCCAGCATGTTGCGCCAGCGCGTCCCCAACATGTACATCTCCTTCTTCCTGCACTCGCCCTTCCCCAGTTCCGAGTTCCTGCGCTGCCTTCCCCGCCGTAAGGAGGTTCTCGAGGGTGTCCTGGGCTCCAACCTGGTCGGCTTCCAGTCCTACAGCTACTCGCGCCACTTCTCCAGCTGCTGCACCCGCGTGCTCGGTTTCCCCTCCGACAGCGGCGGTGTCGATGCTTACGGCGCCCGCGTCCAGGTCGGCGTCTTCCCCATCGGAATCAACGCTGACCGCTGCGAAATGTACGCCTGGACCGACGCCGTTACCCAAAAGTACGACGCCCTGAAGAAGCTGTACGAGGGTAAGAAGATTATTGTCGGCAGAGACCGTCTCGACAGTGTCCGCGGTGTTGCCCAGAAGCTGCAGGCCTTTGAGCGATTCCTCGAAATGTACCCCGAATGGCGCGAGAAGGTCGTGCTGATCCAGGTCACATCGCCCACGAGCATCGAGGAGGAGAAGGAGGACCCCGAGAACCGCATCGCCACCCGCGTCAACGAGCTCGTCATGAGGATCAACGGCATGTACGGCAGCTTGGGCTTCTCCCCTGTCCAGCACTACCCCCAGTACCTCAGCCAGGACGAGTACTTTGCCCTGCTCCGCGCCGCCGACATTGGCCTCATCACCTCCGTCCGAGACGGCATGAACACCACCAGCATGGAGTATGTCATCTGCCAGCGCGAAGGCCACGGCCCCCTGATCCTCTCCGAGTTCAGCGGTACCGCCGGTAGCCTCAAGGACGCCATCCACATCAACCCGTGGGACCTTAGCGGCGTCGCCATTGAGATCAACAACGCCCTCACCATGTCTCCCGAGAAGCGCATGGCCATGCAGACGAGCCTGTACAACCACGTCACCACCCGCAACGTCCAGAGCTGGATCGACCATTTCCTGCGCAAGCACGTCCACGTCCTCGGCACCCAGAAGAACGTCGTCGCCACCCCTCTGCTCGACCGTGCCCTGATGCTCAAGACCTACCGCGAAGCCGGCAAGCGCCTCTTCATGTTCGACTACGACGGCACCCTCACGGCCATTGTCCGCGAGCCTAGCGCCGCCGTCCCCTCTGAGCGTGTCCTCCAGACCCTCAAGGCCCTGGCCAGCGACGAGAGGAACGCCGTCTGGATCATCTCCGGCCGCGACCAGGAGTTCCTGCAGCAGCACCTCGGCCACATCCCCGGCCTGGGCTTCAGCGCCGAGCACGGCAGCTTCATGAAGAACCCGGGCTCCGACGAGTGGATCAACCTCGCCGACGAGTTCGACATGGGCTGGCAGGCCGAGGTCATGGCCGTCTTCCAGTCCTTCACTGATCGTGTTCCTGGTGAGTTTACTTCGTTCCTGTCACCTTTTTTTGTCTTGTGAGAATGAGTTAGCTGACGTCGAATGATAGGTTCCTTCATTGAGCGTAAGCGTTGCGCCCTTACGTGGCACTACCGCCTTGCCGACCCCGAGCAGGGTCTGCACATGTCCCGCGAGTGCCAGAAGGAGCTCGAGTCGACGGTGGCCCAGAAGTGGGATGTCGAGGTCATGGCCGGCAAGGCCAACCTCGAGGTGCGCCCGACCTTCATCAACAAGGGCGAGATCGCCAAGCGCCTCGTCCACACGTACAACTCGGCGCCGGCCTCCGACAAGCACCCCGGTCGCGTCGAGTTCGTCCTCTGCCTGGGCGACGACTTCACCGACGAGGACATGTTCCGCGCCCTCAACGGCCTGTCCGGCAACGAGGTCGACAACGACCACGTCTTCACCGTCACCGTCGGCGCCAGCACCAAGGTCACGCTGGCGAGATGGCACCTGTTGGAGCCCGAGGACGTCATCGAGTGCGTGGCGCTCCTCGCGGGCGTCGGCCTCGGCGGCGAGGCCAAGGAGCATTTCGGACAGGTCAACCTGGCCGCGCTGAGCACGGTCGAGGGTCACATTCCCGAGTCTGAGAAGTGACTGACGAAGCCGAGTAAGCTGTGATACTTGGGATGGAAATCATGCAGCCGGGAGTATGGATAGAGAGAGCATTGTTCTGATTTGGCATTTTTTTTTTTCTTTTTTTCTTCTTTTCTTTTTTTTTTTTTCCTCGTGTCTTTTCCGTCCTTCAGTCTACAATATGGTGTTTATTATTTCTGATATTATTAGCAGCCGATGGACGACAGTCATCGAGCAACAGCCAGGAAAGGGTAGTTAGTCGACACGAGGCATGATGCATGACGGGTTCAACCAGCATCGGGAGCGGGATGGCCCGACAAAGATACAGTGGCCAAGATGCATATAGACTTTTTATTCTCACTCCCCGCCTCCCCCCTCCTTGGACCCCTTATATGAGATGAAGGTGCATTTTTTGTCCATTTTCGACACGCGCGACTTTCACATGATTGTTTTGACTCGTCCCAGGCCCAGAAAAGAAGGTCATTTAAAATCAGCTGCGGGCTGTGCTCGGGGATCGTCGCCCTCGGCCGCGATGCCCCCTACCTTGACGTACCATTCGGCCGACACCGCATGTTCAACTGGAGACGGGTTGACGAACTTTGGACGAATCATATGTCTGTGATTGACAAGAGAGATTGGACGAAGAACAGGCACGTCGTGATTGTTCATCCCATCTCGGTCAAGGTCGCACACACCCAAGGTCGAGCACGTTTGCGCAGATTCAAAGATCCCGGTCGGTGTTATGTGGAACCTTCTTGGCGGATGTTACCATGACCATCGCCCGTCTTTGTGACGAGACTCAACTTGTGAGAATGCTGATTATGTGTGTTTGGTTTGAATTTACAGTCGTATTATACCCGTATGAAGGCAAAACGTTTGCTGTGCTAAGCATAGATGTGACTCAAGATCAACCCGGCTCCCGCAACTTTGAGACAGATTATCACCAAACACCACACCCCCCGGCCTCCCCTGGACGGGGTCGGATCAAGACCTCTTTCGACCTACCCGTCCGAGGTTGGCTTGTATGCAGGAACGAGCACATTTAGGACCGCGCCCACCATTCATGCGGGGCAATAGATTACAAGCGGCGGGGCAGTAACTTGCGCGATGAAGGTCTGGTGGTTTGAGTGCCGGTGTGATGAAGAAATTATAAGTTGCGAGAGTCCCTCGCGATACCGTCACAATGGCGTCGTCGCTGTCAATGACAAACATAGTCTTGTCAGAAGAGAGAATCAGAAGTCACGATGCGCTTCGTCCGACTTCTCCCCGCCCTGGCCTTCGTCGCCGGGGTCGTCGCCCAGGACGATGGCGACAATAACGCAGAGGTTCCCGTCGAACTCGAACCAAAGCGCTTCATCGTCGAGTTCGCCAGCGTAAGCCCAAACCACCCTCACTTCATTTTGGCGATGCGCAAAACTCACAAGCATAGGGCACCCACACCAAAACCAAGCGCGACGAGCTTTCGTCAGAGGAAGGCATCAAAGTCCTCAAGACGTTCGAGTCGGCCGTCTTCTCCGGAGCCAGCGTCGAGACGGATAACCACAACCTCGACACCCTCCGAGACCTCCCCGACGTCGTCGGCGTCTGGCCAAACAGCAAAGCCAACCTCGTCGCCCCCGTAAAGCGGCAAGTCGCCGTCGACCCCGAAGCCGCGGACGAGTACGCCGTCCACTGGGCCACGGGCGTCGACGCCCTCCACGAACAGGGCATCCTGGGTGAGGGCGTCAAAATCGGCGTCGTCGACACGGGAATCTGGTACAAACACTCGGCACTTGGCGGCGGTTTCGGCCCCGGGTTCAAAGTCGCCGGCGGACGCGATCTCGTCGGAGACACGTGGGTTGCGGGTTCGACAAAGACGCCCGACGACGATCCGGCCGACCAGCAGGGTCACGGCACGCACGTCGCCGGCATCATCGCCGGTGAGTCCGCGTCCGGGTGGCGCGGCGTCGCGCCCAAGGCGACCCTCTATGCCTACAAGGTTTTCGGCCCCGGAGACGGCACCGACACGGCCACGCTCATCGACGCCTTCCTGCAGGCGTACAACGACGGCATGGACATCATCCACGCCAGCGTCGGAGGCAGAGGCGGCTTCGCGAATAACGCCTGGGCTGTCGTGGCGAGCCGCATCGCTTCCGAGGGCGTCGTGGTGACCATCTCTGCCGGCAACTCCGGCAACGGCGGGGGTTATTATGCCAGCAGCGGCAGCTCCGGGGAGAATGTCATTGCCGTCGCGAGCGCCGAGGTCAAGAGGAGGAGCACGACGAGTGCCGACGACGACGGCGGCGACGTGATTCAGCCGTCGTACTTCACGAGCTGGGGCGGTCTGTACGACTTGTCCGTGAAGCCGGACATCGCCGCTCCCGGGTCCAACATCTTCAGCACGTGGGTCGGGGAGGATAACAACCAGTTCGTCCTGCTCAACGGGACGAGCATGGCCGGGCCGTATGTCGCCGGCGTGGCGGCGCTGTACATCTCCAAGCACGGCGGACGGACCGTCCACTGCAAGGATTTCGCAAAGAACCTCGCCATGCGCATCATCTCCACCGGTTCTTCGCTGCCGTGGTTGCTTTACGGCGGTGCCGCGGACCCGAGCTACAGAGCCCCGTCGCAACAGGTCGGCGGCGGCCTCATCGACGCCAAGAAGGTGCTGGAGTACGGGACGAATCTCAAGCTCGCGCGCTTCGGGCTTAACGATACGGCAAACTTCCGCCCCAGCCAGAGGGTCACTATCCGCAATGACGGAAATGAGGCGGTCAGGTATACTTTTGAGGTCGAGAACTGGGCTGGTTTCGACATGTTGAGGAGCTTCGACGCGCGGGATCCGGGCGAGACGCCTCGGATTCGGTACCGCCCCGAGATGGTCCCTTCTAATTTTTCGGCGACGGCAAGTGGCCCTGGGGAGTTTTCTTTGGCGCCCGGAGAGTCGCGGGAAGCAGGGTGAGTTGACTTTTTCTGGACTCTGGCGGTGGAGTTGCTGACCTTTTGTATAGGTTCGTCTTCCAGGCGCCCCAGGGAGTCAACGAGACGGCCCTTCCTGCGTACGGCGGACGTGTGCTTGTTAAGGGTGACAACGGAGAGACTGTTGCTGTTCCGTTCCAGGGACTTGCGTTTGACTTGAAGGAGCAGATGCAAAGCGCATTCCACGGGACTTATCCGTGGCTGAGATCCACGAGTGCTTACAGCAACAAGACGACGTGAGTTCCGTTTGACTGTAAAGATCAGAGTGTAATGATGCTAAACCGGTGTGTTAGCTTCAACTTGAATACCGCCACGGGGGCACAGGACTTTCCCATGCTGTTTATGAAGGTCAAATGGGGGACTAGGGAGGTCCGTTGGGACGTATGTAGTCTCTATCCCGCCTGGTTTACCCAGCTCTGACACCGTGTAGATCTACGAAGCCGGCTTTGACAACGAGCGCGACTGGGAGTACCCGCCGGTCCAGGGACAAAAGGGATACATCGGATCGGCGACGTCGTGGTCTAGGGCAGGCAGCGTTTCGACCTTCAACCCTGCGCGGCACGACGCCAACGACACATATGCGTTTCCCGTCGTCGATCAGGGGCGCAATGCGTTAACTACTGGCGGGTTTACGACGACGTATTTCTGGTTTGGCAAGCTGGCGGATGGAAGTCAGATTGCGCCCGGTGAATACACGTAAGTATTATACCAATATACAGTTTATGAGATGTGTGATGCTGACCCAGAGTTATAGCATGCGATTCGCCGTCTTGCTGCCGTTTGCCGACCCGGCTGAGGCAGGCAGCTGGAAGGGGTTGACTACGGGCTTTACGATTCTCCCGAGGAACGGGACTGTCTCTCGACGAGCTCGACCTTGAATGGAGGAATCCTCTTGTAAATTAGTGTATATCTGTTCAGTTTGTTGTGAATATTGAGACCTAAGCAAGTAATAGCAAGTTTGTCGGTATGCTGCAACCGCAGTCTCAACCCGATCTAGCTAAAGCAATGTCCAACCGTATGGTCGACAAACTCACTCCGCCTCGCCCATACCTTGGGTCACGGTACTTGTGCCATCCGCATCTCAACTGCAAGCCAACTGTGTATGAATCCCGGTGGGAGTCTATCCCCACACATCATATCAGCTTCATCACTGCAACTTGCAAACACGATTCTCAACCAACTTCATCATGCAATCACTGCCAAACTCGGGCCACTCCGCGCAGAAGGTCTTGAACTCGGGCATGTTAATGACGCTCTTCCTGACAAAGGCCCTTCCGAGGAGAACCTCCAGGAAGGCCACCTTGAGGACATGCTTGCCGGGGAAAGAGGCGTATATGAGATTTCCAGTCTTGAGAAAATCTTTGCCGTCGATATGAAAGCCTTCCGTCATGGCGATGTGATCTGTACGCGGGATGAAATCCTTGCTCCAGAAATTCAAAATGTCGTCGCAAAGCGCGGGCACATTGAAGTAGTCTCCGAGGATCCATAGATCTGTGCACGAGTGCATGATGGTGCCCGCTTTGATGAGCGGCTTGAAGTTGATAGCTATCATTTTTATCGTCAGTGGTGGTCTGTCTAGGTAGGGGAAATACTTGGGTGGAATGTAGTGGGTGCAGAGGAAATTAAGAGACAAGTTGTATGGATAATAGTTGGGGCCGTAGTATGCTTACTTCCTTTATAAATATACTTGATGATTGAATCCATCTGCGTTTTGCTGAATTCTGTGATTTCAACCTTGCCGGACTTTGACTCCTGTCATGTATGAGCAAGAAGTGGCTGGCATGGGGACAAATCCGCTTACCGGCCAACCAGACAACAATGCCGACTTGAAGTAGGATGAGCGCGCGCACAAGATTGTTTTGTGTAGCTTCCAGGCTTTTCCTTGGCAAATCACTTCGCAATCGGCCAACATACCGGACTTGAGGAGTCTAACAATGTCAGTAAGTAAGGGACGAAGCATATCTGCCTGGCTGCATTATTGAAGCAGTGAAGAACTGGGCTGGACTCACTGTTGGTCATCCATCCCGAAGGTGCTCATGGTGAGGTTCTTGACGGATATTACTTTTTGTGAGAACGTCAGTATCTCGGAGCTTCCTACAAATGCGACGGATGTTCAATGTAGGTGAGCAACATATCTGCGACGCTATTAGATGAAGCTTTTGGGACAGAGTTATGACTGGGCTGGTTCGTTCCTCTCCCAGCGTTGCTGGAGCCATCTCTGCATCGTTTCTAGAAATCAGACAAGCGAGACTTACAGCATATGACAATCTTGTGACAGAAAGTATTTGGTTTAGGTATCGAAAGATACGAATCAGAGTTTTGTTGGTCTTGACAGTTAAATCGCCGTCTGTTGGGGCTGTGTGGATGAGTTGAAGATCGAGGATTATGATTCGATTTGGATTTAAGAAAATGAGGAAATCAATTGATTGAATGAAAAGGGGAAGCTCACGGCTTGTTATAGATTCGACTCGCCGGATCGCTCTTTCCTTGTGTTTGTATTGGTGCTATTGTCGATGGATGGCGACGCGTGTTCAGGCTTCAGGAAAGAATCAGACGATAAAGGGAAGGCGGAGAAGTCTGCTCTCTTGTGAAGTTCTGACGAGACGTAACTTTCATGAACAACTCACCTTGATTTTGTTCAGAATTTTTCAAGAGGGAAGTGAGGGTTGGTTGCTGGTAAGGTTTTCTTTAGAGGATGTCGATAGTTATATCTAGAACCACAATGGTAAGAAAAAGAAGGAGATTGACTGTAGATTGATTACAGGAATCACGCTGATGGTGACTAAAATGAAAAGAAAGAAAAAAAAACCAGGCATCAGAGAGCACGCCAAGTGAAAGAAAAAGGTCCTGCAGAGGGTGATATAACGACACGTTTTGTGTATGCCTGAAAGGGTGAGTTGTAACACCATGACAAAATACGCACTAACTACAGTGAGTGAAGAGAGAATGAAGCAAAGGTAATCAAAAATAGTGTTCCTAAGAGTCCCATCATATCAGAGTTTCTGTCTTCTGTGGTGACCTTAGCGCGAAGAGCTTTGCTCCCAAAGAAAACTTGGCCTAGATTCATTGCCAACACCATCAGTTGGGCCGAACTATAATTAATCGGTACAACAAGGCTTTGCTCGCTTTTTTCTATTCATATCAAGTCTATAACATCGCAGAGAAATATATACAAAGTTCAAGGTTTTGAGTGTCGAGGAAATGGTCCTTGTAACAAGCGTCTTCACCTCTCATCCGAAGCAAACACTCAGATAGTGATCTCAGCAGATCCACGAATGTCGTGAGAGCTCGCGCCGACAGCAAAAGTGTACGTGCCCTTGGCAACAGCCCATTTCTGAGCAGCAGTGTCCCAGTAGCTAAGGTCACGGCGACGGACGCTGAAGTTGACATCGGCAGAATCGCCGGGCGCAACGTTGACCTTCTCGAACCCACGAAGGACGCGGGTAGGCTGGGCAGCCTCTGTCGGGAAGCTGACGTACAACTGGGCGACCTCCGAGCCCTCGACAGCACCGGTGTTCTGGATCTTGGTCTTGACGCTGACGACCTCGTCCCACAAATCAGCCTGGCCACCGGGGAACAGAGCGCCGGTGGGATACTTGGAGTCCAGAGCAGTAGCGTTGGTAGCAGTGGCATCAACCTTGCCATAGGTGAAGGAAGTGTAGCTGAGGCCGTGGCCGAAGGGGTAGCGGACAGAGACATTCTTGGCATCAAAGTAGCGGTAGTCGATGAAGACGCCCTCGGAGAACTCGCACACGGCAGTCGTGCAGATGGCGGCGGGGTAGTCGGAAGCCTTCTTGGCAATGGTGTGCGTGACCTTGGCACTGGGGTTGACGTTGCCGTATAAAACATCGGTAATGGCGTTGCCGCTCTCCTGGCCGAGGAGACCAGAGTAGAGGACCGCAGTGACGTTTTCGTTCTCGATCCAGGCGTCAAGGACACGGGGGCCAGAGGTGTTGACGATAACAACCGTGTTGTTGCAGTTCGACGCAACGGATGTGACCATGGAGTCTTGTTCGTCATCGGAGAGCTCGCTGCGGTCACCTCCCTCGCCGGAGTAGGAGTTGAGGAAGACGAGACAGACTTCGGAATTCGCAGCGTAGTTGGTGAATGAAGGGGTAGTTGCGGTTCCCTGGCCGAGGTTGCCGAGACCACCACCGCCGCCACCACCACCGCCGCCGCCGCCCATACCACCGTCGGTGCTGTTACCTCCAGATGGGAATCCTCCGCCAGTGCTGTTGCCAGTCATGCCGCCGGGAGGGCTGCCTCCAGGAGAGCCACCACCGCCCATACCGCCGGAAGAGGATGAGGTGTAGGTGTTGTTAAGGAGCCACCAGATCATGCTGTTGTCCTCAATGGCGCGGGAAGTGAGAGCGTGATAGGGGGTAACGAGATACGGGAAAGAGAGCTGGCCGGAACCAGTACCGCTGGCGAGATGGCCCTGGTAGACGTCGCTATCAGTACCCTGGACGCTGAAAGGCTGGTTAGGGCCGGCCATGGCAGGACCAGCGTGGGAGCCAAAGAGAGAGATCGTGCGGGGCTTCCTCAGGGGAAGGCCAAGTCCGGAGGCGTTGGAGTTCTTGAGCAAGACGATGGACTCTCCAGCAACCTGACGGATCAGCTTGGAGTGGTCGCCACGGACATCGCGATACTCGGTCGAGCTTGCCACCTTTGACGGCTGCTTGCCATTGTCGAGGCCAACATGGTAGTAACCGATGACGTTGCGGATGGCCATGTCGTCAAGACGCTCCTGAGTGAAGCTGCCGTTCTTGATGCCGGCGTTGAGGATGTCCTCGGTCCAGAGAGAGCTGGAGCCATAGTCGAGACCAGCGTTGGCGGAGCCGTAGGAGGTAGACTGGGAGTTGACGTCAGGGAAGACGAGGCCGACGAAACCGAGGTCCTTCTTCAGCACGCCGCTGATGAGATCCTGGTTCTCGCAGGCGAGGGTGCCGTTGACACGGGTCATGGCGCACATGACGGCCATCATGCCTGACTTGACACCGTCGGCGAACGGCCAGGAGTAGACTTCGTGGATCGTCTTGTCATCGGCGTTGGAGGTGTAGACCTCGCTCGTGGTCGCGGAGATACCGGAAGAGCGGTTGGTTTCCTGCTCGTTGAGGAGGAAGTGTCGACCTCCAGCAATGACACCTGCAGAGTTCATGCCGGAGATGGCCTTGCCCATGGCAATACCAGTGAGGTAGGGGTCGGCAGCGAAACTCTCAGGGGTTCGACCACCATAGGGCACACGGCCGAGAGGACCGGGCTCGGGGCCGTTGATGAGGTTGTAGCCCATGCCGTAAAACTCCTCTCCTACAGCTTTGAACTGCTTCTCATAGAGCTCTCGGTTCCAGCTCATGGTCAAAGCGTTGGCCATTGTGAAGCCGGAGACGTAAAACTGGTAGTTGATGCCGGAGACGCCATCCTTGTTGGCCAAGGCAGTCCAGGTAGCATTGCCAGTAACGCTCTGTCCGGTGATGATAGACACCTTTGCAGCATTGTCAAGGGTGGCAACGAATGCCTTGGCCTTTTGGTAGGCTTCATCGAAAGAGCCTAACTGAACTAATAAGAGTGTTAGAACCAAGCTTTACCGATTAATGGGTTGTAAGCTGTACCATATCCATCAGAAAGGATGGCAGAAGAGGACGTGGAAGAGTTGGAAAGAGCGGAACTGGAAGAAACGAAGGTAAGCGCTGCAAGCGCGCGGGTCGAAAGTGAAACTTTCATGAAGGGCAAAACGAATGTCAAAAAGTCTATATAGCGAAAGTCGGATGGAAACTGTTTCGTCCGAATTTCAACAATCAAGTTTCAGTCTTGTCGACCATCTTATATGTTTTCTTGGCGAGGGAGTTTCCCTCACTGCGCCGAACGCCGTTGCGCGGCCGCTGGGGCGATGAGGCCCGTTCAATCGATGAGGGATGAAGATGGCTCATGATGGCGGTGATTGAGCCCCATCATGGTGGTGTCCGGCCCGACACATGGAGCGCCACAATAAATTAAAGCTCAGGGGCAGATCTCCATATAGCCTTATCATCAGCGGCTTTTGGGACGTAGTCTGTTAAACAATCGGATTTCCCGAACAGTTCTCTTGATGAATTGTTGATTTCTTTCCGGAAAATCCGGCCTTTTGTGTGTGCGGTTGCTCTTCTGCCCACATACCGGAGCGGACATTGTTACGTGGCGACGCGTGGCGGCCCCCGTGAATGGAGTCACCCTATGATACTGTTCCCTGCAACCACCCAACGCGATATTTATGCCCGGCCAAAAGCCGTTAGAAACCAACCATTAATAGCGTAGTGAGTGTATTTTGGGTGATATTTAAAAGTCTAGGTCCGAAACTTCGATCACCTGCGGGTAGGGGTTACAGGTAATTCAAGGGCGTTTGTCCCATAAACCAAGAGATCAGGGAGTTAAACGACAGGTAAAGAGTCAATTCTTGTTTTGACTGAACGGTGACGCTCTGGAATATGAATGTGCACAACGTGTGCCTGACTTGTATATCTCATTGGACGATCAATGTAACACGCTTCTCGGACAAGATGCGATTGATAAGATTGCAGGCAAGGTAAGACAAGGGGCCAAGAACGAAGAGATGAAACCCGAGACTGAGAGCCTCTCGGAAATTTCAGAACGATCTACGCAGGGTTACCAGGATATATGGTTTCTATTACAAGTGACTATGGTATGAAGAGCCAGGGTGTTGCTAGGTTATGTAAACGCCACCGATCAGCGAACCACAGCGGCGGCATCCAATTTCGCTAAGACGCATGCAAGTTAATACAAGATCGTTACCAATGTTCGCGTATATAGAGTTTGTTACTTGTAAGATGTCTGTTGCTTTCCGATCGTTGGGGTCTCAGTCTTATTTACCCAGACTCGGTTTTCTAGGTATGTCTTTGTAGAGCATACATGATGCACTTATTGTAGAGATTTTGCATTTTCTAGCTTGTTAGAGATAACGGCAAGGTAATTATCCAGCTCAAAGAAATAAGAAAAACTGATAAAAGAAACATTAAACAAACTGATGAGGTGATTGCAAAGCCTAGTAAAGCCATTTCACTTCGGTAGAAAAAATAGTATCTCACCGAGTCCCTCACCGGGTCCTTCACCGAATCCCACCGAATGGTCCTCGGTCAGGTCGGTGAAGAAAGCGACACCTTGTTGGTCAATCGGAATGACATATGTGGGCCCAATCGCACAGGCCGTCAAGGTGCCTTAGGCGCCGCCAATTGCATCATTCCGACCGAGGAGCTCGACTAAGCCGAGCAGCTGCTTCAGGCACTTTTCGCGTTTTGGTGCATAAACGTCGTCTTCAACATCCCCGACGTTGCCGTTTTCTCAACTTCATCCCCTTGTTTTGTACGCAATAATCAACCCTCCTCTGTCTCTCTCTCTCGATCCCTTGGTCGTGGTAAGTTGCGTTAATTATTATTTCCCCCTCCCCCTCCTCATCCTTCTTATCGATAGCTCTTCGGCTTAATCCCCCCTCCTCTCTCACCCCGCTGCCGCTAACATACTTCACCAAGAATTGAGGAGGAAAATGATCGTATTGCGACGCAAGGCACGACAACGATGATAATCCGAGCCGTACAGAAGGCTCCCTTGGCCTGCCCTCGCGGCATTGGCCACACACACCTCTCTCGCCCGCCATGGCTCCCCCAGAGCCCCCGAGCTCCCATCCGCATCTTCCAGACTAGTGCCCCGTCGAGACGTGAGGAACCCAAGAACCAGACGACTACGACGACGAAGCTCGGAGATGCCCTCACAAAGACCCCAGCGAAGGCTGCCCCGACCAAGAAAGCCGCTGCCGCTGCCGATCCCCTTGCTACACCTGAAAAAAGCGCGCAGGAGCAGCGCAAGGCCGACTGGGCCATCATGAGGGAGATGTCGAGATACCTCTGGCCCAAGGACAGTTTGAGCACCAAGCTCCGTGTTGGGCTTGCTGTCTCGTTGCTGATTGGTGCCAAGGTCCTCAACGTCCAGGTGCCCTTCTACTTCAAGAGCATTGTTGATGCCATGAACATCGATGTCGGAGCTACCGGTGGCACAGCGGTGACGATAGCAGGCAGTATGATTTTGGCGTACGGCGCGACAAGGATAGGAGCCACAGTCTTCCAGGAACTTCGGAATGCCGTCTTTGCCTCTGTGGCCCAGAAGGCAATCCGTAGGGTTGCCTGCAACGTTTTCGACCATCTGCTGCGGCTGGACCTCAGCTTCCACCTGTCCAAGCAGACGGGTGGTTTGACTCGGGCGATAGATCGAGGAACCAAGGGTATCAGCTTCTTGCTGACAAGTATGGTCTTTCATATCCTCCCTACGGCTTTGGAAATCTCAATGGTCTGCGGTATCTTGACCTGGCAATATGGCGCCAAGTTCGCCGCAATCACGGTGCTTACCATGGTCGGATACACGGCTTTTACTATCTGGACGACTGCTTGGAGAACCAAGTTTAGGAGGCAGGCAAACGCCGCCGACAACAAGGCATCAACGGTGGCTGTGGACTCTTTGATCAATTACGAGGCTGTCAAGTATTTCAACAACGAGAAGTTCGAGGTCGCGAGGTATGACCAAGCACTCCAGGCATACGAGAAGAGCTCCATCAAGGTCGCTACATCCTTGGCACTTCTCAACAGTGGACAGAACATCATCTTTTCATCCGCCTTGACGGCCATGATGTACCTGGCGGCGAACGGTGTCGCACAGGGAAACCTCACGGTCGGCGACCTGGTCATGGTCAACCAGCTCGTTTTCCAGCTCTCGGTACCTCTCAACTTCCTCGGATCTGTCTACCGCGAATTGCGCCAATCCCTACTTGACATGGAGACGCTGTTCAACCTGCAAAAGGTCAACGTCTCCGTCAAGGATGAGCATAACGCCAAGCCTCTTGCCCTTTCAAAGGGTGGTGAGATCAAGTTCGAGAATGTCACCTTCGGGTACCATCCCGACAGGCCCATTCTCCGCAATCTCTCGCTGACTATCCCCGCCGGCAAGAAGGTCGCCGTTGTTGGCCCTAGCGGCTGCGGCAAGTCTACGCTCCTTCGTCTCCTGTTCCGCTCCTACGATGTCCAGTCTGGCCGCATTTTCATCGATGACCAGGACGTCCGACAGGTTCAGCTCGACTCTCTTCGCAGATCTATCGGAGTTGTGCCTCAGGACACGCCCTTGTTCAACGACACTATTGAACACAACATCCGATATGGCGACATGTCCGCTCCTCATGAGCGCGTCATTGCTGCTGCCCAGCGCGCGCGCATTCATGAAATCATTGAACGCTTCCCCGATGGGTACCAGACCAAGGTTGGAGAGCGAGGCTTGATGATCTCTGGTGGCGAGAAACAGCGCCTGGCTGTCAGCAGACTGCTTCTCAAAGATCCTCCCTTGCTCTTCTTCGATGAGGCAACTAGCGCCTTGGATACCCATACCGAGCAGGCCCTCATGCTCAACATCAACAGTATTCTTCGTGAGAAGTCGCGGACAAGCGTTTTTGTCGCGCACAGGCTGCGTACCATCTTTGACGCTGACCTGATTATCGTGCTCAAGGAGGGCAGTGTGGCCGAGATGGGCACTCACAGAGAACTAATCGACCGGGGTGGATTGTACGCCGAGCTTTGGAGTGGTAAGTCGCCTATGGTTTACCCTATTGAATGACCACTAACAAGAGAAATAGCCCAGGAGACATTGTTCAACGCCGAAGGCGAGCGCGAGGATACGGAGAACACTGAGAAGGCTACAGAAAAGACACCGACAGGTCGCTGAGGAGGTTCCATGCATTTTTTTATTAAAATACCACCAAGTTTTGAATGCGATGATTTCAGTTCACTTTCCGCGCACCTGTGACCTGGACCAGCCAGCCGAGTTCTCTCTGCAGTCTCAGATGACATTGAAAATCAGACAGCAATGCACTCGCTCGGCTAAGTAAAGATGATTCTTGTTATATGACAGACGCTCGAGACCACTCCAGGATCCTTAACTCCGCCTTTTTACAGAATATTATTCCCAAGTCGGCCTAACTAACCAATGGCCTTGTCGTACCCTATTGCTAGCTGGTTTTACCTGAAAATGAGCGGGAGTGCCTGGCGGTACGGAGTTGAAATAGATTACCGCGCGGCAAACCATACGTGACGTCTTGCCACGCTAGTTCAAGCTCAACACGCAGATCGGCGCCAACGCAAGCAACGGAACAGTAAAGCTTGTTTCTTTATGCCCCGCCAACCGATCGTGAGACAAGCTAAACGGGAAGAAGGAATCCCCCGCAGCTGGGATTGGCGATTCTGGGCGGGACGGTCTCGGGTTTGGCCAGAGAGCGAGTGACACAAAATGCGCCAACATGGAGCTTGGTGGAGGACCACCGACGTGAATGTGGGGATCAAGTCGGACTCGGAGCAATTATGGCGTTCTAGCTTTGCGTATCACCCCTGAATGGGCCGATTGTTCCCCCTGTATCACAGATGTTTGCTTAGAGTTGCGGAAACGGAACGCGAGCTGCCAGGCATTCCAAGGATTAAGCAACGCCAACTACCGCTTTCTTCTGCCGAAGTGGACCTAGACGGACGGGACGGACTGACGAACCTTTCCTGGGGGACAGCTAGCTGTGTTCCGAGAAGAAATGACTCTTGACGTGCGATCCTAGCGCTTCGTGATGAATCATGGCGCTAAGATGCATCTTCCCGGGCGGTCGGCCCCAGTTATGGGACGTGGGACGGAGAAAACCCACCCCTTTGTCTCCTCGAGTTTCGGCGGCATCCCGTCGAGTCCGAGTCGCCGACCCACATTACGGACATCAACAGCGGTCTGACGGTCCGGTAGTGATATCGTGGCCATTCGATTGCTTGGCTGGCTTTTGTGGTTTGGATGGCATTAAAAGATGCTTCGCCATCACCATCTGAACCTGGATGTGTAGGTAGTTATCAACTGACTTTGGACAAACCCGCCTCGTTCATTCATTAGTATTAGTGGTGTCGCCTTGCCATCTGATCTTTAATTCTCAAAAGACCAACCACACAGACCACCAGACGTTGCAATCCAAATAGAACGCTGCGGTATAACCAACTGACAAAAATGGCACCGATCGAAAATCCTGCTATCCCCGAGGGTTCTATTGTCGTCATCACCGGCGCCAACGGCTACATTGCCTCCCACATTGCCGATCAGTTCATCAGAGCAGGCTATGTTGTGCGCGGAACAGTTCGCAACCCCAAGAAGAGTGCCTGGCTTGTGCCTCATTTTGAAAAGGCCTATGGCAAGGGCAAGTTTGAGCTACATATCGTTCCCGATATGCAGGCTGATGGTGCCTACGACGAGGCTATCAAGGGTAAGCACCGGATTGTGGTGGAGGGATTTTTACCTTTCCCTTTTCTACTGTAACTATCTGGAGGTTGTTTTACTGAAATTTATAGGCGCCGCGGCCTTCATTCATACTGCCACCGTAATCGACTTCAATGGCGACCCGGCCGAGGTCATCGGGGGAGCCGTCAAGTGCGGCATGGTTGCGATTGAGGCGGCGTATAACGAGCCTAACATGAAGCGTTTCATTCTTACTTCGTCAGCATCGACCCTGATGCCCCTCAAGAAGGAAAACTTCTTCGCACTAAAGGGTCAGACCGTCGATGAGAACACCTACGGCCACGACGCAAAGGAGCTTGCCTGGGCACCGCCGCCGTGGGGTATCGAGCATGGTGGTGCGATTTACGGCGCCAGTAAGATGGAACAGGAGCAGAGTATCTGGAAGTACTACAAGGACAACGCATCGCGGCGTCCTGATATTGTAGTCAACTCGGGTGAGCAAAGCCAGGTTACCCGGCTAAAGAAGATGGCTGACGAGGGCATGTATAGTTGTTCCCGACTTCAACTTTGGCAGAAGTATTGACCCTGCCAACGCCGGTGGCACTTCTTCTTTTGCTCTGATCACCGAGCTTTTCGAGGGCAAGACTTTGGGCGAGCTTTGGCATCTGCCTCGTAAGTACATACCGCTTGTTTCCGTACGTGTGGTTTCTTGCAGGGGCTAACGAATCGGCTTTTGCGTCCAGATTACTTCGTCGATGTCCAGGATGACGCCGCTCTGCATCTGGCAGCTGCGATTCTTCCGGATGTCAAGGGTGAACGCATTTTCGCTTTTGCGTTCCCGATGCACTGGGACATGATCCTGGATATCCTGAGGAAGCAGAACCCGGGGAGAAAGTTCGCTGATAACTTCCACAATGACGAGTACCCGGTCACGGTAAAGCCAATTGCCCGCGCCGAGTCGCTGCTTAGGAGGATCGGAAGGGCTGGCTGGATCTCGTTGGAGGATAGCATTGCGTCGAATACCGAGCATCTCAAGGATACGAATGGCCATGCTAATTAATGGCGCTACTAACGGCGCGTGAGGTCCGAAGTGGGACCTGAGTGAGAAAAGGGCCTGAACAACTGTGATGTCGCATTTGGTGTTCAGCTGGTTATTGTAGAAAGCTGCTATGAAGTTTACGTTCGATAGCGCTCATGACCTTTGAATTTATATGTATATAGATAAGTATCAACATAGAAAGACCTCTTACAATTCATGGAATCCAACATAAGCATGAAGCGAACAACAAAGATCCAACGTAAGACTATGCTGTCTTAAGACTGTAGTGATGGCGGCGTTGAAAGGCACGGAAACACAGTGGGGGCAATCGCTGCAGTATGTTGCTTATCGCGGTCCCGATAGTGAAATACCCTCACTAACATCCTCATGCAGTCATCGCATCCCTTCCTTCGCACGTCTTACGCCGCCCGATTATATGTAAGCTTGCCCCCTTTATATCCTTGTCATGATTTCTACCTGACACGGAGCACGTCCATTTATGAACCATTCATCAACACGCCACTCACTTGGATGCCAATGATAGCTTTCAGCATTGACGCAAGTCACACATAGGTCCGACTGTTCAACTCCCTCACCATACCCGGCCGAGTCCGGCTTTCGACCCATCCATGAGTCTCCAAGAGAAGCCACTAGAAATAAGCCAGCAAGATGGTGCTGACAAGGGGCCTACCTCATCTCCTCTGAGCATTGAACTCAGCGATGATACAGCCGACGGAGGAGCAGCAAAGAAGTCTCTCGCTTTCTACCTGACATTCGTCACTGTCCTCATCAACATCTTCCTTTACGGCCTTGACGCCACTACGTTGGCAGTAGCCACCCCGGTAAGCCAACCTCAGGACATGTTCTGCACAACAGCTTAACAACTCGTTGACTAATGTCCGTTCGCCCCAGGCTATTGCGGCTGACCTGGGAGGTACATCGTTGGAGTCTTTCTGGGCCTCCATTTCGTACCTTCTCGCCGTTATTGTCATCCAGCCGTTGTATGCGGCGCTATCCGATGTCATCGGTCGCAAACCATGCCTCTTTGCCGCATATGCCTTCTTCTTTGCCGGCTCCATTGTCTTCTCGCTGGCTCGCAACATGGGTGGCGTCATTGCAGGGCGTGTTCTGCAGGGCTTGGGTGGCGGCGGCCTAGATGTTTTGAGTGAAATTATCGTCACCGACATGACCACGTTGAAGGAGCGTTCCATGTATCTCGGGCTCATGGCCATCCCTACAGCCCTCGGAAGCATCCTCGGGCCAACCGTGGGAGGTTTGTTCAGTAGTCTCGTCACATGGCGGTGGCTCGGCTGGATCAACCTCCCGTTTCTTGGGATTTCCTTCACGCTGACCGTCTTCTTTCTTCGCCTTCGACCACTCGAACACTCCCGATTGTCGCAACTCCGTCAACTGGACTGGGTTGGCATGCCTCTCTTCACTGCGGGTACCGTGCTCTTTTCTCTTCCTCTTAGCTGGGCAGGAAACCTCTACGATTGGGGCTCTTTCCGCACCCTTCTTCCTCTCTTGCTTGGAGTCGCCATACTAGCAATTTTTGCCTTCTACGAGAGCAAGCCGACATTTCCAATCATGCCGCATCGCATTTTCAAATCCAAAACAGCCTCAGCGACGTTAGCCAGCGTCTTTTTACACGGCGTTTCACTTTACTCGCTATTGCAGTGGCTACCGCTACTCTACCAGGCTGTCATGGCCAAGACCGTGCTACAGTCGGCTGTGTCACTTTTGCCCACAAGCGCCTCCTGCGTGGCGTTCGCCGTTGGCGGAGTCGCTATTGTCGGACTGGCTAATGCGGGATATCGATGGAGCATCCGGGTTTCGTGGGTATTGATAGTCGCAGGAACGGGAATCCTCGCCCTTCTTCACCACGGTTCATCGGCCTCAATCTTGCATGGACTTCCAGTCGTATGGGCGGCCGGGATTGGTCTGTTGCTCCGACTCTTGTTTCTCCCGCTACAAGCAAGCGTCGTTCGCGTTGATGATACAGGGCTGGCCATTGGGATTCTCTTGACTTTCCGGCTGCTTGGTGGTCTTGTAGGGCTTTCTATCTGCTCTACAGTGTTCAGCAGCTACTTCTCGCGATCCATCGGAGCCATTGGTGAACTTCCGCCGTCATTGGAGCATCTGCGAGATCCAGATGCGGCCGTAGCCTTCATTCCTCAGCTGAGAGTACTTGAACTGCCAGAGGAAACATTATTACCTATAATACAGGCATACCAAACTGCCATAAGAGCGATCATATACACAATGACTGGCTTTGGGGGTCTCGGACTACTGAGTTCATTCTTCATAAGCGATCTGAGCTTGCAAAAGACAGAGAGGGGACAGCAGCAGTTTGAGGGCTAAACAATCTTTGCGAAGTCGGGCATTCTAAATTCCGTTTGGATAGTCTATCTCACGGTATATTTCTCACGCTATAAGGCATTGATATATAGTAGTTTATACTCGGGGAGTCAGAGAACTCGGCCATTCAGCAAAGATATTAATATTATCCAAGCCCGTCACGGAGAAACGATCTGCTACCATGTAATTAGGCGGTGGTGGTGCCAAAATGCTCATGAGGTTTCCCAGTGCAGTTGCAATAAGGAGAAAACGTGCCCAGTAACGGTTCTGGGGCTTGTCACAAACAATTTTAATATCACAAAGGAGCTGTCATCCATTCAGATCTTCGTCCATCGTAAGCAAATTAGACATGTTCACGTGCAAATAGGGTGTCAGTGGCAAAGATGCCGTTCATGGGACGTTGCCCGGCGAGTTACGGTCGTGTTTGTCTGAATATGATCAGCAAGCTTACATACGTAAACCGCTGGGACGGTATCTCGCATTTGTAAGGTGTTTTCTCAGGCCATGTAGGGATCTGGTGTGCCTGGTTGACATTTCAAATTCAACCAGAGATCTTAAGCTTGAAATCGCATGTGGCAGCTTGTGGGCTTTGCCGCATTAACCAATGGAATGGTCCAACATTTGGGACTAGACCTAACATCGTAAGCTCATGTACCAAAGTGCATATCCCATTAAACCAATTGAATGATGATAAATGGATACTCGCCCGAACGTGTTCAAGGCTGACATCCACAAGCATCTCTCATACGACGAAACCTGACTGGGAACTAGGTTGTACCTGGAAAGGGCGGGGTTAGCTGTTGAATCAGGGCATCAATCAGCTTGATCCTCATCTGGTCGTCATCGTTTTACGGCTCCTATGGGTCAGATCGCCCACTAACTAAGAGCTTTGCTGCATATGCTTTTCCTGTTCTCGTCTGTGGCTTTGCATGCACCTCGACCAAAGCGGTAACAATCAGACCATTGCCGCGAACTAAACGGACAAAAGTCTAGCCTGAGATGCGCCATCTCTCCTTGCCGTTCCACATTTGCAGACTAACGCTTTTAGGTAAACAATTGGGACTGTGTTTGCTGCTTCACCCGTAGAGTTGACAGAGCAAATTGCACCTCGGTACGGAGGCGCATCTCAAATCCTGGGTCCGAAGGCTGAGTCGCAAGATGGCCACAACTTAATGTTTCAGGCTTTGGCTGCAGGGAAATAAAAGCAGGGCTAATGCCACAAATTGGCCTCCGCCTTTTTTCCATCATGCTAGCAACAAATGCATTCGGAATTCACCATTGAATTCCTTGTCTAGTTAGGGTCTGCTCGGCCTGTTGATTTCTTTATTACACATGAGCTCAACGTAACGGATACCACCCTTACCAGCAAGATGGCTTCTACAACCGATACATTCCCCGGTCTTCTGAAGCCGACAGCGCGTCCTTACGAATTGCCAAAGTTTAACGGCACTTTAGTGAGCCCAACTCCAAAGGACTCCGGAATGATGGATTTTAATGACTTTTCTCTAGCTCCTTATCAAGGACGGCTTTACCCTCACAACCCTACTCACCATCGGAGCCCTTATGCAAACCGTCTTGTTTCTCATTCTCCCGACAAAATATGCCATCATTCCCAGCTCTGTCCTCGCCTTGAACTCCATCATATCCACAATCGTCGGTACATATTCCAAGAAACACAATCCATACCTCAACGGTATTGTTCCCGGTGTCGTCACCGCCCAGTTTCCTGACCCCGCCACCGGAAAGATCCCAGCTATTCCTGCACGCCGTCCGCTTTTGGTTTTCCACCTCGGCCTCCGCTTCAACCATCCTCTTGGTATCCTAGCCCCTGGTCGTGAAATTGGCGAGTACTTTGATGCGATGAACAAAGACCTCAAGGACCGGGCCGACGAATACGGACTTTATCACGTCTCCAGTTGGCAGTCTATGGAGGCGGAACGTAACAACACACTGATGTTTATCTATTACTTCCGGGACATTGAGGGCCTCAACAAGTTTGCGCATGACCCCGTCCACCGTAAAGGTTGGGATTGGTACAACAGTATCAGAAAGGAGTACACTCACCTCGGCATTTTCCATGAGGCTTTCGTAACGGGCGCTCAACAGTATGAGACTATTTACGGCAACATGAAGCCCGTGTTGCTTGGTGCTGCAAGCGTGAAGTGCAAGAACGAGGAGACCAAGGAGGACGAATGGGTTAACACGTTGGTGAATGGAAATGTTGGGCCGCTTAGGAGTCAATTCCGTCGCATGGGTAAAGCAAGCGCCCAATTGACGGAATATATTGTATAGTATTCTTGAATCTTGCCATTTCTAATCGAATACCTAGGTACTTTTATTTGGTCGATTGAGGGCACACAAAAGAGTTGTCGAATGCTGCCGTATTCTTATATACTAGCATGCCATAGACTTTGACATTCGAATCGAATAGGTAATTGACTTTCCGGTTAGATATGTGCTATAGTTGCTTAGTTATCTAGCAATATTAATTATGAAGCATTCCTTACTGAAAATAAAGACTATCCCCTGCTACATAGTATAGGGCCTTCTTGGGATTTGATGGAGACCCAAAGTTGCAAATAAAGGTCGTCACGACTTTGGGTGCCTAGCCTCCAGTGGTTCTCATTGTCTCAGTCAATAGTCTTCGGTTCTCACAATTCAGCTCCCTGGGTTCATTAAGAAGACACTGTCCAGTAAAAGAAAAAATAACAGTAAACAGAACCAAATACAGACATCTATATGTAAAGTGTGTTACGAGAATTTTGATGGCAAGAGCATAGTTCATTCATTCGTATCAGTTTCGCTCGTGGTTGATTAAATGCGTCTTTCTCTGTCACCTGCTTGACAACATCCAACCATTGCATATGGTATTAAGAACAATGGTCGAAGGTTGTGTCTCTCGCAATGCTACCGAGCCCAAGTGTCCCGATGTTACGGCCAGCTATCTGACAGTAGGGTTCTGCTAACAGAAGGTACAGTAAGAGACTAACACTAGTTCGTAGAAGTCGTTCTAGTAGATCGTAAGGTTAAGGTAAGGTAATCAGTCTTACACTATAGTAACAAGGTTCTTAGTATTCATAATACTAAGAGGTAAGCTAAAAGTTATTCGAAGATAAATTACAAGTTGATTGCTAAAGAACTATCTAGAAGGCTTAAGCAGTGTTACGACCCGTAAACAAGGATAACAGCCGAACGACCCACTTGGGCGTCGGGCGGCTAGGACAGGACATTTGTACTACATGATTGATTGATTGATTTATTCCTACTCGGTTATGAAGCCGCTCTTATGCCAGCAGCTATGCCCGGAAAGCGGGGTTTGGCAGGTAGCCGAAGCGTCGACAATGAACAGCGACGCCCCACTTCGCCCTGATGTTGCATCAGGGCCAGCTATCCCCAAGCTCCCCACTATGTTCTCTATTCTGTGTGTTTGTGCCCTCTGTTGAAGAAGTGTGTTGCTCTCCTGTCTGCTTTCTCGCTTTTGTGTTGCTCTCTAGAATGCTTGTTTTGCGTCCTCCTGCTTCGGTTCAGTTGGTGCTGGTAGCACCGTATCTGGTTCTTTGTACCTACAGTCTCCCCCCAGCGCTCAGCTTTGTCTCTTTGTTTTGTCCGTATCCTCCCGGACTTGTATGTGCCGTTTTCTCAGTTGCATCTGTAAATTCTTTGTTGCCTCCTGCCGGGTTCCTATGTGGCCTCTTGTTTCTTGCCTGTTGACCACTATTGCCCTCCACCACATTGGCCCAAGGGTCTTCCACGAAGCACAATGCTCCACTGACTCCGACATGTTCGATTACTGGGTATGAGAGCTCCCGCACAGATTCCGCAGACATTGTCGCGCGTTGAAGGGACACCAATCCTTCTTCGCAAAAGGGGCGACAGGGGACCAGTCTGTCTGTGGTCTGTAGTATTGTGTGGCATCGATCGTAGCATGCCTAATGCCTGGTGCTTTCTCCGTGCGGAAGGTGATACTGTTCTGTCGGACTCATCTTCGTCGTTGTGGGACGTTGCAAACTTTGTCGGGGGTGACAGGTGACCCAAAACCTGTCGGCGGCTGTTGTGTTGAAGTTGATTGTTTGGGCGCAGTCTTAGTGCTTCGTGTAGCGGCTTGTGGCTCGCCTGTGGTGGTGGTAACAGTGTTGTCTATTGATATGTCGTATTTTGCGGCTTGCTCTCAAGTTTTTCATTGTAGTCGGGGCGTGCTCTGCGGCCATCTTGGGCCCCTTTGGGACGTAGAATCAAGGCCGAGGATGGCATTGCATCGAAGGGGGCTCTGTGGCCGCGAGCACGCGTATTTGGGGCCGTTTTTGCTCCGATTTTCAAAAATTTCGTTCTCGCTGTTGTTGATGTTTCCCATTTGTACTACAGGATCACGGGAACAGCGGGAACTCACTCGGCACGGAAGAACTATGGTACAAGTCACGTGACGATAAGATAAGGAAACGATCAGTGGAGCACAGGACGGGACGCTCAGTGATCAGTTGGCATTGCCAACTGATCGCGATCACCTCATGCACCTAGGTGATCACCCCCAGGTAGACAAAAAACACTGTTCAAGACTTGTATATAGTATGACCTAAGCCTGGCTCAAGGTCAGACTTCCATAGCTCTTCAGCAATCAACTTTGTGATTACCCTAACCGGTACTTTCAGCTATACCTAAGTGACGACTACTCTACGACTCTTGTTGAGGCCTTGACTGATCACCAAGACCTTTGAAGATCTACGATTCAATCGACCAGACCCCAGAACGACTGTTACTGTTGTCAATCCCTGGCTTACTGTTAACACAAACCCACTGTCAGTTAGCTAGCCGTAACACTTTGATTACTCCTGTTCAGTAAGTCACCTTTTGAGAACTACTAAACAGTATAGACAAGATGTCTTCTCGCGCTTCTGCTAAATCACCTACTCCAGGATCCTCATCCTCTTCGCGCAACCAGCCTCAGAGCCTCGCGCAGGAGCCCGCCAACACTGAGGACTTCGACATGCCGGACCTCAAGTACGACTCCGATAGAGATAGCTCTTTCACCAAGGAAAGCTACGATAAGCTCCGACGCATAATCCAGAAACAAGAAGCCGAGACAAAAGACATGCAGAAAATCGTCAACGAAAACCGACAAGCAATAGAAAACCTCAACAAGCAACTCCAGCACGCTAGACAGGCCTACAAGAAGCTGGAAGAAGACATCAAGGGGGACGCCAACCTCCGGAAGATCCAGGAACTCCAGGGGGAAATCACCACCCTCCGGGCCGCCGCCAACATCGTCACCACGCCCGTCCACGGAGGATGACAAAAGCTTAAGCTCAGTGCGCCTGTCACCTACGACGGAACCCCCGGGACCCTCAAAGGATTCCTGATTCAGGTCAAAAATTACTAGAACTTTCACTATAGAGATTTCACTAACGAAACCGAAAAAGTAGTACACGCAGCCACCTACCTCCGAGGAAAGGCCCTCAAGTGGTTTAAACTAATCCAGGAAGAATACCTTAAATACAAGACCCTCGACGAGTATACTACCGAGACCCGCGACATCTATGCTAATTTTAAAGGATTCGAGGATACGCTCAGGTTACTTTTCCAAGACCCCGACGAAAAGCGACAAGCCGAACGAGATCTAGCATAACTTAAGCAGACTAAGTCTGCTAAAGACTACTCCGCTAATTTCCGACAACTTAGCGTTTAACTCGACCTTACTAAGGAAACTAAGATCTTTATATTCTATCAAGGACTAAAAGACGAAGTCAAGGACGAGATCATCAAGATTGATCGACCTGACGACTTTCTCTAGTACGCCGAACTCGCCATCAAAATCGACAACCAGCTTTTCGAACGACGAAAGGAAAAAGGCGAAAAACGACAAAACCCTAACTCAGGACGCAAGTACTAGTAGCAGCCTCAGCACTAGTTCAACAACCAGCGAAACGACAATAGACCCCGCAACAACTAGAACAACCCCCGACAAAGTACTACCTATAGTTACTATAGTAGACTAATAGACCTTAGTACTACACAGAGAAACGACAAAAAGAACGACAGTTAGAAGAAAGACAGACAGTGCTATAACTGCCAGAAGATTAGACACCTAGCATACGAATGCAGGTCACCCAAGAAGGAACGCTTCCAACCGGTACCAGAGAAACGACAAGCAAGTATCGCCACGAAGACGATCCCTCATAAACAACTTAATTAGACCACCTGCTTCGATGACAACTGCCATATCCACTCTAGCAGTAAGGAACACGCAGGATGGTACCTCTAGAAACCTTAAGAACGATCTGGTTACGACACTACCAACGTACCTAAACAGACCCTCGCTGCGGGATATAGAAGCAATAGCAAAATCGAGCGCAAGACAATCGAACGGCTCGACAGTATGAACGACAACGAGGAATTAGAACAAGACAATCAGCGAAGGCTGAGCCTCCTCTACGCAGGACGACAAGCCCACCTGCAGCGGATTCAACAGGACTCACAAAACCCTATGTGGCAACGACAACTCGGTACGCTGGACGCACACATCGAACGACGACAACATGCACAAGGAGATCCCGCACGGATCCGCCAGATCAACCAAGAACTAGAAGAACAGGTCGAATCAGAAACGACTAAGAACACCCCCAACGACTCGGAAACACCTCGCGATGTTGCCTGCCAACATGCCCAACTAGAAGTCGCCTTTGAAGTCGCTTCAGTCGACGACACTAGCTCTGGAGAGGACTCTGACGAAGAAATACAGTGGTATCACTGCTACTAAGACCAGCGCCGAGTCCACTATATCAAGAAAGACGAAGCATGGAAGAAACAGCAAGAAAACGACGAACAAGGAACGGACGAGCAGTCAAAAAACTAGACTCGCCTACCGAAGACAAGGGACAACGACAGGCAGTCCAGACAAGGTCCCTATGTAGCGCAACGACGCCCACGACACAACGACACGAGCATGTACAAGTCCAAATACAGCTTAACGGAAGAACAGCTACCGCCATGATCGATAGCGGAGCCTAAGGAAACTTCATATCACCAAGAACGGTAAATGAAAGAAAGATAACCTGGAAAAGAAAAGCAGCCGAAGACTGCTACGAACTTAGCACCGTTAAAGGAGAACAAGTCCAGTACGGCGGAGGACGCATTGCTATGGAGACAGCGTAACTCCCTTTGCAGATCCATGGCCGGAATGAGCGACTGAACTTCGATATTACGGAGATAGGAGACAAGTACGATGTCATCCTTAGAAGACCATGGTTATACGATAGTAACCCACGGATAGATTGGAGAACAGGCCAACTCCATTAGGACCAGGATTCAGTCACTAAGAAGCAACCACGGAACGGTGCCTCAAACGAACCTCTCAAGACTCCTGAAGCGAAGAGATTTCTAGCATACCTACGGATAAAGGATGCAAACGCCAGGACGTTATCAGCAATAGACATCGGCAAGGAAGACCGACTTCTGTCTATCCCAGAAGAATACCGGCAATACCAGAAGCTATTCGCCGAAGAACTCGAGACCGGACTCCCGGAACACAGCAACTACGACCACGAGATACCCCTTAAGGAAGGGAAGGAGCCAAAGCTAGAAGCAATCTACGGACTCAACCAGAAAGAAATGGAAGCACTCGACGCTTACCTCGAAGAAAATCTACAGAAGGGATACATCAGACCCTCTACATCACCAGCGGGATACCTAATCCTGTTCGTACTAAAAAAGAACGGCAAACTACGACTCTGCGTCGACTACCGGAAACTTAACGACATTACGATCAAGAACTGCTACCTACTACCGCTCATCTCCGAACTACGAGACCTGTTGCACGGAGCACAGTGGTTTACAGCACTCGACCTAAAAGGAGCCTATAACCTGATCCGGATGAAATCAGGTGAAGAATGGAAGACAGCGTTTCGAACACGCCGAGGACATTACGAGTACCTTGTGATGCCCTTCGGACTCACCAACGCACCCGCGACATTCCAGACGATGATCAACTACGTCTTACGAGAATTTCTAGATGTGTTCGTCGTAGTTTACCTCGACGACATCCTAATCTTCTCTAAGACTCTGGAAGACCATAAAAAACACGTACACCAAGTACTGCGGAAACTGCAAGACGCCAAACTCCTAGTGGAACCCGAGAAGAGCAAGTTTCACGCTAAAGAAGTCGAATTCCTAGGTTTTACGATAGCCCCAGGAATCCTCAAAATGTCCAAAGACAAAATCGCAGCAGTACGAGACTGGCCTACACCACAGAACGTTAAGGACGTACAATCCTTTATTGGATATGTGAACCACTACCGACGGTTCCTAGAAGGGTACTTAGACAAAAACGACCCTCTCACGAGACTTTCGAGGAAAGACATCCCCTGGCAATGGGAAGAAGAACAGAAAAAAGCCTTCGACGAGATCAAACAACAAGTCACATCGGAACCAATACTCGTCATACCAAACCCCGAGAAACCATTCGAAGTCGAGACCGACTCCTCAGACTATGCCATAGGAGGACAACTAGGTCAACGAGACGAAGAAGGACAGCTACGACCTTGTGCCTTCTTCTCACGCAAACTACACGGCCCAGAACTCAACTACCAGATACACGACAAGGAACTCATGGCAATTATCGAAGCATTCAAAGAATGGAGACCGCAACTCTCAGGAACCAAGTACGAGGTCAAAGTATACACCGACCACAAGAATCTCGCACACTTCACTATATCGAAAGATCTCAACAAACGACAAATTCGATGGTCCGAATTCTTGTCAGAATTCAATTTCAGAATCGTCTACCGGAAAGGCAAAGAGAACGGCAGGGCCGACGCCCTCAGCCGAAGACCGGACCATGAGGTCCAGGTACCTGAGGAAACCCGAGTTATCCTCAAAACAGACAAAAACGGAGACCTTGTGCCAGCAGCCAGACTCTTAATGATGGCCAGAAGAGACAGTACTAGCACGCCTGGAAGGATGTCTCCTGAAGCCATTAGGGAGATATACTCCGCACCCGCACACGGTCACCAAGGCGTAACTAAGACATGGAAACGCATCCGCCAACACTACGACAAAACGGCTACACGACAAGAAGTATCTTTAGCGATTAAGGACTGTAAGGTTTATGCGAAAAGCAAACCCAGCCGACATCAGCCTTATGGAAAGATACAGCTGCTCCCAGTGCCGCAAACCGCATAGGAATCCATCTCGCTGGACTTCGTTACTAAGTTACCTAAGTCCCGTGAACCGATGACTAACGTCTACTACGACAGTGTCCTCGTCATCGTCGACAGACTCACAAAGTATTCGTACTTCATCCCGTACATAGAGTCAAGCACTGCAGAAGACCTCGCCTACAAGTTTCTGCAGGTGATCGTAAGCCAACACGGAATGCCGAAGGAAATCGTATCCGACAGAGACAAGCTGTTCACTTCCAAGTTTTGGAGATCCCTGATCTCGCAGCTAGGATCTGACTACAAGATGTCTACCGCTTTCCATCTGCAAACCGATGGCCAGACAGAACGAATCAATCAGATCATGGAAACCTACCTACGCTGCTACGTCAACTATCAGCAAAACAACTAGGTCTAACTACTACCTATGGCCTAGTTCGCCTACAATAGCGCAGTAGGAGAAAGTATAAAAGAATCACTATTCTACTTGAACTACGGATTCAACCCGACAGCCTATGGACAACCCCGACAAGGCCCAACAGCTCTGAAAGCTGTGGCAGATATCAACAAACTCAAGGAAATCCAACGAGATCTTCCTAGAGACCTTGAATTTGTGCGCGAACGCATGCGCAAATACGCTGACAAGACAAGAGTTGAGGGACCAACTCTGAAGGAGGGGGATAGCGCATACCTTCTCCGCCAGAACATCAAAACAAAACGACCAAGCGATAAGTTAGACTTCAAGAAACTTAGACCCTTCGAAATTACGAAGAAGGTATCTAACGTCAACTTCAAACTCGTACTACTAGATACTATGAAGTGTTATCTAGTTTTTCATATTTCACTTCTCGAGCCAGCACCAAAAGGATCACGAACTATGGACCATATCGAAGTCGACCCGGAACAGGACTACGAGGTCGAAAGGATCCTCGATCACATCGATCAGCACGATGACACAGAAATACAATACCTAATCAAGTAGAAAAACTACGGACACGAAGAAAACACATAGGAACCCGCATCAAACTTGGAGCACGCACAAGAGGAACTTCAAGAATACTGGACGCAATGGGAAACACGACAGCACGCCAAAGTCATGCAAAGACCAATACACAACCCTCGCGTCAGAAACCCTCAACCCAAGTTTCGACCAACCAAGAAACCCCAGGGCAACAAAACGTTTCTTCGCCTAGGAACACCTAGCCCTGAGTAGCCGAGGAACCTCCAACACTCCCTGCACCCGCGCCATCCACCAGAGGACCCAAACCCACAAACTCGTCACCAAAACCAAAAAGGGACCAAGGAGGATCATTCCCGAGACCTACTGCCTGGAGGTCACTAACGACGAACCTCTCGTGAGCATCCAAGGCAGGTAGGACTTCGTCGTCCGCCAGGACGCCATCCTCCCTGTCAACCTCCTGCATACCACGCTCAAAAACTTCGGTCTGCCGCTCCCGAACCATCTTACGGACCGTCCGAATCCGTTTCAGACGACCCGCAGCATCCGCTATTTGAACTTGCAAACGAGCAAACTCTTGATGAAGCGCGAATAGCTCCTCACCCGCTTTCTCTTCTTTCTCATCCCACTCCTTTTGCTGAGAGTTCAACTTCTGAACCAGAAGCAAACATTAGCAACCCCTAGAACAGCGAAAACATAAAAACACGACTTACGAGTAGACGCCACGAGGACGCCGTCACAAGGTTTCTTCGCCTCGATGCAAGTCCTACAGCGTGTAGACTTCTCGCCAAAACGACACGGGACCTTTGCACGGAAACAACGAGTGCAAGGCATGTCGCTAGCAATCGATCGGGACTCCACGTATTCAATAAGCGCAGCTCTCTCACGATCTTTTATTACAGTCAAGTGCGACTTTGTCTTTCGAACGCGACCTGACATGGTGTCAGCATCATGAAAAACAAAGGAAGCAAATTTGTGGATCCCCAACCTGGGACCAACGACCTACTTATACTCAGGTCTCGAGGACAAGACCTTTAAGAGGGGAGCTGATGTTACGACCCGACAGTTAACAGACCACTGACGACGACCCCGCAGGGGCTCAGATTGATTGATTGATTTATTCCTACTCGGTTATGAAGCCGCTCTTATGCCAGCAGCTATGCCCGGAAAGCGGGGTTTGGCAGGTAGCCGAAGCGTCGACAATGAACAGCGACGCCCCACTTCGCCCTGATGTTGCATCAGGGCCAGCTATCCCCAAGCTCCCCACTATGTTCTCTATTCTGTGTGTTTGTGCCCTCTGTTGAAGAAGTGTGTTGCTCTCCTGTCTGCTTTCTCGCTTTTGTGTTGCTCTCTAGAATGCTTGTTTTGCGTCCTCCTGCTTCGGTTCAGTTGGTGCTGGTAGCACCGTATCTGGTTCTTTGTACCTACAGTCTCCCCCCAGCGCTCAGCTTTGTCTCTTTGTTTTGTCCGTATCCTCCCGGACTTGTATGTGCCGTTTTCTCAGTTGCATCTGTAAATTCTTTGTTGCCTCCTGCCGGGTTCCTATGTGGCCTCTTGTTTCTTGCCTGTTGACCACTATTGCCCTCCACCACATTGGCCCAAGGGTCTTCCACGAAGCACAATGCTCCACTGACTCCGACATGTTCGATTACTGGGTATGAGAGCTCCCGCACAGATTCCGCAGACATTGTCGCGCGTTGAAGGGACACCAATCCTTCTTCGCAAAAGGGGCGACAGGGGACCAGTCTGTCTGTGGTCTGTAGTATTGTGTGGCATCGATCGTAGCATGCCTAATGCCTGGTGCTTTCTCCGTGCGGAAGGTGATACTGTTCTGTCGGACTCATCTTCGTCGTTGTGGGACGTTGCAAACTTTGTCGGGGGTGACAGGTGACCCAAAACCTGTCGGCGGCTGTTGTGTTGAAGTTGATTGTTTGGGCGCAGTCTTAGTGCTTCGTGTAGCGGCTTGTGGCTCGCCTGTGGTGGTGGTAACAGTGTTGTCTATTGATATGTCGTATTTTGCGGCTTGCTCTCAAGTTTTTCATTGTAGTCGGGGCGTGCTCTGCGGCCATCTTGGGCCCCTTTGGGACGTAGAATCAAGGCCGAGGATGGCATTGCATCGAAGGGGGCTCTGTGGCCGCGAGCACGCGTATTTGGGGCCGTTTTTGCTCCGATTTTCAAAAATTTCGTTCTCGCTGTTGTTGATGTTTTTTTCCGCAGGGGCTCAGCGGTTATAGGGACGGCCGTCAGCCGTTACGTCGTAACAACCCCCACGGAACGGAAGAACTAGGATACAGGTCACGTGACGATAAGCAGGACCGACGGACGATAAGCGGTCCTGGGACAGGACCGACGGTGCCAAGGGCGGTCCATGGCGATGGACCGACGTCCTGGGTGTCGGTCCCCCAGGATCAGGAAGTGTTCAGCATGGAACCAGACTTGTATATAGTTGGGACTCGAGTCCTCTCGAGTCCTACCTTTCCTAGTTCTTCAGCAATCAACTTTGTGATTACCCTAACCGGTACTTTCAGCTATACCTAAGTGACGACTACTCTACGACTCTTGTTGAGGCCTTGACTGATCACCAAGACCTTTGAAGATCTACGATTCAATCGACCAGACCCCAGAACGACTGTTACTGTTGTCAATCCCTGGCTTACTGTTAACACAAACCCACTGTCAGTTAGCTGGCCGTAACAGTAAAATTCTACATGAGCGATTTATGGGTGTGCGAAATGTGGGGGTGTGCGAGAAGTGGGTGTGCGACGTTAGTAGCCCGCTGCATAGTATGGTGATGCAGCTCAGTAGTGGCCTGACGAACTAAATATATTCCCAATGAGCAGAGGGTTCGTTAATTCCATCATAGAATGTAACCGCATTTGTGCAACATGTTCTTGCGTGACAATAGAGGAGTTATTCTTAGACGCTCTGGAACCATTCGGGAGGTGGTGGGCTCACCCGTTTCCAATGATCTGCAAAATGGCACACAAAGCTCAAACTTCATCCACAGGAGGGTGCCTTCTTGCTTGCACGATGAGGCCACATTGAGTTCAGCTTCATTTACCTTTGAAGTAGTGATGAACATAATCGTAGCTTGATGGCATTTACTCTTTGCGGCTATTGAGGTAAGTGATGAATGCAATATAATTGAGGAGCAGCTAAGGGATTAGTGACAGATATACATTGCTTTAGTAATGGGGAATTTGAAGAGACATGGCCCGTCTGTTAATTTAATATACTATCCCTCGTTATTATGATGTCATGCTACCCATGCACACATGCAATTCAGATTGCCATCAACCTTTGAACCTATATATCTTAAACAGGGGATTAATAAGCCTTGCTAAGTAACTAATTATCAATAGCTTTTTTGACCAAACCCATTCAATAAAGGGAATTTCTTCCGCATTTTGGGGATGATGCAACGACTAGTAGAGAATATAGTTGATCAAACTCTATCTCCCCTTCTGCAGGAACGATAACTAAAGTAAAATCAGCATTGCAAGCGTCATCCAGAAGACATACTTCCAACTTCATAGGCTTAAGGCACAGCGGGTTCTCGGCTATATACCATCGATAAGAGTTCACAATATATTTTGTTTTCGACGCCAAGTCTGACAAAAATTTACTATAATGCCGACTAGCTCAGAGCGGACTTTTAGTAATTGCCTAGGTACTTTTTTTTTTAGAATTATACGAGCAGGTTGCTCATAGGCTGTTACACTATATAATCCATTTCCTCTTCTAACTTTTGAAGCCCTGTTGGCATCAAACAAAGACCAAGATTTCATTTCACCTTGCCAACTGCCTTCACTCTTTTGTCGCACTCTCCCCGACTATTCAAAATACGGCCCGAACCAGATTCTGAACCTGCAAGTCAAGGCCAATAACTTTTGAGCAGAACACAAGTTAATTCGTAACAGTTTCGCAGAAATGCTAACTTCATCAATCATCCTTCTCGCTCTTGCAGGCATCGGTCTAGGCGATGAGACCAACAACCTATGCACAACAGCCTCGCTGGGTTCAACTGTGCGAGTGCCTAAGGGCTTGAAAAACTTCAAGTTCCCTAAAATCGCTGGGACTGCCCAACTCTATTTGGGAGCAGGTATTTCTGTGAAGCTTACGGAAGCTCGGCCTGAGGCCAGCTACTGTCGCTACAGATTTTTCAACTCCGGAAACATCCAAAAACAAGTTTGGGTCACTGATGGAGGAAGCGTGTGGAGCTCCATTTGGGTTTATGGAGACTCCAGGACTGGGCCAGACGGTTGCGATCTTCAGACTGATTGCGACCCCAATGACGATGGCTTGTACGTGGGTACTGTTATGTAAGAAGCAATTCAGATGGTGTTTGATTGTGTGGGACGGGAGTAGACGTCATTGAAAGTGAAAGCAGCTGGGGCATCATATGGGGAAGTACTAATAGATCTTCGGAACCAAGACATGGCATTAGCCTTCTTCTATATATCTATCCCGCTCAGGACATAAGCTCAAACATAGACTAGACGTGTGGATACCTAGTTTGTTAATTTTACATTGACGGTATCTTGGCCTTCTACATTGGTGTTTCTGCAAAATTATGCTGAGGCCAAAAGCCTACGAAACGCCTCTTGCAAACAGTGTGACCTAAAGACTTGTGGTTGCATGCTCTTAGCTAGCGTTTATAAGCACAGAGACAGACTTTTATTTGCCATCCTCCTCGCCAACCCACCCATCTCTTACTATAAGCTTTTTCACATTGAAATGCTTGTTCACCGCCATGGATTAACAATGCTTGTTCTGGGGCTCTCTGATTCGAAGCTAAGTGACATGAAGATGCTACTTGCAGTATGGAGCCTCAAGGCTTTCTAACAAGCATTTAATTAAGCAACACCAAGAGTCTATTCATCACCATGACCGCTTTATCTTTACAGACTTACGTTACAATTGGGCAAGCATGCTCTGAATCCTACATTACCTGCTCGTCCTGCTCTTCCCTTTCTGAGGATTGAGGTTAAGCTCAATTTCCACTGGCGTTAATGGCCAACTCATCAAGTGAACGGAAAGTCATATGAATATCTCAAGTTCGCGTGCTTTTGTCCACTTTGTAAGTCATGTATAGTTATTGCGAAATATGATTAAACATTAAATACTTCCTCATGATGTCTTTAACGCGGTTCCCTCGCTTACAGCGTTCCCAATGAAGGATCACTCTCCATAAGCTTATCCACAAGCACCATGCTCTTTTCGCACGCCGTGAAGTCACACCAGTAGCCATCATCAGCTTTACACATAATCTGTGCATTAACTATATATCCAATTGTTAGTTCTGTACAGCTAATAGTGACAAAGTAAGAAGAGATAGTGAAAAACTTACACCTTGTGGCTAATCGTTTGATTCGCGGAAGTGAGTGTCCAAACACTAGAGGTGAAGTTTGTGATGGCAGCGACTCCGAATCAGATGTCTTTCCCGCAGTGTCTGTCTGCTACTCTTCTGAGGTTTTCTTTGTAGAGAAAGCAGAAAAGTCTATACCGTACCATGCTGACGACCAGTTGGAAACGGCATAGCTGAGCTCTCCAGGCTCACAAATATGCATACCGTATCCGCGCCGGAAGATTTCCCGGTTTACGGCGAAGGCCCGGTCAATGTTGTCGGGTTTCAACGTGTCGATGAGAGCTAGGCGGTTTTGGCGTGCTATTTCGCAAACAGAAATATCTCGACTGACCGGCAAGCGCACCGCACTAAATATGAGCCCGTTGTGAAGATAAGGCTTATCCCCACTAAGTGCCGGGTGTCTATTTCGGACTGGCACGCAGCGAAGCTTTTAGTGTACTTGTTTGTTTGAATCGAGCACAAGAACATACCATTTACAGCTCCGCTCAGGACCATCATTTTTGGCTTCTTCCGATGCAGATTTCCCAGCTGCAGAACCTGTCAGACTCACATCATGCATATAATTGACATTGTCCCTTCTTACCTTTAGGAGCAAAGCGACCAAAATATCCCCATTTGTCAGCTGGGGATGGTCTGGACCATGCGTTGACGTGATTGTTGCTTGGTGCTTCTTGCGTAACTTGACAATGAGAGGTTCGGGGAAGAACATGAGACGACGGACTTCATCTGGTTGTTTGGCCAGTTCTGCAACAAGTCCTACGATAATTCCAATCCGATCTCTCAAGGATTTGACTCTATACGTTCCTTTTCTTCGCAACGCTTTCTCGGATATGTCTTTCGGGCCGTCTAGAGCTCCGCGCTCTAATTCTATGAATTGTGCGGGTTCAACGCCGTTAGCAACTTGGAGCCACGCTCGAATGAAGCTTCCGTAGCCCATTTGGTCCACAACTGCATGCGGCAGGTTGGTGCTGACAACCGTGCCATCTTTGTAGTGTGTAAGATGAACCAAGAGGGTTGGTGTGTTGGGGCCATCATCATGACGCATTTTCGGCCAACCTATCGGTGTCCATTCGTCCTCCAAGTCCATTATCGGCCGACCCCATGTGACAGCATCTTCGGGCAGGTCTCCTGAAGGCAGAAGTTGGCTTGCTGCAAGGGTTGTATCGACAGAGCAGCTCGACCACCCGAATAAAGGTTGGTTGGTGGAAAGATCTGGAAAATGGTACGCCAAACCTCCATTCTTTTCAATTGGGCGTATTCGTGCCCCAAGAATGGGAAGATGATTCCGAATCAGATGATCGAGAGAGGTCCGCAGAATTTCCTCGTTCAATGACTGCCGTATAATGAAGAACAGTAAAGACCGGATGTCATCAACGGGTTTCACCTGATCTTTCGGTTCCAAGGGTAGGACTTGGCCCTCCAGATTTTTTGATCCGTTTGATATCATGCCGCCGAATATGTCTGATTTAACCGTATGTCAAGTCAAAGAAAAGATATGAATCCAAGAAGAAAAACGGGGGACTACAAAGCTATGTATTCTGTTTGCAAGTGCCCACTGTTCTGCCGAGTTAGCGTGAACCTAGTGAACCTAATCTCTCGCCCGAGAGCACGGCCGGGATATCCCTATGTTGCCCCATATCAAGGACTCCTAACAATGTCTTTTGTGGCATGGTGTTCAAGGTTGTGACCGGGGTAGCAGCCGGTGGAAAGGCAAACATCCCCTTGCAAACAGAATTCTTTTGATGGATTATCGGCGAACTACTTGACAAGAATAATAGTAGCGGGCCACTTAAGTGGACCTTGTATGTTGAAACATAAGCCAGCGCCTTTGGTCGCATGTCCGTGCTCGTAATTTGGACACTATGGAGATGACGAGGCTCCCTAACTTCCAGCTCACCAAAGGGTCACAGTTCAAAATTCTTAGGCTTTGGTCGAAGCCATCGTATTCGGATTGGGTTGTGGGGCTGATTTACTAGCAAGTTACTTTCTCGATATGGCTGGATGCAGCGGGGCCTTAATTTGCACCCTTGGCTTGCATCCTTGGCTTGGCTTGCAACCCTGGCACTCGACGTGAGCCCTAGCCTAGCCTTGCGGCGCTGCAACGTACTTTAAGAGGATTTGGGCCAGAGAAACCTCATTGTATGGCTCTCTTGGGATTCAATTTATGGGCTGTGAAACGCTAACTCTGCTAATTCGTTGCAACGATCCCCCTGCGCTACTGGATCCCACCAGGCTCCCACGAAATACCCTGAAATCCCACCTTGCCCGAATCCGTCGAACGAATGTCAAATTCCACCCTCCTCAAGGCATGTATGGATGTTTTAGTAGTTCATGCAAAGTGGTAAGAATTCGATATATAGGTCATGACCAACCATTCCTACTTGTACAAATTGCCTCCCGGTGATGTTCAACTTTCTCCGTCATGTGCAAGCACACAACCATAACTAATAGACAAGGAAATCGAATGTATCAACAAACCGTTTTTCTCTGTACGAAGATAGTCTTTGTGGAGGAAAAGAAGCCGAAAAAAAAAAAAAAAAAAAAAACTATCTTCCGCTTGGCCAGCAATAAACCACATGTCGCATGCCAATGGCAACAGTACTAAATACCATACAAGAGCCCGTGAAAATAACGACTCCCTTGTATTTGATCAAGCCATAGCTCTCCACCGAGGTGATGTGAAAAAGAAGATTACCACTAATGGGGCCTGCCATGACATTGCCGACTCCCTTACCAAAATTGAAAAGGCTAAAAATCATTGAAACAGCTGTCGAATCGTTGCTTACAGCCGTTGTCATCCTTGCCCACATTGCTGTATATCCGGCGGCGAAGAAGCCGTAAACCAGTGCAAAGACAATGAGCAGCGGTAGGGTATGAGCCAAACCCCACAATGCAAACGCGGCTGTTGCTGAGATGATGGTAGACACTGTGGTCAAAACTTCTAGAGAGACCTTCCGGTCGGAAAGTAATCCAAAAGTCAGTTGACCAGCAACTTGTGAAACACTCATCAAAGCCAGTAAGAGAGCGCCGTCTCTTCCACTCAGGCCAATGGAGGTGGCATATGAGGGTAGGAAGAGGGACGGGAAGAAGTATCCGAGGCCCTGTGCAACATTCGACGTCGAAAAAACCCAGAACAGGGGGTCGCGGAGGAAACTCCAATCCATTCTCAAAGAAGCGCTGTGCAAGGACGGTGGCAAACGCCCATTGAGAAAAGGGATCAACGGGCCTGTTAACACGAACAGCGCAACGGCCACAGCTCGCAACGTTGTCTGATAACCGTACTTCTCCAACAGCGCTTCCATGACAAAGGGAAATATTGCACCCGAAACGCCTGATGAGCTGCAGAGGAGCCCATACGCCATGCCGCGGCGGGTGATCCAGTACTCATTGACCATGATGAGAATGGGGTAGTAAAAGATGAGGAATCCTACACCGTAGGCGACACCTTGCGTGAGGATAAGTGTTTCGACAGTCGTGCAAAAGGAGGCAAGGACAATACCACCTATACAAATAATCCCTGGTAAAGTTTTAGACACACGTTGAGGTCTGTACTGTAAACAACAAGACAGACTTACAGCCAGCCCATATCATTTGCGTCTGGTAACGCTGGTACCGCTTGATTAATGGAGTGATGGCTGGAGCGCCCAAGTACGATATGCCAGAGGCAACACTGCCCACCACGGGAATGTAACGATTGCTGGCAAAGGCTGGTTGCTTGGAGTAGTAATTCTGGAAAACTCCAAAGGACAGAGGAAACCCTGGTATGGTATGATGTTGATTAGCCTCCTTCAGATGTTACATAAGCTACCTACGGAAAAAAACAAACCCCAAAGGAGAGCCTCAAAGACGAAAGCTGTCAGAAGAAGTTTCCATGCCGCCGGCCCCCGGTCGGTTGGCTCCAATTGATGTTGTGTGCCATGAAATTCTGCAGAAGCATTCGGGTCAACATTTTCTTGTCGATTCGTACCAGATGGCGTCCTAGATGCCGTTGCCAGCTCAATCGACTCCGAGTTTACTGAAGTAGACATGTTGTTGGTATGCGGACATTCCATTCATCGAGTGATGTCAGCTTCGAGGTGTTTTATCATGGTTGCGGGGAATATCATAGTGCCTTCGACAGCCGAGGCTAGCCTATTTGCTCTGGCGATTGCAGATCTTGCACATGATTAGTGTGAACCTTTTAACGTTCTCATGACTTTTTGGAACACCATCCTTGGCATTACCAGTGGTATTCATTCGGCAGTGTACTAAGGCTATTATCAATGGTTTGGGTGCGAAGATGAAATCTCGTGGTCTGGCATCTGACTTAGGTTGTTAGTGGCCGATTAATCAGAATGAGCCTTGTGTTGCAATAACATCTATTCTAGTACATTACCCTCGAGTCCTTGCGTCCCATCCTTGGCATCCATGTACATGATGTCGTGAAAGATTTGAAGCCAAAGCTCTCCTTCCTTCCTCCACCAGTATTGTACCTTTACCATCAATGAATTATCTTCTTCTTCTTCAAGACCTGCCGACTCGTTCCACAAATCCACCCTCATCCCAACCCAACCTTCTGCTCTCGCTTTCTCTTTTATACTTTCGGCCGAGGGAAACCCTGCTGGAGCGACCTGCTCATCGGTGCCGAACTCGAACTCAGTCTCTACAAGGGGCCGAATAGTGTAATAACCTTTCGTCTTCTGCCTGGTGGAGTCTCTCTTCGGCGCTGTCTCGTGTAAATATCGAATAATCGTCTCCCTGTCACGCGCCGCGAATGATGGTTGCGGACGGCAGATTTGATAGCAGAATGGCGAGAAAAAGGTCCCCTTGGCGTCGATATCGTTAGTATGTCGGTAAGCAGCGTACAGAATCTTTAAGTGAGCGGTGAGATCGATATCAACTGAATGGGATTCCATATTGCCGTAGTGTTATGAATGTTAATGCAAAGTTTATTCATTCCAAGTACTTCATTTGGAATGAAACAATCGACGCGATTTAAAGAATCTCCTTCAATTGCGCTGGAATGATGACTTGCCGGTATGCACATGGCTGATAGGCTTGATCTTGTCAGCATTTAGCGTTCTGTAAGACGGCACTAGCCAGGACATGGGACGATGCATGCGATGTGCCATCCTGTGAAATTAGCCAAGCAGCTGCAACCCCAACATTGGAAGAAATTCCATCCCGATCAGGATAGCGAGCTGTAACTCTGCTGGTACGGTCTTGGCCGCGGTGCTCCGGGACTTGGTGGGGAACACCGTCCGGTGTATTGGCGTTGAATGATATACAACCAGGAGACTGCAGATTCCCGTAGGTATTTAATCTATTAAGTTTTGTACTATGTGTTGTTTGTCTATGTTTAAGCCATCGAGGCCGGTATTTGTTTTGGTGCGGTCGGCATCAACTCTTGACTCCGCATGCATACTGGACAATCTCTTCGTCCTTTAGAACTTTTACACCACTATGCTCCTTCTCGACGCTGTCCCTTGAGCAATAACTCAGAAGAAAAAGACAAAAGGACAAAAGCAAGCCCGTTTTACTCACAGGCTAACCTTTCGGATTTGGAGGCGGAAAGATGAGAGGCCGTCGAATCGCCGTTGATCCGCTCGGAGCCGACTCCCACCCCCCGTTCCCACTGCGAAATAAACTTTGACACAGGTCACCACAATCAAACAACCTTCATCTTGAACCCGACCTGCATTGTCCGCGCAGCCACGAACACACCAACCGACCCAAGCATTGCGAAGCCGCAGAAAAGCTGCAGGCCGAGATAACTTCCACCTTACGATGCCACAATGGCACCGGCAATGGGACTGCCAGTCAAGGCTCCAAAAGACTGGAGCGCGTAGGCAGTCCCGGTACGGATGCCGATCTGCCTGATGTCGCAAATCTGGGCGATGAGGGCCGGGGCGAGCGAGATGAACCCGCCCGATGAGAACCCAAAGATGACGAGGAAGACGATGATTGCAGCGTTGCCCTTTCCTGGAATCCACAGGGCAAGGCAGAAGACGGCGCTGATGAAGGTGATGATGATCATCGAGTTGTAGCGGCCCAGCTTATCGGCGACAATGCCCGGGATGATTCGGCCGGGGATGCTGACGGCGTTCATGATGGGGAGCAGGTAAATCACCAGATTCTCATCCATGCCCTGAGCCTTGGCCTGCAAGATGACGAAGTTGAATGGCAGGAACATGCCCCAGTAGAAGAGGAACATGGCGCAGATGGTGACGGCAAACACCGGCTGGCGGAGGCCATCGAGGTACTCCCGGAAGAGGAACGGCCTCGGCCTCGGAGGCAACCGCGACTTCACCGTCAAGCACGCGATGCTAAGCAGAAGCAAGAAGAGAAATGCTACCGCTCTAATAGCCCAGGGGAAGCCGACTTGATCAATCATCTTGGACATCATGATGGGCAGGATGACACCGCCAAGTGAGGATCCCGAGACCATGATTCCCAATGCTGCACCCCGACGGCGGAAGAACCACGATGTCACGGAAGCCATGGAGGCATTGAAAGCGGCGCTCGAGCCGATTGACGAGACGATACTCTGCGCGAGTATGAACTGGTAGTACTTTGTCGACAACGACGTCATCATCAGTCCAAAGACGTATACGACGGTTCCGCCGTATAAAAGGTATCGTGGCCCGTATGAATCGTACAAGCGGCCAAACTATGCCCATGTTAGTAATGATACTTTGGAACAGATGAGGTGGCACGTACCAGAGCACCCATAAAGGTCATTGTCCACACTTGCAGGCTAGTAATCCACGACACCGTCGAGGATGGGTACTCGCGCAACGGACCCTGCAGGAAATACGCCTGGAACACGCCGACGCAGTTGATCAATCCAAAAGTGCAGAACAACGCACACCAGCCGCCGAAGACAGTGAGCCATGCATCTGTCCCCCCGTCTGGGAAGTCGGCGGGGTTCATGCCCGGTGAAGCGGCGGGAGGGGCCGGCGCGGTGGCATCGCTGCCGGTCTTGGCATCCGGTGATTGCGGGCTCCCAGAGGCTTGCATGCCCTTTTCAATGTCGGCTTCCACGACATTGGTGGGTTCTGGGTAGATGTTGGCCTCCGTATCGCGCACCTGGGAGGGGATGCGGTCCAGGGATGTTCGTGTGGAGGTCTCGTATGGTGAGCGGTCCGACTTTTCGGGATCCGTCCTCTCGGGATGCTTCTCCATGATTGTCGATGAGTTTGACGACGTCGAGAGAGTGTCGCTGGCCCCCATGGTTACTTTGCCGTCTAGGTTTTGCGCAGGTAACGTTGACCCTCTTCTCTACTCGAGCGTTTGACGGTTGGTACTCCTCCCCTTTTGTTTTATGTTCGCTTTCCGCTGGCGAGCTCTAGTGAGGGTTCCTTCGTCTCCTTTTGCTGGGGCTTGGTTAAAAAATAAAAATCTCGTTGAAAGGATCCTCGCTACGGGCAATCCTGGTTGATGGCTGGTGGGGCGAACCGTCGTTGTCGTCTTCCCTTAGTGACTAGCTTGGCTGGTCTTGCTGGCTTGCCTTGCTACTCTAGTTGGAGAGCTATGGGAATGGCAGTCGGTTGTGTTTTTATTCCCTGGGACGGCTTACACGATGATGCAAGATGCGGATGCAAATCACGTCCTATCATATGGCGCAGCACGAGCGCGCAGGACAATTAATAAGAGAAAACCCGACCAGATGGCGACCATTGTCAAGTTGACACTGCTGCTCGCGTTTAACTGCCTCTGCGCGGTACCAAATTTTTCTGACCTCGGAGAAAAGAACCATAACGCGGCTGATGCAAGCTACCTCTGACAAACCCATGCTCGGCCTTAATCGCCATGGCCTTCTGGATCGTCGTAATTCTGGATCCCCCCTCCCCATCCGAAATCCTGGGGGGGGAATGGAGGGGTTGGATCCATGCCTCGGGGATTGGCCAGTTGGCACCCTTTTACCAAGTCGGGTAGGGCCCAAGATCCATAACCCAACTGGCCTGGTGACGAATCATCTAGTTGCTAACTAATACAATGGCCGCTGGCGCCTGTTGCGTTCTTTCGCTTCGTTTCCTGACGGGGTGTGCGGGCGGAAGCAGGCTCACGGAAGCGGGTGTCGGGTACTGGGTCACTTTTTCCCCCCTTTTCCCTGTCGAGACTAAAGCAGTCTCCAAGTTAGCAATAGCTCGGTATAGCTTGGCGCCGAGCTTTTCGGCCAGTTGACCGTTCATTGCTACGCAGATTTGACTTGTTATTAACAACCAACCTTCTTGACATCTTGCTACCGTAGTTAACAACGGTACAAAACAAGTTGCGACGCATGAAAGGATAGACTGTAAACACACAAAATGTATTTGATAAGTCTTTCGATGACCCTGTCGCTGCGCACATCAAGGCATAGAGGCTTTGATGCCAGGAATCCGGCTCCTCGGCCGAGCTGATTGACGACAAAGGTCCCACCGGGGACTCCTGGCCGGTGCTGTCTTCCGCTGCTGGACGATCGGGAGGTCCCTTGCACTCGGCGTTGAGATGAAAACGCGAGTTCCGAGAGGTTGGAAAAGGCAACTCATTGCGTCAACTGTCCAATCAGGATGCTTTCATGTCTCGGAGGGTGTGCTCGGCCTTCGGTTCGGACATAGAAGTTAGCCTGGTCAGATTACGTGAAAACGTCCTAAACTCGACATCAGGCCCTTGTCTTTACGACCACACTGGAGACTATGGGAGCTAAGCTTCATGCCACCACGTGGTGGCAGACGTGTGTCAATGTCAATCAAGCTTGTTTTGCTGGTTCAATTAAGCGTTTGCATCTTCTCCGCTGTCCTGGGTCGGAGAACGAGCACTTGGATCTCCGAAGACCTTTTCATGACAACGAAAATCCACACGTGGACCGCCCGCTGCTGCTGAGACTGACGCATCTTGTCTAGTATGTCTGGTACGGTCACAACCGACTGTAAATTGGACCATCCCGTTTGCGTCGTTGCTCATAGTGTTGAAGCCTGGCCTGTTTTTTATTACACAGTAAATGTACATTTGTCAGCCCTGCGGCTGTACGGCATGATTGTCATAACAATCTCTCGTTTGTTGCAGCGTACCAACGCCCAGTTCAGATTTTGATCTTGTTTCACCTCACAAATTCCTTCAGATCCTTCGCATCTTCAAAGTTGACCTTTCCATCTCGACTGACATTGGCGACGTGGATCGCGGAGGGAGGTTGCTCAACTGACACGGGCTTTGCCTCGATTTTGGGCTTTGTGGTCAGTTCAACGGCTTCAGGGACAACGCCCGCCGGCGCATCGGCAATCTCGTTGACCTCGTTCGTGGTCAGTGAATCGGCAACTCTAACACCCCTGCTGGACATCAAGATAGTAGTAGGCCCACGGAACTGGAGGAAAAGGCGGTCGCCCCAGATGGTGCGTCGCAGCGATGTGCGAAGGGTAAAAAGCCACTGGGAAATATTCTTATACGTGCTCGTTTCGCGCATCGCTTTGAGGAATTTGATTTCGGGGAGAAGACCAGTGATGCTAGGGATTTGGAAGCGGAGGATGTTGGACTTGAGGCGGAAGGGGAGAGGGGGGTTTCGCGAAACAGAGTAGGCGACCACATGCGACGGGTGGGCGACAAACTCCTCGCCCTCTGCGAGGTTGAGTTCATAGATCTGGCCCGGAGACGACAGTGCAGCCAAACCACGGCCGGTAAGGTGAGTGTTTCCCCAATGGGCCAGTGAGAGACCACGGCTTATGCGTGGGGAAACGGAGAGCGTATGGCCAGTCCATGCAAGTAGCGCGTTGCGCTGGGTAACCATGTAGTCAGTCGTGCCATCGAGGTGTAGAACCGTGAAGGTGGTAGTGGGAGACTTGGTCGAGATGAGTGCTGTCAACGGTGTCGAAGATGAAATACGCTGGTACAGAAAAGGAACGCCGAGGAAGGCTCGTGTGAAGGGAGAGAGGATCGAAAGCGTAGATTGGGCCTGGGTTCCACGTTAGCCTAATTTGGCGTTGCTATAAGCTCATGATATCTCACGTTCTCAGCCTTGCCCGCGACGGCGACCAAAGTGCCTCGTCTCGTATAAAGTTGTTGCGAGGGCGAGAGTGTGACAGAGAGAAGCGAGTACGGCGAACCAAGGACTTCAAAGCGAGCGTCTAGAGAGAGCATGTTAGCATTGGCCGGACAAGAAACTCTTTGACAGGTAGTCCATACCTGCTGCGTCCCTTTGGCCGCTGCCTCGAGCTCCAAAAATATCCCCGCCAACCCGCGGAGCTTCAGTCGTCGGCACTGCGCTGATCTGAATGCTCCTGCACTGCCGGCAGACATAAGGAGACAGTTGGGCCACAGGTCGCGCACTGCGTGCCGTCCTCAATAGGGACAATTGAGCGCGCATGGCGGACATCGTGGGAAGTTGGATGACGTCGTTCGTAAGATCGTGGCCTTCCAAGCTCCGGCAGCTTTCGCAGGCGCCTTGATCTGGAATTGAAAGATTGACGGCAAAAAATCGGAGCTTGACCGGAGAGACGAATGGCCGTTTTCCGGAGGTACGTACTGTGGTGTACTGTTCGGAATCATTATGTAACATTCTTTGCCTTACCTAAGCTGAGCATAAAGCTCGGACTTTTTATGCAAACAGTACACTGCTCCCGTAAGTCACGTGGTGTTCATGCCAAATGCGGGTACTTCCCCCCTAGTTCATCACTCATTAGCGCCGTTACTCCACCAACCAGCTATGACGCGCCCCTGTTGACAAGGTCTCAGACCGTATCTTGTGCATATTCCTTGCACAACATTCCACAACCTTAGGCTAACGCCTATGAAAACGTCAAATCTCTTCCTCATCAAACCAATTTCCCCAGGTCGCGTCCCTTTGGAACCGACGACACGCCTCTCCTTCTCCATATCTCCTACTTGTCAGGGCTGCTGCTATCTCCTGTCGTGTCAATTCTTGGACTGGCCCACGATGTCGGTTCGGGTGGTCGCGCGGATTCGCCCTCTCCTTGAGAAGGAGCTGGATAAGGACACCATTGTCCGGGCGGACAGCACCGAGGAGGGAAAGCATGCCACGCTTGTGAAGATCCCGAGCCCCAAGAACGAGACTGAGGAGTTCTCCTTCGCCTTCAACAGTGTTTACGACCAATCGACGACGCAGGAGGAACTCTTCACCGCCGAGGGTACGCGAATCACGCCGGTATCGATGTCCCCCTTTTACATTGGCTGACAATTCCAGTTGCCCCCCATTTGAAGGCGCTCTTCCAGGGCCTCGATGTCACTATATTCGCATATGGAGTCACAGGAACTGGCAAGACGCACACCATGCGAGGCGGGCTTAAGCTGGCAGATAGGGGCGTCATCCCCCGCCTACTCAGTGGTGTCTACCGACGCGGCAAGAAGATTGCAAAAGACACGGGTGGTGAGACGACGGTGGATGTTGCTCTGTCCTACTACGAGATTTACAACGACAAGGTCTTTGATTTGTTCGAGCCTCCCGAGAAGCGTAGTGCATCTGGTCTCCCTCTCCGAGAGAAGGATGGCAAGACCATGGTGGTGGGTCTTTCAGAACGCGCCTGCGAAGATCTACAGGACTTTTCGAAACTTTACATCGAAGCCAACAACAACCGCGTCACTGCCGCCACAAAGCTGAACGCACACAGTAGTCGAAGCCACGCTATCCTAAGGGTCAAGGTGACCCAAACGACTGGGGACACCATCCGCGAGAGCACCGCGTCTGCCATCGATCTGGCAGGCTCCGAAGACAACCGCCGGACGGACAACGGCAAGGAACGGCTGATTGAATCTGCCGCCATCAATAAGAGCTTGTTTGTCTTGTCTCAGTGCATCGATGCCATTTCTCGTGGAGACAAGCGTATTCCGTACCGCGAGTCGAAGATGACGCGTATTCTCAGCTTAGGCCAAAACAATGGCATCACCATCATGATTCTCAATCTTGCACCCATTCGCAGCTACCATCTTGATACCCTGAGCAGTCTGAACGTCAGCTCAAGAGCAAAGCGGATCGAGGTTCGGGAGATCGAGAACGAAGTCGTCTTCAAGCAGGTCCCTCGCACTAACTCTGGCAACTCTGCCCTCACACATCGTCAGCCTCTCCGCCCGCTGGCTAACGTCCATAACATCCACAGTGGCACCATCGCGGCCAAGGAGAAGGAAAAGGAGAAGGATGTGACGCGGCCGGTCAAGGCTTTCAACGTTTTTGCAGACCGCCACAAGCCAACCGCTCCTATCCGCCCGGCTGCCAACACCACCCAACTCCGAAAACCGGCCGTGGTAGTGGACCGCGAACTGGCACCCAAGGTGACGAAGGTCACACGTCCTGCCCAGCCGGCTGAACAGAAACTGTCCATTTCCGCCGAGCAGTTGGAAGCCTTGGTTGAGAAGAAGGTCAGCGAGATTCTTCGGTCGAGGGAGAGCAAGACAGCCGAACCTGCCCCGGCACCTGCTCATCCCGATGTCAACGAGGCTGTGCAACGTCGCTTGGAGGCACTCGAGCGACGCATCGAGAACGAAGAGCGCGAAAGAGACGATACCCGATCAGAGGGCCTGCGTTATCTTTTGGCTGCTAGGCAGGCAAAGGAACGCGGTGACGATGTTGGCGCACTCAAGATGTATGAGCTTGCCCTCCCTTTCTTCCCAGGCCAAGCGAAGCTGCTGGGCAAGATTCAAAAGCTGCGAGCAAAAGTTGGAAACAACGTTGCTGCTGAGTTTGCCACATCCCCAGGAACACGCGACAGACACGAGAAGAAACGCAGAAGGATTTCGCACGAGAGCGATGACGAGTTCGAACAAGCAGAGGCGGATGAAGACATGAGCTTTGTGGATGTTGGCGCAAAGTCGAGAAGCCGAAAGGCCAACTCGACAAAAGTCAACAAGTTGATCTTCCCCGAACCGAGTGGCCCGGCCTCCCCTCGAACGCAGTGTCTTTTAAGCATTGTTAATTCTCGCGACCTGGATCAGATCAAGAGCCTACATGGTTTTGGTTCGAAGAAGGCCCGAGACCTTGTCGACCATCTGGAGGCCATGACTACTGATGACCAGGGTGGCGCCATTGAATCTTTGGCGCAGTTGAGGACTATCCCTGGAATGGGTGGTCGTACTGTTGATCGTGCTTATGACGGTCTCGTCAGTGCTGTTTAAAGCGAATTATATCCAACCATAGAATGGCTCGGTTGGTTATCGGTGCATTGGCATGGTGTTTTTGGAGTTTAGCATACAAGCCGCAATGGCTTCGAAAGACAGGTTGCATTTAGAATGTTGCACTTTTTGGATGCACCCTTCGAATACACATCCAAACCTGGCCCAGTTGGCTATAATATTAATACTCTCTTCTGCGTTCATATTGTGTCATGCAGTGGTAACTGTATCTCTTACCCTTAGCCCTGTCTCTCTCTCTGCCTTGATTGGTAGATGATACGGAATGACTGGTAACTCTCCTGGATTATCATTGATGTCTCGCTTTCCAGGAGTTCAAGCCTGTTAAAACGCATAATCCTTCAAAGCCTCCTATCAAACAAAAGCCCACAATTGAACAATCAGAAATGAGATAGTCTGGAGAAGACTTTCCGTATATTTGATCGATAGAAGACCTGCGCCTGCTCTTTTAGCGTTTTCTGGTAATGTTGGAACATCCTTGGTGACTTTGTCCTTTGTTTTGGCTCCAAGACCTTGGCTCGACAGTTGGCATCTGTAATAGATCTTGTAGCACTAATTTTTTGAACACTTAGGCTTCGGTGTCGATTACGAAGACATTATCATTCTGCCAGTTTAAATGATGAACATTGCAAAGCTTTAAATACTTTGCCACGATTTAGACATGATGTTTCGTTACTTTCTAGGCCGAACTTTAAGTACCAATACTGCTACGGTGCTTGAGTACATCGGGACATCTTGTGTAGCTTGCCACACGAGGAACCCTCCCCAACACCCACGAAGGTCTTTCTAAAAAAGCCATTCAGAATCCAATATGGAAGTAACTTTCAACCTCTAGTATACCCAAAAAGTCTCCAAATCAGACACAATTGCTAACAAGCTTACTTAGTTTCATGTAGTCAAGTTTGTGCATGCTTGGACATATCAGGCACTTTTGATCACCAACAAAAATCAGCCAACTAGGTAGGGTTGAATTAAAGCAAATATCTTGTACTTGGATTAGTTTCAGAGCTACAATTATCAGTAACGATTGAGAGATTCCTCGCAGGCCTGCATGGTCCATTATTCCCTTCGCTTCTCTTCTCCCGACCCTGTACTCCTTCATCATTTCCATTACATTACCATGGATTACACTGAGAACTCCAAGCTCAAACTCCAACAGAGGTACTGTAGTTTGACGTCGTGTTTGCCTGCTCTTACTTCTGAAGGAGCACCAAGTGAACGCTGTATCCCTGTCTGGTCTGCCAAGTCTGGACCGGTGGACCAGCGTACCCGTTCGAAACGGTGGTGATGATCTCAATCAGCTGAGGATTCTGGTCCTCGCCGAGGGGCAGCTCCGCCCACTGGAAGGTCCAATTAATAGCTCCGTCCTCATATATGGAATCAACCAGCTTCAAGAACTGAGGGTTGAACGAGGGCTCAACCGATGCTTTTCCAGAAGGCTCAGTCTTTGGAATCTGAGCGGTGATGAAAAGTTCAGCGTCGCCAGTCAGGAACTTCTGGATTGGCGGCAAGACATCACGGAAGTTGTTTCCGTCCGGCTCTGAACTAGGTACGGAATCGGAACCGAAGCCGGTATACTTGATGTCAATGGTGAACCTCCCCAAGCCAGTCTCGACGAGGACACTCTTGTTGTTAAAGTGCGGTATTGGCAGGTCGATTTGGAACTTTTCTGCAATATCAAAGGACCTCTTCGGCGGAGGATGAAAACCACCGGTGAAGGCTTGGAGAGAGAAGCGAAGGCCGCCGGCAAATGGCTCTTGTTTAAAAAACGGGGTAAACCAGATGCCGGGGAGGGTACCGACGGCCGAGAGGATCAACTGGCGGCTAGGGGTGTCATAGAGGGCAGAGATATCAGAGCCTGGAATCGGAGCAAGAGGTGCCATAATGTCGAGCTTTTGAGGGTAAGCAGATTCAAAAAGATCAAGTGTTGGTGTTGTTGAGTGCTTTGCTGGTAGGCAGGTGAGAGTGATGATAATAACTGAGTTGGCGAGAGAGGAAGCCGATACTTATAGCCGAGGGGTTGGTGAGATGTCTGATTCCGTATCGTGAAATGAGTACATTCAAGAAGAACCAGCTTCTCTCTGCTGGATGGGTGCGAGTCAACCCTTTCGGCCTCTGGTCTGATCTCTTCTCCAGTCACCCAAGTTGCCCTAGGCTTTGACAATGCCAATAAGGATCCAAATGAAGTCTTGGCCTCTTCTGAAGTGGACAATCTGAGCAAAGTTATTGTGGCATGGCTTACAAATGGGGGTCTTCTCAGGCTATTCAGCCAGCCATTTTTACATTTTTTCACATTCTGACATGGTTCCGTAGCATGTCTCTGTTGCTCGAGTTCAGCTGAACTTGAATAGTTGCGTGCTCGTATGATTGAGGCTGCAACATAACCAGTCTTTGCATATGGCATCTGCTGAGGTGGTTATCTCGTAACTAGCTTGGTTCGCAAGCAGCGGAGCGGGTGCTAGGCTGAAGTTTTTGGGTTTGGAACATGGCATATGAGCTGACTCTGAGTAACATCTCACGTTCTTCAAATTGAAGTACTCACTACCTCTTGCTATGGTTCCGCTTCAGCTCCCGTTCTTGGCGTCTAGCGCCACGCGCCACATCCGTACCGAACAGTTTTGCTAAAGGAAAGGACTACATTGACACCTGGCACAAGGCACAATATGAGGACCCAAGACTGCGGTACAGGAATGGACCGAAGCTCAAGGGTTCGAGACAACCACTTCGCCATGTGTCAGTTCGAATGCTCGTTGATAAGGACCCTCCTGATGGAAACCCGCGAGGCACAAGAGAAAAGATCTAGCAACTACCACACATCCAATTGGTTGGGCAAACTAGCAAAATATGGTTCAAACGCACGTTATTGTTCAGCTGCAAATTTCAACACAAAAGGTCGTCGATGACTTGACTTTTAATGCTTAGCTGAACCATTCCCTAGCAGCATGGCTGGCGATGAAGACAATGTAGTGTTTTCTAACTGTCTGTAAATATGGACCACGTGGAATTGCATCCCGAACAGCCATTGCGTTGCTCTAGTTGCCGCATCACTAATACCACGCAAGCGGTGGTTCCGCCAAGATGTAATTGCCGACGGTTCTAGCGCCATTATGTGCAGTGAAGGGTTTGAGCCATGTTCCTGCTGGTTAATTGCTTCTCGTTTAGCTGTGAGACATAGTATATTCTAGCCGTTCCCGAATTCCGCGCGGGCCGCATTCGTTGACCCGCCCAAATAGATTTTAGCCTCGCCAACGTGGCTGGCTGTGCTACTTAGTCATTCAGACTGCGTCCCATCCGAAACTTCAGGGTGTGCACCAGAAACTTTTGAGTATGTGTAAGAAATACCACCCTGTGACCTTGTAATAGTCTTGGTTTTGGCACCTAATGTCTCACGACTAGAAAGTTGACATGTTGGTATGGAAGCTGAAATTGATGAAAACAAAAGCGGCAATGGTACCATCAATGGCGTACATGACACAATTTATCTTTACCTCCTACCCAAATCCTCGAGCTTTGACCGAGCAACTCTTGGGAAACTCTAGTTGACCTGTAGGCAACCCATTTGGAAAAAGGAGGAAGAATACAATACACAAGACACTTTTTTTAAGCCCAGAACTCAAAAACAGCACAGTCTTCGATACCAAAAAAGCTAAGCATGGCACTGTCAATTCACACAGATGCCCATGACGACCAAGAGCTAGTGGCCTGAGAGTTTTAGCTCGTCTGTCGGTGTTGGTATCACAGGATACCCGTGAAGTGGGATAACTGATGGGGAAACTGGTCTGTATTTCTGTCTGTGTCTGTATATGGAAGAAGTTCCAGCAGAAGTGCTGGAGGAAGTGGCTGTTGAACTTATAGCCGTCAGCCGGTCTGCCCGTCACGTGGGCAGCCCGGGTGCCGGCAGGACTGCCGGCGACGGAGCCACTTCAACCCGGAGTTCCGGCTATTCCAACAGTCGGGCTATGTGGTTGTATGATGTAATATGTGTGTTGGCTGTAGATGTATAGCTGGAGCAGTTACTAACTGATATATGCCACTATAAGCCCGTGGATGGTTATCTTAGGTTACGCAGGCAACTTGTCGTGAGATATAGGGAAATTTGATCTGTTCTTTTCCAATGACGAATTGTATCCAGAGATTTGGCAGCTCCGAGAACATCAACGAATACAAATAGAAGGGCCCAATGTAATTACTTGAGGAGAAAGATGAGAAGTGGGGAACTATTGTAGCTAGTGTGACTAGAAATATCGTTACTGCTAGAGTCAGTTTTTGGATAACATCGCGGAGGCTGTTGTGATCTTTGAAGCCTCTGGTGATATCGTTCCATGTTGGACGCCATACAATCGTCGACTCTTTACAAGGTAGCTCTTCTGTCAGCATCTTAAGGTGGCCAAGATCATACTGTATGGCTATCAACTTGGGAATTATCTTTGTCACAATGACAGGACAGTAAAGCTTTTGTTAAGTCCACTACTTCGTTGTTTACACAAGATAGGTACATCTAACGTCTTGCAGAGACTCTATAGATAGTGTCAGTCAAACGGTTCATTTAATCAGTACTTGAAGAGATTTTTGGGATATTCTTTTGGTGATGGATGGGCTACGATGGTTTTGGAGTTAACAGAGTCGTAAAAGGTCGGCCGCTTGAAATGGAAATGGAAAGCTAATGACGGAGGCGGCACCGCTCAGCTAGGTTGTCTACCAACATAGCGCATTCTCTTTGTGATACAATGGTGCACCTTCATCAGAACGCCAAGCCTTTTCAATAAATATCGCAAATCGTCTTTAAATTGCTTCTCGAGCAACAAACGGTGGATGGCGCAAGTCCCACCTATCTCCTACGTTCACGAGATTTTACTTGACCACAAAACTGACCCAAAACTGGAGGTTAAGAGTCAACAGCTACACCACCCTCCCCTCGGCGATTGCCAGGCTGCGTTATTGTCTAATTTGAGCGGAAAACCATCTTGTAATGGGGTTAATATCGTCGCAGTTTCACCCAAATAGGGCGGAAAAGCCCGCTGGCTCAGACCACCTAGATATCCGTGTTACCCGTATGCTGGGTCGTGTTGAACCTTTCCTCGGAGGTGACCCTAATAGACTTTCGTCCAGAAACGCAGCTGAGAACAGCTAAGTCGACCATCCATGCAGTTCATGAGTCGCGGACGTTTATACCTGACTTTCCTGCGACACTGGCAGATCCCAATTGGCATAATATTTCTTGTGTCATGGAAGCCCAGATTGCTGTGTAAAGCTTAAACTCCCGTCATTCAAGCCACTCACAGGCAAATGCCCGAACCTGTGGACTAGTAAGCCTTGCCTAGGGTTGGGACCAAAGCCTAAGATATTACCGTAACCACGCCCCTTTCTGTGGCTTCTTAACAGTTTTCCCCCTGTGCCAAGTATTCTCGGTCCCAGTTTTGGAGGGGATTCTTGCACTTTCACGCCTTTGATTGATCGACATCTGCAAGATTAGCGCCATGGATCGCGAACCAGACGCCCATTCCATGGACAGAGCCTCCACGGTCAGGAGGCGCAGCATTGTTACAATGACCGACAGGCAGACACTTTACATAGATCTGAACCTCACCTCCACAGACATGTTTCCTGCTGTTTTTGCGGATGACAAAACAAGCAGTAATACATACTCACAGGAAAGGGAGGTAAGCATGAACGCGGAACCTATTCAACCAAAAAAAGATGATCTGGTGCCGCTTGAGGTTCCACCACCACCAAAGTACTTGTCTGGTACTAAATTAATTTTGGTGATGGCTTGTGTGACCATCGTCTGCTGGCTCATGTTCTTAGACAGCTCTATTATCGTCACTGTAAGACACGTCCTGGAAGACTGTTTGCTGGAGCCTTATTGACTAACCTCGTCTGAACTGCAGGCGATTCCTGCAATCACTGACGAATTCCACTCTCTTGGTGATATTGGCTGGTATGGAAGCGCATACCATCTTGCAAATGCAGCATTTCAGCCGCTCACTGGCAAGGTTTATCGATACTTTAGCTCAAAGGTATCTCTTACAACATTCTACGTACATGCTGCAGTAACACTGATGGCCGTAGTGGTCTTTTTTTACTTTTTTGATGATATTCGAGCTTGGGTCTTTGATCTGCGGAGCTGCGCCGTCCTCGACGATCTTGATTGTCGGAAGAGTCGTCGCGGGAGTGGGGAGCGCCGGTATCATGAGCGGTGGCCTTACGATCATTGCTGGAAGTGTACCTCTGGAGAAGAGGCCTGGTACGATTTGCCTTTCACGTCAATGAGTTTGCGTCTGATGTACTAACACAAAACCTTTTAGCGCTAACGGGTTTGCTCATTGGCCGTAGGTTATGTCACTCCAACTGTGGAAGTTGAGCTAACAAAGCTGAGCCAGTCGCGAACAGCGGCGGGGTTTTCGGCCCAGTACTTGGTGGCGTAATAACTCAATACAGCACGTGGAGATGGAGTGAGTAACTTCCAATGTGCTGCAAGTTATCAAGAAAGGTCTCGGTGCTAACATCAGACGACCCTGTGCAGCATTCTACATCAACCTTCCCATCGGCGGGCTCGTTTTGCCACTTCTTGTGTGGACAGACATACCCGACCAAGTGCCGAAGCCCAGTCCGATGGCTGTCATTCCGAAGCTACATCATTATCTCGACTTCGTTGGGTTTGTCTTATGCGCCGGAGCTGCCGTGTTGTTGCTTCTGGCTCTGGAACTTGGAGGAAAAGAGGAATTCAGCAGCCCAACGGTTATTGGGATGTTATGCGGGTCCGCCGTGGCTTTAGTCGCTTTTCTGACTTGGAATTATCGAAAAGGTGATGATGCACTCATTCCTCCATCAATGGCCGGAAAGAGACCAGTCTGGTGCGCCGCCTCGACCAACTTCACAATGATTGGTTCCGCTATGATCCAGATATACTTGCTCCCGCTCTATTTCCAGGCTGTTCAAGGCGTAACACCTTCTCAGAGCGGAGTCAATGTTTTGCCCAGCATCCTATCCCAACTAGCAGCTGCATTGGGTGGAGGCATATTGGGTGAGTTGAGCCCCAATCTGTTGCCTCGAACAAGCTTTGGCTAATGCTCCACTCCTCTTTCAGTGGGTAAACTTGGTTACTATCTGCCGTGGGCCGTTGGAGGAACTGCCGTTACCATTATTGCAAGCGGTTTGTTTACAACGCTCACACCAACAACGCCGACTGCGCAGTGGGTTATCTTTCAGCTCCTCACTGGTGCAGGTCGTGGCGTTGTGTTGCAGATCGTAAGTCCCATCCCCAGACTGTTCATAAGTTGCCCCCGTTGCCTCGTACATCACTGCTGACAACAACCAGCCTAGCATTGCTGTACAAGCCAACCTGCCACCGGAACAAATTTCCTATGGCATGTCTTTTGTGACGTTTTCGCAATTCATGGGATCCGCTGTTGCACTGGCTATAGGCAATGCAATCTTTGTTGGGGCGTTGAAGACAGATCTTCCTCGGTTTGCGCCCAATGTCGATCCAGACTTGGTAATCGAGGCTGGAGCAACTGGGTTCCGCAAAGCGGTGGCTGAGGCTGCCCTTCCCGGGGTTTTGATGGCCTACGTGTCGAGCATCAACAAGGAGTTTTACTTGTCATTGGGATTGGCATTAGCATCATTCTGTTTTTCGTGGGGCCTAGGGTGGAAGGACATTCGGCCCCCCAACAAATCCCCGAAACCTGACTCGAGGCCATCTTGAATAAAGATTAAAGTTCAACTTAGGTTGCCAAAAAACAATCTTAATAGCAAATTATTTGTCATGGTATTCTCTTGACCTCGGCTTGATCTATAATCCGCTGCAAAGAAGAGAGACAGCAGACAGAGCAAACAGATGAAGTCGATTTTGAGAGTTACTCATCTCAAAAGTGTGATAACAACGATTCTTCTTAAACCAGCCGCCCGGAATGAACGTTGAAGATGGGACTTCATAACAAGATAATCAGGCTGACGGAACGATGGACATTTGTGACCGCGAGTTCAGTTTTGTGTGTCTGATCTCTGTGAATCAGCTCCAGAACCTAGTGAACTATCTCAAACGCGGAAATAGACACAAAACGAACTTCCCCGGGGCAGAAGCGTAACATATCAACTGTCTGGGAAATCTCAATGTCTTAGCTACACACTTCTACCTCCAAGGCCGACTCTCTTAAACAGCATGCATATTGAGGATTCGCGCAAAGGTAGGTAAACTCATGCATAGTCGCTCGTGGAGAGACTCCGGCTGGTTGGGAATAAACAAGACTGCATTTGGGGTTCCTTGCCTTAATCTCGGGATGTGGGAGCCAACGCGACTGAGGTCTCGCCTATGCGGCTGAATCAAGAGTCTTTCTGGTGCCTTTGGCACGATTCAGCCCTTTTGAACTTCCACCTAAGGGATGTGCAGCAAAGGCCGCGTCGTTGTCGACTGAATTGAATTCTCTAGTTTGCTCTTAGAACCAAATGGCGTTAGGATCGACGGAGGAACATCCTCCGAAGTGGGCCACAGTTTGTGTTCGCCGTTGAGTAGTGTAGAACTACGGCTGTTGTCTGGCAGATTTCGCCCGCTTGTGCATAGTATAACTCAGAGGTGGCTTTTCATTTTCCCCGATTGTTTTATTCACGATTAAGTTTGAAAGAACAAATCAAAAGGCAAAAAGAAGCTAATCACCAGGTGCTGTAATCATCCTCGAGTTAAGCCAACTGTCTTGCTCATTCACGAAATTTTGAAAGGCGGCGCCGACCAGAACCTCACTTGAGTCAAGTTGCGCTTCTCTAAAACCAATTGTAGTATCTGCATCACTGGCGACTCATTCTTCAGAAATAGGCGCTTGATTGCTCCCACGAGGCATGCTGAAACAGATCTGAGAGGTAACTTGCGGGAGATGTTACCTGACCAATGCGCTTGGACAGTCTCGACATGCGTTTAGGGACCAATTGGCCCGCTCTTGAGTCAAGAGACAACGGTGTGCCCGTGGCATTGTGCATACCTAAGAGAAAACGAGCTTGCCTACCGTGTTAAAGTTCGCGCGATCGACGAGTTCGTCTTGTCGTCCCGCAGCTTCGGACTCGAACTTGCCCTAGGACAGAATTTCACCAAATGTTGTTGAATCATTGAAGGGGTGGTGGGCTGTCCCTCGTGCAGAAAGACTCGCGCCTAAGGCGGTAATGTTGAGGTCGATGCGGATGACGAATGGCTTTCCGCTTCAGGGCGACAATGCACACACTGGTGAGCTCGAACACGATACTATCAAGGTTGCTATTGTCCGCCGTTTCCCCTCGTTTTTGCCAAGCCGCACATTCATGGCGTTTCTTGATTCAATCTATTTTACTCACATCGCCAAGAACTCCAGCCATGCTCTCAACCAAAATGTTCTAGCGCGAAAAACAGACACAGCCCCAAGAAAAGAATTCACGTGCCACAGCCGCAGATCGAGGCAGCATGGCCGGGAGAAACCCGCGGGCGCGGGGCCTAGTGCCCGCCGAGCACGTTCGGCGGCTCGTCGGGTGGCTCCAAGAAGCCTGTGCCATCCCAGGTGATATGGCATAGTTGTCACAGCCCACCCAGGTGAGAACTCTAATTTTATTCGCTCAAATTGGTTTAAAAGGTAGTGTAGCAGGGCCTCCATCTCGACTCGTAGTGCTCAAACCTGCCAAGACCTGATGAGGCTTTCCAGATTATCCATCTTGGACAGCCTTCTCCATGGCCGCTGGATTAAGGTGTTGGGCATCTATTTCAACCTCTCGTCGTTTCCAAAGTAGACACTATCGATTTCTTGGCCCTCTAATATGCCTACCAGTTCCCCACTCGGCACTCTGGTCTTGGCAATGTGTTGTTTTTAGAAGACACTCGAAAGCTGTCACGAAATATGTCTGACTGCAATACATTGAACTAAAGGACAATCAACTAATGTAGAACCATCGTTTTGAAAGTGAATGTATGGGCCCTTGAGCGGTTCTTTCAAAAGATCATATGAATTTAGTTTTGTCGTAAAGTATTGAATAGCAATTGGCCAGTCGCCCCATCTTCCGAACCACCCACTAGTGGGCCCCAATTCAAAGAGAGTTCGGAGAGGCATATTGATGTTGCATATTTTGGAAGCCAATCAATGAGCTGCAGAGGCTGTCCAACGTGGCGGTTTATCAATGAGCTGCAGAGGCTGTCCAACGTGGCGGTTACGCCTAGCTGGAAAGCCTTGTCACCCCTTCAACTCTCAACGTTTAGTACTATTCCAGAGTTGTGGTAAAGGCGACGTGTGCCAAGTCAGATCGGCGTCATGGCATGCAAATGAGCGCTGAGTCGACATATCATACATGAGAGGTTTCCTAGAAACCTTAAAATAAGAATTCAACAATGCGCATGATACCTTGGCCCAAAGGGGTAGGGAAGGTTCAACCGACGCATCTCATCTAGATCTGACAAGCAACCCCCGCCCCCGCGCAAGAACCCTGACATGAGTCGAACGCGCGGGTGTCCTTGGCGTGGCTACGGCGCGTCTTGGCAAGGTTAACTATTTTTGAAGCATCTTTCAGTTTTGAGAAGGGCATAGATAGATATAAGCTTGAGCAGTTCTCGCTTAATGTCACTGTACTTGTTCGTCTCCTCTTATCTAGCCGCGCACATACATGAACCATTCCGCAAACATGTTGTTCTCTCAAAGAAGCGCCTGCGACCGTTGCCGAGCACTTAAGAGTCGGTGCTCCAGAGAGTCTGGAGCTGCCAAATGCGAAAGATGCCAAAGACTCCAGATCGATTGTTTCTATAGCCCGCCGCGAAGGATGGGTCGGCCGGCAAAGAAGAGGCTGAATCAGGAAAACACCAACGCGCCGACACAACCATCCGGATATCGTCGGGCTTCGACAATGTCGAACGTAACAGTCCAATCAAGTCATTCCGAAATCCCAACACCTACTAACAACGATGCGAACGACTTTCAATATGGCTTGGACATCATTCAGAGTCACCCTGCAGAGGACACCACTTGGACTGAGAACTTTGAAGATCCACTGCTTGGGCTTTTACATAACAATGACCCGAAGATGGTCTCAACTGAGTGGATGGACCAAGACGCACTGAGGTTTCTGGAACACCAAGACGACGCAATTCTTCCAGACTCCCATGTTATGCCCTTGACGCCACCAACAACGGTTGGCTCTCTCCCCAATGGCTCGGACGATACATGGATGCCAAGTTGCGAGCCACAAAACGATTTCGGACACCCGGAATCTTTCGCATGTGATACCCTTCCCTCTTCACCAGAACCCAAGTCGACCGAGCCTGCGACTCAGCGACTACTTGACCTGCAGTCACGGTTGTTTTCTCGCCACATGACCAAGACACAAGACGTCGACGGCTTGTCGGCTGCCATCAACACAGCCGTCCACTCAACCGAAACTCTGATCGAAATTGTGGAAAGTTTACCGCAACTGAGACCCAGTGTCGAGGGTAGGCGGTCTACTTCACCGCTATCATCGACATGGGGCGCCGGATCCGACCCTGCCGGCTTCAATGTGCCTGCCACCAACTACACAGCAACAGAGTCGCAATTACAGCAGAACCCATACTGCGCGATTACAATTTCTCTCTTTATTACATGTTATTTACTTCTTTTGGACTCGTATGATGAGCTTCTTTCTGCATTGAGAGCACGTTTGCAATGCTCCCGCCAAAGCCAGGGTCCAAGCCCGACCAGCGACATGGGCTTGACACAGCCTTTCTTCAACAGCGCCCCCACGGGGAATCTCAACAAATTCAACCTCGTCAGCTCTTTTGACTTGGATGTCAACTCGGTCGTTTTCCTTCTGTCTCGAATGATGAAGCGATTGAACAAGTCCACGGAGAGCCGCTTTGTGGCTGTTTCAATGGAGAACCCTACAATCCAGAGTATGAAGGTCCAAAACCAAGGTGGATACACCGCCACGCAAGGGGCGGTCAGCTACGACTTCCAGGATGCCGCAAGCCAAGACACTGATGGCTTTTCGGAGCCGTCTCCGGGCGGATCTTTCTCTCCGATGATTATGATGGGCAACTTCGCTCTGGCTGAAGTAAGCCAGAGACACCAAAGAGTGATGGAGTCACTCCGGGTTATTAGGTGGCTTGCAGATGAATTATGACACAGCGTACATCTTTGAAAATCGAATTTTGTTGTATACTAAGACCAGATAAGCATCAGTTGATACCAGCAGTCTTTCGACTGAAATTCAGCATTTTGATTCTGACCGGTTCCCAAGTGACTCGTTAAAAAGTGCACGTTCCGCAGTGCAGTACTTTCCATCTTGCTCATTAACGTCGCACACCCACTTCTCGCACACCCCCACATTTCGCACACCCATAAATCGCTCATGTAGAATTTTACCCTCTTCAACATTCTTTAATATCTTCACCACTTTTACAGCGATTATTATAATTCTTTGAATAGTTACTCTTATACGCTTAATGGGCCAGTATACGGAAACAGAAGTCAATCAAGCTCTCAATGCAGTTGCAAGTGGGCAGAGTGTCCGAAAGGCAGCTCATGATGCTGGAATTCCACCATCAACCCTCCAGTCTCGATTAAAGGGTTCACAGGCAAGAAATGTAGCTTTCTCTAGCTTCCAGAAGCTATCTCCAGCACAGGAAAGTCACTTAGCTGAATGGGTGCGTATCCAGGCGGCGTTAGGGCTGCCGCCAACACATCAACAACTCAAGGAATTTGCCCAGCGAATCCTAGACATCAGAGGCACTACCCAGCCACTTGGGAGAAACTGGATTCAGTTCTTTATTAAGAGAAATCCATCAATCAAGGTTCATAGAGCTAGAGCCATCGATTCTAAGCGTGTCAATGGGGCCTCAACTAATGTAATCAGGCAATGGTTTCAACAACTCGCCCTTCCAGAGATCAAGGCGATCAAACCACATCATCGCTATAACATGGATGAAACTGGTATCCTAGAAGGCAGAGGATCAAATGGCTTAGTACTGGGATCATCAGAAAGCTCATCAATGCGAAAAAAACAGCCTGGGTCTCGGGCTTGGACAACTATGCTTGAGTGTGTCTCTGCAACTGGTCAGGCGCTTCCTCCACTTGTTATTTATCGAGGGAAATCGGTTCAACAACAATGGTTTCCTCTTGATATCCATAAACGTGATATTTACAGTGGTTGGAAGTTCACAGCAACTGAGAATGGCTGGACTTCAGACTCTACAGCTGTGGAATGGCTTGAGAACATCTTTATCCCTCTGACTAAGCCTGATCATCCCTCTGAGCAGAGACTATTGATCCTAGACGGTCATGGCAGTCATGAAACAACAGAATTTATGTATCTCTGTTATAAACACAAGATATATCTCCTTTTCCTACCGCCACATACATCCCACGTTCTCCAACCTCTAGACCAAGCAGTCTTTGGGCCTCTCAAGGCGACCTATCGAAAAGAGCTTGGATACCTCATTCAACACAACGATTCTACAGTTGTAGGCAAACGGAACTTTCTTACCTGCTATGGAAAAGCACGCCAGATGGCATTTTCAAGCAAGAATATCAGAAGCGGCTGGAAAGCAACAGGACTATGGCCCATTTCGATAGCTCGACCGCTCATGAGCCCTCTACTGCTTGAGAATGCTTCCAAGCCCTCAAAGCCAGGCTATTCTACGCCTATGAGGGCCTCTGATGGTGGAAAAGACGAAAACTGGGCATCTGCTACATCCATAGTAGCCTGGTCAACGCCCAAGAAGACAGTTGATCTATATGATCAACTTAGCTTATTCAGCAAGTTGGATAAAGATCAGCAAACGCAGCGACTGTTGTTTCGGAAGGTTCAAAAGGGATTTGATGAAAAGGACTATCAATTGGCTACAGCAGAGAAGAAGATTGCAATGTTGGAAGCAGAAGTTGAGGCTGGAATGGTACGGAAGCGGCGTAAGGTCCAAATGAGCCCAAATTCGAAGTTTGCCAACATTGAGGCAATTCACAAAGCCCAAATTGAGGCTGGCGAAATTGAGGATAGCTCAGATGAATCTAGCGAGCCTGAATTACCTATTAAAACTGGCGATAGTATCACAGTTGCAGGAGACGAATCAGACTTATAGTTATGAAGTTGATGAATACCTCATGATGACCCAATTTATGGGTGTGCGAAATGTGGGGGTGTGCGAGAAGTGGGTGTGCGACGTTATTCAAGAAAGATTTTCGTCAAACGTCGGCGCAAACCATCCCTTATTTGCGTCATCTCATCTCAAGATGACTCGTGGTACATGAAGCCGTCTACCGAACTTTTCCAGTTTGACAGTGCCTATGAATAGTCTTCGTACCTTGGCATTTCCGAAAACGATGGGACGTCGTCTGATCCTACATCATGGTTTCGCTACAGCTCACTGAATCATGCACAAGTGGCGGGATTACCGCCGGAAATAAAAAAATTGTGCTAAGTTTTTACGACACGACCGAAATAAAATTTCAGAATTTTTGTCTAATTGCACAGACACATTTATCAAAGCACACTCAATATCAAGTACGGAGTAGGCCAAGGAACGATTGGAAGCGCTTATTTGATGATAACCGAAATGCCATATCTACCCAAGTTAACCGAAAACTCCATGGTCTGCCGCTCTGTCCAGATGTAGATGCCGAATTTGGTTGCCAGGTCCGCAGCAGTCATATCATACTCAAATTGCGCCTTACCATACAGAGTAATAACAACGTATGATATTTAGTGTCTCAAAGTCTCCAAATAAGGTTCTTATTTGCTGAAAGTCACTGTCCACTACCACTCGTAATGTAGAGTACGTGAAAGTAGAAAAAGGCGAATTGGGGCGCACTGTATACTGGCAGCAGGGATGACAAATACTTGTACTTAGAGCCAGGTGGTAATTAGAGACTGCCTCTTGACAGTTCCTCCAATCATAAGTAGAGATTAAATGCCGTTAAGAGGTAGATTAGGGGGGTGGAACCTAAAGCCTAGTAGCGGTGATTATGGGCTAGGCTGTGCTGCCCATAGCCACAAACTGGCCGAGTACCACCCATGCAATTACACTCCATAATCACCTCAGTACGGCAAAGCAAAAAGCCTACCGCTTGTGGCTACGTATCGTTTTTCGGAATAGCAAAGTATTAAGCGCAGACAGTGAGCTACAACTGTTAACGTGCTACGGGGGTCCAGGTCTATCACAGCAGTTGATAATTGCCAAGTACATGGCCGAGTCCGATGATCGTCCATTTCTAAGCAAAACTGTCTAGAAATCAATAAAAGATGTCTAAATTACCCCTGTGGACTTTAGAATTTGTCGGTGGCTTGTTATAAAGCAAATTATATGTGAGGTATTACTGAGGGGTCTGGAGCTGTTTCAATTCTGGGTACTATTCCCCCTCTCAACGATTTTAACTGAAATTTTGTTTATTTGACCAGAGGCGCGATATGTTTGACTGACGGAAGCATGGATGCGGGACTTTTGGCGGATATTCAAGCGATGGTGTCCACACGACATTAAACCCAGACCTACCTTGGTAAGACAAGAGAAGACGGCCCATAACATACTGCAATTTTTGAGCACGACGGCTTGCAATTGTTCGCCGTAGACTCCAAACCGTTTACTGGCGGTTACGCGGTCGTCGGCGGTGTCAACATTGAAAGAGCTTGCGCCAGCAGGAAATGGAAGAGCGAGAACTAATTAGATAGTAGTAGGGTAATCCATGTGGACTCTCTTCTGTGAATAAGATGGAAACTTGGCAATAACTGTAGCCGAGGAGAAAGTGACCAAACATAGGAATGTACAAGTCTGAGCGGTCTAGACAAGTTTCATATCAGCTGTCTATCAAAGTTGCAGGTATGCATTTGTACATGCTCACGGTCTTCGAAAAGCTTTGCGTATGAACGCAAGATCAAGAGAGCAGCAATTCGGTGACCAATTGATGACAATCCATGAAGAGTTATGGCTTGAATGACATGTAATTGCTACTTTTACTAAACCTGCAGGCACGATGGGTGGGAGAAGCGTTTGTCACCAAGCCGCGCCGTCCACTTCCACTGTCAAACTCACCGTCATATGCCGACATCTGATCTGCCTAGAGACAAACAAGTTATTAGGGGATAGTTGCAATATAACAGGCTAATATTCATGATACCTCAAAATCACCCCCAGTTAACTTTGACACTGTGGATTCACTTTTCAGAAGAACTCATCCGGGAGTACACAATAGTGAAGACATCATCAATAGCAACAAAGGGCTGAGTTGTCGCCTTAACCAGACATGAAGCATTAGGCGTATCCAACTCCATTGCAGCGGTTAATGAACATGGACTCATGAAATTCTTCTCCGTCACTAATCATTCCGTCCCTGTCCTTCATCTTCACGTGCTGGGTCGAAATCCTCTACGTGCGGTCGGTGGTTCTCGAGATAGCTGTTTCTCAGCATTTCTGTCTCGGGGTCTCAACGTTGGTGAAGAACATAACTGGAAGGATTAGATTACATGATAGAAGAATCTCTCAACACTCATGAGGTTAATTAGGTGTTCTATTAACAGCCATATTGTTCTGATGTGTGATCCATGGCAGTTTCGAGCAATTTTGGTCGGTTTTTAGACGGACGTCGCGAAGTACCAGCGTAGCCTCAAAGGGCCGATCACTTAAGATTATCTACCTGTGGTTTGAAAGAGCTTGATTCTGTTATTATTGTTTTGACTGACTCTTGGCCTTGGAAGGGTACTGAATTAGGTAGGCGTTTTAAAAGTGAGCAGCAACAAGGAGTTAGAGGGATCCAATCTGCTGATATGAAAAGGGAAATATTTAGCCACAGCTACTTGGGGCGATTTACTGCAAAAAAGGGCCCAGCATGCTATTGTTACTCCAACATGGATACTGATTCGTTTCTCAGTGTCTTATGGCTGGACATTGTGTCATTGTCACGTACCATATGTTTGGGGGTACCTCCCTGAACGGGCATGCACTTTGTTCCTACCTTGATTGGATTGAAAGATGATAGTAGGACTTGCAATGACGATAGAGATGAAAATATTCCATAAAAGTATAAGCCATACGGGCACATCAGGACAATATTTAAATCTTGGACCTACTAGCCATACCGCCCATGTCTTTTTTGCAGTAGTATTACTCCTCAGTACAATTTTTAAAATAACTCAACGACGTATGACTACCTAGGCAGTTGAATTGTTCAGGCATGGCCCTCGAACCACGAACACCTCTCGAGGGAGCCCCGTAGACTTTCAACGTGTTTCTGCAACCTATCGTATATTCTGTCTGCAGTGAGATGCCTACATCTGACTCTACTATAATACTGTTAGGTCATCACTGGCCCTTTCCCTGACATATGACTCTTCTCCATCTTGTACGCGCTTTTCAAGATTGACAGCAGGCGAGGCAAATGATGATTTTTGTATAGGGCCGGTAGACGGAAGCGGAGACTAAGAGATCCAAGTTTTCCAACAGTACTATCAGTTTTTTATTCTCTTTAGTTCTCTCCCTTGTTACCTAGCTTTTGTTTGCTTATTACTTCCCAAGGTACAACTCTGTCATTCTCATGGGGTACTGGAAGCAGAGGCGCCAGCCTTCTTGACTTTGTTGGTTTCAAATTCGAATAGAACATCAAGAGGACAGTCCGATGCATGAAAAGCTGCCAGCAAGCCTCTCAAATTTAGTAGGTTATGAACATCGCCAAGTAACGAGAACAGGTGGGTCAGTGTAACGCCGTGGACTCTTCATCTGTGAGCTGAATTTCAGAAATTTGTCACAAAAGCTTAACCTAATGGAATAAATTCACGTTCAGACCAATCGAAGGCGTTGATTATGAGGGTATAGCCGATTTGCTCCGATGGAACATTGGACCCGATACCTCCTAGATGAAGGTTTTGTTGCAGTGCGCTGAGCTTGAATTCCATGGGAGATCTTGCGGTGAGAAAAGGTAATCTGCCTCTGCGCTTGATTTACCTTAAACGTTAGAGATCAAAAATCCGGCCTAAGTCGTACTTGGATATTCGCAAGGTCATCATTCTGGTTTCCGAGAGACTGAAGTTGTCGGGATGAGATTTCCAGTTGTTCATCGGCCAAAATTGGTGGAGATCAGGATCTTTTCTTAGGCTGACGACGCACAGCACCCATTGGCTTGTATCCACTGAGTAAAGATCGGCGCAGTGCACAGCGATGTGGCTCAGGCCGCGCTGTCTTGGACTTTGCCCACTTCCCGTAGGCCCCTGAAGCAACTTAACAGGACCCTGTATTTTTGAACGCCGTGGCCTGTGTACGTATTGTACAGGCAGGCAGTGCAGCAGACAACGTATACACAAACTCTTTGACAGGTACGTCATCTGAAGGTCATCCTTCTTGTCCCATTAATTGTTTCTGACGCTCAACAAGGCCATGGATCCCTCTCGTTGCTCTTTGAATTTCCTTTTCGATAGAACGGTCCATGAATTGCGATGGCAAGTAATGGCTGAGGCTGATTAGAAACTTCTTCTGACAGTCTGTTTCAGAGTTTACACCAAGCCCATTGTAAGTCAAGGTGAGATCGATTTTTCTAGCACAATCAAAGATTTAAGGAGAGTCATTGCGCGTTCTCAATCCTTTAATGTGACGGTCTGCATACAGCCCTTGCCAGTGTAATGAGTGAGTGTATGCCACCTTCCGAAGATGCTGGTTCCTTTGTCAATCTTGATGGGGTCTTTTGTCGTATTCATCTCTTAACGAAGATCACTTTTCAAATGACCAATCGGTAGTTAACTGATTAATGCTGAAAGTGTAGAGACGGGCTGGTCCGATTGGTGAACACTTGCTATCCACCAATATAGTTACCTGTCAGTACCTTATTATGAAAGAGTGCTTAAACTGGAAGAACAACAGCAAAACGTTTGTGTTCACAATGACCAAATCGCATTCACTGAAAATATGATTGGCTGCCCACTTAGAGCCAGGGGACAGGATTGCTATCAGCTTTGACCTTGGGAACTATCATCATGTTCATGTAGTGGGAACCCTTGACACAAGTTTTCACCAACTAGGGTACCTTATGATATCCACGACGTAGGCTCAGAATCACTTGATATGGTCGTACAATCACACTGGGTGTAATTGACGGTTTTCGATCTTGTGTAATCCTATCATCATCCCGGTCTGAGCCACCTTAATACTTCTAATAAAGATTTGTCCCAGAAACGCTTCCCTGTTAGACTTAATAAGCCAGCCCGTAAGATTTTCGAATTCCTTAACAGAAATTCTGGTTGGATAATAAGGAGTTCTGCCCCGCAAGGTGACGCACTGTTGTAAGCAGGCTTTGGGCTGTTAGGGCTTGAGCTAATGTTCTGGCAACACTGCCGAGGCGATTGCCCTTGGTGCTGTGCAAAATAGTCTATTTTTACAGCATCAGTTAAAAAGCAATGCGGACGCTAGTTGGGCGACTCGCGTCGATGAACGCGTCCCTGTCAACGGTTCATCGGAGGAGAGTGGGTTCCTTTCGGTATGTGGGATGCAGTTCCGTTGAAAAGGAGGCTTGACGGCGGCTCCGGCCCCACTCTCAGCGGAAGGCTTGCGTGTAGGGCCGCTTTTAGGTCCTGTGTCTGGCTAACGGAGTGATCCGGTCGTTAAGCTGTTGCTAGGATTATGTAGGAAAATTAGCCTCTGTGGAGGCCTACGTCCGGGGTTGATTTGATATGAACGACACGTCAGTGGCCAGCGGCAGCTCTAATCCCTGCTAAGGAGTTGAATCTAGGTCAGTTGAAGGGCCTTGCCTCTCATCAAGAGTAAACTGTAAAGGGGGCAATGTCGTTGACGTCCAGGGATTCTTCAACCGAGGCTCTGCGCTCCCGGACAAGGAAAGCTAACGTTAATGTTTCCGGAGAGGTGGAGCATTAGCACTAATTCAATCGTTGCCCCGAGCCCACGTAATCGAAGCCCGCTTCCACGCTTCCATGGTCAACAAGAGAGGCTTTGATGGATGGCTATGATGGTTCAGACTCCACAGCTGAACTCATGCAACGAGCTGTAGCCATGACAGTACCGCGGATCGTGGGGGATGCTCTGTCTTGAATGGCGAGCCATCAAGTATAATAACTACTGCTTGTTGTCACCAACATCTAGAGAGGAATCCTCACCAGCATCACTTTCACTCTCCAGACACCGACTTCCCACTCTCACTTGAAACAAAGCACCTTGTTCATCAAGACAAACCAACACAATCTTTGCTCAACCCTTCGTTATTCACAAGTTTAACAGTTGCCGATATGCGCTTCTCTACCATCGCCTCTGGCCTTGCCCTCCTCTCCGGCGCCGTCGCCCATCCAGGCCACGACCTCACCGAGGAGATTGCCGAGCGTCGCGCCTTTCTCGGAAACATTAAGCGCGCCAGCTTGGCTCACTGTGCTGATAAGCTCAAGGCACGTGGTGTCACTGCCCGCAATGTTGCCCGCCGCTCCGCACAGGTCGAGAAGGCCCGCCAGAAGCGCAACATCCAGAAGCGCGATGCGGCTACCGTCCTGGCTGCTTCTCACAACCAAACCGAGCTTGGATACACCCTAAACACTGATGCCGCCACCCTTTTTGCTGGCAACAACTCCTGTGTTCTTACTCCTGAAGTTACCCAGGGCCCATACTGTGAGTTAAACGCAAATGAGAACAGCTCTGTAGGTCAACCATGTATACTAACCGACATGACAGATGTTTCTGGCGAGTATGTCCGCCGCAACATTATTGAGGACCAAGAGGGTGTCGACATCGTTCTTGACTACCAGGTCATTGATGTTGATACCTGCGAGCCCGTGCCCAATGTCTACCTGGAAATGTGGCACTGCAACTCTACTGGTGTCTACTCTGGCATTGTCGCGAGCGGAAACGGTGACTCTTCTGATGAGTCCAACATTGACAAGACCTGGCTTCGCGGCATTCAGCCTACCGATGCCGATGGTGTTGCCCAGTTCGAGTCTATCTTCCCCGGCCACTACACTAGCCGTGCCACCCACATTCACTTGATGGTCCACCACAACGCTACCCTTTACTCCAACAACACCCTAGGCAACCAGATTACCGCCAGCCACGTCGGCCAGACTTTCTTCGATCAGGATCTCATCTCCGCCGTTGAGGTCTTCGCCCCATACAACACCAACACCCAGGAGCTTACCACCAACGCCGACGACAGCATTCTGAGCGAGGAGACCGCCACCGACGGTGTCGACCCTGTTATGGAGTACACCCTGCTCGGAGACAGCATTACCGACGGCCTCTTTGCTTGGTTGTCCTTCGGTATCAACAGCACCCTGTCCCAGACCATTACTCCTGCCGCATTCCACTATGCTGATGGTGGTGTCGAGAACGAGAACTCTGGTGCTGGCGGCCCCGGCGGCTCTGGTGGCCCCCCCAACGGCACTGCTCCCCCTTCCTAGGTACATATCAACTCATATGAAAAAGATTGCATAGCGCGGCTTCGGATGCATAAATCCTTTGACCGAACACTTTGTTATACTCTTTGAGCCTGGAATTTGAAACAGCATATAGATTGGCGTTGTTTGTTTGGAATTTGTACACATATATAGGACCAATACCATGTTTATTTTCGGTATACTTTGAGTATATGTACTTATCAACCTAAAGTGACTGCAATATTTCCTCTTTATGCGATCGATTGTATGATGCCTCATGCATCACAATGCCTAGATGTATACACCCTAGGCTTTTTATTGCGTCTACTTATGCCCTTTTGAACAGCAAATGACTCTCTACAGAGTCTGATACTAAGCTGTAGGAGTAGGCAGACAAGAGCAAGCAGAGCTAACCCTCGAGATAACATTAGTTGGGCATGCCTCAGCAGCGTACTGGGGCACCACGGCAACGTCCGCAATGACAGTCTTCGTAAACTCGCCACAGAACTTTTGCGATTCTTCCAAACGGCCAGGAACGCTGGACGCTCTCAGAGAGCGGAGGCAGTTGTTTGCATTGCAGGTTTTGGGCTTGCAGGCCTCCCGCTTGGTCATCTTAACCAGGTATCCACCGCGCTCAATGGTGTTGACGAAGATGAAGCCCGATTTGAAATAGGCATATGAAGACCAACTTCCAGAGAACTGAATAGCACCGCCGCCAGGAAGAGAGTCGTCCTCAGGGTAGATGTCGAAGTAGGCAATTTCACACACACTGTTGCCGGTGGGGTCCTCGGGAACAGAGGAAATGTCCCACACACGAACACCAGCTCCGTAGTTGGATTGGAAGAGTAGGTCGCCGACAACATACTGGTTGTGGTCGATTCCCTTCACGCTTCCCTTGAAGATGCCGGTCTGGATAGGCTTCTCGAGTGACTGAATGTTCCAGATGTAGGTCACAGGGTAGCCATCGGCGGCGGGGCCGGCCAGCTCATCCTCATCGTATTCGTCATCCATGAAGAGCCACTCTGCATTTAATCAGAATTTACCCTATTGAACTGAATATAGGGTTTAACGGGACCTACCTTGCCAGTTGACGTCGTTGACCCAACCTTGGTGAGTGAAGGTAGCACCCTCATAGGATGTGCGGGAGATGATCTTCGAGTTCTTCTTGTCAGAGACATCGTAGCTAATAGGATGGTCAGCAAAATAATAAGTTTACATCTTATTCAGAGATGACTGACATAGTCAGAGTATCCTCGTTGTAGCCATAGCAAATGTCGCGACCGTTATACTTGGCATCAGGACCTCGGTAGATGAGACATTGCGCCTAATTGAAATTAGCTTAGGTTCAAAAGAAGTGATAGACCTTTCTTCACTAACATCATGGACATAGCCATCTTGACCATCGCAGCCAAGATCAACAGGGTTGCTGGGATCCTCAAGACTGAAAAAGTGAAGTCCTCCCTTGCAGAACTGGTCTCTTGGCTGAACGCCGACTGCAACAGCGTACTTGGCCTCCTCATTGACGACCACGTTGTGACTGCGGCCCAATGGTAGGGACTCAATGAAATGGCCAGTGAGGTCCTTCTCGTTTGAGAAAAGAATGGGTGCATCGGAAGGATCGATGTCAAGGAGCTATTGTGCGAAGTTAGTTAAAACTTGAAGATACAAGTTATAGAGCGATCCTAACCTTCTTCATATCAAAGATTTGGATACCATGTCCCTCAAGCTCGCTGCCGATGAGCATGTAGTGACGGTATGAACGGATCTCGTGCCAGTACGCTCTGTCGCCAACTGGCGAGTATGTAGGCCTTGTTTTTGTGAGCAAAGTTGCTTAAATAGGCATGGCAAAGATATTTGATAGACGTACAGAAAGCCGAGGTTAAGCATCTTGCCCTCAGGCAGAATTTCGATGAAAGCGCATCCATCAAACATGCCACTGACTGAACAGGAACAGCATTAGCGAAGAAACGCACGTATGGGTCTGTTGAACCTACCAATGAACTCGCGGCCAGAGTCAGGATCGGTCCAACCCCAGGAAGAGCTGCCACTCTTGCCTCGGTAGTCGGTGTTCGGGGATCCAAGAGTTGCATGGTTGATGAAGTCATAGAGGTCCATCTGTATTCAAGGATTGCTATCAGCAACTCTCACTCCAGGCCGGCCGTAAAACTGGGCTACATACGTTCTTGCACTTGAATTTGTGCAGAGGGCTGTCTGGAATAGCCTCAGCATAGCCATCAACACACTTGGTGTATCCGAGTCTGGGCCATTGAGACGAGTTCATGAGACCCACGGCCTCTTCTGCTTCCCAGTGGGACTGCATTTCTAGGTAAGCTTTTGTTTGAACAGATGGATTTAGTAATTAACATACGATCTTCTTGGCCATGAGCCTGTCGTGCATGATACCAGAATCGTACAGCTCTGCAGTTTGTGAGTGACACGGGGAATTAATTGAATAAGGAAGAAATGCACAACATACCTGCACCACGAGCCTCATCCTTAGGCAGCTCCCGAGCCTGAACGGCCGCAGCCCCCAACACTACAAGGTTGGCAACAGAGTTCAAGCGCATTGTGAAGACAGTGAAGAGGATGGTATTTCGGGTTTTGAGCGGAGGCTCTACACAGAATCGTCTGTGGTCACAACTCCGAGACGTATAAGAATTGCGCTGTGCAAAAGCTGAGACCTACCAAGGAGTAAACGAACGCATTGTTCGGGCCAAACCAGCTACATATTTATTTATCTGCTGTATGTCAAGGTATCAGGTAATGTTGGTTCCGATTGTACCGAAATCCATGCATTCCCAGAGAGGCAGGAAGCAAGATTCTTGGCATACATTTGTGTGCAAACCTCCGGAGCTTTTCCCCTGAGCCCCCGGTTAACTAGGCAAAGTCTGAGATACTCCTTGCTAAAGGCCCTTTTTTCTTTTCTTCTTTTTTGGATCACAAGTTTTTTGTTACCCCGCGTCTTAGATCGCTAACATTGTGACCCAAGATGGATTTGGAAGGAGGCAAGCCATCTGCTGGGTAAGCCAAGACAGCCAAGCTTTGTTGAGATAGCAGAAGTTCCCTCCGCCAGAAACCGAATGTAACACTGCGAGGTTGGAAAAGTGGCGGTCGTTAAAACAGGAAAGCCAATACGACAATAACCTGCAGTAGACGGCCTTTTTGAGGCTCGGCATTGCGCTAACAGATTTTTCCCGGCCTTGGTTGGTGGTGATTTGTTTAGCGGGGTTAGTTCTCGCATGGGTGCCAGTTCCGAAGATATGTCATTACCTGTCAAATCGTTATCAGTATCTAAATGTGCGTACGTAATGTGCGTTGCGTTCAATCTGCAATAGCATTTTGTTCGGACTACGTAGTGACAGCCTGTCTCTGAAAAATGAACACAACCTCTTACCAGATATGTGGACATCAGGTGTGAGGTTGGAAATGATCAGACGCGCAGTTTAGAAATGTTCTTTGTTGCTGAAAGATTCTAGTTATGTGCAAGTTGTGAATCACAGTCCCGCCGCTTTTCATTTATTTTGAAGGCGCTTTTGGTCAATTAACTCTGCTGGAAATAAAAGCTAAGATCCGGTCAAATAGACGTTGTTTGTGATTTTCTAGGAGACGCCAATGGCATGAATGATATGAGGCAGGACGCACTTACAAAATCACCTGGGAAATTTTTGTGGAAAACTTGTGTACGCCATTACTTATGCGACAATAGGATAACATTTGGTAGACTTACGGTTTTTGTGGTAGGCTTAGTGAATTTGATATATCTCTCAAAACTCAAATACTAAGCAATAGATATGTGGTCTATAGGCCAAGTTTCTATGTGAACATTTCTCCCAAATTGTATCTCAACTCCTTGTGTTGCTCTCGCTATGTCTAATCACAGATCTCTAGTCCGTCAAAAAAGCTAGCAGTTCCAGCCTCCATCAACTCCAATTGAAGCACCAGAAATATAGCTAGATTCCTCACTCAATAGGAATGCAATCACAGTTGCAACTTCTCTTGGACTTCCAACACGTTTCAAAGCCGGTTGTGTGTCGACTTTCATGTGTCTCGAAGCCTGTGCCATTGGGGTATCGATTTTGCCTCTAGTTCTGATTAGTGTTTGACGCTGCAGGGGGAGGCTAAGATTTACTCACGGACAGATACTATTGACCCTCACGCCCTTCGTCCCGGCTTCTTTCGCCGCGCTCTTTGTTAAACCCATGACACCATGTTTGCTAGACACATACGACGCGTTGTTGACCCTACCAATGAGCCCTGCAATGCTGCTTGCGTTGACAATGGCCCCCATGTTTTCGACCACCCGCAGCTGTGCTTTGAGACAGTGCATAACGCCGGTCAAGTTGACACCAAGCACGTGGTTCCATTCGTTAAAGTCTTGCTCGTCAATACCCTTGAGACCGATTGATTCAGGCAGTACGCCAGCAAGATTCGCTGCACCATCAAATTTGCCAAAGTGCTCGACGGTATCCTTGACCCAGTTCTCGACTTGATCATAGTTTCTGACATCGACGGCAGATATGATGACTTCCGCGTATGGATGAAGGTTGTTTATGTCTGTTTGAACTTTTTGAAGTGCGTCTGTTTGAATGTCTGCGAGGGATAACCTGGCGCCGCGTTCGGCAAGTAAGTGAGCCGTTGCAAGACCTATGCCAGAAGCAGCTCCGGTAATGGCAATGACTTTGCCCGAAAATTGCTGGGAAAATGTCATGTTGATAAAATTGATTTGATGATCGAGGAAGAAATGAAGTCAATTCTGTGTTTAGTTGTCGATTCTTTCAAGATTTTCGTTTGTTGCTGTCATTGAGCCTACTTTATAGATAAACGCTTGGCCAGTGTGTTTTCCTATGGCGGTTCACATTACATCTTCCCATAGGTGTCTCCAGTCCCTGGAATAGAACTCCGACTCAGTATCTACAAGGAATACAAGGAAGCTTAGTGAAGTCCTGCGCAATCCGTGACTCAAGTTTAAAGACAATTACCATATATTGTTTGTGAGGTGGTTTGCTTACGTATGGTATCGGTGGAGATTTCTATTTTGGTGCTGGGAGGTGACTGGATTGCGGGCCGTGGATCTTACTTAGCCGGGCGGTCTAGTTGTGTTATTCATACAAAAGCTGAACAATACATAGACATGCGGATCCTGATGACTCATCTTTCCCTAATTTCAGAAACATTGCTCGTTGTTGCGGTTACAAGTCATGTATGTTGCTTAGTAGACTGATATCGTTAGTGTGGGGGATGTGATGCTTAGCCAGCAAATCCGCTCCACATAGTTACCTACATTTGGCTCTACTCATGCTTGCTCATTTCAAAAGAAAGATATGTTTAATGCAGAGGACGGATTCCACCGAGGTTTCTTCTTAACCTAGTCGACAAATGGGGAAAGGAATTTCAAACCTAGAACCGTCAGGAGCGTGTCAGTATCTGTCATTTCAATTTCGTAATTATCATGGTCCTTTCAATCCAGGTATTCAGTAAAGCCCTCGACGATAGACTTCAACACCAGTGCATTCTCTAAACTGCTATCGCCTATCGTTAGAACGCTGGATCAGGGCAGGTTCCACAATAATCAAATATGCTTCATGACACTGAGATTATCAAAACCACCGAAGGGCAGGGAGCCCGGCCACTTTATTTTTAATGTTGGCTTCTTCTGAAGCTAGACATGATGTAGGGTTTTGACATCATGCCTTTCTGGACACGGAATCAAATATTGAACACTTATTGAGATCATCCAACTAGGAACGCGTCCCATACAGAAAAGATTTCCGTGAACCAAGACAGCATGAGCATGAATGGTAGTAGATGTCCAATATGTTCACTTAAGAAAAACTAGCACCCTCACGTACTGCGACGAGATATATGGAAAGTCATGAAATCCAACTTTAAGCCCCATCACCTTCATCTCTACCTACGCCATAGTCGTCCCATCAGCTCTTCCCATCAACCATCCGTCGTTCAACCTTGTTAGTTAGATGTTTCTGTGCGTCCTTTGAAAACAAGCATCCGATAATTGCAATTGCTCCGAATCCTAAGCTTGCCAAGTAAACTGTCTCAAACGCTTTGGAGTATGCAGTTGGAAGAACTTTTGATACGGCTTCCTTCACAGCGGTGCTAAGACCGGGGAACGTCTTTAACTTGTTGGCTTGTATAGCCTTTGCAAGAAGTGGCACCTGGTTCGCAGGGAGACCCGCTGCGATAGCCGGTTGGGTGATGGCTGCCGGAATGGTGGTGGCAAGGCGGTTAGACAAAATTGACGTATAAACAGCCACGGCGATAGATCCGCCGGCAGAGCGGATAGATGCCAGAAGACCTGATGCGAGACCAATGTCGGCGGGTTTGCAGAATAAGGGTGCCAGGGCAAGGGAAGCAAGCTCAATGAATCCGACGAAGAAAGGACCTAGGATTGTGAAGGCGATACCTCTATCCAGCGTTTCAGGGGTTAATGATGCAAGGGCACCAACGAAGGCGACCATAGAAAAGGTCGAAAAGATGATCCAATACCGTACATTGCCTCCCCACTTGACAATGGCACCGGCGCAAACTTGTCCAAGAGCCGTTGAGCTTGCAACAGTGGAAGAGAGCCATCCGCCATAATTGATGTCCGTTGTATAGAGAGCCTGCACTTGTTGTGGCCACAGTAAAACAGCCGAATAGTAAAACATAGTCGCAACGGTTGCGCAGCATACGAGAGCCATAAAACCGCGGTTGGCAAAGAACTTGACAGGGATCGCGGGGTATTTGAGGTTGGCGAATGACTCCCAGCAAAAGAGAGCGATGAGAAGGCCAGTACCAATGACCAAGCTTGAGATAGTAGCGGCAGAGTCCCAAGGAAACATGACACCTCCCCAAGAGACACCCATCAACAGAAGAGTAAGGCCTGCTGTCCATAAAAAGATCCCGAGGTCTTTGATATTATCAGTTAGTAGTGGTACGAATACTTGGTCGCATGTGAACTTACAATCAAGCTCTTTCAGCAGCTGTCTTTTGGTCTTCCGGTCATGTAGAAGTTCGAACGTAGGGGGATGGTAAAACAGGTAAAGGAGAATGATAGCGAGACCGACAGCAATAATGTTGATATAAAAGCACCATCTCCAGCTAAGCTTTGGATTCTCGACGAATTTCCTGGCTGCCTAATGTTAGATGCCTTTGGTTGATTTGTGAAATGATAACATACCGATGATCGGGCCGAACGTGGCAATTGGGGCATTTGTCGCAAAGATCAGTGACAAAACCATGGGTCGATACTTGTTAGGTACCAGCTCGCCAACCGCGACATTAAAACTCAGTTGCACCGTCTCGCCCAGTCCGTAAATAGCGGCGCCAACGATAAGAGTGTTCACATTCTGGGCAACGGCGCAGACAATGATTCCGACAATGGCGACGACGTTACCGCCGATAAAGAACCACCTTCTGCCGAAGAGATCAGAAAGGCGACCGAGGATGGTGTAAGTGAAGGAAAGCGAAAGCGTCCTAGCGATGTTGACCCAAGAGATATAGGGACTCGGACCTGAGATGGTTAGCGTTAACGATAATGACGTCTTTTAAAAGTGTCCTCACCAATATCGGCGTTGATAAACGTCAAGACGTTGGTTGGCAAGATCAAGAAGATGTAGGCTGAAAGTGCCGAAAGGCAGAATCCCTAACATGATGTCAGTGACAGTCAAAAACCCCTCGTTCAGCTTCATGAACCCACAGCTATAGCTCCTAGGAAGCGAGGAGACCAGAAGTAACCGGGAGGTAGATCATCTCCAAGCGCTTCTGATCGAATGGAAGAGGCATCATCTCGGTCAATGTCATCTCTCTTCTCCAAGGTGTCCATCCGTTCGAACTCGCGAAAGGACTCGTCCTTGGAGATGTGCATGGTAAATATCGGCGTGTTATATGCGGGAACCAGCTCGCAGACTCGCTTTTCGAAAATTGATTATGACAATGTTAGGTTAAATGCTACGCGGAATATAGCGGGATCTGCGCGCGCCTCGAGGCCGTGCTCCAAGTCTTATACAATGCTTTCTCTTCCTACTGCCATTGACGAACGGGGCGACAATGAAAGGATGATGTGTGTCGACAATTGATTGACGGGATAGGGGTGAGATGAACCCAGAGCAGCATACCCTCGGTGCCAGCCTCGGCGTGCGTGTGCCTGTTTTCACTACACTCAATCCGGTCTCCCACTGCTGTCGGCGTCACCGCCCACCCGGAAATTGTGCGCCAGGTGTCCCCCGAAAAGCTCGAACCTCTTCGAAACTCCTTCAAAGACTCTGGATCTGGTGGTAAGGGGTTTCCCTGCGGTGCTATGCGGGGAAGACCGCCGACCGAACCGAGCGTCTTCCAGTTTCGCTCAGCGTCCAGGTAGCCACATTTGGATGCGACAAGAGCTGATTCACTAGCTCATTGCCAACTCAAAACATGATATGGGGGTCCCATTGAACTACCTTATTGGAAAGTTCTTGGGTGGTTGAAACCCGGAAGGGCGACGCGACCTTCTCAGCTTGTGACGGACCACCGCAGCTTTAAGAACCCTTCCCCTAGTCTGTCCTGGAATATACTGATGACATATCTAGTTCTCAGCTTGAAATATTGGCTTGGCCCTGGCAAGTCGTCTTCGATAGATAGTCTAACCTGGTTGGTAAGCGTCTTTTGTGGTTTCGGACGAAGATTCATCTTAGACCAAATATCACATCACCAGGATTGGTTTTGATCATGCGAACATACATAACACACAGAGCCAGTTCATCCGGCAATTTGGACGTTACTGTACATGCATGTTTCACCGCGGGATAATTCTTCCATTTCCTTGAACGGATAGTATGTGCCTCGGGCATGTCATAACCTGCTACCTTTCCACCGGGGTTCCCTTTTCTCGGAGAATGCTTTAAGGCCCTCTAGAATGTTTTCACCCTTTTGTAACTCGGCAAATTCTTTCTCGAGAGTCCATTCAACTGCTCTCTCTACAGATGCCGTCTCCCAACCCTGTCTCAGGCCTGCCCTGGTGCAGATGATTGCGTCGGGAGAGTTGGCTGCAATCATCTGCGCATACCTCATTGCTTCTTCAACAACCTGGTCTTTTGGAACCACCTTGTTTACGAGCCCCCACTGCGCCATCTCTTGCGCTGATGCATTGCGTCCCGTTAGTGCGAATTCGCTCGCTCGTTGGAGGCCAATCGTGCGTATAAGTCGTGGGAGGGCGCCTCCTATTGCTGCGATACCACGTTTGACTTCCGGAAGGCCGAAATATGCGTCTTCCGAGGCAACGACTATATCACAGTTGACGACGAATTCGCACCCACCGCCCATTGCAAGGCCGTTGACTGCTGCGATGATTGGTTTCTTCCCGAGCCTCCGCGATAGGGGGGTGAAGTCTGGCGCATTACCCATTCGTTTGCTTGGATCGGCATCAGCAGACATGCTGTTGTTCCATTCTTTAAGATCTGCTCCCGCTGAGAAAGCTCGCCCAGTTCCCGTGATTATTGCGACCGTCAAGTTGGGTTCTTGGTCGAACCACCTCCATACTGAGTCCATCTCCCATTGTGCAGCTGTTGACATGGCGTTCAGGTCTTTGGGCCTGACCATCCGGACGAGGAGTACTCGGGGAGCGGGATAAGAGAGCTGAAGGAAGCTTGGAGTCGACGGAGGTGGAGTTGACGTTGGTGAATCTGCCATTGTTGGGACTTGAAATGGAAAAGGATAGAGTAGGATGGATATTACAGCCCAACCGAGCTCGCTTGTAAGAGTGACAGTATCGCGAAGTTGGGGAACTTGCGGTAGGTAATTGATGATACTGTCAACAGTACATCAGCGAAAGCCTAAAGCATAGTTCACCTAACATCTGGAAAGACATTCAAAACTACACCTCACGGAATCCTCCCGCAGCCTGCCTACGTAACAGGCGCCTGATGCTGAGGGCGCTTTTCAACGGTCGCAAGGATGACCCAGGGCAAAGCTGGCAGGGGAGAATGACTCGTACAAATATTGCGCCCCGTCCAATTGTTCACGTTTCTGTTTGTTCTACCTCACGAAGAAGGGGGAATCGAAGGCTCGGACTCCCCTGCAGCAATGCAAACCTAAAGGATTATCCTTTGACAAATGCGCTAATGATTCACATTCTGTTGTAGGGTGCATGCGAGAGTTTAGGCTAAGAGAGAATAGTCCTGGGGGCTGTGCGGAAGTGCTCGTGCGTCTTCGATATTGATTTTATCCTGCATGTAAGTTATCCAATTCCAACGCATCGCGATGTGTTTTCTTCCTTGAAGCCTTGACCGATTTAATTCGCGTGTTCGAGGCCGTTGACCTTCTTAATACCGCCCAGCTTGTCAGTCAAGTCGAAGTTGTGATTGGCTTCTCAACGTCTGACCAAGGTTGTGGGAATAAGGCCGAAGAAGCCGTGTTGTGGCGATGGCGACTCCAAGAACGAAGAACACCGTCCCTTCGTGGATACAAAATCCATACCCTCATATCGAACATAGCCTGATATCCTTCCCTCGTAAACATATTTTGCTAGTCACGATCAATCGGCCGGAGCACATGAACTGTCTACCAGTTGAGGGAACGATCGAGCTTGGCGCGCTATGGAAGTGGTATGACGCCGAACCAGAACTTCGTTGCGCCGTATTTACAGGCGCTGGTGGAAAGGCCTTTTGTGCGGGGATGGACTTGAAGCAGAGGCTTGAAATCATTGAGACCAATGATGTAGCATATGAATACCCCCAAGGCCAATTTGCTGGCATGAGCAATCGTACTGGTAGGAAACCGATCATTGTTGCATGCAATGGTCATGCTCATGGTATGTACTGGACGGAATCTACTAACAAGAGAAGCGCAGTCGCTAACTTGAGTTGTCTTTGTCTTACAGGTGGCGGTTTCGAGGCCATACTCAACGCAGATGTTATATTTGCCTCACCAAATGCAACGTTTCGTTTACCTGAAGTCCTACGCGGCGTCTCAGCCCTAGCCGGCGCACTCCCCCGGTGTATGATGCTCTTCGGTAACCATCGGACCATGGACCTTATCCTCACTGGCCGGACAATGCCAGTAGAAGAAGCTCGGGACTGGGGGCTTATCAAAGAGATTGTCCCACAACAAGATCTTCTCACTAAGACGCTGGACTATGCTGAACAGATAGCAGGACTAAGTCCCGACAGTGTGATCATTTCAAGGTTGGCAGCGAGGGAGGCATGGGAGACTGGAGTTAGTAGAGCAACAATGCGTGGACAAGAGTTATGGGCCGAAGCGATGTTGAGAAGCAAAAATGCAAAAGAGGGACTGGAAGCGTATCGAGAAAAGAGGGATCCGAAATGGTTCCCTTCACACCTGTAAAGTAGATGATGAGCATCTGTTAACAACGGATGCTGAACTTGGAATTGGCAAGCTTCGTCTCACAGTCATGGACCGTTCTGTGCCCCAAATCATCATCCAAGTATCTGAAAGCGCCGATGGTTTAGTGGTAAAATTCTCCGTTGCCATCCAGCAGCGTCGGGGAGCCGGGGGTTCGATTCCCCCTCGGCGCATTTCTTTTGTCAAATATGATGGTTCTATTTTCTCTCACTCAGCGCGCTTCCTTTTTGATAAGTGGTGTTGTTACTGCTGTCTTATTGTCGCCCCGACCTCGCTAGCTGTGAACAGGCCAACACCTGGACATCTATTTTTTGTTTAATGAGTAGCTAGCATAGTCCTGGATGTGCACGTTGTCTTGCACGGGCGTCAACCATTTGGCCTGTTCTCTGTTGTTCGAATCATGCAGTACGGCTCTTGGACATCTTCTGACTCAGAAATGGCCGGGAAGACGTGCTCTCTTGTTGTGGCATGGTCACATTCAAACCTCGCGATTTAGACCACGTTTGGATGATGTTGAGACTGGGCGCCAACTCTGTTTGAGATGATGATCAATGATTTCACGCTAGCTATTGGCCGTTGCATCCGGGATACCTCGAAACTTCGGATTCGGCATATTATTACAGCTTTGCCCTTGAGTTCACAATCTTGGCATACCCATTCGACCTGGAAAACGTCAGCCACCAATTCAACTTTACTGTCCTTGGCTCGGTTATTTGTCAATACTTACAATGCGATTCTGCCATCTTCTTGAACAGCCGTCTCAAACACAACGTGGTCTATCCCTCCCGCGTTTTTGACAACCCACATGCGCGTTTCGAGAGTATCTCCAGGGTAAACTACGCTCTTGAACCTTGCGCCGTAGGCTTTGAGCCTGTTGGGGTCGCTGCCGCCTAACTTTTGGAGCAGACCGTGAGCGGACATGTTCCATGTGCCGAGGCCGTGAAGGATAGACCCTCTGAACCCGGCGCGCTGACCGAAGGCCTCGTCTGCGTGCATAGGGTTGTAGTCACCACAGAGGCGGTAAAGTAAAGCAGCTTCCGTGGTAGTCTTGATTGTGTGCACGGCGTCCGGACGCCGGTTCGGTGGCGCCACGGCTGGTTTCGTAGGGCCGCGAGGGCCATCGTAGCCACCCTGTCCGATGCCGAATGCGGTTGAAGTCATCTTTGTGTAAACTGTCTCTGTTTTCTTGTCGACAAGGACTTGCTCTGCTTCCATTATCATGGCTCCGCCTGCGAGTTTTCTTAGTGTTTTACTACATTTGCCGTCCTCGTTGACTTACCCTTGTCATAAACCCCAATCACTTTACTCCGAATCTCGAGATCCAACCCTTCGGAAGACACAGGGATTGGTCTAATGATCTCAATGCCGCGCTCACCATCTACCGAGCGCTGTGCGTCGAAAGGAGGGACACCTGGAACATCGCCTGTCGTAGTTCGTGCGATGAAGTCAAAAACATCCTGATCTGTTTGTTTGAAAGCAAGGTTAATAGGAAATGTAGGAAATGCGGCGAAGTTAGGATGGAGCTCGTATAAGAAATGCAGCTCGTCTCTCTTTACGCCAATGGCATTTGCCTGAGTTCATCAGTCAGTTTATCGTAGAAGCGGTATGGAGAGTGGTCTCGGGAAGATTACATACGAAAAGAAGGACGTCGCGACGATTATAGCTGCATTTTATGGGCGGATACTGGTAACCTGCTGCCTTGCGAAAGTCGACGTTATCGTAACGGCCAGATGCATTCTTCACGGGTTTAGTATTCGCAACCATGATTCTTGACGTTGTGTTTCTAGACAGGTATGAACAAGGGGCAAATTAAGGGGAAAGGATGGCAGCCTGTGAAAAAATATTAAAGTTATAGGGGCCATAGGAAGCTATGTGTATGCGTCCGTGGGCAGGACAAATGTGCTGTCGGACCACCGCTTCAGTGGTCTGTTGGCCTGTGGCCACAGTTTTCCTAGCGAGTGCAGTCGTCTTGCTCCCAGTTCAGTGGTGAATGATAGTGAAGAATAGTCGTGATCATTCTATTATGTATTGAAAGACAAAACGAATTCTTGCGCTTTCTTTCAAAATGATTCAAACCAATTGCTCAATCTCATAATCTAGCTCTCCTGGCATTCTCCTCAGCTGACCTCCGTAAGCAGTCCTCAAGATATATCAGGTCTGATGGCAAGTCAACGACTCTCGCTCGGATAAACTCGCCAACACTCTTTGCGAAACCATCCAAGATGCTGCTGCTACTGACGCCGTTCTGTAGGATTCCTTTCACTACAAAATGTACTGCCCAAAGCCCCGGAAACTCGCATCTCTCCACCACATATTGATCCTGCCAGTCATCCCCAAGGAGTTCTGTAAACTTCTGTTTAGTCAGAAAAGCCTGCAGCCACCCCCAAGCCGATCTGTGCCGGACCCAGATACCAACGTTGGCGTTCCCGCCTTTGTCTCCGCTTCGAGCGAACACAAGATCGCCGAGCGGTCTCCTTACAGTGACCGATGACGAGGCCTTGACAAGCGGCGCCCAAGGATCATAATCGTGCTGCTGGGGCGCTGGCCCACAATCCCTTTCTTGACGTGCGTGAACTTGAATCATCTTCTCGCCATGGACAAAGCAAACTTGCTGTGGAATTTGTGATTGAGAGATCAAGGCGGGGAAGTATCGAACGTACGGCCGGGGTTCCATCGTCCGCCAGTCCATACCCAGATGCAGACCGCAATAGCCTTGCAATCCGTTGTAGAAGACGGCTTTCCTGAACTGGTCAAAGGCCTGTTTGCTCTGCGATTGGGCAAACATGCGGAACTGCACTGTGCAGGCTTTTTGTGACCGTGGATCGACTATTGTTGAGCCATACTTTTCGATGCTAAAAGTCGTAAAGTCCGCCTGATTGATTTGCCTGAAGATTTGGTCCTTGAGCACTTCGAACTTGAAGTCAGTGTCCAACCCGACTGCGTATGCAGAGATCTCGGCTTGATAACCGCCCAATAGACAAACGGCTAACTTGGTTGTGTGAGGCGGCGGCAACCCTTTAACTCCCGACAGTTGAACGCGTCCATTGGCGATTTGAGTAAAAGTTGCGTCTTCAATGTTGGCGATGACATCCGGATTAAAATAAAAAGGCCCTTGAATCTCGTACACAAATTGTGACTTGCATGTATCAACGGAGACCAACCCGTAGGAACCTTCCGGCTTGGTGATGATCACGGCGCCGTCTCCCGCAATCTCCGCGATCGGGAACCCGACATTGTGAGGATTCGGCACCTCACGTTGACCGCAAAAGTTCCCGCCTGTCACGTACGGCCCACATTCGATAAGATGCCCGGCCATCAAGCTCCTTGCCAGCAGATCGTACTCTGTTCTCTTCCACCCGTGCCAGTATGCCGCAAGGCCCATGACAGGGCTAGCATCTGTACATCGGCCGCATACGACAATGTCAGCCCCAGCTTCGAGAGCCTTCGCAATGCCCGTGTATCCCGTATAGGCATTAGCAGCAAGAATTATGTCTTCGCCGGTGGCATTGACTGCTTGAGGATCCAATGCTACGCCAGGCTGGTCAAAATGCATGACTCGTCCGAACGCGCCATGTTTGACTGCCTCCGTCAAGTTGTCACCGCTCACCCATGCTACTTTAATATCGTGAATGCCAAGGCTTCTGAGGTAGTCATCCGTCTTCTTCGCAAGTCCCGCAGGATTGAGTGCTCCTCCGTTGTGAACAAGCTTGATGCGCTTCGCGGCGACAAGGCGCGCTGCGTCGCCTTTGTGCCAGGCAAGCTGCTCGAGGAAGCTCGTCTCAAACCCCAAGTCCGGCTTGGTTTGAAGCTCAATAGCCTTCCATGCAATGTTGAACTCGGCGAGATAATCGCCCGTAATTGCGTCGACGTTGCCGTACTTTGCGAGGCGGTAAATCTGGTCGATGCCATCATTGATGGCGCCTGAACAGTTGCCGATGCGAATGGGGCGCCGGGTAGCCATTATGTGTATGTAACAAGTTTGATTACCTGCTCTGATCGGCGAAGCAAACCGTGTAGATTCGATTCAAACGCCAACGCGTCAATAGTGTTTACGAAAACGAGGCCATCGTCAGACATTCTGCTTAAAGCCGACCGAATATGCCGAAGCTGCTGCCCGCTCAAGCTTCACGCTCTGACGTTTAAACTTTCAGCTTGGGAAAATAACATGGATGACCGCCGAAGCTTTCTGTTCAGACTTTGCCACGGAATGCCCCCGATGCAACCAAAACCAATAATTCAGTTGTTCCATGCATAGAATCCTCACGCCTTATACGGTGTGCAACCCCCCCTCTCTTTGGTTTGCCTTGCCGATGTGGCACCCTATCGGTGACCTCGGTGTTTTATCTGCCGTCATTTCTTTCGCCGAGTCGTTCCCTGTCGTTCGATTATTTCTTTCTCAAAAAAGAATGCGACGTTACGGTATCCCGTACTCGGGCTGCAGAGAACAACAATAGACGGCCATTGTTCAGTCACTTTCAGACGGATATCTGGATGAGATTGGTCGTAGAACCCTCGGCCAACTACGATTGAGACCAACATATTAGACAGGACAGGTTGCCGGCTGTTCCATTCGGAATCTTGCATACTCCTCAATGTCGATTTCACTCATCCGACGAACGATTGTTTGAAACCGAACTCAAATCAAATGCACCTACCACCAAGATGAGAATATATTACTCACAATCGATCGACATACCCCTTGACAAAAATCTCACCGAGCTACTTCATACTACAGCAAAGCCTTTTCCGGAGTCACATATTATTGCAGCAGATAATCTCACGAACCGAACTATAACGCTTGCTGAACTACGTGACCGCGCCGGGAGGATTGCAAAGGGGCTAAAGGACACTTTGTGTCCGCTGGATCAGTCGCGATGGGCCATAGTGCTCCCCAACAGTGTCGAATTTCTCGAGGTATTCCACGCCATCTTGTGGGTTGGAGGAGTAGTGTGTCCGGTTAATCACGCGCTCAAAGTGTCTGAAATTGGGCATGGCTTAGCAGTGTCAAGACCGCATTTCATTGTGGCGTATGGACCTATGTTGGCTGTGATCGAAGAGGCAGTAAATGCTGCCACAGCTGAGCTTTCATCACAGGGTGAATTATGGAGCCGGCCTACGATACTGTCGGTTGTGAAGCCAGCTCCAGGAGTTAAACATATTCCTGATGCTTTTCTAGCTTCAAGTCGGCTTCCCGTACCACATTGGCCAAATACGTCGAAACGTTTAGCATCAATACACCTATCATCCGGCACGACAGGAAAGCCTAAAGGGGTAATGCTTACACACTATAACTTCCTCGCAAACGTCCTACAACTTATAGCCCTAGACCGCGACGGTCAAATGTTCAACACGTCATCTCGAACGGTTGCCTTTACTCCATGGGCGCACATAGCGATGACGACAATGCCATTGTTCCTTGGCCCTTATACCGGCATGTTTCACCACGCCATGCCGCAATACAGCCTAGAGAAGTTCGCACAGCTCGTTGGCTATAATCAAGCTACATCATTCCAAGGAGTGCCAAGCGTCGTTCTTGCACTCGCCAATTCCGACGTGGCAGAGCGTTATGACTTCTCACAAGCAAAAATTATCAACATTGGCGGTGCGCCTTTGAAGCCTGATCACCTTAAGCGACTGCTACGCCGAGCTCCATGGAGGCTAGTCCAGGCATATGGTATGACGGAAGCGGCTGGTTATGTTGCCTACCAAGCGTTTGATGAGGATATACCCGATGGCTCGACCGGCCGGTTATTACCTGGGATTGTTGCTGCACTCAAGAAGGAGGGTACGGCCGAAGACACACCTCCAGGTGGCCCTGGTGAACTTTGGTTAAAAGGCCCAAACATTTCGCAAGGTTATGCGTTCGATGAAAAGGCCAATAACGAAGCGTTTCCCATGGCAGGATGGTACAATACTGGGGATGTTTGCCGTATTGACGAGGATGGCTGGCTATCGATTGTTGGCCGCACCAAAGATCTGATCAAGTACAAAGGCTTTCAGGTCAGTCCATTCGAATTAGAGCAGCTTATTAACTCTCATCCTTTTGTCAAAGAGTCCGGAGTAGGAGCTTTGTGGGATGAGACTGAGCTTACAGAAGTGCCAGCCGCATGGGTGGTACTGAAAGACGGCGAAATGATGAGGAGTGAGGAAACGCGCAAAAGACTTGAGAATATTCAGAAAGCTGTGAACGGGCAAGTCAGCGGGTACAAGAAGCTCAGAGGCGGCGTTTGGGCTGTTGAGAAGCTTCCTAGAAATCCAACGGGAAAGATAATCAAGAAGGAACTGGTTCAAATGACGGATGGGGTGTGCTCATTGAATTCCAGCAACAGATTTGTTGCTAGACTTTGAGGTCTATGTACTATAAAAGATCGGGCAAACTGGCTAGGTGTCTCCCATTTCTCACAAGTCGTAGTCGAGGATCCGGGCCTCGTAGGTCTCTCAACTGTCCGAAACACGCTGTATTCAATATCTAAGGACCAAATTCCAAGATGATTGCCACCGATGTTTGTTTCATTTATGTGTTCAGTTTTTGAATAAAATTAAAACCGTTGAGCTTTGTGTTTGAAACCATGTTCCTTGTGCTCGAGAATGCAAATTGTGTGCAGTAAACACTCAAAACATAAATCAGCGACAACAAGATCTCTTTGATGCCTTTGTCCGATGTTATAATATAGGCTGAATGTCATAGTAATTGATTTGGTGACAACAACAGCTGCCAAGCTCTAACACGACAGTACTGCATATCAATTGCTAGCGCGGCTGCGGGATCTCATGGTCATGGCGCAGCCAAGTCTATACACAATTTTCCAACAACTTTGCCGACCATCTAGACCCCTTACAGCTCTTTATTCTGTAGCACATGAGTAATGATTTTGTTAAGCATAAAGTTACCCGGCCGGTTGGAGAACGTGGTAAAGCCAAGCTAAACAGTCTCCATCTCGCGAAATGCTGCTAGTGTGGTTCTGGGCCTTCTGATCCATTGGCGGCCGCTCCTGGTGGATCGAGGACCCTTATTTCCGATTCTATGTAAATCAAGGTGGGCTGAGCATCGAGTTGGACGCCATATGGTACCTCACAGTAAACGCCAGGCAGCGACTTGTTAAAGGTGATCGGAGCATACGATTCCGCCTCTTGCAAACCGCTGCCTGGAGACTCCTCACTTTGAAAGCTTGATATTGATGTGCCTGCTGAGGTTTCTGGGCCCGAGTATGAAGACAACGACGAGTACTGACTTCAAATCAGCGTCAAGCATTTCTCTCTTGGCAACCCAGTTTAGATCCTCTTTTTTGATGGAGTAAATCCACAGCCGAGGCCAGAAGGTGGCACAGCGTCTTATATCCTGGTCAATGGAACGCTGAACGGGAAGCCATTCGTGGGCTCCGGATCTAGTGTGCATGAAACCCTGTAAGCGCTTAGCCAAGCTGAGCAATGAGGTGCAGAGAGCTGTCATCAACCCCCCCAATTTCAAGCATGGGTTCGGATCCGTCAGCCCCTTAAGGCTCTTGGCTCTCAAGGCACTTGTTGCTGCGAATCTTAAATTCCATGGTCCTGAGTGGGATCCGCATTTTGGTTTTTACCGGTGCCTTTAGCAGTCCCCATAATCCTCTTTGCTGCCTTTAGTTTCTCCCTCTTGGGGGAAAGCCTTGTTTGTTAAAACTTCCCTGCTACCTCATGCTATCCCCATGGGTAGTCGATTTGATTTTGACACCCGTTGACCAGAAATGAATGTCGCCATCACAACATGACGACTCCTAATCCCCACGTATCGCCTCCTGAGCACTATGGCGGTCTCGAGGTTGATACACGCCAGACCGCCGGAGGAGGTTGGAACTCGGACGACTTCACCAAGTTCCGCGTTACCAACCAGAACCCCAGCAACTTGCCGCAGGTCTACAGTCCCGAACTTCCCGAAGTAGCACCATATCAGGGACGAGATGCCTCGATGCCGCAAGCTGTCGACCCAGCCTATTCAGGTGCAGGTGCGGGTACAGGTGCGAGTGCAGCTGCGGCGCCCGCGGCGGCGGTATACGACTCCGGTTACTACGCACCGAAAGCCCCCCACGAAGAAGCCGTTATAGAAGAGATTAAGGAACCTAAGGTCAGGACAATATGTGGAATGCGGAGGAAGGTGTTCTGGATCGTCCTGGTCGTGGCCCTGATTGTTGTCATCGGTGCCGGTGTCGGAGGAGGCGTTGGTGGGGCTCTGGCCGCTCAGAACAGTGCTCAAGATGGTTCATTAGGCGGCTCGTCCACAGGTGGTAGCGGAAGTAATGGTGATAGTGGGAGTGGGAGTGGTAGTGGAAGCGGAAATGGAGGGGGCAGCAGTGGCGGCAGTGGCGGCAGCGGCAACTCGAGCGACTCGACAAGTCAGGGAGCTATTTTGCCTGCCTCGAACATCGGCTCCCTCAATTTTACCGACCTTTACGGCTTTGAGAACCATATGGTATTCTATCAACTTCGCACGAAGCAAGTTTGGCAATCATTCTGGAACTCGTCAACCAAAGTATGGACCTCGGCTGATGCCAAGGTTGGGGACACTGTGAAGGAGGGCACACCCATCTCTAACAGTTTGTTCTGGCATAGCAATTCTGTGAGTTCTGCTAGATTTGCTAAAGTGTTCCTTTCGGATGTACTGACCTGTATGCCCACAGTCTCGCGACATCCGAATTTACTACTTGAACGAAAAAAACCAAGTCATGGGCCAGATTAACGCCAATCCTGTCTACGGTCTCACGTGGGATAAATCCGGGGTCTCGGAACAATTCACCGCAGCAGCTTCATCACAATTACTTTCTAATGGACAATATTCTGCCGACTCCTACCTTTCTAACTTGGTACTTTACCAGGATTCCGGCAGCACTCTACGAGTGTTGCGAAGGACAGGGGGGAACACAGACTGGGTTGCCACCGGCATCTCTACCAGCTTCGGCAAGCCTGCTGACGGCACCGGCCTGTCCTTTATTCCAGTATACACGACCGAGCGTACCAAGAAGATGAATCTTTTCTATGTTTCCGACTCAGGCTCTTTGGTTGGCTTAACTCTTACAAACAATAATGATTGGAGTGGCGAAACACTACCGACGACGGTAGAAACCAATTCCTCCATTACCGCATTCTCATCCGGATACAACAATACCGATCTCACAATACATGTTTTGGCGACGCAGACAGGAAAGGCGCCCGTCTTGACAACTTACTCTGATGGCAAGTGGAAGAATGAGGGTGAGATTGAGACCATGTCGGGAGATGACAGACCTATCAAGATCTCGGCCAATTTGGGTGGCAGGGTATACGGGATAGTAGAGAGGAGTAGCAATAAGGTTGAGATAGTGGAGTGGGAGTGGACAGGTGGCACATCATATAATAAGATCGGTGTGGTAGATGTCGTAACATAAGGTAGATACGCGAGGGTTAAATGAGACGCGCATACGAAACTTTAATATTCATTCTCTTTATTTCAACATTTTTGTCAAGATATGATGATTGTCAACACAGACATAATGATTCACCACAACTAGAGTTGGTCACATTAACAAATTTTGGTCATGGCTGGACCGAACTTAGACTTCGTTAAAACAAAGATTCATGGTTGAAGTGTCAATTTTATATCGTCATGCTGGGAAACCCCCAAACACTGTGAATTGGTATATATACGGCTCCTGCTTCATCTAATCCTGTACATCACTCTGAGCTTAGTTGATGGTATCTGCTTGTGTGGGGACGGGGCGGCGCGGCGCGCGCCTAGTGGGCAGCAAGCTGCCAGGAATGTGGACGAGTCACAGCAAAGGATTACAACGACGACCTTAGTCAAAATGATTCAGCACTCGCCCAAACATGCAATAAACTCTATGGGAAGTCTCTGGGGCAAATATGAGTCTAATTCATAAAGTATCAATAATTTAAACCTCAAAGAGTAAGTGAACAACTAAAATCGTATTTGCTTGTGCTGCTGGCTGATTTCGTAGCTACCTCCTTTAAACACAAATGGTTATTTACATGGAAGAAGCATAGGTTCAGCAAAATCAAAAAGAACCATTAGGGATTTGAATGTTGATAACACAAGGCAGAGTAAGTAGCATTACTAGGTTAGTGATGTCATACAGTGTCTCTCACACCAAATTCTGGCCACAACGTTTAACTTCAACGGTGCCAAAACAGTTGTTGTTCACTTTGCCAGGCTTGTTGGGAAACAAAAGTCTAAAGCCTATTTTGGCATAACTTTTGATCAAACACACCACACAACTTTAAACATCATCGGAATGAGATCAGCCAGTAAGCAGGATCATAAACTGGAAACTTGCTATTTTTACTGTGGTTCTGGCCATGGTCATCGTTTATCGCATCACTTTGGCAACTTTAGTACTAATAACCAGTGTCGTTAGATTGGCCAACACTCCGAAGCAGGCCAATACTGTTATTGTACCTCGCCACACCTTTCGACAAACAAATTCGCAGCATGAAATACATGTCACTGAAGCCGGGATTGCTTTTCGCGTGCAAAAGATTCTCGGTTCATAGAGTTTCCCAGGTTTTAGTCAGTAGAACGAGCTCAAAGCAAGCCTGCTCCAAGATGAGGTACGGAGCTTGAGCAATACTCATCTTAACTTATAGTCTTTAATTCGTTGATGCAATGGAGCAGAAATGGCGTTGTTAATCAACACCCTTCACTGTAAACTGCAGTATCCGATCATCAGCCTTCGAAGGTCTCACCACAGGAGTTATGGATAAAATGATCTCGGCTATCGTCAAAATTCCTGTAGATAGACGTGCTTTCCGGAATATTTCCATTAAGGGCTTATAAGCGGCCGCACATTGATGTCCGACAACCTTTTCCAATGACGTTCTCAAACACATCTCATAATTCTCCATGGCGGTATGACGCCTACATGCCTTTAAGGTAATGCAACATATGCCCCAATGGGCCTAGTCCGGCCTCAACTTTAGACCAAGTTTACGACAGCGAGCAACAAAAGGAAGCTAATTGGGAGCAAACATATTTTATTACACGATCCGAACTCTGAAACTGAATGCTCCAAACACCGGGAGCTATTGGATTGCACTTGGAGCTCTCCGGCAACAGTCTGATTGGCCGAGCGCCGAAAGTCAGATGGAAATTGCCATGTTTTCAGGAAAGCAGAAATTCGCAACAAAACGCATCTGATTATTTTCTCTTGGGAGTCCGAATTTTCGGAAAAGAATTATGAGCCTTCTAAACCCTACCAGGCTTACAGTTTCACATCCTTACTAAGACTGCACATTGCGACCTTTGAAAGGACAGGCTTTAAACTTAGTTGGATAGAACGAAATCTCCTGAGAGAGTGTCAATGTTTCATTTAACGGCGTTGACGGGGGTGAGCACGGACTAGCCCCAGGGGGATCCGGCAATCAGAGTCTAACTGGTTTTCCCATGTCCGACATGTCTGGTGCCACGCTCCCGTTAGCTGGTAAGGTGTCTGTGCTCGGCTCAAAACTGTGGGAATCTTCCTTAAACAGGAGCTCACGGACGAGCGTGACAGATTATGCGCGAAGGTTGTCTCCTGGGAGCTTGGCAGTATCCCCTTTGGCTGAGCACAATTGAGACATGCAGTGATTAAAAGCCCTTAGGCGTAACTTAAAGTGTGAATCCCATTTCATCCGTTCGATCACCGTCGTAGGTTGCATTCCGTTGTGCCTGGGTCAAGTACTCTCTTCCATTACCAAATCCTTTGTGCTTGGTTCAGGCCGAGGATTTCGCAACAATGGCGAGCGTCCAAAATCGCGACCTGGAGATCGAGAACCGCCCGAAGCGAAACTCCAGGATGATTGAGGAGTTCGAAAAGTCCGATGAAGGGGGAATGGTTGCGGGGGTATTCGAGCAGCCTGTATTCTTGATGAGCGATTCGTTAAAGACGGAACACGATGCGTCATCTGTCGGCAAGAATGTCTTCAACCGGAAGCTCCTATACAAGCTCGACAAGCACCTGATGATTGCCATGTTTTTTCTCAACTTTCTATCACTTATGGGCCGGACGAACATTGGAGCTGCTCTCATTCGCATGCTGCCCCAAGACCTGAAGCTGGATGCAATGAAGGTTTTTATTGTTTTGACTATGCCGGCGGCTCCTTTGATTCTTTTCGAGGTACCCAGTAACCTGCTCATGAGATGGTTGGATCGAAAAATCAACTTCTCTTTCATGTGGTATTTGTGTCTACTAGATGTTCTTCTTGGTTCGTTACTATGGCCCTTTTGTCCCGAATTCCGCTAACTTGACTTGTAGGTTTGATCACAATCGCTCAGGGATTTGTCCAGACATACGAACAGATTATAGTCACCCGTTTCTTCGTGGGTGTCTTTGATGCGGGCCTGATTCCTGGCTGTGTTTTCATCTGCTCTCTCTATTATCCACCAACACATCTGCAATGGAGACTTGGTTTGATTACCGTGGCAAATATCTGTTCGAGTATCGCCGGCAACTTTCTAGCATATGCGATCGCGAATATCAAGACGACAAACAATTTCAATGGATGGAGATGGTGGGTAGTTTACTTCCCATATATAACCACTTCCTGCTAACACCCCCACGTAGGATCTTTATCATCGAGGGCAGTTTTACTGCTGCGGCCGCTCTGCTCTGCGCCTTCGCCAACGTTGGCCCACCATCAAAAGCCAAGTTTCTCTCAGAGGAAGAGAAACGTATAATCGAAAACTCGGTCGAGACTCGCACATCACAGATTGGTATTTGGGCTGAATGGAAGATATTCTTCCTGAACCCACTGAACTACTGTTGGGCCGCCCTATACTGCTTCACAACCACCACAGCATATTCAGTATCCATTTTCTCTCCTTCTTTCGTCAGATCTTTTCATCCGGAACTCAGCGCTGCGGATGTTCAAGCTCAAATAGTCCCCATATTCGTGGTGGCTGCCGTTGCATGTCTTGCTACAGCCTTTGCCGCCGATCGCCTAAATCACCGTGCAGGATTCGGTCTGTTTGGCTTCATCGTCACGATTATTGGCTATGCTGTGCTAAGAAAGGCTCAGCGAGAGAGCTCGAACGTGACCATGATGGCCCTTTACTTTATAGCAACCGGTACATTTATCACATTACCCATGATCTGGATCCTGACGATGCAAAACCTACAAACACCGTTCCAGCGAGCCATTGGTAGCGGATTTGTTGTTGGATTGGGTAACACTTCCAGCTACATATCAGCATGGATCTTCAAAACTAGCGATGCCCCGTATTATCAGAGAGGCATGACGGCAAGCATGATTCTTGTCATTATCGCATTCTTCATCCTGTCTGCCACCTGGATGTACATTATTATTCACAACAAAAGATTGGATAGAAGACAAATTGCGGTTATGTCGGTTGCGGCTGGAGGAAAAGCGCCCGCTGACCGGGGCTTCAGATACAAAGTTTGAACAAGTCCTTGGGAGAGGAGTCTAATATGTACACATGGTTATTGAAATACGGTAATTTAAATATATCCCGACTAATTCAAGTATGATTGATCTCTTCGAGTAGCATCCGCTATTGTCTACAGGATAAGCCCGCATGATTACTGCTTCACTTTGAATAGCAGCAGCTGTTATTTAGTTCCTGGCTAGTAAATATTGACTTGTGTACCAACCAGAAATCACCCGCAGAAGACCTGTCAATTATATGTGCATAATATCATGTGGTGAAGAAACCTCGTGGGATTTACTTGACCGAAAATGTAACAAGTCTCAATGACTAGATCGGGTAGTTTGTAGGTATGATAACTTTTAATGACGATAACTGTATTGTTTTTCAAAGCGACCGTGGTAAGGCAAGAGGCACTAATGATCAACACGGCTTTAAAAGTATTGTACTCCATCCACAAGAGGCTGGTAGAGCCAGCACTCTCATAGTACGCTAGACTTTGACCATCTCTACTACAACATGAAGAACACAACAGCATCGCTATTCTGAGTGTCAATTATGCTTAACTCGCCATCTATGGCAATTGATTTGAAGTACCCACAGAAATCACAAGACATTCTGTCAAAGTCACGTGGTACTCAAGCCCCGTCCTGATGATCAGCTAGTACATAATAAGGAGCCATGTGTATTCAAGCTTTCGCTTGGAAGTCGCCAAAAGCTAGTTCGCTATGCACTTGATCGGCTACGCCAATTAAAGACACACAACGGTGAACCAGAGGCAACAATGCTGGAGAGGGCTGATCGTTCATCATACAATCAATAAACCCGCGGTGAACCTAAGAGTGTGCCCAGGGCTAATTAGGACATTTTAGAAAAATCCAATGCTGCACAGTACTTATCGACTACGGGCAAGTCATCTTAGGGCTGATCAAACTTGAGTATGATGGTACGCGACTACAGCCAATACGTATTTACAAGAACCAATAGACGATTTCCTTGGGCATGGCCCACTATTAGCAACAAGACTCTCTATAGCCTTTATCTGTAGTTATTCCTTGTTTAAGTTAACAACTTTGCTGATAACTTCAATGCTCACCCTGGTCACCGAGCGAGGCGTTTACGTAAACCATCTGAAACACACACCGAAGACAGATGTGCTTTTCTACGCAAATCCTCTCTTTCCAAATTAAGTCGCCCTTTTGCAAACTCTATAGCCTGGTTACTATGTGACTGGTTTGTCACAATAAATGAAAACTGATTTTATAGTAAATTGTTTCAACTTTTCACTTTTTGACAAGGAGTGACCAGGAAGTTTGCTGGCCAGGATATCTCATTGATCGATCTGAAGATCCCAATGCTGGGCATTTAAAGAGACCCACAACAAATGCCCCTCCAAATACTAAAAAGCATATTTGAAAAACTGCGTTTTTGACAAGATGGAATTCTGGAAAGCGGAGTCGTGATTTGCAAGTCGACTAAGGTCCTTGGGATCTATTGTCTAGCTGGTTGGCATATGCAAGCAGCCAAAAGATGGGGTGCAGTTACTCGCAGCAGGAACAAGGATGACCGATCTGTACCGTTTAGTATGACAGCTTGGCAAGAAACGTTATGATGTAGTTGACGTGAACCGCAAGCATCACTGTTCCATCATCTGCGACCCTATTTTCGTATTCTGCTCACTCCTATGGTCCATTTTGATATAGATGTAAACCAGATTATATAATTTGCAGACGGTGAAGCATAGCAGCACTGCTACAATCAAACTTGGGCATTCAGGTACATTCGTTCAAAGGAGCAAGCTCTAATACAAGCAGTGCTATGAAAAATGTAGAGTCGGAGAGCAAATTTTGTTTGACTGTGTGTTCTGTCCGTCATTTTCAAATCAAGAGGGCCCTTTGTTCTGCTACTTGCTGACCGCCAAGGCTCACTTTTCTGTCTACTTGCCATCCCACGTCAACGTCTGACGACTTTACGGTGACCCCGACCCAGAAACATTGCTGCCAACCTCTACTGAGATACCATTAAGTGGGGGGGATCGTGTCATTGTGTGCCGGTGATTCGATGTCACAATACCTCATGGCTCCGTTCTCGGGCTTGGCCGGACGGATACCGGGTCCAAAGCACCATGCCGCCAAGTCTGCCGAGATCTTGGCTGACTGGCGTGGATTCCCATGTTCTCCGCCCCCGACGCCTACTTCCATCCGCAGTATTGTGAAAAGCCAGCCATTGGAAGGATTTGCCCTAAAGTCTTGTCCTAGGTAATTGTAAGACTTTGGAGCCCCCACCTTTTCCAGCTGTTGGAAGATGCCGGCGCTTACGGGACCCAGGAGGCGGGAAATAACCAAGATTGCGTGCTCAGGGCCATCAACTCTTTGTGTGGGCAAGCGGATTGGAGGTACTCGCGTCCTGCGGCGAAAAGAAAAACAAGAAAAAACTCTTCTTGCAAGCATTAGATGCCATAGATAAATGTAGGGGTGAATAAAAAGATAGGGAGACCAACGGTTAATAGTATCCTTGGTACGTACCACTTCTGAGAAGGACGCATCTTTCTCTGAACCCATTCACCCTCTCTTCCCCCTTCTCCACCTGAACATTTGGATTCACCATAGGGATATCTCACCCTCAGGGTTCCATCATTCAAGGCCATTCGCACCTCATTTGCAAGCCTCGCATTCTCCTTGGACAAGCTACTGCACTGCAGAACAACCCGTCATATCAGAGACGTCAGACGACTCCTGGGATTTATAGCCCCTCAAAGAACGGAGCCCCACCTGATTTAGACTGTCCGTGTATCCTCCAAGTGGTCATGGATATGCTCAAAAAGGTTGGGCGTTGGTTCGCTCCGCCCCCAAACAAGGCCGAGGATGGTCGTGATGCATGGCCCTCACGGGCGGCCTTTCTTCTCGCGTCTATGGGAGGTTGCGCCGGAATGGGCAATCTGCTTCGCTACCCGTCCCAGGTTTACAACAATCATGGATTGCAGTGGTACATTCCGTACCTAATGGCTGTGTTCCTTCTGGCGATTCCTGTGCTGGTGCTTGAGATTGCTATTGGGCAAGCCTACCGAGGAGGCAGTGTGGTCGCATACAACAATATCAATCAACGACTTAAAGGCACCGGTCTCAGTCTTCTATATGTCGGATTTGTGGTGGGGCCATACTTTGTCGTCAACTTGGCATGGATCATGAACTATTTCCGACAATCCTTCACAAGTCCCCTGCCCTGGACCAACAGAGGAGACGAGTTCTTTAACCAAGATGTGGTCGCCAACATTGATCCGATCGAGGGAAATCTCACTGCCGATGGCAGTGCCGTACTCAACTACACCCAGTATCCGGGCACAGCCCTGATCGGTGAGACGGTTGGGTGGACCATCTTCACTTGGTTCCTCTGCTGGCTTTGCATCTTTCGCGGTGTTGGCCTTACTGGTCGAGTCGTTTACTTTACTATGGGCCTACCCATTGTAGTCACCATTGTTCTCATTGGCCGATCTGTCTCACTGGAAAATGCAGGTGAAGGAGTGAAGCTATATTTCGCAACATGGCGAGGCTCTCAACTTGCGCGGGGACAGGTTTGGCAGACGGCTTGTGGACAAGTTTTCTTCTCAACCGGCGTTGGTAAGATATTTTCCCCTCTCTTCAAACTCCTTGTTTATTTTTATACCCGTCGACCCTTGAAATGAAGAAAGAAAGTAGGAAAGAAAGGAAAAAAGCAAATCTCGAAACCCCCACCCCGGAACATGAATACCCTCACTCCAGTTTTCATTTCTCGAGTACTTGACGTTTCTTTACTAACGTGACAAAAGGATTTGGTTACTTTACATCCTATGCATCGTACAACAGACAATACTCCAATGCAGTTATGGATTCTATCCTGATTGTCTGCAGCAATGTGTTGTTCGAGAACATCGCCGCGTTCGCTGTTTTTGGAGTTGTTGGGTATCTCGGAATGTATCCCGACCCCGCAAATCCGATCGGAGGATTCACAATCGGATTTCTTACCCTTCCTCTTGCTGTTACCGAAATGCCTGGTGCGAACTTCTGGGCCGTCGCCTTGTTTTTCACTCTGATGGTACTAGGTTTCAGTTCGGCATTTGCCATGCTCGACGCTGTCGTGACTTTGGTCATGGACACCGGTATCAAATATTCACGGCCTATCGTCGTCACAGCCCTCACCATTCTCTCCTTCCTCTTTTCTCTCCCTTACTGCACCCAATTTGGTTACGCTTTATTATCTGGAGTCGATAAATGGACGAATGACGTTGCTCTGGTATTCGTAGTGTTTGCCGAATGCGTCACATCTACGACCGTGTATCGTTGCAAAGATGTTATTGGGCAGGTTGGAAGACCTGCTTTCATCATTTACAATACTGGATACATTTTAGGGATGGTCCTTGGAGTCGCAATTGCGCACGCTGTTCACCCCGGTGCTGGAGCTGGCGTTGGCTTTGGCCTTTTCTTCGCGGGGTGCATCGCTTCAGTCTTCATCGGAAAAACCCCTGATTCTGTTGCCCCAAGATTTTGGGGTAAGAATGCGTACATGAGCCGGTTGTGGTACCTTGCATTCTACTCTGTAAGTTCTCTTTCTTACTCTGGATTTTCCCTGCTTGGTCAGTGGCGATATCGTTCACCTGGCATGAGTTCCGGTTGGGTTGGTGAGAGGTATGCGGGGATCCACTCTGATGCCGAGAATCCGGAGACGGAGACCCGGTTTCTTCGGCTGCCTAATTCAGGCACAAAAGCTGGACAACAAGCAATGTCTTGTAGCAGAGTGTTCGATGAGAACTTCTCACGTTGTTCACGGGTCTTTCATTTGTAACTCTGGACTGTGTCGAGAGATATATGATGGTTAGGGTTTGATGATAATAAACTAACATTGTTCGTCTACAGGGAAACCAACTCCGCCGAGACCTGAACGTTATCGTCGGCCAGGGCAAAAACTGGAGTATTCCGATATTTTGGCCGGTACTATTGCGATACATCTCAGGCCCAATTCTCGCCATTGTCTATGGATTCTCGTACCCTGCGTTCTACAAGCTCCGTTACGATCCTCTCCACATCCTCGGCTTTGGTGTCGGCCACATCGCCTTGCTACTCATCTTTGGCAGTTTCATCGTTCCAAGGTGGTACGACGTCTTGATCCCTCCAAAGCGACGGAACGAGGGCAAGTTAGCATACGCTCCTAATGTAACAATTGGGGCAGATGAAGCGCAAGCTGTTGCGGCTGGGAACTTGGAACAAGGCCAGCCTGAAGAGACAGTGGAGCGGAAAGAATCGCCCACTACTCCTCCGAAAGATCTTGTCACTACGGATGACAAGAGAGCCACCGCTTGATGCAGATTCCTCTTGTCTCTCTTAACTATTTTATGTTTTACTCGCCGATTCCATGGATCATTCCTAGCATTAGGCTGCCGATTAAATTAATGACATTTGGAAGTGGTGCTGTCTTCACGGCACCTACGCTCAAGCCGCCGAACTGATACGTATATGTTAAGACTACGTTCTGTTAAAATTGCGAGACTTTGGACAAGAACATTGTCTGGCCTTGTGTTTTCTCGTCACGCGTTCTAACCACAGATAACTATTATATGGTGTTCACTTCGATAGGAGACGGCGAAGGGATAACTGGCTTTTTCGTACTAACAGTCTAACAAAGGAATTTTTTGCGTGTCTGCTGAGGATTTTGGCGTCCAAAGTTCAGATGATTCTTGGCGAAGCTCAATGTCTTATTGACGTTGGCCTCAACACACTAACCTCCCAATGATTACCGTGGTTCCTATCATCTGTGTGCCATTAACCTCATGAGCTCACAATTGTGGCCAGCATTCTAAGCATAAGTAACAACGGCTGATGGAACTGATTAGTGAACTTTACGACATGAATTTGAGGCCGATTGATTGTTGTAATAGCCCTGTGTATTCAGAATAATTGCACTTTTGATCTTACAAAGGCAAACCGTCAATGCTTTTCACACGCGCCTTGATTAACCTATCATTGTAGGACGGCGTTGAATTCTTTGGGCTCTCCAAAGTTAGGTTAGACACAGCTTTCAAAAGTCAAACGGCTTGATGGCACAGTAACTGGTCCAACCTGCGCGACTACCACTTAAAACACAAATTTGGCATTCAAGGAATTACCATGAACAGGTATAAATTCGGCGCAAGAGCTCCCTTCGAACACATCAGAGGAATAACTTAGCTCCAATCAAAGCATCAAGTTAAAGACGTCAATGCTACTGATCTGATCACAGTCATTCGTCCCAAGAGCTACCTTGTCCGAGATGAGATAATTCTTACAAGTTCTCGTCCTATCATCGACAGGTCTCTTCTTTGCAACAGTGAGACCAGAGCCGTTTAGAAATGCTACAAGAACGCCTTCAAGATGGAGCCAAGAAGCTCAAGGAAGCCGAAACCAAGGTCAAATCTTTGGCATTGAAGCAGCACGAAAATTCTTGAACCAACATAATGATTGTTTGGAAGCAACAATTCGAGGCCCAGAGTAGTCATTCTAGCTGAATGAAGAGGTCTGATGCATTGAAGACAGAAAATTACCAACAACGCCTCAATAGGGCACTTAAGCGTTATCAAAAGAATCAGAAACTGGTAATTATACAGTTCAAAGAGGAAATAATAAGTGTCAGCTGAAAGGAATCAGCAAAACAAACGAACCTCTCCGATGTTGAGTTTTATGGCGCTTCTTAAGCTAAGAAATATATTAAGGGCTTAACTTCCAAAATGCAAGGCTTCAGAACAACCAATATGTTGAGCTGTCCTCAACTGAGGTGGTATATGAATCTCTTAGCAGCATTTACGTTTCGGGATTCAGTATCAATGGATCCTTTGTAATAGTGACCGCATAAGGCGATGTGACTGTCCCACTCTTTGCCAGCCAAAACTCTTATTAGCGAGTCAAACTGCAACAAGATTATTTCTTGGTTAAAACAATTTCCGGAGCTCCCTCTCAACAGTATCCAGGCATTTGAATTCTTCGATCTCCGCTGATATCTCGGCCGCTCTTTTTACATACTTATCGGTTTCGAGGACCTTGTTCACACCCGCAGCTATCTCCTCCGGCCGCGGCCAGGAGGATCTTATGTATAGCCCGATCCCAGAATATTCGGCACGGTTGCATACCTGATAGAGTAAGTAAACCTCTTAACGTGTTTGTAAATTCAGTTGACTGCATTTTACCTCGGGCTTGTCTTCTGAGAATGCTCCGGCTAGAACCATTGGAACGCCGTGTAGGGCACACTGAGAAAAGATACCATATGAACCATTCGTAACAACAACATCTGCCAACTCCAAGATTGGGTCATATGGGAAGTAATCGAGTACAATCGCATTGCTCGGCGCTTGCTCTAGAGATTCACCTTTAACACCAAGAACGGCGATTACGATTATGTCTTCTCTGTCTGAGAGTCCCATAATAGTCGGAAGAATACACATAGAATAATCGACTGCCATCGTTCCTTGCGTGGTGAAAACCACTTTTTTCTTTTTAGAGCCTTGCCGCCCCTGTTGTCGAACCTCATCTAGCCATACTGGGCGGTCGAATGTGACGTCTAATGTTTTCCGCGGTAACGTGCCTCCGAACTTGACATGTTTAGGCCAGCTGGTAGATCTGTACTCGAGGCTTGGCACGCACATCTGCAATGTTGTATCATGACACAGAAAACCGAGATTTGATGGTATTTGTGGTATGCATGTGTCGGAGTCAAAGATGGTATTGAAGTCTTCAGATGCTCCACACATGCGAAGCACAAAACGTAGATCATCCCATGTTGGTGCGAAGGCAGCACTGCAAAGCCGCGCAAGCAGCACGTTACGGGCGTGAATAGCTTCCTGCGAGGAACCAGACGAATCGTAGTGTGGTATGCCTATGTTCCCCGCAAGGCCCGAATTAATTGGGCCCGGGAGCGTCGGGCCTTGCTCGACGCTGAAGATTTGTGGTGGAATCACGCTGATTCTGTTAACGTTAGCAGCCGATATGGAAACATTCATGATCGGAATTTGCTGACCCTAGTGTCTTTGGAGGCTTCGTATATCCCCACGGTAACTCGGCACCGAGCTTTAACGGAATAATGCCTGGGACCCATGTTTCAACTATCATGACGACGTCTCGCTCAGGGCCAATGGCCTGCCGAACGACTGTCATGGCTCGGCGTATGCTTTCCAATGAACTAGGTATGTTTTGTACCCATATTGCTTTGAATAGTGAGTTGTAGTGCTTTGTCCACAATTCATCACGCGATGAGCTGCTTAGGTCGCTTAAGATGGATTTGTACAGCGACTTTACTCCAGTAGAGTTCCATGCTTTCAAAGATGGAATGAAATTTGCCCCAATCCGCTGGACACGCTCTCGCCATGCTTCCGATGTCAGAAACCATACATCGTAGTTACGACTGATAAGAAAGGCTGCAATCTGAAGCATTGGCGTTACATGTCCTTCCGGAGGGGTGCAAACAACTAGGATTGCCGGGCGTTGCCCTTGAATGTAGCTCTTGTCCATCGTGGTAGCATTCAAAGTAAGATGAGATCAAAGAAATATAGGAACAACACATTTGAGTATAAACAAAGATCGGTGGTGGAAAGTGATTTAATAAAAATGTACTACTTGTACAGGAAAATATAAGTTTTCTGGGATTATTTCACGTTCTTCAGCGCGGATAATATTACTTTACCCGTCAAACCTTTGTCCTTAACCCAATGGGCCATACTTTATGTAACCTCGCTTACTTGAATTCCGGCCGTACATGCCATTTCACATCTCTTGGCTCGTTAACAGTAAGATAGAATGGCAACTTCCATATCTGGGAATCTTTAGAGAAGATCAATGTCAAAGCTTACAAACTTTACCCGGTGATGCAATTTTTCGAAGTACCTCGGGGACTTTTACTAGTCATTTATCCACAGTGGCATGGACCCAAATATGCAAGAGCTCATTCAAGGTGATTACTCATTATAGAGTACGAATAAGTGCCCAACCGGGCCATTACAAGGATTCCTGGACTTCATTGTAGTACGTGGCTGCGATATATCATTTGTGTATTTAAACTTTTGAGACATGAACTGCCCGACGGAGATTGTGGAACCTGTGTAACAACCCGGAGTCGTGTCGAACTCGCTAACCAATACGGCACTGCAAGTGGAAAGGAAATCACTTATAGCTCCTGGTACTACTGAGTTAAAGTACTGCAACCACCAAGGAAAAGATCCCGCTCTTCATTCAGTTACTATAGAACTTTGACCCATTTACAGCATACCTGGAAATTTTGTGTTATTCAGATGATCAATTTCCTATCACACGTCACTTTTCTCTTAACTAACTTTCCCACCATCTTCTCTCAACTACCAACATCATCATGATTGCCCAAAGCTCTCAGCATCCAAAACAAAATTCAAATTCGGACTTCAAGTCCGTAGACAAGGAGCACAAAAAAGGGAAATTGAGGCCTACTCTAGAGGAGCACATGCGTCGAGCAGAAGCGGCTTGGGCAAGGTCGGTTAAGCAACGGCACGAGATGATTGCAACAGATTACGGAAGTGTTGACAAAATGCCACTGTATGTTCCGATTGCATTCTTGTTTGAACTTCGTAGTCAGATACCTAGACCTGATTGACGCTAACTGACGGATCGAAGCTTCCCTTGCGTTATTGGGCCTCCCGGCCGTGAGGAAGAACCCTATTTGTCTCATCCATACACAATCTGGGACTTCACCCCCGCATCCTTTGCTGCGCCGTTCGAGATGGAACGAGTAGGGCGCCTTGGCGACGGTGGCAAATGGGTCTGTGGAATGTCATGCTATAGCACCGCTAGCAAAGCACGACCCATTATTATTTATTCTCTTGGAGTTGGACAAGAGTCAAGCTTCGAAAACGAAATGCTGTCTCGTACAAACTGCGAAATATGGGGATTCGATATGTCTGTAGATGACTGGGGGGACCAGCTGGATGAATCTAACCGTGGACGCGCTCATTTCCTCAAAGCTGGAGCTGCTGGGCAAACCGACACTTCGAGTAATCCTCCATACTACTCTGTTCAAGATGCCATGAAGAAGAATGGCCATGACTATGTGTAAGTGAATCACGATCTGTCAGCAACATGACTATTTACTGATGCGAGATATGAAAAGGGACATTTTAAAAATGGATATTGAAACATTCGAGTTTGAAGTCTTAGACAGCCTCATCGGTAATTTTTCGGCCGAAAAAGGACTTGAAGTGCCTATAGGTCAGATACTAGTCGAGATACATCTACAGCGTCCAATGGATGTTCATCTAGGCAGGCCCAGTGAAGTTTCCATGACATCCAAGACATACTTGGAGTGGTTTGAGAGACTTGAAGCTCGAGGGCTAAGGCCTGTTTGGACAGAACCAAACCTCCTCGGTGTAACACTTGGAATTTCGCACAAGGCTGGAGGCCCGATTTTGTCGGAATACACATTTATCAACATCAATGACAGCAGGAGTGCTATTCTTGGTGGGCTTACGGCAAAAGATATTCAAGACTGACATATCAGGTAATGACTTATCTTGTGCGCAACAAAACAGCTCATCTGCAAAAGCATGAAAAGAGAGACAACGCTTGCACATCTTAAAAATTATTACGATTATGCGTTCATTAGCAATGGAGAAAACGTGTTTTAAACGGACTGTTCTTTTCCAGCAATGTAAAACAATTCCTAAGATAGAACTTATTCCCAGTTGAGTAAGTAAATGAATGCTGGGTCCTCAAATGCAATAAATACCAATGCTTGCTCATCTAAGGCAGTGCTCGCATAACGCCGATGGCATCCTCTTTTCGACTAACAAAGTCAACCGTAGTAGACCCCTCCACTGATCCAATGCCAGGAATCTTGCGGAAACCAAAAAAAGCCTTTTGTCGGTCTGGCAACTTGGCCTCGACATCTTTGCGCATTGAGAGATAGTGATTTTCACCGGCACGCACAAACGAGCGTACAAAGTGTAGCAGTATTACAGGGCGTTCTTTGGTAACATCGTCTTCTTTGGCACGATTAGGTCCGGTTGTATGCCATAAACGATTGTCAAATACAATCGCGGTTCCCGCCGGTCCCTCAACAGGAACAGAACCCTCCTGTCGTTGAAAGAAGCATGTATCAGCATACAACAAATACTGCGTCTTGCTAGAAAACTTACCACGGTCCATATATTACTTGCTGCTATATTCCCATTGTGTGATCTTGGATAGACACGTGTTGCCCCGTTAGTGTCAGTGACATCTACAAGGTAGAAAGAGATATTCAATCCAAGTGCCATGTTGCGCTGCGGTGGCGTTTTGGACGACTGATCCGTGTGAAGTTGCATAGGCGTGTTTCCTGGGCGTGCTATATTTGCGGATAAAGTAGAGATATGAGCATGATCGCCCAAGAACCACGGAATAATGGCATCTATGAGTGGGTGGTTTAGAAGATCTCTGTATCATTGTTCCAAATTTTGGTTAGTTTGCTTCTCTCTTCTAAACAGATCAATCTGTAGGTGCCTATCATGGCGTACATGAACTCATCTCCTTTGTTTATTAAGTTCCTGAGACCAGCTGTAAACACTTTGCGGCGCGGAAGTGTGGGGGAAAACGTACCATACTCGTTGATTTGGCCTTTCAGGGCCACCATCAAGCGCAGCAACACCTGCTTGACGCTCCCCAGCAGCTTGTTCAAGAACAGCCTTCTTGATGATCTCGACTTCAGTCGCTGACAAAGCGTCCTTCACGAGGCTACAATGCTCACAAAAGTTAGTGCAAGGCCTCGCACAAAGCAATGAAAAACAGGGCGCATTTGCTATTGGAACGAAATATAGCGTAAAATACGACTTACCCATAGCCAAACTCAACAATGTCTTTTTTAACCTTTTCAATATACTTTGTAGGCTTTGGAAGGCCAACTCTGCTGGAATTGATGGTGTGCTCGAGTGGCAGCGTTGGTGTCTTGTTCAATAGATCGGCGAAACGAATCAGCTTTGGGACGTCGCCTCTGGGGATCGATGGTTCGTAGAGCCGAGCATCCTGAAACAATCCCAACCGAGGATCTAGAGTGCCTTCATGAAATCTTATCAAATATTCAGGCTTTATAGTTGTCTGTACATCCGGCTGGATGTCATTCGGTAACGAGTCTAGTAGTTGCGCTTCGTTTCCGCGCGCATCAACGAAAATCGGAGGCTTGGAGTGATTCTCATCCCCAAACCTGAGCTGTAAAATTGCTTTCAATTCTCTAAAAGACTTTCAAGTGATCAGTGCCATTGGTCAGGCAGTTGAAAAGCATACAAGAGCGGACGAAATCGAAATATGTGCACAGCCAAGACAAAAGGGGGCGCAGCGAGCTTGGATTCGAAGACTTCACCTACAGCAAGCTTTTCTCTCACGATTTTAATTGCAGAAATATAGTTCTTATTGAATTCAACTTCTGGGTCGATATAATTCTTCTTTGTAAACTCCAGTCCAGGAGTGAACGTTTTAGTTGGAGGAATGATTGACATGGCTTGCTTCAAACTTCCGTTTTGTCAATGGGGCTGAGAAAACAAACAAAATTCAAAGAAAGAGACATTAGAAGAGGAAATCACATCCAATGCGTATGATTCTTACAGAGAATTAATTTTCTCTGTATCCTGAGTCTGGATGAGTCGCAAAGGGTTGTGTTGGGTGCAGCTTGGTAACGAGTAATGGATGGGGTCTGCCATCATTTCCTACGTGCACACCTCCGACGGTCATTTGATCCAGCTACACCATCACTCCGCAGGCCTTATTTCCCCGTCAAAGGTCCGGCGGTGTAATCAGCCCGCCCAGCAGGCATATGACATGATGAGCAAGGCCGTGTCGTGGCTCCGTGTAAACTCTCTGTGACAACTGGCCGATCATTTCAGCGAGATTTCTCCTTACTGACTCGCCGAGTAGTGTCCAAACGCAATACAACACCGTGTCGATTATGAACCGAGCAAGGACTTGTACCATTGTAGACCTGCGCGACTGATTACTGATGGGGATGAAGCCAATCTAACATGACTACCACGTATTGTCGGCTTGAGAGATGCAAATGCTTGTATCCGAGAGGAAGCAGACATCCAGACGGCGAAATTTCGATATGAAATACGACAAAAGCCCTTGTCCAAGTTACATTTGTTTGTAAAATCTCTCATCAAAGTAGCACACTAGAAATACGCTAGACTCATCGATCTTGAGTGGTCTGTCTGGATCACTGTCTCGTTGTAAGTAATTGCAGCAATTTCGTAGAAAGACATACGCATTAAACATTTTAGTTTAGAACCACGTTTGTTGCTATTTAAGAGTGTTGAGCAAGACAGTAATCTCTGCTATCTACAAGGTAAACTCGGCGACGATGACTCAGGAATCTTCCTTCAATTACCGCCGGGCCCGTATACAAGCAGCATATCTATTGCCTTATATTCGTCCAGACTCACATATTCTCGATGTCGGTGCCGGTTCCGGAAGCATTACTCGGGACTTTGCGAATCTCTGTCCACAAGGTCGAGTCGTTGGGGTTGACTGTGCCATTGAGATGGTATTATTTGCACAAAAAACACATATAGCCTACGCCAGCAACGACAACAATGGCAGCGAATGTCCGCGGCCCCATAACTTATCATTCGAAGTTTGTAACGCTGAGGACCTCTCAAAATTTCCGGATGGAAGCTTCGACATTGTGCATGCTCATACATGCATTACGCACGTCAAGAACCGAGTGGCCGCCCTTCGTGAATTCCGTCGCGTGTGTAAAGTTGGCGGTGTGGTCGCAGTGCGGGATCCATTAGATATCGAAAAGCAAGTAGTGTGGATTCCCGATCTGCCTGCAATGAGACTTCATGGGCGTATTGCTGCCAAGTTATTGCGAGCCAAAGGAGGTCATCCCGAAGCGGGCTCACACCTGGCTGACTGGGCACGCGAAGCTGGCTTCACGGAGGACGGCGGAAGAATCACTGTGGGCTATGGGGAGGAAAAGCAGACCAACATGTTGAACATCATTGGAGCCGGCATAGGCAAGGAGCAGGCCATCAACCTTGGCATTCTTACAGAAGAGCAGTTGGATGATTTTAACACAGCTTACGAGATTTGGCATGGGACTGAAGGTCACATTTGCATTGGCAAGGTTGCTGAGATGCTGTGTTTCAAATGAATCGTGCCGCGTTCGTGGCAAAAGAGTATGACTATTCGGCCAATCTGATTTGCAAATGTTCAAATACTTTGTGTATATTTAGCCGTACGTAAGAGATTCTTATGAGATTGAGATATGCTCTTATCCAAAGTACTTAGTAGCGTTTCTGCTTTTACTGGAGGCATACTTCCGAAGCCCTCTTCTTAAACATAACTTGAGCTTTGGCGTCGGCTTGATGCACAGAACCGGTCACCATTGTGTCTTCTGGCCTCTGTCCCGAGAGCTTCCAGTCATATTCCATGATCAAGTAGACCAGCGCAATCTTAACCTCGTTGGCGGCGAGGAACCGTCCAGGACATGCGTGATCGCCGTACCCAAAACCCAAGTGGTCGGGGCTTGTGGTCACTAGCTGCCAGTTTTTCTCCTGACCTGGCTGCGAACGCAGTTGCAAGAATCGACGAGGATTGAATTTATGTGGCTCGGGATAAAGATTCTCGTTATTGTAGGCTGCCAGGGTAACAATCGAGGACGCACCTTTGGGTATGACTAGTCCGTCAGGCAAACGAACGTCCTCTTCAGCAACGCGACCCATAGCGCCTTTGAGAACAGCTTATGTTAGTAATGAACGTCTAATATGGATACCTTATAATCAAAACGAGACATACCCACTCCCCTGGTATGCACTCTTTGGGACTCCTTAAGTGTACTGTCGAGCAATTTCAACTCGTATAAGCTTGTTTTGTTGAAAATAGATTTTTCACGGCGGTGACAAGACTGATAAATACTGTCTGCCTCAAAAACAGTGACGATTTCCTGTCGCAGCTCATTCACTAATTGAGGCCCGCTTGCGATAATGTCGAAGAGCGCACCAGTGAGCAGCTCTGTTGTGGTATGTATGGCCACGATGCTGAGACCAAGTTGTGCATCAGCCACGTTGTATTTAGCTGAGGCCCCGGCCTTTTCAAATGCATCTTTTAACCACTGCCAAGCAAAATTAGACATTTACCAGGTAACAGAACACACTCGAGACACATAAAGGCCAAATCAAGAGGGCTTTCAACCAAGATCCATAACAGTTTGGTAATGCATGATTGGTAAGGAATGATGGCAGTGAGATTTGACACATACATCAATGGTATCTTCCGTGCGTCCCTTGAATTCGCTGTTGGGTTGACTTGGCTTACTTCCACCATAACGTGATGATAACAGTGGTTCTAATATCCGACGAGCGTCGTCTACTCGTTTCCGCAGGGCACGACATTCTGGTAAGAGCCAACTGGCGGGCCATCGTAGGAAGGGTGTCCAACGACGAAGTGCATAAGCAGCGAGAAAACAGTCAATAGCGTAGCCAGTAGAGAGTTCAAGCCATTCTTTGTTGCAGCATAATTCGGGCCCAACAAAAAGTCGCGCTGAGAGGCGTGCAACCAAGTTTGAGACAAATGGCTTCAAAGTAACACTACTCCAATCTGGCATACCAAGAGTCCGCCTCATCAGTAACTCAAAACATGCTACAATCCAAATAGGTACAGACTGAAGAACGATTTGTCAACGTGAAACTTACCCTTCTGGTTCCCGAGTTGCTCATTAAGAGCTGCCGAAGCTTCATCTACAAGGTTGTCGGTCAAGTGGTCTGCGAGTCAACATTAGTACATTACACCAGGCGTTTGTACTGTTTACCGTCGTGTACTTGGAATTACTTACTTAGTGATGGAGTTATCTTTAGTCGCGTGATATTCTGAAGGATATTTTTGTCATGGCTCACGGCTTTGATTGGTTCGAATCCCCGGTAAGAGGTGAAAAGCTCCTACAAAATTAGTTAGTATCTGAACACGATGAGCCCAAACAGGTACATCAAAACAAGTTCGGCCAATGCGAATTAAAAGCCTGACCTGACTGAGAGCTTTTGTGAAACTGAGGGCTTTGATGTTCTTTAGATCCTTGGCATAATGAGGTGGAAAACAAAGCTTCGTTCCAGTTTCAGTTACAACTTGAAAAGGCTTCCGGATCTATGGAAAAGAACGCCGAGAGTATTGTTAGCACTCTCGACTCAACTGAGAAACTTGATTGGATTTGCACTGCTACCTTTGAGCCTTCTTGAATGATTTGCTTCCCACGAGTATTGTAGTCTTTTACTGCCTTTCGATATTTGAACCATCCCCATGCTTTGTTATCTATACCAACTGCAGGAAATCCAGGGTGTAGAACTGGTTCCTGAAACATAATAATCGCTCCAAGAAGCATGGCCAGCATTAGAAATGTTGTTGCATATTGATTGAGGGCCAGATCGAGTTTTAGCCTAAAAATGAACTGAATAACAGGTTCGATAGAAGCCTTCGACATGGCAGCAGTAGGTTTAGGAGAGAGAATCTGTAGTTGACTAAATGACAGTATAAGAAAAAGGAATTGAGCTTGTGTGGTGACCGACGTCAGGCACGGGCGGCATCAACTAGGAACAAAACGGCTTGTATTCTCTAAGTGAGCGAGCGGAGCGAAGGACGCTTAAGAATACGGTCGCTGGAGCGAGGTCACGTGACCTCGCGGCCGAGACGCGGCAGAGTGGGTCCGGAGGCCCGGAGCCAGCACGACACACCCCCCCAGACGGCGCGTAGTCGTCTGGAAAACCGCGCCTCGAGGCCATATCGCTACTATCGCCTAGATACAAGATTATGAGGCTATTCAGAGCCTCTTGTGAATATATATATAACAAAAGAGAGGTGTTGTTGTATTCGCCTCGGTCTTTGTGCTCGAAGTGATGTGAATATGGCGAAATTCGCCCTTGCGCGCCGCCTGGCGCAATAATCGCACTTTCCTTTATTCAACCGTCGTACTTGCCTCTTATTATTGCCAGTTGAATTTTCTGAAAATCCTGCCTTCTGATTGGCCCACAACGTGGGTTGCCCATCAGTTATTATTTCCTCTGCCCGTTGACTCTTCTGCAGCGGTTCCGGCCGTGGCCGAAGCGGCTGGTCTCCGTGCTGCCATTGACAGCCTTGTTGGAGGACACTTGCCGGCGGCTGTTCTCCCCGCGTACAACGTCCTGATGGACACGTACGCGGCCTCCCTCCGAGGTCGTTAAAAGAGCCCGCCCTACGGGGCGTAAGTACGCTTGCTTTTGCTCCTTTGGGAGCGTATCATGCTTCCTGGCCAGGGGCCAAGTCAAAATTTAACTTTCGGCCTCCGGGCCAGCATTGCTCGCGCGCACCTGTTTCTCTTCGCTTCTTGTGACTTGTGCCCGAATGTCTTGTAGGTTTAGAAGTGCCCTGAAGTGTTCGAACTTCGCTCGGGAGAGTGCTTTTGTGAGACCGTCTGCTGGCATCTCGTCGGTAGGCATATATACCACGTCGAACGTCTTCTTGGCATACTCTTGGCGTAGCCATATGTTCTGTATATCAACGTGGCGAAGGCGCGTTGAGATGCGTTCCTTGTCGCCTACTACCAGGCGAATCGTTTGGCGATTGTCACAATGGATCTTCCATACGTCTCCGAGGTCTAGTTCAATATCCCGAAATAAGCGTTTGAGAGCGATGGTCTCCTTAGCAGTGTTTTCGAGGCTAAGGAGTTCCGCTTCTGTAGTAGAAGTGGTAACGGTATTCTGTCTCGCGGCTTTCCACTGAATGGGACCGCCGAACAGTGAGATGATGTACCCTTGAGATGAACGCCGCGTCTCTTCGTCGTCTGCGAACGAGGCGTCGCCCGCAATTAGGAGAACTTGGGCACCTGCACCCCCCGAGCTACCGAAGCAGAGCGAAAGGTAGCGAGTGTGATAAAGATATCTAATGACTTGGTTCGCGGCCTTCTGATGTTCGAGAGACGGGTTCGTTAGGAACCTCGAGAGTGTAGCGCAAGCGAAGGCGACGTCGGGGCGAATCATGATCGCAGTGTACAGAATTGAGCCGACCTTCTCTTGGTATTGCTTTACCTGGTCAGGGGTCGCTTCAGCGGTGTTCTTCTGGAGCGGGACGAATGGCAATGGTGTATGCGGCACGATCGAGTCGATAAGGTTGAATTTCTTCGCTACGCGTTCGATATATTGGTCGTGTGCGAGGTTAATTGTTCGCTTCTCACGGTCACGTATCACGCGAATGCCTAGATACCACTCGACAGGGCCTTGGTCCTTGAGTTCATACTCGGCTTTCACCCCGTTTATAACGTTTTGAGCAGCTTCGCGGTGGTCCCTATGGTATAAGACGAGGATATCGTCTACGTAGAAGAGTACCATCACTTTCTTGTCGTTTGAAGTGAAGAGACAGGGGTCTTCGCTTGCAGGCTTGAGTCCCAGGCGCCGCAGCGTTGATGAGAACTCCTTATACCAAAGGAGGGGAGCGTCTCGTAGCCCGTATAAGGCACGGCGGAGCTCGACGTACTTCCCGTTCTGTTTGAAGCCGTCTGGTAGGTAGCAGACGACAGGCGGGTCGTTCGGTCCTCTTGTTGCGTTTAGAAACGCATTGACTACGTCGAATTGGTCTACTTCAAGGTCGAATTCCGCCGCGAGCGCCATCGCTACTCTAAACGTCCTTGCTGCGAGGGTCGCTGCGTAGGTCTGTTCGAGAGGATGCTTCGCCTGGAGGTCGCCGCGGACGCAAATTCGTGCCTTGCAGCGGTCGAGGTAGCCGTCTTGATCAAGCTTGTAAGTGAACACCCACTTTAGAGGAATAGGTTTCGTAGACGCTTCGTGTTCGTCAATGATTTTCCAAGCGTCCATCTCCTCTAATTTACTTATCTCGGCTTGGGCCGCTTCGTAAAACAGGTTTCGGAGGTGGGTCGGCATTTTTTCAACACTTTTCCACGTTCGTGGGGGCTTTATAAGCTCATCTGTGTGTATTTTCACTCGCTGTGGAGTGACCGCTCTGGAGTGCTTCGCTTGGTGTATTGACGCGAAGACGAAGCAATGGAGCGTATAGTGGGCTTGGTTCGCTTCCTCCACAGCCTTCTGCTGATCAGGCATATAGGTATGGAAGAAAGTTTCCCAATTACGTTCCGTTTGTAGGAATGCGAAGTGTTGGGCGAAGCGAGGTGATCGTCTCGGTTTGCCCTGTTGTTGGCCGTAGTCCTTGCGGTTGTACACCCGCTTGGTCTTTATCTCGGGTTCGCGCCCGTTCCCATTATCCGAGTGTGGCCGCACCGGGTGAGTTGGGGAGTCACCCCCGAGATCATTACTCGAGTCGGCCTCCACGGCCGGTTCTCGTGGAGGTTCGTTGTTGGTCTTGACGTATATCACGTCTTCGACCGCCTCAGAGAGGGCTTCGTGCCCCGGGTCGGGAACGCCGGCGTCCATCGCTTCGGAGCTTTGTTGGCCGGTCGTTTGCCCGTCCGTCCCCTCCGGCGCTGCGGCCGGCTCAGGGGTCGGTTCCGGGGTGAGCAGGCCCTCTTCGCGTCGGCTGTTAACCGCGGAGCGTTTTACCGTTGTCTCTTCTGAGATTACGGTCGACGGCGCGAAGGCAGGTGGCAGGGGCTGCTCTTCAAGTGAAAATACGAGTTCGCTTGGTTTTGCGAGTCCGAGGAATTGGAGTCCTGGGTTCGCCGTAGCCGGAGGTTCCGAGATCTCCGTGGAGACTGTCTCGGCCACCTCCGCTTGTAAACTAGCTTTTGCATCGTCCTTCGAGTAGAACTTCGTCTCGTCAAAGGTAACGTTTCGCGTGATAATCACTTGATCAAGCGAGGGTATCCAGACTCTGTATAGGTTGTGAGCGTCCATAACGTAGCCCACCAGATATCCAATATGTCCTCGCGGTTCCACCTTGAAGTTACGTCTGTTCCTATCCGCTTCGCGGTCCTTTTTCAGGGGATAAGCCCTACACCCATACGCGTACGTCCAGCCCCAGTGGGGGCGAAGGTCGCGGGCGAGGCTCGCGCTGTATTGTGGTTGCCACCAGCGAAAATACTGTCGGAACCAGCTCTCTTCGACTTGAATTGGTGAGAGCCAAGCTCTTCGCTTCCGTGGTGACATATTGTACAGGTAGGCGGCTGCCATGACTGCTTCCACCCAGAGAGTAGTTGGCAGGCCCGCTGCGCTGAGCATCTTTATCGCTCGGGTTATTAATTCCTGGCCCGCTCGTTCGCCTCCGCCATTGGGTTCCTTGGTGTAGGGGGGTGTCTCTTCGATTTCAATCCCGTTATGCTGGGCCCAAAGTTGATACTCAGTCATTCCGTTTATCGCAATTACCGCGCGTTCTACGTCTTGTCTCAGCTTGCACAGGGTGACGCCTCGTTGGCGAGCGACCCATCGTTCGAAGTGCCTGAGAGCGTCGAAGACGAAGGTGTGCGATTTACTTACGCGCGGAAACGCGAAAAGACGACCGGTATATTCGTCTTTGATCACTAAGAGCCAGCGGTTCTTGTCAAAGCTTGTCGGGTAGTCGAAGAGATCCCATGAGACCCTATAGTACGGTCGAATTGCTTTCCGTTCAGAGGTTCGCCTCGAAATTAACTGTTTCGCGTGCGCTGTCGCGCAGTATTCGCATTCCAGACGCGTGGGTCCTTTTATCTTTACTCCTCTCACGTTTGACACCATTCGTTCTAGTGCGTCTGGTGCGAGGTGACCCGAACGAAGGTGCCATAACCAGGCGTCATCATACCTATCAGGTGGTTTACGAAGCGAGAGTCGAGCGGGATCCTGTACTGCAAGCACCAAATGGTTCACGATTCCTGCGTTACTCGAGGTAATTCGCTTCTGAGCAATATACTGGGAACCGGTCTTATATTCGAAGAAAGTAATGTTCATCTTCCTAACAAGATGCTTGACTACCACGCTGTTTTTGTACGTTCCCTGGCGAAGTGTGTTATCCAATCCGGAGTACCAGATGCCTGTCTTTCGGAGGAGTGCTTCCGAAACGATGTTAACGTGAAAGTTCTCTACGTATCCAACGTTATGGAGCGTAAGGTCTGCTGTGAGGTCTCCATCAGGGCCATTTAGTGCTTTTGGCAAGATCCACGTTCCCTTTGCTAGGATTGGGTACGAAGCAGTTCCTGAGTCGACTCTCTCGTCGCCGATGCACGTTTTAATAGAAGACGATTCAAGCAAGTCAAGGTTGTTAACAAGGTGCGTAGCTCCGCAGTTGTCGAGAACCGTGCTTCGTGACAGAACATGGGGTCCCGTCAGTGGGGTTGCAAATACGCTTGGTTGGTCGTAGTCCGAGTCGAAGTCGTCCGAAATTTCCCGGAGAAGTTCACGGCTGATCGTTACTGCGTGGATATTTCTCTTCAGTGTCACCTCTGACTCATTCTCCTCTTGCTGCGATTTCGCTTTAGAGCCGGTATTTCCTGACGACCTATTGCGAGGCGGCGCTGGGTTTCGGAAGCTGGGAGGTTCCGTCGCCCAGATCCAGCCTTTCCGAGCTAATTCGGCTCGGAGATCATAGTTCTCGGACTGATTGATACGCTTTCGAATCTCCTTGCACTCGTCCCTCGATAGTTTGTCCTGGGAAGGCTTGATTCGCCCGGTAAGGGCGTACTCCACGCGGGTGCACTCCAGGGGGTTTGCGTTGTGGGGTTTGTTGCAGGGGCACGCTTCGGATTTGCCTTTTCCTTTCGAACCGCTTTTTCCATCTGAGATTGCTTCGCTCGGGCGACCGGCAAGGGTAGCGTACACACCGCTTGTTTTACCCCGATTTTTGTCGTATAGGGTGTCCTCATACAGCAAGTCCTCCAGCATATCCCTGTATTCACTTACAGTAGGGATGCGGTCCCCCTTGCGCTCCATTTTGACAATTTCAGTGAGCTCGGAGGTCGCCCAGGAGGGGGCAAAACGGTGTCCCACCGCTCGAAGAAAAGTTTTCGAAGCGAGCGTTCCCTGGCTTTCCGGTATTCTGAATCGAAGCGCGCGGAGCAGTACTCGATGGAAGTCTCTTAGCCAGGTCTGGGGGTTTACGCTTGTGTTGGCCTTTTCCAGGAGGAGAAGGTACTCTTCGCGAACTGTAGTTTGACTGCTTGATTCGCTTGGAGCGTAGCGTTTCCGAAGGTACTGAATAAGAGCACGGAGTGAACGTTGGTTGTTCGCTAGGATCTCCGATCTCGCAGCGTAGAGGATGTCCTTGTCGACCGTTTCCTTAACCCAACGCTGAATAGAGTCGAAGTCCCGCTCCCGACGAGTTTTGAGGACGTCGCGGCCTGATTTTGAAGCGAGGTAGTTCGTATATCTTTCAAAGGTCCCGGGCGTGTTTTGCGTGAGAGTTGGTTGTGCTACAGGCTCCTGGAGTTCTTCCCCTGTATCGTCACTCGCTTCTGCCCTATGCTGGAGAATCGAATCGTAGGCTTTCCGCTTCCGATCATAGGTTCTACGCTGCTTTTCGTTCTGCTGCGTGATCCATGATTCGATCGAGAGTTCTTCATCGTCCTCTCTTGGGTCTGACGGAGACGTAGTGTCGTCTGGGTCTATGAGATCCCAGACGTCTGCTGCGTCGGCTTCGGCGTAGAGAGCGTCGTACCAAACGGGGAAGTCCCGGCGGCAGGTTAGCCTTGTCGTGCTCGTGAGAACAGATATCTGCGACGACATCTTCGTTGTAGAAGTTGCTGTTTGAAGCGAAATTTGTGAAGACCGTAAGGAGTTGATGGTGTTCCGCCACGAACCCTTCGTCTGGTTAACAGTAGAAAGGGGTGATGTGGTAAGCTGGGCTCATAACTGTGGTGACCGACGTCAGGCACGGGCGGCATCAACTAGGAACAAAACGGCTTGTATTCTCTAAGTGAGCGAGCGGAGCGAAGGACGCTTAAGAATACGGTCGCTGGAGCGAGGTCACGTGACCTCGCGGCCGAGACGCGGCAGAGTGGGTCCGGAGGCCCGGAGCCAGCACGACAGCTTGACTGCTGCCTCATTTCTTTGCAAGAGTACTAATTTCTATAATTGGCTAGTAAGCTGTATTCGTCAGATCTCAACTTCATGAACACCCAGTTCAATAAGCTCAAGCTGAAGAGGGACATTTAGTAATGTTCGAGACCAAAAACCCCTAAAATTAGCTTTAAGTTACGTTTGACACGGATACACCCCCCCGGGTACCTCTAATACATGATGGGGAACATCCACAGCCAGGAAACAACGTTCACCCCTTTTCCGAAACCGAAGGAAGACAAACTTTTTGCTCTATTGCGACAAACTGCTAGCGCCCGTTCTCGGGTCATGTCGCAGAATCTTTATTGCTTCTATGATCCTCGTCATATGAATTCTTAGATGCAATTATACAACAAATGACTCAAACGGTAATCTCGAGTCCGTCAAGTGTACCCTTGTCCCGCCAATTGCGAAGGATAGACATGTAGTCTGCAACCCCCTTGCCCCAAAGCGCGTTTCTAGCCTTCCGCTGCATCTCTTTTCTATCTTGTTGCGTATCTGCCTCTTGGTCCTTTGGTACTATCATGTAATTCGGAGTGCAGCCCCCCATGGCGGCCAGCTTAGCTGCGTTCTTTGCAACAGATTCAGCCCATTCATCCTCCGCTTCCCTTAACGGCTCTACAACGACGTTGTACTTGCCATACTTAGAAACTTTCTGCTCTTGTAATAAGAGTTGTTTCTGGTCCAACTTTTCTGATACAGAGGTGGCAATGTAGGCGAAGTGTCGACCCAACTGGTCTCGTTGGTACGTGCCATTAGGGGCGGCTCCCATCTGATTGGGGCCGGGGAAAAAGAAGTTGGGGAAGCCGCGACTCATGAGGCCGTGCAATGTGCTTAATCCTGGAGGTTGTGCCCATTTTGCATCCATATCCAGCCCTTTGCGTCCATACACCTTCATTCTGCTTCTCTCAGCAGGGCTCCCAGATGTAGGTGGTCTAAAGCCAGTAGCGAAGATCAGTACATCGACATCGTATTTGTCGCCGTTGACTATTACGCTATGAGAATTGATTCTTTCAATGCCTCTGGCACCAGTAGTGACCAGTACTACGTTGTCTTGGTTAAAAGCATCAAGGTAGTCGTCGTTGAAACATGGCCGTTTGCACCAAGATGGATACCAGGGCTTGAGAGCTTCAGCAGTCTCTTGTTCCTTGATAAGTTTATCAACTCTCGACCGCGCCTTTTCTTGCCGTGGCAGGTCCATCTGCTCGAGAGTAGCAACATATTTGGCAATTTCGTCCCGAGACTGAAGGCTTTCGTTCGTTGGACTCCCGATCAAGGCGCTGTATGATGGTAGCTTCGTCCATTCATCATCAACTAGATCTGCCTCTGGCCTAATCAAGGCATTGCTCAGGAACGCATTGAAGTTCTCAGCTCTGTCTGTTTGCCAGCCTGGATGAGTGGCTACTTCGCTTTTCCAGAGTTCCGGGTCAGTCGGCTTGTTGTTTCGGGGACCAACAGAGCTCGGAGTGCGCTGGAACACGTATAACTGCTTTGCCCAGCGTGCTAGATATGGCACTGCTTGAACAGCTGTGGCACCTGTTCCGACAATTCCGACACGTTTGTCCGCCAGACCGGTGAGTTTTGGATCTGCCTCGGTCCCTCCCGTGATATCGTAGTCCCAGCGACTGGTATGAAAGGCGGCGCCAGAGAAGGAGTCAAGTCCAGGAACGTTTGGAAGCTTGGGATAGTGTCCGATGCCATAGGCTGTAAGAACGAATTTGGAACGGACAAACATTTGCCTGTTGTCTCTCTCGATCTGTAGTTTGGCTACCCATTCGCTACTGTCATCGTCCCAAGCGAGCTCATCGACGCGTGTACCAAACTGAGCCTTGTCATGAAAGCCAAAGTGTAGCGCGATTCGTTCTGCGTGAGCCCTCAGCTCCGTACCAAACGAGTATTTGAGCGTAGGGATATAACCAGTGTCCTCGAGCAAAGGCATGTAGATGTAACTTTCCACATCACACTGGATCCCTGGGTAACGGTTCCAATACCAGGTGCCTCCAAATCCCATAGCGGTATCGACAAGTCTGATATCATTGGGATCTACGCCCGCCTTGATCAGGTTGGCCGCAAAAAGAATTCCTCCATACCCAGCGCCAATGATTAAGAAAACGCATGAATTCCCATCTTCTAGTGCAGCTCTTTGGACACAATCTGCCGATGCGGAAGAAAGAGGATCACTGGAAGCTTGTTTCGAGTTGTCATGTTGACACCAGGGATCTTTCTGAAATCGCTTGTACTGGTCCGATGCACCGAGATCAATTATGTATTGTTGCAATCCGTCAGGGTGATGCCGCTTAACTCGTTCTTCAGTGTATTTAAGTTTTATGGCGTTCATTTTAATGCTGTCAAGTAAAGCGGGTGCATGGATTGTAATGAAGAGAAATGACTTTGACGGTCACTGTTTCCTACGATGATTTCGAATGACAAGAATGACAAAAAGGAGTGCGGCTTGGACGCTGGGCTTTCAGTAGGAAGCTTGCAGCTCTCTAGCAATATCTGTCTGCGCTCGACTTTCATGCTTAAAGCGATTTCATCTTCGAAACGTGTTCTGTTCTGCTAGCTAAGCATCTACTAAGTAGATAAACTGTGCAGGGTTGAGGTTATTCGCCAAGCGAGTAAACGCAAATACACAGCCGTCATTTCTACAGAGACAACTACATACGTAGTAGGTCATGTCATCAGTAACCAGGAGACCCTTGTCTGGTTTCCTCAGCAGATCTTCAGGCCTAATTAAAGCACCAAAACGAGTAATTGAAGACGATAGCCTTGTCACTGCGGTAAGGTATACCATGATATCGAGTCACGCCTAAAACGCGTGCAGCCTTGACAGTAGAACGGCTTAATGTAAGATCGTCTCGACTACAACCTTTGTATTACATAGTCATTGACTCGAGAGGTGCAAACTCCACATGCCCCAAGTAATAAAATCTGGGGTATCTTACCCTGATGAGGCTAAAACCGGACAACACCGAAACCCACAATCCGTCTGTGAGCACATAGGAATGCCTCCGGCGGTGTTAAACAGGGGCCATGAGGCGCAATTCACTTAGTTGCCGGGATATTAGACAATTGAAGCCGATGCCAAGTGACCGGATAGTTTTGAGGGGTCTGATCTCTACTGTGTGGGGAGCGTTGCACCATGGTGGATTTTGGACGACATTCTTACTCAGTGACCAAGCGGAACAGTAAACCGTTGATAGCACTTACAGCTTCCTTTGAAGACTCCGACTTCGATGACGAGTTACTCTGAACAAAACGCGATGTGAATCAAAATCAATTGACTGTGTGCGAACGAGCAATATCCATTTGAGAAACACGTATAGTAGTCGCCAAGTGTGTGGCAAGCAAGATGTGGTTATACCAAAGCAGCGATTAGAAAACAAACAATAATCCAAAGCGACCCGGTTTTTCTTTCTTTTTTCATTGTTCTTTAATAACCTTGGTCAGTAGCATTTTTGAATAGATTCGAACCCCTCTTATCTCCACATACGGCGACAACGAGTACATATGATTAACGTCCCACACCCACTTCTGGGCACCCCCCACATTTGGGCACCCCATTTACACCAAAAACGCCGTTTTTCGAAATTCTATATTAAACTAAATACTTTACTTATTAAAGAGAATAAATATATGTTAAATAGATTAAGACTTAATTATAATACTTAAGTAGCTATATACTAGTATTATTGATAATAAGTATTATAAATTCAAGGTTTAACATTTATAATACTAATTTACCTAGCCTATATCTTAATATATAAAATAGGTAGAGATATTTAACTAATATGATTAGAATTTTTAAGTAAGATATAGTAGATTTATATATTCTTATACTTAGTAAAAAATTCTTTAAGCTTAGAATAATATTTTAAAATTTCCCTTAAGAAAAGTTTCTATTATAGAATTTTAACCCTTAATTATACTATATTTACTAAAGTAACGTACATGATAAGCGAGTGAGACAGACAAGCGAGTGAGACAGTAAACCAGACCTTCGCGATAATAATATCGAAATCTATAACAAGAAATCTTAGATTGATTAATACTACTCGGATTCCTGTTCTTCGGATGTTTCCTCAATAAATTGACATGTTCTCGCGTTGTGGCCTGTATTCCCGCATACGCCACACCGACGATGAGTCGTCTCAGACCTCACTTTGCGACCACTACTCCGTCGCGTTTCCTCTTGTAGTTGCGTGTCTGCCTCTCTTTGCGACTGTATATCCTCTCCAGTAGATATAGTAAGACTTCCTCCTTTCTGTAGACGTGTTTTCTTAGCCCTTCGACGCCGACTTAATATTGCATTCTCCTCTCGAAGGATTTGAACCTCTGACTCTAGTAATGCTACCCGATGCCCTAGTCCTTCTGTCCCTCTGGCTAGCTTACTCACAGCACTATAAATTGATGCTGGAGAGCTGCTTCGGTGGCGTGAGATTCGACTCTTAATAAAAGTAGACTGTGATCTTGCTTCGCTTGGGTTGCTCGGCGTCCTAGAGATCCAAGGGTCTGGTGTCTGAGGGACCCCCTCCTCAGGCGTTGGCGTTCGGAACTTTACATCCAGCTTTGAGAGAACACTTTCTGCATTCAAAGGGACAAGTCCAGCTCCTCGGAAACCTCCCTGGATATTTTTCCTCGTAAAAGACTGCTTAAAAGCTTCGTGAAATGCTGCAAAGAAATCTTCCTTCGAGATATGGGTTGTGCCTCGCCGCATCTTATTCTCAATTTGCCGACCGTAGGCATTCTTTAACGGCTGAAAACAACCAACATCTAAGGGTTGAAGTAGATGAGACGAGTGAGCCGGCATGCACAGTGTAATAATGTTGTTTTCTTGACAAAAGAGCTCGAAGGCTGCGGAGTGGTGACTTTCATGACCATCAACAACGAGGAGGCGATATTTCCCAGACGTACGTGGTTTTGTATAAATGTCGAAGTGTCTGATCCAGTCAATACCTCTCTCGTTTGTTGTCCATCCATTTTCAGACGTTGCAATAGCCTAATCGCCCGGAAGAGAGGTTTCTGTATACCAGCTTGAGAGGTGATACTGGCCTGCAACGATGATGTATGGCGGGATGCTCTCCCCTTGGGAATTAATAGCCTGGATAACTGTAACCCATTCCCTATTGCCAGGCTGTGTCATCTTCGTATTTGAACGCCTTTCAGCACTTGTAACAACCATTCCAGAAGCAATAACGCCCATCATAAAGCCGGTCTCATCAAAGTTGTAGATATCAGCATCAGCAATACCATACTTCGCAATTGTATTCTTCACAAGCGAAAACCAGCCACGAATCACCTCTGGATCTTCGCATTGAGCTCTCTTATAGTCATACTTGCGAAAGAAACGCGTCCTAAGCTGTGGTTGTCGCTTGACGAAATTAGAAGCCCAGCGCTTCCCAACTGGAGGCGCGTCGCGCTCTGCGAGAAGTCGATTGGCCATTTCTTCCACACCACTCAGCCGGGGAGGAAATGATCGCGCATCTAGGTCGAGAATATACTCAACTATTGTCTTCTCTTCTAAATCTGATAAATTCCGTGAATTAGGCATGCTGTCGCGTCGTGAGACTATTCCCTTTAGTCGCCGGCTTAATGTTGCGTGACTGACTGTATAGAGTGCACCTGCGGCCCGAGCACTAAGTTTTGGGTCATTTCTCATTGCTTGAAGGGCAATTTGTAACCTTCTTTCAATACTAGCTGATTCCATGATTTATTGTAGAGGAAAAGGTGCCGGTCGCGTCAAGGTGCGACGGTCGCGGTTTACTGTCTCACTCGCTTGTCTGTCTCACTCGCTTATCATGTACGTTAATACTTTTAAATCTCTTTTAGATATAATTATATACTTTTAATAAGTATAAATATTAATTTCCTAGATTTTTTAAATAAGTATATATAAGCGAAAATATATTTTTCTAATGTTAAGGAATACTAGTAAGTTACTAGTATCTACTAACATTTTAAAGCTTTTAGTTTTAAACTTCTATATTATAACTATTATTATATTTAAACCTTTATAAAAAATTAGATGGCTATAATTATACTTAACATAGTTTATATATATTTTCTTTTCTTAGTAAGTATAGTAGTTAGTTTAATATAGAATTTCGAAAAACGGCGTTTTTGGTGTAAATGGGGTGCCCAAATGTGGGGGGTGCCCAGAAGTGGGTGTGGGACGTTACACTCAAACAAACACCATCTCATACCTAGCATCCTCGCGATAGCCAAACCAAGTGAAATGTTCATAACAATCTGGACAGGCTTTTTTATTTTTGTAAGGCTTTTATTGTTTTGCTACAGCTCTGTTTAACATCTGCTGACATAGAAATTCCATCTCTAGTTATGTTATCGCATTTACCGAATCATTTACAATCTCTACTTCCATCCCCTTGCCAATGTACCGGGTCCTAAACTCTATGCCATCTCCTGGATCCCACGACTGTGGCATCAACAGATCCGTGGTACACACTGGAAAGATCTCATAGCCTTGCATGAGAAATACGGTCGGATCGTTCGCACGGGGCCAGACGAGGTGTCCAATGCTTCAACGAAAGCTTGGGATGACATTTGTGGCAGCAAGACATTTGTTCGAGACTTGAACTTTTTGCGAGTCACACAGCTGGATGACCGCCATAGCTTTATTTCACCAGTCAAGTCAGAGCATAGCGCTGTACGGAGACTCTTGCAACCTGCGTTCACCGACCGGTCCTTGCTGCGGCACGAGAAGATCCTAACAGAGTGGACGGCGAAGCTGCGGCTCAACATTATGAGCGAGCGCGGATGCCGTTTTGATATAGCGCAAAAGCTGGTCTGGATGACGTTTGATACCATGGCAGTATTGAGCTTTGGGGAGTCATTTGGGTGTCTCGAACACAACCGTCAGCACGAGTATCTGAAAGCAATCGAGCTAGGAGCTCCGTTTTTGTCTATATTGCAAATCATACTACGGTATAACGTCACGCGCGGTTTATATGACCTGTCGCTGCGTCTTCCATGGATGAAGTTCTGGAATAGTCTGCGAGCAACAGCGGAAAGGAAGGCAGCTAAATGGATAGAGAACGCTGACGAAAGTAGAAACGACGTAATGAGCCTCATTTGGCGGGCAATGCAAGACCAGAATACTCCCATCTCACCAAGACAAGCCAACGACATTGCATCGATCCTCTGCTTGGCTGGTGCAGAATCGACTCCTGTTCTTATGACAGGTATGGTGTGGTGGGTTCTGAGCACTCCAGACGCACATATGAAACTCAAGGAGGAGATCAGAGCCGCCTTTCGAGATTCATCCGACATTACGGTTGCGAATGTTTCCAAGTTGCCGTATCTTGATGCGTGTATCATGGAGAGTTTGCGACAACATACACCATTTTCAGTAGCAATTCCTCGCATTGTACCTCAAGGAGGTGCCATGGTCGATGGGTATTTCTTGCCGTCAGGGACTGTGTGCGGCGTTCCACACTGGGCGAGCGCACATTTAAGTTCTAATTTCACGGACCCCGAAAGCTTCGTCCCTGAACGTTGGTTGCCGAGCCCAAACCCGCGTTACGCAAACGATAAAAGAGAGTCATTTAAACCATTTGCCAAAGGCAGCCTAGACTGCATCGGAAAACGGTATGTGATATACAAAGATCAGGATTACTTTCGGCAAACGAACCATGAGCTAACCGGTAATATCCGTCAGTCTGGTTTATCATGAAGTGCGTATGGTGATGGCGACACTTTTCTGGCACTTTGATATGGAGCTGTGCCCAGAATCTCACAATTGGGTGGCAGGCACCAATGCCACAGTGCGAATGATGAGGGAGAAAAGAGCCTTGTTTATTAAAGCTATCCGCGCGAATTAAGTACCTACATTCTAAATTAACGTGGAAGCTATTTTCTTGCAATCTTGTCAATACTTCTCTCTGTACGCAATCCCGCCGACGCATAAATGCGGTTCAGTGATTTACTGTCTTCCCCATAATACTCTTTATTCTTACACCCTCGGTAAGTGAAGTCCAACTCGATCGCGTTACTGGGATGCTAGTTCTCTCTGAAATGCAAAAGACGAAAGGTTGTGAGTCAAGTTCACGTTTAACCAATGAATCAGTTCCCTCTACAACGTGTCGTGAACCCACAAGTCTCTAAAGATCACTTGAAACCGAAAACGAATCAAGACAAGGTTTCCCTGCAGTATCCCTCGTTAATATAGTAATCAAATACGTCGTAAAGGATCCGCCGGCCTAATCTAATATCGGACCCAGCTTAAGACGTTATCCATGAGTCAAGGCGATCGGGCACTCTGTACGCGTGACGTATTGTCAGCTGCGCTTTTGCTAGATAAAGAACACGAAAACAGATCGGCACCTTGCCAAGCGATCTATTGCTACCCGTTAATACTAGCTGCTGCGTGCCAGAGTTAGTTTTTCGAATGTCTCCGGTTCATGGGGCTCCTTACCAATACAGGTTTCGAAACCTGGTAGCGCCAGATATCGCCCAAGTCATGTCGTCTAGAATATCTACAATCGAGCTATATTATAACGATTCTTAGGAGGTTCTGTTCAGATGTAATTTAAATAAAAAAAAAACACCCGCATGAACATCATCTTGTCGATTTATTCCCACGGCAATCATCAAGCCTGCCTCTTTTGCACCTAAAACTAAAAAGATGTTGCATGACGAAGAGCTGTATCCATATTCTATCCCCGTTGACAGAAAGACTGTCTTGAAATCCGGAGCTCTTACCAGTCTTCCTGTTCGAATTCACAAGTATAATCAGTTAGCGGACGCAGGGGCAGTATGTCTTACCGGTGATTGGGGCCGGATTATGAAAGATGGGCAAGACAAAAAGTCTAACGGCTCACCCTGTGTTGTTGGAAATTGGGGAAGCTTCATCTGGCCGGAAAGCATTCCAGAACGGCTCGGCCTACTTTGCTACCTCTTGGACGTCGGTTGCTTTCACGATGTTAAGTTGTCTTCCGTGCGAAATTCGCGCAGCTGTGACTGACATGCAAGTAGACGCATGCGAGGAAATGTCTATTGCAGCCGCACACGAAGAGCATCTTGATCTTGATGCCGCCATGGATGTAAACGACAGCAGACGGTTGAGCAGCGATTCACGTTCAGCTAAGACCAAGGAGCTGGTGTCAATGGCTATCCTCGAATGCCTCAAAGTCGACCGTGTTGGGGCTCTACGTATGTTGGAAGCTTACCGCAAACAATGGCTGGCTGTCATGGAAACGTACAACACGGAAGAAATTGACAGCTTAGATGAGTATTTCACATCGCGGGCAAACAACGGAGGCATGGGGTTCGTTGCCATTCCCAATCCAGAGGCCAGCGTGCTTTTTCAGACAAATCGATGTTAACACCGTATGTGGCTAGTGCATATTACGCCATGCTAGAATTTTCTCTGGGCATAGTTGTAAGCGACGAAGAATATGACTTGATGGCTACGCCTATCAAACACGTTGAGCGGTGTATGCTCCTTACCAATGATTATTGGAGCTGGCCACGGGAGAGAGAACAGGCCAAAACCCAGGAAGCCGGAAAGGTTTTCAACACAGTTTGGTTCCTTATGAAGCAAGAGCAGTGTTCAGAGGAAGATGCCATGGCAAAGGTGGCTGAGATGGTCCATGCCGAGGAACTTCGGTGGGTCAATGCCAAAAATCAGATCTACCAAGAGCATCAAGACCTTCGCCCAGACTTGGTCAGATTTCTAGAAAGCCTGCACACTGCACTTGCTGGCAATGACTTCTGGAGTTCACAATGCTACCGCCATAACGACTGGGCTCACATTCCGGAGCAGCCTTCTGAAAATCACCCTAAGATCCATGAGCTTGCCTCTTTGGGAAGAATTGCAGCCTCATCAGATTCTGAAATATCGCTCATGCCGCCTATGCCGAAGGACAAGATTCCCAACGCAGCTCAAAACTCGCCTACCTTGTTCTGTCCGGCGAAGTCGGTCTCAGATAACTTCCAAAACCAGCAGTCAGTCAATTCTATTAGCAACTCTCATACCGAAGCAAATACCCCTGACGCCTCGCGATCCTCGTCTTCGCTTCCTGATTCCAGCTGCCCCACGACTGTTTCTGATGATGCACCGACGCCATCTATTTCTGCCTCAAAGGTCATTTCGGCGCCTATTCAATATGTGCAAAGTCTGCCGTCCAAGGGTTTTCGAACAACCCTGATAGACTGCCTTAACACATGGCTGGAGGTACCCCAACGAGAGATGGATAGTATCAAGAAAGTCATCAACAGTCTACATGATTCATCACTCATCCTTGATGATATAGAAGACAATGCAAAACTTCGTCGTGGGTTCCCAGCCACGCACATCATTTACGGTGCGAGTCAGTCTATCAACAGTGCTACTTTCCTCTACGTCCAAGCAGTGGAGGTCATCAACGAGCTAGGGGATAAGAAAATGATGAACGTTCTGTTGAGCCATCTGCGACAGCTTTTCTACGGCCAGGCTCTTGATCTTTACTGGACTTTTAATCGGAAATGTCCATCCGAGGACGAGTACTTTGATATGGTCAGTCAAAAGACCGGCGGTCTCTTGCTTATGGTATCAGACCTCATGATGGCAGCTAGTCCACGTTATGCAGCAGATCACGAGACATCGCAGCACCTTGTTCATAAGACAATTTCTAGCTTTCTGCGTTTGTCGGGTCTCTACTATCAGGTTCGGGATGATTACATGAACATTATGTCTGCGGATTACACCAACAAGAAGGGATTCTGCGAAGATTTGGACGAGCAGAAGTTTTCATACATGATGGTTTACATGTCGCAGAAATGCCCAGAAACCATGTGTCAGATTGAAGGGATGTTCAAAGCTGTGAACAACGGCATAGCTGAACCCATGGAGACAAAGAAGTTTATGGTCTCTCTTTTGCACAAATCTGGATCCTTGGATGCAACAAAGAAACTTTTGATGAGATGGCAGGACGATATTAAGAACGATATCGGGATCCTAGAGGGCCAGTTTGGTTTGCAGAACGCTGGATTGCGTCTACTCATGGAAAGTCTTAGCATAGAAGCAATTTCTTGATAATCGCACTGCAGTCGAATGTTGTAACCGATATCTCGGCTTTTCAAGACCTGTTACAAACAAAAATATTCAAATTGCTACGCCAAGTTAATATTCGAATGTTTCTAACGCAATTGCTACTCTTGAAATAAGTACCTCTGGTTTGGATCTCATTCAACCAAGTAATAACTGTAGACACAATCACAAATGCGAAGAGATTAAGGCATTTCTTAATATTTCCGAAAATAAAATCCATCAAACGGCATTCTACCCATGACTCTTAGTGACCTTTCTAAACTTGCTGATTTCAGATCATGTTTTGTCATCTGCTGCTTCGCCTGCTCTATCTCAGCCCACTCTAAATTCCTTGCCTCTATCATCTTCTACCCCCTTGAGGCTACGCGTATCGTTTGATTTCCCAGCCTAACTTCGCTGACGGTCTAATTGGTGGATTCAGTAAGACTTTTACCTATAATGGCATCGGGACTCTCTCCGGTGGTTTCGGCCCCATTGTCTCCAAGCAGTGGGATGACATTTGACATAAGCGCGACGATGCAGAAAGAAAGGTTGGCAGAAATTCAACCAGAAAGCATATCTAGATCATTGGAATCATAGAAAACAGCGAAGCTGTTGTACGATTCATTATGCCGAGGTTTGTTCCATCTGCGGAGGTTGTGACTGCGGGGTTATGGCTCGGACCCTCGGCCACTTGTGCAATTGAGGCGGCAGTCACAGAAGGATCCAAAGATTGACATCTGCCATCACTTTTTGGTGAAAATTCATATTTATCGTATAATAAATTCATCATTGATTTACACAATGCCATTAAGAGCGAAGCTTGTCGGACATTTTACCTCCGGGGACAATGGAGAGGCACGCGTCGCATCGGCTTCCGGATCCGCAGCGGATAGGCGTGCTGGACTGGCAGAGCTGGCGCGAGATGAAGAGATCCATTACATTGTTGGCGACTGGATGTCAGAATATAACATGGCTCTTAGGGGTGGCGCGAAAGCCGACAATCCGTCGAACTCAGCTGAGTATGAGTCGTCATTTCTGGAGTCGATTCAGCCGGCATTGGGACATCTTGACACTCGGCGCATCAAGGTTGCCGTCAACGCTGGGGCGAGTGATACGAAGAAATTGCGCGACGTTCTGGTCAATATGATTAATGAACAAGGTCTGAACTTGAAGGTTGCCTGGATTGAGGGGGACGAGGTGATCGACGTAGTTCAGAAGGGATTGGAATCAGGGCATGGGTTTCAAAACCTGACAACTGGTAATTACTGGCCATCGAGAGTTCCGATGATACTGAATTATAGTAACGAATTTAGGCCGAAACATCAAGGATTGGAACTACGAGCCTATCTATGCCCAAGCTTACCTTGGTTGTTGGGGCATCGTCGAGGCCTTCCAGCAAGGCGCTGACATTGTTTTGTGCGGCCGTGTCGCAGATGCATCACCTACTGTTGCATGCGCAGCATATCATCATGGCTGGACTCGTGTTGACTACTCTCGGCTTGCACACGCACTTGTCGCCGGCCACCTTATTGAGTGCACCACTTATATCACTGGAGGTAACTTTTCAGGGTTCAATAGCCTTTCCGGAAACTCTGTTGATCTCGGTTTTCCCATTGCTGCAATTGATAATACCGGAGAATTCAGCGTTTATAAGCAATCTAAGAAGGATGGGATGGTTACACCGGAAACATGCACAGCGCAGCTGTTGTATGAGATTCAGGGGCCTTACTACTACAACTCCGACGTTGTTGCAGTACTCGATAAAATAAAAATGGCTCAAGTTGGGGAGAACAAAGTGTAAGATACCTTTCAACTTCTTTTTAACTTATCGACTAACATCTTTATGGGCGTGTGTCCAACGTCGGACACATGAAGCCTCCATCGACAACCAAGGTTGGCATAGTTGCCAGAGGTGGATACCAAGCTGAAGCTCACTATTTCCTCTGTGGGCTCGACATCAAAGAGAAAGCTGCTTTGTTTGAAAGACAAATTCGGCATGTACTGGATGAAACGCAATATTCTTGTCTCAAGTTCAGCACCAATGGGTCGTGTCCGGAAAACCCATCAAATCAGGATGCGGCAACAGTTGACCTGCGCATTTTCGCTCAATCACGTTCTAAGGAGACACTGTCCCCCTTGAAGTTTCTTAAGCCGATTGTCGATAATATTATGCAAAGTTACCCTGGGGCGACGTTTCATACAGACACACGGCAAGCCTTCCCGAAGGAATTCTATGAATGTTGGGTCAGTATCATCCCGCAGACCGCCATAAAACATGCCTGTCACCTTCCATGGAAGGATCAGCACGTGGAAATACCTCCTCCGATGGACACGGCAGCGTTTGTTTACAAGCAACCAACGTACGAAACGAGCGACCCTATAAACCCTGCGTCTCTCGGACCAGCAATTAAAGCGCCGCTGGGATACATTGTTCACGCAAGGTCCGGCGACAAAGGATCTGATAGCAATGTCGGCTTTTTTGTGCGGGATTCAGGTGAATGGGACTGGCTTAGATCTGTGTTGACCGTCAATAAGATTCGAGAACTTTTGGGCGATGATGACAAAGGAAAGCCCATTTTCCGCTTTGAGCTTCCACATCTCCATGGTAGGCAGCTTTCTCACTATGGTTCTGCACAACACTGACATGACATAGCTGTTCACTTTCTGCTTAAAGACCACCTCGATCGTGGTGTGACATCAAGCTCGTCTTATGACTTCCTTGGGAAGAACCTGGCAGAGTATTTACGTTGCAAACACGTTGACGTCCCAGAGATGTTCTTGGCCCAAGGAAAGATCTGACGTCTAGGTGTAGATTACGTTGCAACATTTCTTCTAAGGACAGAGTTCTGATCACAGCCGATGAGCTCCTTGTAACCAGTCATTATCGGACACCACGGGATGGAGGGGATTGCGATACATTTACAAGAGTGAGAATAAGGATTCAGTACAGAACCGAATGAACCGCTTAAACCTTGGAAATGAAGCTTTTACAGTCTCCTACTAGTTGATATACTGGATTAATCGCACCTGAACGCCCACGGGAGGCTTAGGGGCATAGCATCAACCATGGAATACTATGCCAGACACAACATCAAGACGATGACTGAACAGACACGACATTTGCGGCTTAGATACATACTACAGCCGCTCTACTGCTATTAATATGAGCACCTTTCCACAGCGTTGAGAGGCTTCTGATACATTCCTTGGGGAGGTGGGTATGCTCAGAAAAGACCGATGCCTTATCCTCACATTAGTTGCCCGAGAAACCATTCCTAATTAACAAATTCGAAATCAAATGTCTATGTTACTCTTCGAATTGCCTCCATTCTGGTTCGATTTTCAAACACGGGGTCAAATGTTAGTTAGCTATGACGGTGGGCAGCAAAGAACACGCGATGTAGGGACCTTAGGGACCTACAGAACGTTTAAGCTGCTTAAGGACGTCCTGCGAATATCTACCCCGGCAAATTGAGTGAAATCAGAGGTTCGGTGATGTTACTAAAAGGAATATATCAGAATTACCCATTATCCCATCAACTGCTGCTGGGCTACAAGTACAGGTAAATAGCATGCGGAGTTACAACCAATCAGGAACAGACAGTGTGAGTTTCCTCCCAATTCCATACTTATTGTCCGCGGAATTTGGAGAAATATGGGCCGTTTTGTGGCTCGCAATGGGCCTGTAGCCCGACAGCACTTGATGTGATGGGTGACGGGATACCTGGAGCCCAGCCGCCGATCATCTTAGATTGTTCTGCTAACGTCTGGAGAAAGACCTCCCTCACAATGTCTTTGCACGACAGGGTTTCGTCAGATAATTCTGAGTTCATAATCCTAAGCACTCTAGTTTGTGGAGCAGCTCACAGAGGAGTTTCGTATGAAACGCCTGAGACATTCTTTTACGTTGAGTGTCTTCTTGCCCTCTATCGTTTCGAAACCTCCAGTGGAAAGATCATGACGTCTGTTGCGGAAAGGCACAGCTGCTCATTAGCAACCCTGTCAGAGTGTCCCTTGGCTAAAAACCACATCTTGTCTGTTGAAATGAGGATGAATAGTACCTGGAAGAAAAGCCTGATACACCTGTATCGCTATTTACCTGTCCCGTCGTGCTCGCCCCGTTACCCATTGCCAACGCCATATTCACGTGGCGCGAATTGAATTTGGCCTGCGACGCAGGGACCGAAAACAGTCCAGGGGGTGACGCGGCGATGATTAAGTGGCGGGTTGATAAAGCAAGGCTCGAGGCCCCATCAAGGCATCTGTCTCATCCTTTTGGCTGACAAGCGAATCACCGACTAGGATGTTGCTGATAATCCCCCTAGCCAGAAGGGGCAAAGTGGCGTGGCGCTCATCCCGCGGATCATCCTATCCGCCAACCGGAGCATATGCCCATACCGATAGCTCGGAGGTGTAAATATTTCAGGTATTGAGACCCGTGGTTCAGGAGACAAAGTTACCCGGACGCAAAACTCCACTGATCTCCTTCGCTTCTCGGGATGCTGCAAGCCAACCAGGCGCGTGGCGGGATTCCCTAGCTTGAGACAGCGCCACATGCCCGAGGGGGAAACGAAGCTATCTTGTCAGATGTCACCTTATGGTCAGTTGGAGAGAGAGCTGGCCCTCGCAGCGTACATGAATATTTTAAAACGTCATTGCTGTGCCTGGTTATATAATAACCTGACATGCTGCAGTTCCAGGCTTTGAATTATTACGGAGTCCAAGCCATCATCAGTAGTTGTTTTTCACAAGCTCCTACAAAACCATCTGTCCATTAATAATTGTTCAGCCATCTGGTTACAGAACCAACGCCTTGACATTACCATCATTTCGTAGCCCACCGTCACCCGCCATTATGCCGCGCCTATCAGAAACCATTAAACAAGATCACCGGAGGATCGAACAAGCATACAGATACATTCTTACTGCGTCGTCGACCGAGGATAAAGTCCGCTGGAGAAACGAACTCGCTCTCGAACTGGCAAGGCATTGTATCAGCGAGGAGCAGGTTTTGATTCCTGTCCTTAGGGACCGTCTATTTGACGGCGCATCAAGATGTGAAAAGAATCACGCCGACCGGATGAGTGTAAGTCTCTCCAGCGCATTTGCTCCTTTTCGTATGGAAGGGATGCTGACGATCAGCAGTTGAAGGAGAAGATCTGCAAGCTCCAGGTTATCCCTGTCGATGATGCGAGCTTCGAATCCGAATTAAAAGCACTTTGGGTTGATTTGGCAGCACACGTTCGCGACACCGATCACCAGGACGTTGCAAGGCTTGAAGAATGTCTTAGCATTACCGAGTCCGAAGAGCTTGAGGAGCAGTTTCGAAACACGATGCTATTCGCCCCTACCAGAAGCAATCCCTCGGCCTCTCACGGGCCCCCATCAAAACTGATTACGGACTTTCTTGCTACGAAAGAGGGCTCGCTTACCAGCCTTGATCCGATTGTTGGAGGAACTCAATAAAGCTTTGAAGTTTATCGCTGGATTCAAGCAGTCGCATGATATATGATGTTATGGTTAGATGAAACGTCAGAATATATTATTTGACTCTTTAAGGGTTATACCTTTTGCTTTTGAGTTCTAACTGTGTTTTTTCGCTCGACGTAGATCTGAACCCATCTTTACAGGTTGATTGATAACCGTTCTTCGCATGCGACCTAGTTGAAACTCGATGATTCCCACAGCAACGGCGTAATTTTGAAGGGTAGTTTCCTTAAATCAACAGTCGATATTGACATGTAAACTCTAATACCGAAAGTCCGGAGACATCGGAGACGGGAGATGGAAGTCGGCCCCACTTACGCGGGGTTGGCCGTGTTTTGTCACGTTCACGTCATTGCCCAGTGAGACCCAGACTCCGGCAAAATCGGAACGCAAGCTACTGTTTATTACAACCAATTTTCAAATAACAATTATCAGGGTTTGAATTTGCTGAAAAGAGTTTAAATTGAAGAATGCCATTAGTATGTTATGAAAAATGACTTGCTACTGTTTCGAGTCCCACCATTAAAGGAATCCCTTTTTCCGACGATACGGGACATGTTAGCTTGATCGCATTTGCCTGCCCCAATGTGTTGTGCGCAAAAAAAGTGCCATTACAGTAAAATTACGTAGGAAATGCTCACGCGGCCCACAAGAGTTCGTTCCGGCGACTCTGTCATGTTGACGTTGCTTTGCTCCGCACCCTGGATTATTGAATGCAAGCCTGCATTCGTTTGGATCAAATCAGTAAGCAAATGCAACTTTAACGGCACCAGCGACTCCACTCACCATTCTGATGTATCTTTACGTAGAGTACGTAGTTGAAAGTCTAACAAGTGATTCGCAGTCACCTCTATGCAACACGCCTTGAATTTTCTGCCAAGGGAGTGACATCAGAAACCGTTCAACGACATTGCTTCTGGCGGCAAGCAAGTGGAAAACCTAGGAACAAATTGCAACAGCATGAGCCAGAAAGTGCCAATTATTTTCGGGGTCTTCGGGTCACAGTAAGCTTAAGTAGAGTATATAAGCTGGACCCCAGGCGCTGATCCTGTTCAACTCCCGCTCTCAACTCCGAAATCCACTAGCAATTCCCCAACCGTCGGAGAGCTTTCAAGGATGTCTCACAGATACGAATACCGGGACGACTTTCCGTCGCGTCGACGCCACCACTCTCCCAGTTACTCCGAGTATGGGGGAGATACCCCATATCCCAACTCGTCAAGGGATGCTGGGGCTGTCCGACTTGCTCGGAGACATCACGATCACTCTGATCGAAGAGCGCATTTTGAAGATTATCAGAGCGATCGACACCGACCCTACGATGATGAATACTACTACTATGATGAAAAGCGATCGCACTCTCGACCACGATCTAGAAATCATGATCATGAACATGCAAACGAGCATCACCATGGGCGTCGCCGTAGCCGAAGCAAAAGAAGACATTCTAATGCAGGTCCTAATTGGAGCCAGGCAGCGATTGCGGCTGCTAGTGCTGGAATCATCGAAGCCGGGCTGTCAAGGAATGACAGAGACCGGACATCAAGAATAGTTACAGCCGCAGCGGGGGCTGGTGCCATCGACGCCGTGGCCGCGAGGCATCATGAGAAGCCTCACAAGAGCTGGGAGCATATTGTCGGAAGCACAGTGGGCGGGTTAGTAATAGACCGTGTTGCCCATGGTTCAGGACGTCGTTGAATTTGGTACGATAATGATGCAACGAATAGCGATGTAATACTAGATTCACCAATATAGAACGGATTATTTGATCAACTATGCCCTTAACCTTTGGCTTCACACCATTGATAGATGCATTATTGCCAGATTGAAGGCACGTATGGCATCGGCCCGGGATGCACCGATGTATTATAAAAAACTGTATCCTGTTAGAGGTTGAGTCTATGTCTGGAAAGTTTTGTCAAGCATTGGAAAAGGCTTGATCATTTGCAGAACAGTTAATACATTTGGTTCCAGTCACCCGATTATCCGAACTAGTTCCAAAGGCTTGACTGCATTCCGACTTAGGAAAGTCTCTCAATTTAAGCGAAACTAAAACTGATGAGCTGAATCGTCTCGCATCAGCACGTAAATAATAGACTTGCCTTAAAAGAACCGGACTGGGAATAAATTCCGCAGAACAAATGTCTCTGCCCTTGATGCACAGATTGAACTCAGGGATCCGCCTGACAAATTAATTTTTAGTATGGTCACATTGCTGGGCTTACCAGACAAAGACGTTCGCATTGCTTAGCTAAACCATGCATTGCGAAAGCCAGGGACTAACGTTAGGCTCCGAGTTGCCACAGCCAATTTATACTGTTTTTATTCTTCTTGAAGCGACTTAGCAATACGCAGTTTAAATATCTTGGAGCTGTTCAAGTGCCATTTGATGTTGTTTCTTTGAACTTGGACAGCAAATCATTCAATCTGACCTACCCAGTCATAATTTGACATATACTATTAAGCCAGGAATTCAGTTCCGTAATCAATTTGGGCGGCCAAAAACGGTGAGCGCACCAGACCTACCAAGGGCCCTTTGCGGAACACCAGAAGCGCCGGGAATGCTCCTAAGCAACCTCGACGCTAGCACAATCTTTGTTGTTGATGGATAATATCAAAACACAATGTACGAGAAGGGAGGCGGCTTCCTGCTTCAAGGGCCTCGGAAGCGATGCTGAAATTGGCCGTAGACAACAGGTGTAACCGCCAGTATTTTAAGCGCCATAGCGCCCCGTGTTAAACATCATTTGATTTCACCTGGGTCGCGAAACAGGCAGCCTCCTATGTCTTGGGCTTGAATATTGAAAAAGACAATCAACAGAAGCTGTTAATAGTCCTATTGTATGTACCACAAGCCTACCAACATTCAACAGATGATCCAACCTGTTTACAGTGCGGACTCGGAAGAATCTCCAAAGTTTCTTGTGTTTGGGTTTTGGTGCACAACTGCCATCAAAAAGTGTGATTCTTTCATGTTGTTTCATTCTTCCGACTGGCCCTTCTCTATCGGCCTCACCGAAATGTCCCAGTCCAAATTCTTTCAAGTGAGAGAGCCACAGCTATAGTGAGACCAGCCACATCATGCAGGGGCTATGTCCCGAAATGGATATTGTAGCCACTCTCTCTCTCTCCATCATCTTGTGCACAAGACATTCTGACCACCGGAATCAACTTTCCCTTTTGATGCCGCTGACATAAGGTTGGCTTTCAGGAGGCAGGGATTGTTCAGCTTTTGATCTGTGCGCTACCATTGCTTGATATAGCGGCTTTGCCATGGTGCTTCCAGGATGACAACTTGAGATATTGAAACTCTATTTCCTCCTATTAAGCAGATCACGCAGGAAACAATCTATTTCCATCTCAATGGGTCCCTCTTTTACGTCACCCGAGTTTCCTTATTTGGCGCGCTCAGACTTATATCCAGAGCGGCACTACCTGCCCCTTATGGCGCTTTCATTCACTTTATGCTTGATACTTTCCTTTCTGAGCCAGCCTCTGAAAAGGGAAGAAACACGTTTGGTTCATCTTTCCTCTCCCTACATTAAATTTTTCCACGCCTATCCCCGTTCGATGACCTCAGCCTATTCCCTAGATAGGCCTCCATCCAAGATGTCCCATGGCATAGGCACGTTGTTATGAAGTGGAAATGGCAATAGAATGTCTCAATGTTGGCAACCTGTTCCTCACGCGTGCGACGCTCTTTTCCTTCAATCAAATGCATACAGAAATCGAGGCAGGATTTCCAGGCTCGCAGATGGCCTGTTCTCCACATTGATGATAGGTCTAAGGCGATCATGCCAGCCTCAGATATTATGTGCGGCACACTCGTATCCGCCCCAGCACAGGGGCCCGGTTTGGAAGAAAAAACCCTTGTTTGGCTAGCATCAGCGCGGTCGTTGATCTCTCGACTGCAGGGTCACACGAGGAAACTCCAGTGCCGAATTCCGTGTTAACAGATCGTCATAGTCATACTTTTCGAGGCCGAAGAACACACTCCCCTTGCGTCTGTTTAGTATTTCTTGTACAGTGGAGCTTTTACGTTGGCTAAGGGGCTTTTACAGAGGATGGAATCGGTGCTTTGTATAGTAAATCTGGAGATTCAGTGTGAATAGGTTAATACGACACTTTCATGACTCAAATCTAGTATCTTAATGCCATGCTACCCATCAAGTTACCCATAATTAGCATGTAAACGACCCTAAGGCTTTCTCTCGTCTTATCCGCGAAATGGCGATCCATATCTATGAGTCAAGCATCGCACAGCCCCAGGTGTGCTAAAGATTGATCACCCAGCTCTTAGACCGCTTGATGATAGAAAACCAGAGTGTGCAAAGCCTTGCCAGAAATATTTATAGGCCACCAGTTACCTCCACTGTGCCTCCATCTTAAATCACTCGTCTCAACGTCTCATCTCTTTAACTTTCCTGGGTCGTCTAAGTTTGCTTTCACAACCTTTCGATCAACACGCCACCTTACCTCACAGAAAAGATGCAGTTTACTACCCTTTTCCTCCTTCTTGCGCCGCAAGTCATGGCGGCAACCTGGAACCTTTCCGGCACCTGCAAGAACCAGATTTGCGAAATCGACACCCAGTACACCAGCCCTCAGCTCGTTTGTGGAAACTCAAACGGTCGCTTTAGTGACACGGGCAGAAATGGAAGGTCAAGCTGTACCGGATCAAGCAAGTGCACGTACGTCTGGACGTGCTAAGCATCTAATGCCACGGATGAATGAATTGGTAAGTGGGAGATAGCACGACAAGTCTTACTAAGTACTTGGTCCTGACTTTGCAATTTAGGGATATCACCTGTTAGGAGTTGAGCGAGTCGAGTCTCATTTACTGCCATTGGTTTAGAGTGTATATTGAGATGTGAAAGGGCCGGCTCCTCTAAGCCCGATTGCTCTTCAGTTTACAGTATTGGATATTGGTTGACCGCTGCATTGCATCCAAGTAATGTTGGATGATGGCACCCAAAAGAATGCCTTTGATGCAGTTGCGCGATGTATAAATCAAGTGTACGGTATCAATGGTTCAGTCAGTAGTTTCTTGAAATATGCATATGCATGGCGCGAATTTTCAGTCTTCGTGACAATAATGTTCAAACTTCGAGGAGCATATCTTTTGTATTCTTAAAGGGCGGCTGAGACGAAAGCCTGAATGCCGTTCTTTGCCAACATCTCGTTCCGACAGTGGTATTTAATGTGTATAGCTTCAGGCTAATGAAATAGACTTTCCTCTGCAGTTTATAGTTTGTGCTGCTAGCATTATTTGTGGTACCAATGCACGCCAGACTCGTTCTAGAAGTGCTGAATAGCCAGGCGGCTTAGTGACAGTTGTGGGGGAGACGGTTAAGCACAATCTGCTGAACAGGACACTATGGGCGAAAAAACAGGGAACCGACTCGGGTACCAACTCCATTCAAAGGCGCCCAACGTTGGACCCTATGCAAGCAAAGTTATTTAGACACAGCTGAGGAGCAAACGTTTAGGGATTTTAGCAGAGAAAACTCACCAGCCCTTAAGACTCTATTTATGAGTAACCGACTTCATCATCCGCAAGGTGTCTTCTTGTCTTCCCACTCCGACCAGCGGCTCTCCTCCATCTCTCTGTTGTACAACTCCATATCGTATGCGCTGTTTCATCATATTTCTTGAAATTTCAGCCGCATCTAGTTGCCCCGTCTCTTGCAGATTCATATACCTGGAATCTCGAATTACCGTAGATGCGTATCCAAGAATTTCGGGCCCTTGAGCCCAGTGCTTATACACTACACCTAGAATCCCTGCTCCAAGTAGGACAATGCTCGATGCCAAGCATAGCGCAGCCCACCCCTGCGATACACCGAAAACGAGCGTCAGTCTGCTGCTTACCGCTGGAACAGTAATGTTGTTGTATAGAATTGTGTTTTCAGCGTCGCCTGTAATGTTCAAATACAGTTGGCCCAACAGTAAATATGTGTTGAGCAACTGGCCTAGGCGGCTCTCAATCTCCTCTGCTGTAATATTTGTCAAGAACGCCTCTTCATTCCATCCCAAAGCCTTGAGAGTGGGATCTTTCAAATAATAAAGCGACACCTCTGATTGATATGATACACTCCCTCCAACTGTCAGGGGTAGTTCTTGGGAAACCAGGTTAAAAACAGGCGGAAAAGACAGTTGCGATATGTTTTCCGGTGCGTGTGGCTTTCTCGAGGGCCTTTGAGCGGTAACGCTGCAGTTTTGTCTGGAAGAGCCGGCTGTACTGGAACAGTTGACGCGGGACTCGACGTATTTCTGGGTTACGCTACAGTATGCCCTTAAAAGGGCGTCAGCGGAGGATTTGCTTGAAGAAGAAACGGCCTGAAACAATAGTGTCGTTGGCCCAGCCTCTATCCCTGTTTCGTTTTGGAAGAGAATAGGTCGGTTTAAATATCGACTGCGGTTGTCATTCAAAGTCTCAAAGAACTTTGATGACCCAGTTCCATTGCTTCCCATCCACAGGGGGTCGACAAACCGGTCAAGAGCAAGACTCCACGTTGTTAAGATTGACCCGTTCCTAGTTGGGCGATCTCCATACCAGGTGCCGTTAGGTTGTTCGTAAACGTAGCTTTGGTTGCTACCTGATTTGAACGATGTAACAGCACGACTGAGCGTCTCGTTGTTGACCAGCTCGGCATTAATGACATTTCCTGCTGGTTCTAGGACATTAGAGATATTGCTGCATTTGAGTTGCAGGTAGCTGGACTCCAAGGGAAATGTGATGTTGAAGCCTCGGTAGATATTCTTGATCGGGATACCAGCTAGGGAAGAATAATCAACTGCACTAGCATCCTGAGGTACATCTTCCCATTCTTCCTCTAGTGTTTGCTTCATGTAAGGAATCTTGATATGGCCCCAGAGATCCATCGTATCCTGCTTAACTGTTTCGGACGTCATGACAAGAGTGGTATACAAGGATCCCAAAGATCGGAAGGTCGCTGTCATTTGAAGCTTAGAGGTCATATCGTCCCTAGAGCGTGACCAAGTGGTTAGGTAGCTCGCAGAGTTGCTGTCGAAGTAGGCGATGCCAGCAGGGTTGATATCGGGTTCAAGTCTCAGTGCCGTCATCCGAAGGAGTGACTGGGTTCCCAAAGGCGAAAAAGCCCACAGGATGAGTAACAAGCAGGTGAGAACGTTGAAAGACCGGAACCGGACCATAGTCAGAGCTGCTCCGCCGACTGTGTGACTTCCCACCAACTGCTCTAGGGTGCCTACGGTGGTACCAGTCTCGAGTTTCCAACGCGCAGCTTCGGACATCAAGCAGCCAACAACCACTGCAAAGACTATGGGGAATACAGTTGCCAGCTTGGTTACTGAGCGTTAGCCCAATGATGCGTTATCCATTTTTATCAGAAGCAGCCAACACTTACCACTGTGATCGTATTTTGCAAGTCATCGTACCATCCCTGGTTGACTTGAAAACCATTCATGTGCCAGATCATTGCAACAAAAATCACCATGGCCAGTGGCAGCGAAACCATGATGATGTCGGCTGAGATGGTAGAAATTTCCACTTTGCGTCTCGGATACTCTACACGTGGGATGCCATCGTCCACTGCTACTGGCTTGTATCCAGTCGAGTCGTTTTGGTGACCTCCTGAGTTTGATGTCGTTGTCATGTCCGCGATTGTCACGTCCGCGGAGCGTTTTTCAGGGCATAGCGGGACAGTTTTTGCTTGTTGCAATTGACCGTCATCGTACGAGTCAGTAGATGGTGACCGAAAGTGGCTAATATCCGCGGGCGGGAAGTGACTGTTTGATCGTTGAGGTGAAGGCATTCCACCGCATTGATGTTGAAAGCCCCTGATAACAAAGATGAGCTGGTTAGAATGTTACTGTAGTTGTTGTGATACTTTATCTCGAAGAAACGAATTCAAAGCAAGGTATTCGGATTACTGGAAGTTAAATACATCACTGTACCAAGCTGCTTCAAATACATTTCTCATTCGTAGGATTCCATGCATAATGGTTATGCTGCGGCTGAGCAGGCGGCCAATCGCATGCCATGTTCTTGATACGATGCAGACAAATGTCGGTGCCTGCAGAACACAGTCTAACTGTACATCGTAACTCGTTCCCGTCTTGGTTAGTTCACCCACAGAAATTTATAACTTGCAGCAGAGAATACAATAGCCAACGCAACCTTTACACAAATGTAGGAGGTTCAAGGGCGAACGAGCTCCCCATGCATTTGTTTAAACCAGTCCGACCATAAACCAAGGCAAGTTTCATACGATATTAGGCTGAAAGGTGGGCCATTCAAGATAAACAAAGATAGATATGAACGAAAAGGATATGTAAATTTGGCAATCTATGTACCAGTAGTGATGATCAAATGTCTACAGGAGAAACGAAGTAACACAGTTTTATCTTACACTCCATCCACTTAATGCATGTGCTTGTGGGGGGCTCTTCCAAGCCTCATAGGACGTCCCCGCAAGTGCCGTCTGGCGTGGCTAGCAGCAGAAGCGGTAGAGTTGGAAATCTGGCACGAGCTGTATTGGGCACCACGTCCGTTGGTACCAACATAGACGACATTGGCCTCGTTAGCAGAGCCGACAAGAGCAGCGCTATCGATAGCTCCGAAGCTGTGGGAGCCTTGGATATCATTCCAGGTGACACCAGCATCAGCGCTGCCGTAGAGCTTGTGACCCTCAGATCCGTTTCCAAAGGCATACAAATTCCAGTTGGTACCGTCTCCCTTGCCGACAGAGACGGCGTGGGCGTTGGAGGGGCTGGAGGGCAGAGCAGTGAAGGTTTGTCCGTAAGTCGTGCTGTGGAAGATGCCGGCGTCAGTTGAGACCCAGATCTCACCGGATTGAGTTGGGTGGGCAGTGATGTGGCGGATTTCTGTGGCATTGCCAAAGACAGAGCCAGTTGATGCGGTGAAAGTGGCCGCGCTGTCAGTGGAGATGTAGAAGGTCGCCTTGGAGCCGGCGTAGAAGACAGTGCCGTTCTTCTTGTCGCTGGCAATGACGCTGCTGGCAGGAAGAGTAACGTTCTCCAGCTTGCCCTGGTTACGAGAGACAAGGACACCCTCGTTCAAGGTAGACCAAAGAACAACGTCACCGTCGGCAGAGTAGGCAACGGTACCATCGGCGGCCGTGTTACCAGTAGCATTAACGACAGCCCAGGTAGCACCGCCATCACTGCTAAGGGCCAGTTGGGGAGTGCCAGTCACCTTGCCGATACGGGCTACCTTGGAGTTATCGTTTCCAGCAAAGTCGACAGAGACACTGCTTGCCCACCAGGGGTTGGTCCAAGCGGTCTTGGGGGCAGTGTCAAGAGAGGCGACCGAGTCGTACGTGAATCCGTTGTTGTCCAAAGTAGCAACCAGGAGTTCAGTACCGCCAGGAGCACTGGCCAAGCTGGACACGGACATCTCCTCAATACCGGAAGCAAGACTCTCAATGGTTACAGTCTTGTTGTTGTCCCAGTTGGTCAAATCGTGGCCGCCGTAGATGGTGAGACCGGTACCGTAGAACCATCTATCGCTGTCGTGGGGGTCAATCTCAAGGGACTCGATCATCCAGCCGAGCTTCTTGGTGTCAATGTCCAAGAAGTTGGTCTCAATCCAAGGCGCCTGCTTCACGTGAGTTGTTGTACTAGTTGTACGTTGGAATTCCAGACTTACGTTCTTGGCACCGATGGTGTACTGAGGTGCGACCTTGCCGTCAGCTCCCCAGTTCCAGATCTTCTTCCAGGTGGCACCAGAGTCGGTGGAGCGGAAAAGCTGCGCATCGGGGTACCAGCTGTTCAAGGTGGCGACAACGATGGTGCCAGGCTTCTGCGCATCAACAGCAAGACCACCTGAATAAGGAGTCAGTATAACTCGTGAACCAAGGGTGTGAGCTCATACCGGCTCAAACAACTTACCGAATCCGTAGAAAAGATCGCTGCCAGAGGCAGGGGTGATGTCAGTCCACTTTCCGGAAGTGAGGTCGTATCTGTAGACAGCACCCTGAGTGCCATCGTAAGGGCCAGTGCCGTCAGAGTAGGTGAAGTAGATGACCTAAGTGTCCTTCATTAGCAACCTAGCCTACGTCTAAATGAAGTCATATGCTCACCTTCTCGGCAACCGAGAGTCTAGCCTTGTGGGGGAAGAACTTGGCAGGCTGGTCCGCAACAGGGTTCCAAGTAGCACCAGCGTCAGTGCTAACATAGACCGAAGCGGTGGTGTTATCGGCCGTACCGACGAAGATTCTGGAAGTGGCTCCGTCTACGGCCTCGGATGTCTCGTCGAATGTAACAAAGGTGAGACCCTGGAGGTCGCCGTTGTAGGCGTCACCCTCAGGACCGGGGCGGAATGTACCGACAGCCTCGAAGGAGGATACCTTGGAGAAAGTAGCGCCGGCGTCTGTGGACTTCCAGAGGCCGTTGCCGCTTCTAGCACCGAAGTAAAGAATCTTTGGGTTCTTGGGGTCAACGGCGAGGCGCTCGCCAGTTCCGCGGCCGGGCATGTTACCGCCGACCTTGAAGGGGAGTGTGGTGACCTCCCAGGTCTGGCCCTTGTCGGAGCTGCGTGCAATGCTGCCGTTCTTGGGATCCCTACGTTGGTCAGCCTACGCAATGTCCAACGTGATGCTGACATTGGAGCAATTACCAGTCATTGGTGTACATTCCTGTGGCAATGTACAAATTGTTCGCATCCGCGGGATCAAGAGCCAAAGCGTCAATGCCCCATCTGTTCCAGTTCGCATCGTGGGCGAAGCCGTTGGCGTCGGTGATGGGCGTCCAGGAATCGTCATCGTTGAGACGGTAAACGCCGCCAATATCGGTGCGGGCGTAAGCGACGCCCTTCTCGGTCGGGTGGAAAACAATGGACGGGACGAAGCCTCCACCGCCTCCAGTGTGGACGTTCTTCCAGTCGCAGGCAGCGCGGACGGATGCCGCCGCCGCCGCCAAGAGAAGACCGGTGCCTCTCATGTCGAGCGTATTTGAAGCTGGCCTAAATCACTTGAATTTTCAAGAAGTGTGTATGAATCCTAGAATGGACCAGCCAGATTGAAACGAATGTGTTTGATAAAAAAAAAAAAGAGCGTAGTCACGAAAGCGAACGTGTGTGAGAAGCACAAAGATTGGACTTGAGGGAGGACAAGGAGGTGAGCATCTTGAACCGAAGACCCAGGTTTTCTATTATTTGAGCCCCTCGCTTTCGGACTGCATTCTTTCTTCGGCTGGTCAAAACCGGTAAGCTAACAAGGGTCACAGTTGGATCTTCAATGGCGCTTCTGGAAGACGTGGATCTCGAATAGATTAGAAGCTCCCCAGAAGACTCTCATTTCGCATAGTACCACTGTCAGTGGCGTTCCGGGATCCGAAGTGAAAAGATACACAATCGGGTGGAATGTGCCATGTATGCAAGACGCAAGCCCCGAATAATCCACCAGTAGAAAGAAACTTGCACATACTGAGGCAGAATGAGTTAATATATCCATGTAGGATGAGGTCATGTCCTCCCAGCGGTAAACCGTGGTGTCGAGTAACTTAAAATACAGGCTACTACCGCTTGTACGGCCATCAGCACAGAGTACCAATGTGTCAGATAAACATGCTAAGTAGTAAAACCCTGGCAAATTCATTACGGGGGTGAGCAGATGAAACCCATGCGCCAAACTCAAATTGGCTAGCAAGCGGAGCCTTTATAATGTCAGGGGGGAACACCTGTAGCCAAGCGACAAAAGCATTTTTCTGTTAGTCATGAGGCGGAAGTTTCCTAATTCGAAGAACCATTGGAGCCGACTGTTTGGACGAAAATATTCTGAAGAATAAACGAGACGATTGCAGGCTGGGATGTCGTGATGATACGAAATGCAGGGATGCGTCAGTTGTACATTCTTACATATGCTATTGTTGCTGAGTTTGCATACGCGCACTTAAGGTTCACTACCGAATATGATGCTTATGTAGGTGTAGCGAGCTTCGAACTGTACTCAAATGGCCCCAAACTCTGTTTTTGTAAAGACCGTAACCTCTTCTACCAGTAAAGAGCCCGTAATTTATCTACAGTGACTTTGTAACAATTAGCCCTGCATTTTCTTTCTAATCGTGAAATAATGTTTGACAACTCCCATCACAGTTCAGAAGCACGGCAGTATCTCAGGATAACACCAGCATGCAGTACCACCGTGAAAGCATAAATGACTTTAGGCACAATCTGCGATGGTTATCATCGGTTTCTCGCAGGGTTCGCAGCTTATATCAGGCCTATTTTCAGTCCAATTGTTAGAATGACGCTGCATCCATGGTAGTGCCTAACTATTGCTGTCTTGTGCCTACCGTACTGGTGCGGTGTCAGGGTTCGCTGACTTTTGTTATCGACTGGCCCAATTTCTCTGTATGTCTAACTGCAGCACATTGGCTCTACGGAAACACTACGTCGAGCATGTTCCCTAGCCTGTTCATCGGCTCAGAGAGGCTGAAACACAATGTCATCGTTGCTGAGGGTGAACTTGTAAAGCCAAGACTAATAACGGCGATTTGGAATACCCTTTAGCTTTTTGTTTTCCGTGAGCCCGTAGAGCCCGTTGGACACGCACTTTTGAGAAAGTCAAAAGGGAGGCGAATCGCAGTGAAGTTAAGCCTACTAGAGCCAGCAGAAGGCATCGTAAACTTCTTTGTGTGAGCCAGTCTCAGACACCCGAACGTCCCGGTGACATCAGCTGAGGCGCTTTTCGCCTCGGCAAAAACGATTCCACGCGCTAATAATTGAGCTGTCGAAGATCCAGGTTGCGGCTATAGAAGCTTAGCTCGACTCGAATTCAGTTGGCCTTCCATATTCCCAGCATTGTCCTAAGATGGAGTCTAAACTCAATTCCGCTGTTAGCGTCTGCTAAACTTTCTCGAAGTCCTTTCTACCAACTTTTGCACCTGAATTTATCCTATATAGCTGTTTTCTTTTTTTTTTTTTGACTTTCTCTAAATTGTCAAAGCCAACATCCGCTGTCAGACCACAAAGCTCTAAGTGCGGTGGTAATCGGTAGGAAGGAGAAAATTCGACAACTAAAAGGTCCGGCCGCACACTAAGTCTCGGCATGTCTAACCAGGACTGTAGTAGCTTATGTTTAGTATGTTCAAAGACGTTCGATTATGGCGATCGCTAGCCAACCCACCTTTGCCTGAACCTCGTGGACAATTCCGCCGTCGAAAAAGAAACTATAATCTATTCTAGGCCTGGATCCACAGCACTTCAAAGTAGTTAGAATACACAATATATCTACCTTGATGATCCTTCGCTTCTTGTTCTTGAAATCGACAGCTCACTCCCACTTATCCACTTCTTTTCCAGTCTATGTGTGTAAAATGCGTCTCATCCCCGTCCTCACAATCCTCTTCACCGCTTCAGGGCTGGTGCACGCTGCTCCTGCCGATGATGAAGCGCATCAACATGCTGAGCACAAACGACAGCTTGGCAGCAGCGCTGGTGACCTTGGCAAAGACGCGACTTTCGACTATGTTATCGTTGGAGGTGGAACTGCGGGCCTCGTCATGGCAAACAGACTGAGTGCCAAAAATGGTGTTACGGTTGCTGTCATTGAAGCTGGTACATTCTACCAGATCACCAACCCCATTATAGGCAACACACCCGCCGGTGACACTCTTTTTGCCGGTTCCAGCCCACTCGACACAAACCCTTTGGTTGACTGGAACTTCGTTACTCAGCCACAAGAGGGTGCCAACAACAGACGCATTCACTATGCTCGTGGAAAGTGCCTTGGCGGAAGGTAAGCTTTGAGCGAAACATCGAGGCTCTTAGATTCATCTGACGTATTCCCAGCTCGGCTCGCAATTTCATGATCTATCAGCGCGGCACCAAGCAGTCTTACCAGAAATGGGCGGACGCTGTTGGCGACGACAGCTACACCTGGGACGCTCTTCTTCCTCATTTCAAAAAGAGTGTTAAATTCACGAAGCCCGGCTCTTCCCGTGCTGCCAACGCCAGCGCAGAGTACAATCCCGATGCCTTCTCCCCAGCAGGCGGTCCGCTACGCGTTTCGTATGCCAACTACGCTCAGCCTTTCAGTACCTACCTTGAGCCCTCGCTTAATGAGATTGGCATCCCTCCTATTCAGGATTTCAACAGCGGTGAGCTGATGGGCGCTCAGTACTGTGCTGATACTATCGCTCCTGAGACCCAGAAGCGTGAATCCAGCCAGACGTCATTCCTCAACGAGGCCATTGGGCGCAAGAATCTGAAGGTATACCAGCTCACTCTGGCGAAGAAGATTCTCTTTGATGGCAACAAGCAAGCCACTGGTGTCGTTGTGACTTCCAACTTGGGATTTAGCACGTACACTCTGAAGGCCCGAAAGGAAGTCATTCTTTCAGCTGGCGCATTCCAGAGCCCACAGCTTCTTATGGTCTCTGGCGTTGGGCCCCGTGATCAACTCCAAAAGTTCAAAATCCCCATTGTCGCCGAACGTCCTGGCGTTGGTCAAGGGATGGAAGACCACGTCTTCTTCGGCCCTACTTGGCGCGTTAAAGTCCAGACTCTCACCCGTCTTGCCAATGATCTCCTCTACACGGCCGCTCAGTTTGCGATTCCCTACACTGTTCTGAAGCAGGGTCCTCTTACCAACCCTGTCTGTGACTTCCTTGGCTGGGAGAAGACGCCCCGTGACTTGATCAGTCAAGAGGCCGCCGACGTTCTCGACTCTCAGTTCCCCCCGGACTGGCCAGAGATTGAATATCTCACTGCCCCAGGATATGTCGGCAACTTTGCCAACCTTCTCCTGACTCAACCCAAGGACGGCTACCAGTACGCTACTATCTTGGGCGGTCTTGTCGCGCCGCTCTCTCGTGGAACCGTCACCCTCGCCTCGGCCGATACTAAGGATCTTCCTCTTATTGACCCTAAGTGGCTTACTGACTCGACCGACGTCAGTGTCGCTTTGGCCACATTCAAGCGTCTTCGCCAGGCATTTGCCAGTAACGCGATGCGTCCAGTGTTGGCCGACAACAAAGAATACTACCCGGGCCCCGCCGTTGAGACAGACGAGCAGATTCTCCAGACCATTCGCAACTCTGTAATGACCATTTGGCATGCGGCCTGCACTTGCAGAATGGGCAAGAGTGATGACCCCAATGCTGTTGTTGACAAGGACGCCAAGGTCATCGGCGTCAGCGGATTGAGGGTAGTCGACGCCAGTAGCTTTGCGCTGCTGCCCCCCGGCCATCCTCAAAGCACAGTTTATGTGCTTGCGGAAAAGATTTCTGCCCAAATCCTTGCAGGGAATTAAGTGATGTATAATGGCGCGATGGTAATTGTAAATAGGATGGACTCTCCTGGAATGGGAGATGTTGATACAGTAAATATGTCATTGGACATGATAATGTAATATTTGATCTCTATCAAAGTAAATAATGCTGGCAGTCGCTATGAATAAAACTGTAATGAGAAATTGTCCGTTGTCTGGATGAGTTCAGGACAAGCAGGGGACTAAACACTTTCCGTTCGTCCAGCAGAAGCAGATGCATAGTGGACTCGAAGGTGGAGTTGAGTATTACATAGAACCGCCCACATCTGTCACCAATCCCAATCGAACGGATCACTACTGGAGGACTTTTGTTGATAACTCCAGACTGCCCCTGCCTTGGTAAGCTACACCCTAGAGTGCATGACAACTCCGCGTCCCCCACAAGGTGAGACAAGGGTGATGAGCCTTGACATGCCCCTCAGCCCCATAGGGGCGCAGATAACTCATTGTCACATAAGCTTCCTCGACCACATAGCCTGATCATTCGGCTATTTAGCCTGCCTCCTCAGAGTGGATACATGTTGATATATTGAAAGAGTCTATTCGGGTGTCTCAAGATGAAAGCAGAGTGCCTTGTTCGCAATATGATGGGCGCTCGTGTTCCGGCAAAATTACGGAAGCACAACCATAGAATGTAAGACAAAAGCGGGCATCACTTCCGATCCCAGTAGCTTTCTTGGAAGCTGCATCTATACGAAAATCGTTCCAATGAAAATAGCCGTCATGCGCGGTGGACATATGGTACCAAAGCTCGCAGCGGATATTCTGTAAGGGCGAATGAACAGTCAAAAAAACGACATGCTAGTCTACTCCAATGCGACTTTAAACTGCATGGATGATCATAGTTAGGATTACAAAAGTCCCAATTGAAATTCTCACATCTTGCATAAGTTTTCTCGTTTCCCAACCGCCGTTCTTTCTGGCCCCCAGATTGTGCTTTTCATTCATGTCCTCCCAGTTGTCATTTGCTAGAATGAGACTGCAGTAGTCAAGGATTTGTTGTATAGCGATAGTTTGTCCATTCTTCTGATTATTCTCGTCTCTCCTACATATCATGTCCTTACATGTACTCCTAACCTCCCTCTTTGGGACTCTGGCACTCGTGGAGGCGGTTGCTTTTCCCGATAATGCTCCTGCGAAAGTCATCAACAGAGACGTTGTCATTCTTGGCGGAGGTGCCTCTGGTGCTCACGCCGCTGTAAGACTTCGTGAGGACTTCAACAAAAGTATCGTGGTGGTTGAGAAACAGAACCGTATTGTATATGACATTGGCTGCATTTAAGAAGATATGGGAGGCACTAACATTACTGTTAGGGAGGTCATGTTGCGACTTTCGTTGACCCTGGGACGGGTAACCCTTTTGACTACGGCGTCAACTCTTACACAGATTACACCAGCGCCCGCGAGTTTGTTGGACGTTTGAGCATTCCCATTATGACACCAGTCCGTTTATCTTTGACTACTACTTACGCCGACTTTGATACGGGGAGGTTAACAAATCATTCACTCCCATCCGCTGCAGAAACAACGACAGCCCTCAAGGTCTATCTCGAACTCTGTGAAAAGTATGAGGACATTGTTCTTCCCTCGTACGACAGGTTCCCTAACGCCAGCATCCCCGAGGATCTCACCATGAAGTTTATCGACTTTGCCAAAAAATACAAAATTGAAGCAGCTGCTCCAAGGATATTCCAGGTCACGGGACTCGGTATGAGAGATTTCCCAAACCAATCGACCCTGTATGTCATGGAAACATTCGGCGCGCCAATTACGCGGTCATTCTTGGGGATAGTCGGGTCCTTTGTACCTGCTTCCAAGAGAAACCAAGACATATATGATGCGATTGCTGGGATTTTGGGCGAAGATGTTCTCTACTCTTCGACGATTGTCAAGACTTCTCGTGATAGCAACGGCGTCGAAGTTCTTGTCAAAGATGCGAACAATGTCCCTCTCCTCATCCGGGCGAAGAAACTTCTTCTATCTTTCGAACCCACCCTTGAGAATTTGAAAAACATAGACGTTGATGGAGAGGAGGGTTCCGTTTTCAAGAAATGGAAATGGTCTACTGTTTATGCTGGTGTCGTATCTCATCCTTCCCTAACAGACAGCTATTCCTACACAAACAGCGCTCCCTCCAGATGGCTTTCGCTTCCTGAGCTTCCGTATGTTGGCCGGTTTGATTTTCTTGGAGATAGAAATTATCGTGTCCTTGTCACAGGTGATGAGACGCTCAACAGCCACGGGGCTCAGCAATTGGTAGAAAGGTCACTCGAACGGCTTTCAGAAGCCGGCACTATCCCGAACATTACTCAAAGCCGTATCGAGTTCAAGGCGTGGGCTGACCACGGTGCAATGCAGCTTCACGTATCAAATGAGGATCTAAGAGCCGGCTTTTTTACCCAGCTGTACTCGCTGCAGGGTCGAAGGAGTACTTATTTTACGGGCGGTGCGTGGTCTGCGCAGTTCACGACTATTTTGTGGGAATACAACAATCAGTTCGTCCTGCCAAAGTTACTGGCTGAGCTGTAAAAGATAATTTGTATTCTGGGGAAAGATTGAACATGGAAATATACTCAATGATAGCTTGAGACTTCTTCTTTCTCTTTAGGTACCTTGCTCAGTTGGAACGTTGGCTGTCTCCCATCTTATTCCGAGTCTTAAGTGGGCATTTCGATCCATTGATTGCTTTAATAGTCACACTGGATTTATAGTCAAGGTAAACCCATAGTGATTGTCAACTGTGACACTTGTCTCTGGGTTGAAACTGGCATGGCTACAGCTAGGTCAAGCAGGTCAACATCCCATCCCAGCGAAAACACACATTCTACTTTGAAGATCTAGAATATCAATTGAGCTAAACGGCCAAATCTTATACATCTGTCTACAAGTGAGCACTAAGGCACAGACTAGGTGTTGAATCATTTATACATTAGAAAACTATGAACACGAGAATATGTACTCTATTTGAGTTATACACAGTTCCAACTCTCAGGAACATTGGGGTCTCCAGTTCCCTTGTAAACGTTGCGAGTAGGATACTTGCAGTGCTTCCTGGTAAAAGCAACTCCAGCGTCCTTAGTTCCGTTGACGTAAGCAGTTCCCAAGATGCTGTCAGGTGCGACGCCATCTTCGACCCAGTGAACAATCGCAGAAAGAACATTACGATCAGGCTCGTATCCGGCATCAGCAATGCGTCTGTTGCCAATGAAGCTGGCGCCTGGGCCGCCTTGACAGTGGTTCATGCCGGAGATGCGGAAGTAGCGGTAGAACTCATCCAGCTGAGCGGAGGTCAGACCCATGGTGCGCGAGACATGGTTGTAGTAACGAGCCGAGTTGTCGCTGCTAATAATGGGATCCTGAAGGCCGTGGTAGTGCAGAATCTTGGTGCCACGATCTCTGACTCCCGACAAATCACCCTTCCAGGTCTCAATGTTGAAAGGGTTCAGTTGAGAGGAGTAGGCCATATCCTTGACTGTCAAGGTGGCAGGGTCCCAGTTGGGGTCATTGTAGACGACGTAGCGGAACCAGTCGGTTGTGTAGGGGAAAGCGTTGCCACTGAGAAGAGGACCAGTCGAATCAGCACCGGGTTGAAGGCGGGGGTAAACAAGAGAGCCGTCCACGCCGTAAACATCGGAGAAGACCTTGCGGACGGTTTCAGCTTGTGTGCCGGTCAAACAGTTGTCTACCTGTCCAGTAGGGCAGATGAGAGACTCGGGGCGATATTGGCACAGATCAGGGTCTTCAATAATTCCATCAACATGGCCATCGAGTCCGTCGCACTGAGTGAGAACATCCTTCAAGACAACTGCCCAAAGGTCCTTTGACAAGAAGGTCGGGGCACCGACAGGGCCGGTGGCGGTGAAAAAGTGACCACTCCAGGAGGTGAGGTTGTTGAAAGAAAAGGCGGGTGCACCAGCTACAATGCCATCAAAGTCTTCAGGGAAATCCTGGGCCTCCTTGAAGCCCTGTCTGCCGCCGGTAGAGCAACCAAGGTAGTAAGATTTGGTGTGCTCCTTTCCGTAGAAGGCCTTGGTGACATCTTTTCCGACCACTACACCGGTGTGCAGCGAGCGGTAAGCGAAGTCTTCAATGACGCCGGGGTTGTTGAAGAACGGCTGGCCAATGGTTCCGTTGTGACCATTGTTCGCACCGACAGCAGCGAAACCTCGAGATGTGGCATAGGCCATGTCATCGTACTGGATGCAGCCTCCGGTTCCTCCGTTGCCGGTGCTCAGGAAACGACCAGTCCAGTTGGATGGAAGCCAAGCCTCCAGGCTGATGTTACTGGCCGGGCCAGTGGTGACCAGCATGGAAATGCGGCAAAGTTCCACGTCCACAACCTGACTAGTTCCGGAGCAGGTTGGATGACGTTCGGGGAAGCTGATGTTCGCGCCAGCAGGCTCGACGTTGGTGAACCAAACTGTCGTGTTTTCGTGAGTGAACGACTTTGCGATATTGGCGCAATCGTCGGCAAAGGCGCTCATGACGACCTGAGCCGCTGGCAGCAACAGAGCCGCCGACGTAGTGAGCGACTTCATCTCGGCAAAGGGTTGTGGAAGAGGACAGGTACCGATACCGAGGTCCATCAGAAACGGATGTCTCCTGTCAGGGCAGAGGTGTTCTTATACACAAACCGAAGCTGTCTTGGCCAAACGTATGGAGTTGACGATTGAAGTGTTCATCTCAGCAAACCCCAGCATCCATGCTGATATGTTCCTCTCCCCCCAGCGATCGCATCGGGTGGCGTACGCTCGGTGTCAAGGGACGGCAATTAACAACGGCATGCATTCTGAATCAAGCACCTCTAAAACCCTTGCCCCGAGTGACAGCCTGACTTACGCTCTGCCGTTTGTGTTTACTTTTACCCCACACTCAAGTAAACTAAGGGGGATGCCCCATGCATCGGCAATAGCGAAGTGCGGAGAAGCTCACCTTAAACGGCGATGTTCCGGCGGGGGATCGGAGTGGAAGAATCTTCATCCCTCCGGCAGGCAAGCCGTATGGTGGCTTGGTTCATCAATTAGAGTCGCCCAACTTCTAGATGGGAAGTCAGCCCCGTGGATAACAATGCAAATGGTTCGACTCTAATCCTTAATGAAGCTTGTTTGGGCTGTAGGGATGTTTAGTGGACTGAATATGAGTCTATGTATGGATTATAGGCAGAATGGATAGTAAAGCTGTACTAAGTCCTAGTAGGATCGAATTTGCGCCGAACAGATAGCCAACGGTTCAGTAATCTGAAATTCAGTAGATGGTTAGAATGCGACATCACAGACATGAGAAGAGACTCAATGTAGAGACAGCGGCTAGATGCGAGTGCCGTTCAAACATGAAATCAACCCAGCATGTGGCGGTTTGAGCCTCAGTCTCACATTTCGATTTTTATCAGATGCTCCATCAATGTTTGGATTCAGAAAACTCTGAAGTTTGCATGTCAAACGCAAGACAAGACGCTGACTAACCGGTTGTTTGACTCAGCTGGTGTATGCCGCGTTACAGCCGGTACCCTGGACGTCTGTTCTTTACTCGGAATCAAAATGGTTCCTTGGCTAAGGTGAACTGACGCGTACAATTGTCTAAATCAAAATGCGCCCCTTAATTTCTCCGAAGAAACATCCAGCCGCCTGATGACCTTCTACACAAGGAGTAAAAGCCGACCGAAAAATTGGTCTGGTAATATAACCTGCATCGTCTACATCTAACCTATAGTGATTCCTAGTCTGCATGGACAACCGCTCCAGATCTGACTATTGTCCTTTTCGACGGCAGCAATGTCCGCCCATGCAATACGTCTTTGTTCAAGTTCTACTGTCATGTGCTCATTCAAAGAGGTCATTCGAACTGTTCGCCCCATTGCTCCATTAGTATTGAACCCTTTGCGCATGCGCCTACTGACTCGTATGTCCCACCCTGTTTCCTACCCACAATAAGTCTTATTCGGTTCCTGAGCCAGGACCACGGTCCGAGGCTTTGCCGGCGCAGTTGCAGATCTTATCTTTTCAAGATCTCCTTTCGGACCGTTCAATCAGGGGTTAACGTGGATAAACGGCACGTTCAGGGCCGGCCTGGATGCACCATACTACGATCTCATGAACGGCCGATGTTGCAATAGGACTCAGTTGCGGAATAGCGACTGCAGGGTTCTCTGATCTTAATACCTTGTGTCCTACCGACGATGATCCGATGATGAGCCGAGGCTGTGATGCTGTAATGTGCTACAGGTTAACTGGGCTTCAAACTTTCACGATGTCGTCAAAAAAGCCAACCAATCCTGCTAAGGTTGACCACGAGGAAAGTGAACAAGTGCCGCAGGCGAAAGTTCCTTCCTTTGGACTAAACTGCAGTGTTGTATGGGGTGATTCATGTCTTCTTATAATTCATTCTTTTATCTAACTTTACTGTTACGGTCCGAAGTCTGCCGGTCCGAGCCACCAGCAGTTGATTTATGACGCACCGTAGTGTTGTGCTTGTTGCGTAACTTTTTGGCCATTCTTGATTTTTTGCATTCAAGTTTGCAGGCTACTACTATTGGCTAGCCATCGACATTTAGAGGTGATGCATACATTACTGGCAATGCTTAATTTTCAAGGAGGTGCTTTGTCATTCGCCCCCTGATCAGGCTGTAATAACAGCGAAGCCCTTTTTCTCGAGTATAAACCTGATTTAAAAGACGGGTTTCCTCAAAAAGTTGGAATTGTTCGTGTCCACTTTTCACTCTTGATCTTCTAAACCAGTCGCCTCCGAGCTGGTAGGAAGCAATAGACTCAGGATCGACGCCTCACACACCTGTCTACATCATGGACACGAACGCATCATGGCCCTCCCAGAGCTGGAGGGGAATCATATCGTTAGGAATACCATCATCCTATTCAATGTCCAGCTCCGCCTTCCATTGGTTTGCTCTCTTGCTTATGGCTTCTATGGTCGCTGTATCGCCGCCCGTTCGAAGCATGTTCCAGTCAGTTGAGATATATCCCGTCATCAATAAGACAAAAGAAGAATACTTGAAAGACGGCAAAGGGATCATTGAGAGGGGCATGAAGGATTATGGCGGGAAGCCCTTCCGGGTGTACACTGGACAGGGCACACTTACGGTGTTGGCGCCCAAGTTTGCAATGGAGATTCGGAATGACAATCGACTGAGCTCAACTGAGTTCTTGCTGGCTGTAAGTGCGATCTGACCATTCGTACATGCAAATTGTGGCTAAAGATGGGACAGTATTGGCAAGCTGGTACACCCGGATTCGAACCGTATTTTAGTTCGGGGAGTGAGCTTGTTCGTGAGATGATCAGATCTCATTTGGCACAGAGCGATATTGGTGAGATTAGGAAAGCATTGTCTTGGAGTTCGGAACTGACTACTTCATTCAACAGCTAAGTTATGTGAACCGTTATCTCAAGAGGCAAGCGACGCGTTGCGGGATGTTTTGACTGACTCCGAAGGTGAGTTCTTACGCAGTACCGTATGAGAATCCTCCACTGACATATGCCGCACAGAATGGCACGAAATCACGCTTGCTTCAACCATCCCACAAATCGTTGCCCGTGTTTCAGCTCTGGTGTTTCTTGGTCCCGAACTCTGCCGCGATCCTCGCTGGCTTGATATTACCATCAATTACCCCAGAAAGGCTATGGCTGCCGCCAAGGTCTTACGCTCTTATCCATCGCTCATACGGCGCTTTGTGCATTGGTTTCTTCCTTGCTGCCGCGAGCTCCGTGAAATGCTCCGCACGGCGCGTGCGGCCATTGCACCGATTCAGGAGCAGCAGCGCGAGCAAGAAAAGCACGGCGCCATCTTCAATAACACCCTATCTTGGATCGAGAAGCTTGCGAAGAAGCAGCAGGATAAGACTGCACAGAACGCCGCGTTTCAGCAGCTTGGGCTATCGATATTGGCGAACGCGTCCAGTACAGATCTGGTTTCCCAAAACATTCTGGATCTATGCCACAACTCTGAAATAATCGAGCCGCTACGGGAAGAGGCTGCGATGGTTACTAGGGATGGATGGAAGAGTTCCTCTCTTTACAAGCTCAGGCTTATGGATAGTGTGCTCAAGGAAACTCTTCGGCTAAAGCCTATTGCCACTGGTTTGTTTCTATCATCTTTCTTGGAGAATTTGCGCTGACTCGGTCGACAGTGGCCCTTGGCCGCCGTGTGATGGAGGATAACGTAAAGTTGAGTGATGGCAGCTTGCTCCCTAGAACGACAGGCGTAGCTGTCTCGTCGGCGAAGATGTGGGATTCGGTGAGGAACCCTGTTTCGTTCCCAGTCTTGATTTACTGACACAAGAGACTGCAGGAGATCTATCCTGATCCTAACAAGTTTGACGGATATCGCTTCCTTCGAATGCGCGAGGGTGGTGGCAATGAGCACATTGCGCAACTTGCAAGCGTGTCGCCTGAACATCTGGGCTTCGGGCTAGGAGCGCACGCGTGTCCCGGCCGTTTCCTTGGTGCAAGTACAACGAAGTTGATCATGGCGCATTTCTTACTCAAATACGAGTTCAAGCTGCCTAATGAAGACAAGACGTCGGTGGACCCAATACGATTTGGCTTCTCTACTTTGGTGAACCCAATGGCGAAGATTCTTATACGACGGAGGAAAGATATAGCGTGACGACAAGGGAAGATCATACTTGTTTGTGGAGAGTTGCTGCGTTGGAAGCGTCTAGAGTTAAAAAGCCAGCAGATTCTGGCTCACGTCCCATGTCGTTGGTCATGCAATGCTTCACCAACTATGCATGATGTACTCTGTATATAATCTGCATAACCATGAGATCAATTAAAATTTGCTGTTGGAGTAAGCAGCAATAGCATCGTGGTCGCTTCAGTACTAGCTTTCTCGTCCCATTCATGATAGGTATCTCAGGATGGCCACCTGCTTTGCCTGCAAGATCGGTACCGAGCAGCTATCCCGAGCCAAATAACATCAAATTGATGATAAGCTTCATCGAGGGTTGCAACGGAAACCACCTTAATCAAGCCATGTAAAGTGACCCAAAAGATCGCGGAGCCTTCTCACAGAACGAATCCAAGAACGGAAATCTCCGAACAAGCGATTGGCGGAAGATGATTCCGCGTTGCTCATCCAGGCGGGGTTTTGGTTCTTTTCTGAACCATCTGCGGGGACATCCTCCCCTCTCACCCCTTTGGCTTTCTTTCAGCTGCATCCCGAGCTGCCGTCGTTGCGTGGTAAGAGTCTAGGCCGTTGAATTTTAGTTTAGCTCGTCAAACTTGTGGGATATGAGGCCCGCCTCCCGGTCGAAAGGCTCACTTCCAAGGCGGCGCCACGTAAATGGTGGAGGGCCGCCATGATGACGACTGGCCTGGATCAGAGGCTTGGAATATCCAACGTTGTAACAGGAAGTAAAAAAGAATATTGACACGCCTTCGGACGCATAGCGGGAGCGGCCTCCGATCGACCCCGAGTAAATGGATCTTTGGGACGGAAGCTCCTGATCCGCCTCGCCCATTGAAGTGACGACATACGACTGTAGTCAGGAAAGCCGAGCTTATCAAAGTACGATAAATTCCCAATCTTTCCGCCTTGTTTTTCTCGATGTAGTAGTGTATCATCCAAGATTCCACAGACGGTTCAGCACGATGATGAAGCTGCTAACTCTAATCAGCCTCTGGGCTCTGTCTCTTTTCCCTCTTGCTCTCGGCGCGGAGGTTGTGCCGCGCGCTACCTTCACGGAGGTAACCGACTACGGATCTAACCCAACCGGCACGCGCATGTGGCTTTATGTCCCCAACAACCTCGCCTCTAAGCCGGCCGTCGTTGTCGGAATCCACTGGTGCAGCGGCAGCGCGCAGGCCTACTACCAGGGCAGCCAGTGGGCACGGTACGCCGAGACATATGGCTACATCGTCATCTACCCGCAGACGCCGTACACACGCGACAACTGCTGGGATGTAGCGTCGAAGATGACTTTGACGCATAACGGTGGTGGCGCGAGCAATTCAATCGCGAACATGGTCAAGTTCGTGATCGCTCAATATGGAGCGGATGCGAGCAGGGTGTATGCTACGGGTATTTCATCTGGGGCCATGATGACGGTGAGTCTGCAATCTCCTCAGAGATAATGTACCTGGATGAGCTTATACGCAAACAGAACGTGTTGGCCGCGACTTATCCAGATATCTTCGCTGCCGGTATAGCCTACGCAGGCGTCCCAGCCGGCTGCTTCATGAGCGTTGATGACGTCCCCGACGCCTGGAACATAACATGCTCCACTGGCCAGTCCATTTGGACGCAGCAACAATGGGCCAACGTCGTGTATGAGATGTATCCGGGTTACACGGGGCCGCGGCCAAAGATGCAGATTTACCACGGAACGTTGGATGAGGCGCTCAACGTTCAAAACTACTACGAGACTATCAAGCAGTGGACGGGAGTATTTGGCTACTCAACTCAGGCGCAGTCGACGACGCCCAACTTCCCGAGAAGCCCTTACACGAAATACGTGTTCGGGGACAAACTGCAGGTGAGTCTAGTCTATGAAAGATTGAGGTATGTTGGTGATAGTATTGACGCGTGACAGACGTTCTTGGGTACCGGCGTTTCTCACTCCATTGATGTGTTTCCTGAAGAGGACCTGAAATGGTTTGGCTTCCTGGTAAGGCACAGCCTAACAAAGATGCTGGGATAGGCCTAATCATGACTCAGAACCCAGTAACCCCTGTAACAACATCCACAACGCTGCGTACCAGTACCACATCGACAGCCAGGTCGACGACAACCACAGCACCTGGAGGGTCAGGGACTTCACCTCAATGGGGCCAGTGTGGTGGTATCAATTGGACGGGTCCTTTTTCGGTGAGTGAGATGGCCCTCGATATGCCCAGAGCGTTGTCATTGACATTTCGATAGTGCGCGAGCCCGTACACGTGCGTCAAGATTAATGATTGTAAGTACTCCGCTGCGATTAACCATTAGTGAGAGCTAATAGTCTGCGAAGGGTACTCCCAGTGTCAGTAATGGCCGACAAGTCAATCGGTTGGCACATGGCCATGGTAGAGACCCTGTGACGTTGAACAATGAACTGAATGTTTGCGTCCCCGCCTTGTCTATTTTCACCCCAAAGCTGAAATAGAACAAAAATAAAAAGAGAGGCGCTGAGATGTCGATCTACCTCATCCTAGCTTTGAGCTCATCCATTGGCCAGCCCTGCGGCGTGGAATGTTAACCGAGGTGCCTGACTAGATGCATTCGGCCAGCTGCGAGAGTGAGGGGAGGGTCGAGATTCAAGCCCAGTTCGCATGGCAGGAGTTTAGGGTACAATTCTATTCCACCTGACAGATGTTCTATGAGACAATCACATTCCAGTGGGAAAAAGTAAGTGTACTTCTAGATGTCTCGGCAGAGGCACAGCGGCCAGCCCCGACCTGGTATTTGAGACAAGCATCGGGCACTGAAGAAAGAAATCGTTAGCCGTCATCAATGACGCCGAGACCTGGGTGCTGCTCAAAGTTGACCTTCCATTTATCCATCCAGCCATCCACTGGCACCGACGAGTGAGGTTATTCCCGTCCGCCGTCCACCACGTGTGCTTCTCGCGAAAGGCCATTCGATCGGTGAGGCCCAATCACGTGATGGCTTCATCCTTTGCTACCTTATTATAGTTCGGAGGAGCTCCGGCTCTCTGAATTTCGCTCCTACAGGGGCGCGTTGCTGCTGGCGACTTGAAAGTTCAGGGTCCCGGTGGCGTCATTCCCCGCTGGAGGCCGGGGAGGTGTCCATGCCTGGAGGAGTTATGGATACTGCATCATGTAAACATCAACAGATAAACATTGAGTTCTTCTCCATGTCCCCCTTCACTGAGTTGAATGACTCCAACATGAGGCTTTGTATACGGTTTATGCCGATAACTTCAGCGCCTATGTCTAAGACATTGTCTATCTCCCCCAACATGTACGACATGACTCTGTCACGGGGTCTTTGGTCTTGTCTTAGTTTCCCGTGTCTTGCCGCAGGCCCTCGGGGTCTTTGGGACTCTCGGTCGGTCTCCAAGCAAAGGCGAGCACGGCCAGCCAACCCTGGTCTATGACCCCTGTCTCTCGGCTTAAGCCTCACCGCTATTACCTCAGCTAAACGCCTACTATGGTACATCCCCCCCTGATGCCTCCACTGCCGATCCGAAACTTGGCCGTCCAACACTGCAGACTGACGTAAAGCTGTAACGCTATTCGGCCTAGAAGCTCCCCCTGGCTCATTCGCGAGTTCTCTTGTTGGTTCTGCGTGAGCCACTGTTGTGCATTGCCTCCACTGAGAGCCACTAAGGGGGCTTCCTTTGGACATGTTGCTCCCCGCCCCCGCGATAGAAAATAACTTCGTATTGCCCCCAGCACCCAGCCACCAGAGAAGTATCTTTCTATCATATTTTTTTTTTTCCCACTTGCATAAACTGCACCGGACTGAAAGCGGCTCGGGTCTTCGTGAAGTCATGCTTCTAAAAAACAAACGTTGAAGTCGTTTGGGTTCTTCCCTCCTCTCCCCACACCCACGAATCTCACGATCTCATGATCAGGCAGTGTCTATTTCGCAGAGAATCCCTCAACTGAGGCGTCTTTTCCTATTTGTCTGCACAATTCCCCCCAATTGAGACTCTAGTTAGTCCTGGAGAACACCAGTCGCTTCCTTGCTGGCTCGTCGTCGTTGTGGTCAATGCCCATAGAAGGCAACACGCAAGGAAAAAACACCCAACGCCAAGCTATCCACAACCTCCGAAATGTCAGACACGACACCGACCTCTTCAGACGACCGTCTATTGACGGCCGTCATCGCCGAACATCTCCCCTCGGGCTATGGTACCTCGTTCGACGGCACTCCAACCCTTTCCAGTGGCGACCTCCCCAGCCAAAACCCCAAACAACCTGCTTCCCCGAGCGTTCACGCCAACGACGCCGATGAACCGCAAGAGGTTTCCTCCCTCCTCCTCCCCGGCGGCGATATCCACCGCGATCTTTACAAGATTTCCGCCAGGGAACAGGGTGTCAAGCGCGCCCAGACGTTCTCGCACCCTCGGCGCACCGAGTCCGGCCATGAGTCCGATCTCGCCGCTGCCGACATGTTGATGCCGCAGGGCTTCCGCCGCCAGTTCGTAATGCAGAAGCACAACTTCACGGCTGCGAATCTGCCCATCACGAGGAATTTCGTCGAGTTTCTAGACTTTTACGGTTCCTTCGCCGGTGAGGATCTCGCGGACTCGGACGAGGAGGCCATCGCATCGGACGACGAGGATGAGGAACAAGGTCGAACACAGCCGTCAGAAACAAGGCCGCTGCTGGGGCGGAGGAAGTCGTCGCGCTTCGCCCGCAAGGCCGGCGATGCGAGCACTACCAAGACGTTCTTCACTACTCTCAAGGCTTTCATCGGCACGGGTATCATGTTCCTCCCCAAGGCCTTCAAAAATGGTGGCATCCTCTTCTCATCGCTGACCATGCTTGTCGTCGCCGCCATTTCCATGGCTGCTTTCCACTTGCTTCTGCAATGCCGCAGCCGATACGGTGGCGGTTACGGTGACCTGGGCAAGGAGATTTCTGGTCCAAGGATGCGATCCCTAATTCTTGCTTCAATCACTCTGTCGCAGCTCGGCTTCGTCTGCACGGGCTTGGTGTTCGTGGCAGACAACTGGTTCTCCTTCCTGAACGCCGTCACCAACGGTGCCAATCCTCTCAGCTCAACCGCTCTCATCGCTCTACAGGCCATCATCTTTGTGCCCCTTGCCTTTATCCGCAACATCTCGAAGCTCGGTCCTGCTGCCCTCCTCGCCGACGTCTTCATCGTCTTGGGCGTGGGCTACATCTGGTGGTATGATATCTCCGCTCTTGCGACCCGCGGCATGGACCCCTCCGTCAAGCTCTTCAACCCTTCTTCATACACCCTCACTATCGGTGCCTCCATCTTTACGTTTGAGGGCATCGGCCTCATCATCCCCATCCAGGCGAGCATGAAGAAACCCTCCCATTTCGAGCCGCTCCTCGCCGGTGTCATGCTTCTCATTACCTGCGTGTTCACATCTGTCGGCGCCCTCTGTTACGCCACCTTTGGCGACCGCACCCAGATCGAGGTCATCAACAACTACCCGCAGGACAGTCGCCTCGTCAACGCCGTGCAGTTTATGTACGCCCTCGCTGTACTGGTGGGTAATCCCGTTCAGCTGTTCCCGGCCATGCGTATTATCGAAGGCAAGATTTTCGGCTACCGCTCGGGTAAGAAGGACTTGGTTACAAAGTGGAAGAAGAATGCTTTCCGCACGGCTCTCGTGGCCGTCTGCATCGGCGCCTCCATTGCTGGCTCGGCCAACCTCGACCGTTTTGTCGCGCTCATTGGTTCGTTTGCATGTGTGCCGCTTGTTTATATTTATCCTCCGTACTTGCACATGAAGGGTATTGCAGAGACAAAGAAGGAGAAGATATACGATATGGCGCTGATGGCCCTTGGTCTGGTCGGTATGGTGTACACCACTGCCATTACCTTGGTCACCAGTTTCCTGTAAACTTGAAGCAGATCTGGGGGTAGAGTAGACGAATCGCATGAGATTGTAAAGATAGGAAAACAAAAACATCGTAAAGGTTCCATCCCATCTACATGTATCTATCCATCTCCCTGCCCATCTGTGTGAGAGTGAGTGTCTTAGTCTTCCCGCCACCTGACGGCCCAATCTCCTTTCGCAAAACTAGGCTCGACGACCTTGCCCTGCATCACGGCTTCGCACTTTCTCCGCTCATCACCACCCACGGCGAATCCAAATACAACGCCTCGACGCGCCGCAGAGCGGACCAACTCCTTCTCGTGAGCGCGCTTCTGGCCTTCGTTCCTCTTTTCCCGCATCTCATTCGACTCCTCGATCCTCTCCGCCTTTCCCTTTTCGCCGCCAATACTGCCGTTGACCTGCGACTGGTTCTGCGGCGGGCGGATGCGCGTGCCGCTGCGGATAGAGAGGCTGGCCGTCACACTGGGATCCAGTTCCGTGGACTTTGTTCGTCCTAGCATCTCATCGATGACATCCTCGCCCGGCTCGCCATCGGCGTGAGATACCCCGAAATCTACGCCTTCGTCCTCGTCTGCATCAGGCAGAGCCCTCGACGCACGATTCTTCCTTCGCCCAAAGACCTTTTCGGGGTCGGATCTCTCGCCAAACACCCTCCTCTCCACAACGTCGCACGGGACCAGGATCCTATTGTCACCCTTCACCTTCTTTGACCCCTCAACCTGCTCCTCGCCCTGCAAAAACCGCACAAACGCCTGTTCAATCTCCCTGTCCAACCGCCCCGGCTTCTGACCCCGACACCGAGACGAGCAATACTTGGCCTCTGATGGCGCGGAAGACTTGGACGAAGCGGTCGATTTGCGGCTGGAGATGACGCGCCCGCAAGTGCGACAGTAGGGTATTGACTCGCCTTTGGAGAGGAGATAGAAGGGCGCCGGAGTCGCTTGGGACTTGGAAGGGCGGGACCATGAGTCCATCCAGCTCATCTTGCGGGATTTGAAATGGGAAGTGGTGTAAAACGCAAATTGAGCTGTGCGGGGGAGGTTTTGGAACAGGTTGTGAACAATTGGTCGATATAGCATTGAGACTAATAGTGTCTTGGAGTTGGGAGGTGAGGATCTGAGGAGAGGTTTTGGGATGATGCGGTGGTTCAAGCTTGACTACGTCATCAATGACATTTGCCCATTCCGTCTTGGGTCATGTTGATCTATACCGCCACGGTCACTTGAAGTATCGCAGAAGATTAATTGCCTTGTGGGTGGCAGGCCTCGCCGGCCCGTCACGTGGGCTGACGGCCGCTACTACAGTCTTAGCTAGTCTACCAGCCTTCTAGTTAGTTATGTATAGACAGTAATACCGGAGTATGTTCCGTAGTATTGACGCCAATCCGACCCGCTAAGAATGTGGGTGGCAGGCCTCGCCGGCCCGTCACGTGGGCTGACGGCCGCCACCACTGGTCTTAGCCAGCCTCCACAGCCCTCTAGCCAGTTAGTTAGTTCTTCCAACCAACAACACCACTTTTCCCATTCTGAGCGTTCTATGCTAGTTTCGCCTACAGGTTATAAGCCTAGCGTTATTCTTTCGGAATAACGTCGTTTTACCTATTATTCTACTCGTCTATCAATTTTCTATTAATTTACGAATTTTTACAATTTTATTCGCTTTATTTACCTTTCTATGCGATTTTCTTGCCTTATTTTCCCTTCGCTAACGAATTTTACTTTCTAACGCGATATTAGCTACCTAGCGCGCACGAATATTATATAGCACGCGACCGACTACTATAACCTACTAGTTTTTATAAATACTACGGAATTCTATTATAATAATAGACTTTTTAGTTATAACTATATTATAACTATACTTTTACTTCGATTTCCTCGTTCTTACGAGAATTTAACTATTTTAGCTTTAGTTTTTCAAACTAGCTTATTAGTTTCTCGTATCTTCTATAAGTATTTATTCTTCCCTTCGATTTACTATATTTCTACGGTCGGATCTTATAATTCTACTTATTTCTCGTATTCTTACGTAAGATTCTCCCTCCTATATAACATTCATACTTCTTTAATACTATTTACTTATCAATACCTTCCTTTTAATACCTTCCCTTTCTAATAGTATATATAGGTAGTAGCGAAAGTAAGCTATCTAACGTATAGACACGCCTCTAAAGCTATAGCCTCGGAGAAACGCTTATAATCGAGGTACGACTATAAGTCTATCCCGTACTATTATAATACCCTTACTTTTAAGATGTCTTAAAACGACTTTAAGACCGTCTTTACGCTTCTTCCTCGCCTGAAAGGTAAATCTAACTAGAATATATAGCGTATGCTTATTATAGCGACCTTGCGAGGATACGACTTCGAGATATTCCTCGAGACTAACTATTATAGTTCTATAAATAGTTATTAGGGGTACGTAATATCTTACGTGCTAGCCGTACCCGTATAAGAGACGCCCTCGACAGCATTATCGTTAGTAGGCTAACTTAATAAAAGACTAACTGCTTATACTTACGTTTATTAATTTATCGTTATTTATTACCTTATAACCGTTTGTTTAACTTCTATACTATTTTATTTATATCCCTGTTCTTATCACGGTTCCGACCTCTACTTATTATAGCTACGTGCTAGCAGGAAGAACTATAATACTAACGTCCCTCGCCTTGCTAACCTTATCGCTATAAAGGAATAGAGAAAGAACCGTAACGTTATATATAGTCTCCTTATAAACGCTAGCAAATCGGTTCTTAACAGACTCTATATAGCAGGTTAGGTTGACGATAGAAACCTTTACGAATTATAGCAAGCGCTCGAGAAGCATATTCCGAGAATCTTATAAGACGCTATAGCTACCCTTGTTAACAAGTTTGCTAAGACTACTGCTAACGATTATAAGACTCTTTACGATACCCTTAATCGCTATTACTACCTTAGAAAGCGTATTAAGACTATTTATAGTCGTCTACTAGACTCCTTCCTTACTATTTTCCTCCTTAACTTCTTTAAGGACCGACTTCCCGATACGTATAAGTATTTTATATCGAAAGGCGCTACCTATCCTACGTAGAATAAGGTAGCTAATACGATTTATATACTTGCTTAAGACGAAGATCAAAAGCGTAGTTATGCTACTATTCGTAATATACCTAGAGGCAAGTCTGCTAGCAGTAGGGGTCTTGCCTCTCTAGCCGTTACTACTACCGTTACCTTTACTATTACTACCTCTAAGGAAAAGAAGAAGTACGACTATTATAACTATAATTACGAGACTACAAAGTACTATGTCGCCTACCTTAATCTTATCCCTCTATACTATATTAACTAGGATAAGTTAATTAAAAAAGTAAGAAAGTATATATATAGCGATCGCTACCGCTAGGATCAGCCTACTTCTATTAATAATACCTACTAGACTATTATCAAAGCGTTACCTACTATCTTAGGTTAGTCTACCCTTGCCTCTATCGCTAGCCTAGCAGTTTTTACTACTACCTACGATAACCTTATTACCCGAGACGATATCGTTCTCGATTCTAGTTATACTACTTTAACTTTTAATAACTTACGATATTTCGTTAAGTATGCTAAAAAAAGCGATTTAATACCTTCTACTTCTGCTTCCGGCGCCTTAGTCTAGTTACTTAGCATAGGTACCGTCTTCTTCTAGACCTAAGACCCTACTAACCCTAACGTTATTTACGATTAGATACTTTATAACGTTAAGTATAACCCTTCTAGCCTAGCTAACTTACTAAGCCTTAGAAAACTTCGTCGTAATTACGTAGAATATAATTAGCAAACCTTAAGCCTTATATACGTAACATAGCATACTTCCCTTACTAAAGTTTATTAGGTTTCTAACGTCTATATCGTTAAGACTTATAATACTAGAAATTATATACCTCGAGATATTACTATCAGCCTTGCCGCCTTCTAGGCTACCTAGCGACCGTCTCTTAAACTAATATACCGCCGGCTAGTTTACGCCTACCTATTACGTATTATAAAGGCTTGCCGCCGTATTAGCATTCGGTTTATAACGTTAGAAATTAACGCCTTTTTCTATAAGTCTTACTATCTTAGTAAATCTACTAAACGGATTAGTCAAGACTAACTACTTCTACTTATAAGTATTAGTAATAAAATTTACCTTGATCTCGTTAGTATTCTTCCCTTATTAATAAAAGGGAACCGTTAGGTTCTATACCTTATGGATAAGTATAGTAGTTACTACTAGGTTGTTTTTCTACCTAACTATAAGTTTACTACTATCTTAATAGCTATTAAGAAATAAGATACTAAATTCTATAGTCTTACTAGCCTTAAGCCTAAGGTTTAGGTTTCTAATAATACTCCCGAGCTAATCAAGGTTTTTAATAACCCCTACTTCGAAGGTACTTACTATAATACGACTATTACCTATACGCCTTTTATAAACGGTATTATTAAGCATGCTAGTCGTACTATCGTCGAAAGCGCCTAGATATAGCTAATTAATATATCCCTTCTAGAGGAACTATAGGATTATAGTATCGATTCGGTAACTTAGATTCTTAACCTCTTGCCTATACCTTCTAAAGGTAACTTAAGCCTTTACGAGATCATAGCGAGAAAGCTAAACTTAGCTGCTAAACGTAAGGCCCCCTATATTAAACATCTCCGAACGTTTAGCTATGCTGCCTACGTATATAAGAAGGGCCCTCGACGCCCTATACGCTCTGCTAAGATAGAACCATAAGCAATTAAGGGATTCCTCGTCGGTTACGGTTCTCTTCGTGGCCACATTTACTACGTTTACCTGCCTAATCGAAAGGAGGTTATTCGCTATAGAGATATTCGATTTCGTAAGGAACCGTATAAGACAGTATTGCCTCTAACTACTAGCATACCTAATATTAATAAAATTAAACATAATACTATATTTATTAAACTAGATATTATTATCTAGTATACTATCTATTAGAAGCTTATTAAAAGTAAAAAACCCGTAACTAGTAATCCTAAACTAGATAAGACTATCGTTAAAAAAGCGATAGTACCTACTAATATATATCTTATATCTCCGCTACTAGAGAACCTATTAGAGACTACTACTATACCTCGTAATAGTATTACTAACGAATTAAATAATAACGAATTCGTCGCTTCCGTAGAAATAATAGAAACTAATTACTAAGACCTTGATTCCCTCTCTACGATTATTAAGGAAGTAATAAGTCAACCGGCAAAGTCTTCTCGACCTTGCCGCGCCTTAGCCTAGCGACTACCTAGTTACTACCGAGCCGCTAGTAGCATACGCTCTTATGCTAAAAAGACCTTCCTATCTACTAATATTCTAGCTTTACTAACTTCTTATTAATTTTCTCTTAGCATACTTTCTACTACTACCTTTTTGAAAGTCTTACCTAACGGCGTAGTAATCCCGAAGTCCTACCGTAAGGCGTAGAAAAGCCTATAGTAGCCTTAGTAGGAATAAGCCTTTAAACGAGAGATAACTTAATTTATAAAAAAGGGGGTTTATAAAGTCGTTTACCTACTACGTAATGCTAAAGTCCTGCCTAGCAAGTAGGTATATAATATCAAAACTAATAAAAATAACGAAATCGTACGCTATAAGGCTTGATATATAGTTTATAAAAACTATAAGAAAGGTAACTAGTTATTATAAGAGGTTTATACTATAGTTGCCTCTACTACCGCAACCTGCCTTTTCTTCGTAGTTATTATACTTCTCGATCTTAAATACGAAGTATATAATTTCGATACTGCCTTCCTAGCCGCCTCGATTTTAGAAAGGGTTAAGGTATACGTCCGGCTTCCTACTAGCTATACTATTAAAGATAATAAGGTATAGTTACTATATAAGGCACTTTATAGCTTAAGAAAATCACTACTCTAGTAGTTTCGTCTTATCAAAAGCGAAATAGAACGAATTAGCTTTACTATTATTAATAAGGAGGTTTATCTCTTCGTTAACTATAAGATTAAAGCATACGTTCTTATATACGTCGACGATAACGCTATCGCTGCTCCTAATAAGCAGGTTATAATAGAAGTTTGTTATCTCTTCGAGAAGGTCTGTTCTCTTAAAGACCTCGGCAAGGCTACCGATTTTCTCGGTTTCTAGATTGAACGCGACAGGGCTGCCGGTAAGATTTTCGTTTCCTAAGCTAAGTATATAAAAGCAATACTTTAACGATTCGACTTTAATAGTTTAAAGTATTAAGACGCTTATAGCGACTACTAACGATCTACCTGTTACCTAAGATAAGAATAAATACTTGCTTAACGAATAATAACTTTATATCGAATAAACCGGCTGCCTTAACTTCATAGTAGCTAGAACTCGCGTTGACATAGCCTATACCGTTAGTAAATTATTACAGGCGAATTCAAGGCTTTCTAAGGCCTATCTTCGTGCTATTAAGCACTTATTCCGATACATCAAGGGCACCGTTTATCTCGTTATTATACTTAGAGGCATCCTTACGATTAATAAGTTAAGGCTTTACGCTATTATAGATACCTCTTTCGCTAATAATAAGCTATTACGAGTCTCGTAGGTAGTTACGTCGTCTTCCTTGCTAGTATGCCGATTGCTTAGAAGTTAAAGAAATAGACTTTCGTAACTTTAAGCATTACGGAGGCTAAATTTATTAATCTTATACTTATAATAATTATTATAAAGTAGATTAGACGTTGCCTTTCCTAACTGCTTAGCAAACCTATTACTATGCCTACTATTATATTTACTAATAGTACTAACGGCTATGATAACGTTATAAACCTACTTAACAAGGCACGAACCTGCTATATCGACGTCTAATATAAATAGATTATATAGGAGGTTTATACTATGAAAAGCATCGAACTCCGACTTATCAAGGGCGCTGATATGGCTGCCGATAGACTTACGAAGCTACTAGTTGCGGTTAAACACAAGGAATTCGTTCGTTTATTAGGCATAGCGGAGGGATTAGATTAAGAGGGGGATTTTGAGACTATAGGACTATTAATATTAAGACTTCGGGATTCGGAGGATTTCATAGCCTCCTATTAGCTAGGTTTAACCGGTAATTAACCGAGTTTTCTAATAGTTAAAAACTCCTCGGATTTAGAGGAATTAGGACTTTTCCTGTATTTTCCTATTATTCTTTTTCGCTGAGGAGTCTGAGAGGGGGTGTGGGTGGCAGGCCTCGCCGGCCCGTCACGTGGGCTGACGGCCGCCACCACTGGTCTTAGCCAGCCTCCACAGCCCTCTAGCCAGTTAGTTAGTTCTTCCAACCAACAACACCACTTTTCCCATTCTGAGCGTTCTGTGCTGGTTTCGCCCACAAAGAACGCTCTATTATTGATCGGTAGTATTACTTTTGTGGATGTTTAAATATGGCATAGAAGTACATGGCAGGTCTTAAACAAATAAGCTAAAAAAGTATTAAAGGCAGGGAATAAATAAAAAGCAGCGGTGTATAAGAATAGAGCTTTGGAGGACAGATCACATTACTAAGACATGGCAAAAATTGGGACTAATTAGTTATAGAGAGAATAATACTGAGAAAAATTTGAAATATTCAGATATATAATAAGAGTGAGAGGTTTGAAAGCAGTAGATCGTCGAAACTAAGTATAAGAGGCAGGGCAGCAAATAGAAACACGAAGCAACCCTTACGGCCGTCTCAGCACGACCATCTCTACTTTAAGTACCGAACTAGCACAAGGTGACATCCAACTTTGTTCGATTGTCAGGGAAAACCAATTCGCGAGCGGGTTGATCACAAACTAATAGGTTTACCAGACCAGCCTTTTCGTCGACTTTCAGCCACAAATTCCTGGGAAAAGGCTGCGAAAACTGCGCTCCGTCGAAATTTCAGCGTCGGCCTCAAGTGGTGTTCTGGTGGTGCAGGTTGTTGCGTCTGACGACGTGTTAGCGCGACCTGTGTACTTTCAGCTATCGTGTTATGTGATTACCGTGAGTGGCCGTCATCCGGGAGCGCCTGGGCAGATGAAAGGGCAAGAGAGAGTTTCGTCAGGGCGAGGCCCCGGTATAGTGCTCTCGCGTCCACTGGCAATGGAGTAGTTGTATCTGTCCAAAAGCTAGCGTGCCCGTAGGGCATGTGTTGGTGCCTGAATGTACGCTCCCATGGAACTTAGGCAACAGTGTTGCTGGATAATTTTGGCTGTTGGCCGTTGGTTCTTGGTCACCCTGGCTATTAGTGAACAAAGCTGGAAAAGAAAGATTGTCAGCTTTTTTCCGGTTAAGAAAAGTACTTCAGTTTCGTCGATGGAGACCCGACATTAGGCATTTGTTGAGGGGAACCAGTAGACCTGTCCTGGTACCGGATTTCCGACTTGGTCTCTACACGCGCAAGATGTTACAGTAGTCGGTGTGAAGCAATCCACCTGTTCATAGAATCATCTGTCCAGGACATATTGTCAAGTGGCTGCACGTCGTAATTCTAGCCGTTTTGGCAGCCTTTTACAATGATTTCACAAGGGAAAATGACCAATCACTCGAGTCTGAGCAGTGGCCCTGAGGAAAGGGGTTAATTAACTTTCTCACATCATCAACCGCGGGTCTCCAAGAGGACTTTGTCCTCCTTGCCTCCTTACCTACACATCAATTCGTGTCCCTACGTATAAACTTTTCTTACTCCCTCGTGGTCCCTCGGTAAAGTTTTGCCGATGTTGTACAGAAATCGTAGTCTCAACTTCTCGGGTCTCAGCAAACGGGCTTGCCCGCTCCGCCACGTATCGGTCCACATCATATAGCCTTCCTGGATGCGGGAATCCGGCTTCGGTTATGTCATCCACGGTGGCTACACGCTCCACCCCGGCGTAAGAATATCCTGTATCCATTCCGCCTGGTCTTGCTACGCCAGTGGGCCTTAATGAACTCTCGATTGTGACTTCATGCGTAACGGTAATAACGTTGCGCCACGTCTTTGCGACTATAGGCCAGAATACTGGAATGGATGCCAGAATTAGAGATAGACGGTTTTCTGTCTCTCCTAGGAGGACTATAACTGGTGTGATTCGTGTCGGGTCTCCCGCTTCATCCCCTGTCGCCTTATTGGCAGCTATGCGCCATGCAGCAATACCATTAATTCTAGATGTATAGTCGATTAGTTAAGTCAAGAAATAAAGAGAGTATTGATTTTGAAGCACTCTTACAGTATCCCAATGCAAAATAACATAAGTAGCCCTATCCTCGTTGGACGTTCAGTCTCCTTGCTGAACAGAAGAGGAGTAGGTAGTAAAAGGATCAAGAAGTCTAACGCCATATTCGATCCATTAGCCGCGACGACAGTATTATAAATATCTATAGGGCTAACAGAGCCATAACCATAGCAGCTAGACTCCGTTCCAAGGCGGTAGTACTGATACGGCGGGAAGCAGGGGAACCAGGCCATAAAAGAGAAGAGAATGCCCCAGATTGAAACAACCGTAATCATACCGATCGTCAACAGCCTTAGGCGCGGCATGCGGTCTCGAAATATCCTCATATACTGAAAGAGCAAAGAAAGTTTCACTAGGGCATTAGACATCGAAAGTGCTCCGTTAGAAATATAGAGGTGCTACTCTTCGTGTGAATTGGCTATCTCACGGCATTAGAATTTAACAAGCGGTCAAACTTACCAAGAAGAACATCTCTCTATCACTATCAGGAACTTCCTTAAAGTAGTGACCCATGCCGTAGTTAGTCACTAGTTTATTATTAGCTATTCACACCGACGTAAATTCAAGACCCAAGTATGTAGGGTTAATTTACTGAGACAAAGCGCTATTGCAGTCGCTGAACCTGTAAGCTTTGGTATGAAATCAGCATTTATCCTCCACAAACATCAAGAGAAAGGAACTCACTAGCGCAATGACAATCGTAAGGTCGTCCCATCCAGGTGCCTTAACAATGCGCACTCTTGTGTATATTCGCAGCCCGACGCAGAACCAGGCTAGGCACTGATAGCATAGTCAGTAACGAGACCAGGACTATCCCTCTTTATAGGTAATACCAGGAATGAAGCTATTATAGCTATGACTGTACTTTTGCGATTTTGAATTGGCAACCCTTCGTCAGTATAGTGCGGCGGGAAGTCGCCAACTCTACTGAGGTTCCTATACATGGTCGCATGAGAAACAGCCGAACCATACGCCTGGGCTTCGGATTAGCAATACTTCATTTCCGATCATGGCTGAGTCGGCGAAAGGAGCATTGTTAAAAAACAACACCGGCTTGACAGTGCGTTTACCACCAAATAGTTATATATGCTGTGTGTAAACTATCTGTAAAGCTTATCTGAATTAAAATTTTCGGTATAGCGGAAGAGACCTCATCAAGCTTTTTGAATACGTTACAAGTTTTTAACTACGAGCTGGGGTTGATCTTCTGGCTTTCCAGAGAATGCCGCTTGCATTACCAATTACATCAAGCTTTGAAGCATGACTCGATGTCCCACGTGTTCCGGTAAATCCATCAACATCAGTATGCGTCACTAAAGCTAGTTTCGCAGTACGACTGGAGAAACCTTTTAGGTCTGTGACTTTGAAAACCCCACGGAAGTTACATCCTAATTCTATGCGGATGACTCCGCGCCTGTCAACAACTATGTTACTAATGCCGTAACGAGACCCCTCATTCCTGGATAAATCCAGGTAAAAACTCTACAGAATTCAGATCGCGTTTTAGGTATTCATGGATACGGTCCCAGGATTCGATTCTGTTCATCTCTTGCAAACATAATCACAATTGCGCCAACTAGATGATGTCGTGAACAATTTAATATGTATTATTTCGTCATTTGTAGTGGGCTACGCGTTAAATATATGAAGGGAAATGCGTGGCTACTTGCCATACTAAACTCACTAACCTCATGTCGACAGCTGTAAATCGTGGTGACGTACCGACAGACTCTCAGAAAGGGCATGTGAAGGTGGACAAACATAAAGTCTAGCTAGGCCGCACAATTTGCTTTTCTCTTAGGTTAGAAGCATCCGAACCTGAAGTTCAATCAAACTGGGATAAACCAAGAGAGCCGGGATATGGACACGGCTGGCTGCCAGTTTTTACTTTCGGCATAGGTGGAGTGTTCCATCCGGCACTCGTGCAAGGCCTTGGTGATTATTAAGAAATATATCAAGCGACCGTACTTGTCATAATATTTGTTTAATTGATCTTTTAGAAAGGTTATATGTCTTGCCAGTTTTTTCGATCCTTACAGAATAATGACTTCAATTTTGCGCACTCTGCTCATCTACTGAGCAATTGGCGCTCATGTAGAGGTAGGTCCAATGGATTGGCAGATACTGCAATTGAGGTAGAAGGGGCTGGGACTCGAGAATCCCTCTACAATCACGAGTGGAACAACTCAGGAGGCGTACTTGCGGCCAAACGAAGTACGAAGAGACAGGGCAGGTACATTAACAGTCATTGGAGCTAAGGTTGGAACAAAAAGACGTATTCTACGGCAGTGGGAGCGCGCATCATTACAGGCTACCTGAGGGTCATGTGTTGTGCAACAGACTATCGGGCTTCCCACGCACATCAGTAAATGATTTTGAGGAGAAGGCGATGAAATCGGCGGATCCTATCAGTCGTGAGATAAAATGTTTTATCGTTACTGATTTTGAGGTTGAGTCAGACTCTAGTTCTACGGCTTCAATTGACCAGATTTGTTTTAGTACTGACTAAAGTCCTGTACGCCTTTTCTGGTAACCTATCTGTTGGAATAGCCGGAACTCCGGGTTGAAGTGGCTCCGTCGCCGGCAGTCCTGCCGGCAACCGGGCTGCCCACGTGACGGGCAGACCGGCTGACGGCTATAAGACCAACAGCCACTTCCTCCAGCACTTCTGCTGGAACTTCTTCCATATAGACACACAGACAGAATACAGACCAGTTCCCCCATCAGTTATCCCACTTCACGGGTATCCTGTGATACCAATGCTATCATCTCTGACGGAAAAGCGACAGTGCCTAGGTATGCTTTGAAAGCCCCCTACTAGGGTGCCACGAACTCGACTTTAGTAAACGCGCCCGTGTAAGAGAAGCCTGATAACGGAACTTGCCTGTGTTCAAAGCAATAATTAATGCGTTTGATTGAATAAGCGCAAGGAAGTTGCATAAAGCTGAAAACCACATCAACACATATTGTGCCGCTGCACTATAGCGTTTTCTGGATCTTGATCTTCCAACATGGGTGTGAAACATTGAAACAGTATGAGCGCCATTTCATTTCTGGCTACGGAATCTCGGCTCTAAACTCTTCATAATTCAGCTCCGAGTCCCAACCAGAATCAGATAACCACCGGGACAAAGAGGAACCAGGGGCCCGGCAGTCTCAGCGTTGTAGATATCATGGAGGGAGGGTATGGTCAAGGCGACCATTAGGGGGGGGGGATAACCTGACCAATTACCTACTTATTTTGTGATTTATAGGGCTACCCTGAGATCAGCTGACTATAGTTAGCTAGTTAGCTATAGTTAGGTTGAAATTCCTTAGCGCGGTTTGAAACCTTACCCTTAACATACTTTTTATAAGAATATACGATATTTAAACGCTTCTAAATCCGTTCCGAATCGATTTACAATAGCTTTTTAATCGATTGAAAATCTCTTCCCTCGCCTAGAAGGAATAAGTCCTCTATTAAAACCTACTAGTCTTGATATAGAAGCTAAAGAAGACTTAAATCTTTACTATCAACTACCAGCCCAGGCCCAGTCTGGCTTACTAGTAAATGAGGAGGTAGGGATATATAAGAACGACTTTGGAATTAGTTCTAAATCGATTCAGGATCAACTCGAAACCGATTCAGAAATACCTCCAACACTTGTTTCATCAGAGGCAACCCGTTCTGGGCATAATAGCCTCAGGGATGTTCATGTACTTGCTCAAAAAGTAATCTTTCTACCTACATTTATAGAATATCCAGAAACAAGTAAGAATGGAGTCCTTTATGTTATTAATATAAAGACTTTAAATAAGGAGGATATTAAATCGCTTTGGAAAATAGTAAACGAACTACTTTTAAATCGATCCGGGATCGATCCCGAACTACTTTAGAACTAATTATATTATAGATTTAGTATAACTATGCTTAGCAATTCCTATTAAAACAAACGACTTTAGTATTCTTTTAAAATACTATTTATTTATATTTAACTTATACTTATATAGGTAGAAAGGTATATTTTTATTTAATAGAATCTTCTATACTAAAAGTATTAGAAAGTTATTTTAAAAATCTTATAAAGTATTAAAGTATTATAAATAGAGGTATTATAATATATCTTAAACGGAAAGTAGTTTTCGTAAATATTAAAATCGATTCCGAACGGGTTTAAAACCTTTTTAGAAATAATATACTAATACTTATAAATAGATAAGCATAAGCATAGATAAAACGTTTCTAATAATATACTACTTACCGACTGTTTATAAAAAGATATAGTCTTAAAGTAGTTAATATAAAGTATAAAGTAAGAAGCCTTTCTAAATAGATTAAGAATAATTTAAAACTAATTCGGAATTACTTTAGTATTCTAAGAACTTCTTAGATTATAGCCTGCTATATCTACTAGTTATAAAGTCTAAAAAGAAAACTATTATATTAGCTTTCTTTTAATCGAATTCTAGCTATATTTACTTCTAATTAAAACTATACTTTAAGGGGGAAGTATAGAAGAAAGCTTTTTTACTAATAGCTAACGTACATGATAAGCGAGTGAGACAGACAAGCGAGTGAGACAGTAAACCGCGACCGTCGCACCTTGACGCGACCGGCACCTTTTCCTCTACAATAAATCATGGAATCAGCTAGTATTGAAAGAAGGTTACAAATTGCCCTTCAAGCAATAAGAAATGACCCAAAACTTAGTGCTCGGGCCGCAGGTGCACTCTATACAGTCAGTCACGCAACATTAAGCCGGCGACTAAAGGGAATAGTCTCACGACGCGACAGCATGCCTAATTCACGG